TAGATTGACTAGAAATCATTTCAAAAAATTTTCCCATTTTTTATTTAAACATTAATAATGACTTAATTGATTTTAATTCAGGCAACAAATCATTGAATGCTTTGGCCCCACATAAAAACAATCCTTTTTTGCACCACCTGAGAATGACTAGAGATACTATAATAGTTCTTAAAAATTTCTTGTCCATCAGACTTAAGACACTTAAAACAAACGTTAATCTATGTATCATACATCATGAATAGAGGGTTTTCCAACCCAAATGTTGAGTAATGAAATATGCGTTTATTGTTCATGGTGGTGTAAGATTGGAGATGAACTTTGGTCGTTTGTCTCACGACAGTCACTTTTTGATGTAGATTGCAACGTCTCAACTGCAATACTGCTAGTCTTCATCAGGCAATGAGGTCAATTGTTTACAGGTCGCCATTTGTAGCACGTTGGTACGCTGCCATTGGTGCATTTCGATCTTCATTATTATTCTGGTTGTTAGATGGTGTTCCCTCATGGGTCCTTACATGGAATCTTTTTGTTTTACATGATAAAAAATCATAACATTGTTACTGTGACATCACCTACACGTCTGTCCTCCAACAGATCATAAGTACAAACCATTCAAAATGCATGTATAATTCAATATCATACAAAACTAAACTGACTTGTTTAATAGCTCTTTACAATATTTCATAAATAATGCTGTTTTGAACTTCAGAAGCGTTGTCTTTTCCACTTGCAGCCTCTTTATGGCTTTGGCTCCAAAGAATTTATTCCATTCCGTTTTGCCAGTGGTGGAGGAAGAGAACTGTATTATTATAAGGATCCTGAAATTGACTTAAATGAAATTGTGAGCTCACAGTTGCCGCGTATTCCAGTGGATGTAACCATTAAAGGTACTTTGTTGTTGTAAGGTGCTGCAGCAAATTGTTTATATGATTGACATGTAGTATAGTAACATGTAAAAAATTTTCTTGGATTGCTTTGGTTTTGCTTTTCTTTGCACTGTGAAAACTTACACCACCCTTAAGATCAATCAGATGTGCATCAAAACTGAAACTAACCTCTACTCAGTCACTACCATTCTTCTGGGTCTGAGGCAGTTTGCTTGTTTTTACTTTAAGCATTTGACCCCCCCCCCCCCCCCCCCCACATGAGTGACCAGCACCTAATTTCTCCTTACGTTATCAGTCCTGAATTAAACATTAAGGCCACAAGAAAGAATGAAGTGATTACCAACTAGAGAAACTCGTGATAGATGAACAAATTCTCTATGCTAGCACCATAGTGAGTGTGTAGAAAACAGTATGTACAGTATGGATACCTATGTTAGGGTGCAAAGTTAACGTAATTGTCACTTCCATGCAACCTTCTCCTTTGCTTTGAATTACTGTTCTGATTGTTTTGGTTTTGGTTTTGAGATGCCCAAACAGAAAGCCTTCTACAGATAAATTTTATAAAATCATGTTCTTTTTGGGAAAAACTGAAACACGGGGGGGTATCTAAGGATTAAGCTCTTGTTTGAGACAGGGTGCTGAATTTTTATGTATCTTTTATCTTTTAGCTCACTGGTTAAGTATTGATGGCCTCCAGCCTGCTATTCCTGAAAATCCCCCTCCAGGTATCTAACTTTACTCAAATCACAGGAGCAAAGTAATTGTGATATCAATATCCTGATCAGTATTAGTATATCATTATGAAGGGAGCCTGTAGGAGCATTTAAGGGTATAATTAGTAAACTTAATGAAGTATTATTATAAATTGTACGAGTCATACTTTAGAGTGATGAAACTAAAGGATTCAAACTGGAAAACTTTTCATTATTGGTCTGTTGGCTGAACCATTATTCCAATGGATTATAACTCCTAACAGATTTTCCTCTCTTATAATGATATGATAATTGATTTTCTTTGCTTTCTCTCTTTAGTGCCTGTACAAGTTCAGGCAAAGGACAATAGGGCTGTGTTAGCTGCAGCGTTACCCAAAGTAACTAAAACAATCAAACCACAGGCACCAAAGGTGGCTGGAAAGGGAGCCAAACAAAGTGTTGGGAAAAAGAATAACCAAAATCTTAATAAAGAGGAGGAATCTGGAGACAAAAATGATAAGACAAAACCCCAAGTCACTCATGAATTATCCATGGTAAGTTTGTCAATGAAATTAGTGATTGTAAGATCAGCTGTGGCAGTGAACAGGTTAACACTTTCAGTGGCAGGTCTTGTTTTTAATTAGCCTTTTCGTTTGTCGTATATTTTTTTTATTATTCTGTAGAATGTGTTAGGATGAGCAAACAATAACCGTTATTCTCTGAACCCAAGAGTGACTAGCTTCTAATTTCTCCTTACAATATCACCCCTGAGTTGCACATTAAAGATAACAAGAATAAAGGAAATGATCACTGACTAAAGAAGCTCTTGATTGATAAACAAAGTCTCCTTGTCAGTGCCATAGGAAACGATAGGAACAGTCCAGAGAATATGCATACTGATGTTAGGGTATAGAGTGTTAACTCATCTGCCTAGAAACTAGGTGTACTTGGAGAAGTGTTTTGGGATAAAGTAGAGAACTTGACTACATCAGCTAAAAACACTGATTTAAAACCAAATTCTCCTATAGCTGTATCAAGCTTTCAAGGCTTTGGGTGAAGCTAATCCTAGCGCAGGGTTAAATATACTTCAACTGACTTGACTGGCTTGTTTTTTAGGAACAACAGCTATACTATAAGGAGATCACAGAGGCTTGTGTGGGATCCTGTGAATCTAGAAGAGCGGTAAGTGAGAGGGGGGTGTTAACCTATGATGGAATGACATCTCAGCTATTGGGAGAAGGAAATTACTGTATACTCCTGATTGTTTTTATGCCTGGGAAATTGGGATTAACTCTGTCAGTTTGAGCGATTAGTTTGAGAGTAGACTTACCTTACTTTTCATCATTTATCTCCAGGAAGCTCTACAAAGTTTATCAACAGACCCAGGTCTCTATCAAATGTTACCAAGATTCAGTACATTTATCTCTGAGGGGGTAAGTCTTCATTGCACCTTTAACTTCCAAAATCTGATTTGATCAATTGTTCTTCCTTCTAGCTGTCATTGATTTCCATGTGAATAGTTAAAAAGAATTTGGTGTTATATAGAGGAAACACTCTCTTGCTGATACCTTTTTTTCATAACTTATTTATTTGACAACATATTTGTATCATTTGGAGAAATGAGATTGTAATCATTTAGCTGATGTTGATCAAAATGTAAACTAGAACATTTGATATGTGAAAATGTGTGTGGTATTGATATCTCCAATAACAGTTTTTGAATGAGTATAAGCTAGTGAAAAGCACTAATAATGGCTGCTCTTTGTATCAATTTATCCTAGGTGAGAGTAAATGTGGCACAAAATAACTTAGTGTTATTGATCTATCTGATGCGTATGGTGAAAGCTTTGTTGGATAATCCAACACTTTATGTGGAGAAATATGTAAGTTATTGGTTTGTCTTTCTGAAACCTTGATATATTTTCAGTTTTGGGTTTCTTGGATTGCAAAATTTTCCCCCCTTTTTGTTGCTTTTGATGATGATGATGATTATTGTTATTATTATTATTATTATTATTATTATTATGATCATCAAGTTGTTTGTTTCTAACTCAACAGCTGCATGAGTTAATTCCAGCTGTAATGACTTGTATTGTGAGTAAACAACTTAGTACTAATCCAGAAACTGACAATCATTGGGCACTTAGAGACTTTGGATCAAGAGTTGTTGCACAAGTCTGCAGGTAAGGAAGAAATTTGTTGTTTGAAAGATGATGTGATGCAGTGAATGACACACTCAGAGTCTTCCTAATAGGAGTCAAACCTAAAACTTTCCCATTTGTACATACTTCAAGTGCTCTACCACTGACCTCAAGGAGACTTGTGGTAGGCTACATTGTAGGCCATTTATTAATGAGGGCATGACCAGTCCAGATTGACTAAACCCAAATGGGATTCATTCTAGCAAAAACCTTAAGGTGTTAACTTTATAATTCATATAGTGTAGTACATGAAAAAGTGTAGAAGTGATTTAATATAATTGCTTTGTTAAGGTGACTGGTAGCAGAAACAGTAACAATATTAGTTTTACAATTTTTAAAACAATGTAAATGGGTCAGGAAAAATTTCTGTTCTTCGTAGTTTTGTCCCTAAAAAGGTATTCAACTTAGTTTTACTTTACTTTAAGTTTTTCCGAAGTAGCCTAATGTTACTACATGGTTTTTGTCTCAGGTCTTTTAATTCCACTACAAATAATGTTCAATCAAGGGTTACCAAAACTTACTGCAAGGTAAGTGCAATCCCCCTCAGATAAAAAAAAAATATTTTGGTTGTCAAAACATTGTTGTGGAAGATCTGTTGTTCACTTGTTTTAAATCAGTTACTGTTGACACTTGTGTTTGTTCCTGCAGGCATTACACCAAGAAAAAGCTTCATTATCAACTCATTATGGTGCTATAACTGGGCTTGCAGAGCTGGGACAGGAGGTATGTTCTTAACACTAATCACGAGTAAAGATATCTTGCAGGGTGGGCTTGCAGATATCAGAGAATACTTATGTGTTATGCAAAATTCTGTGTTTCAATTTTGAGAATTCTTTCCTGATACATTACACTACTCTACAGTTACTGCATTTCTTACAAAAACCCTGCCCTGGCATGAGGTTTATTCAAATTTGTCAATGTGATATAGCATTCTCATACTTCACTGTTAAGTGATTTTGTTCTTCAAACTCTTCTGATTTGAAAGGTGGTTAAGGTATTTGTTGTTCCAAGACTCAAGATTGAAAGTGCTTTGATTAAAAAAGCTCAAGAAGGAATCGACCCAGTGGAGAAGAATGCTGCAGAAAACCTCAAGAATCTACTGCTGGTAATTTTTGATGTGAACTTTGTAGTAATTCTAATTGTTACAAAAAATCTCTTTCCATTCCATGAATTGGTCTGGAACTTTATAAATGAGCCTATATAATTTCTTGGATCAGATCACCTTTAACCTTTGACCACACCTGATACAGTGACCTTCCTTTATTTGAATTTATATTATTTTGCCACAAAACATTTCAAGTAAGAAATTTACAATTCAAGAACTGCAGAGGAATTTCAATGTTAAATTTATTTTCAAATCTGTCAATAACTAGAAAAAGAATTAAGTAATGTAACAAGGAAACCCAATAGAAGCTAGGAGCTTAAAAAATTTGGGTTTCTCAGACCAAACAACAGATAGCATCCTGCATATGTTTCCCATGGTGTCCCTCCCTCTTGTTTGAATGTTTAATTTGATACAACTGACATTGATTTCTCTTTGTTCATAGAAACACTGTCCTGCTTTGTTACTGAGAACTCGTCATCCACCAGACTTGGCCGATCAATATGAAAAAGAGTTTGGTAGTATTGGACCTCTTCTTTGCACCAAAGTGTCACAGCTGCGGCAGAACATGAGCGCCATGAAGAAACCCTCCACATTAACTGTGCGCACAGTAACTGGTGTCTTGACCAGTGGGATTACAACTCCCACTACACCCTCTACACCTGGGGCAAGTCCAGTTAAATTACTTACCCCAACTTCTGGTGGGACTTTCACCATCTCTTTACAACCTGGTTTGAAAGTTGGTCTACCTACCACCCCTAGGGATTCTAACCCCACCACTCCCACATCAGCAGGGACTGTAACACTACCAGGGTTACTACCAACAGGATTGACAATCACAGGGCTACCAAAGCCAACTACCCCCACTAGTAACACACCAACACCTAGTGGCCCTGTGACATAACAATTAGCTACAACTCGCCTTTTTAAAATGTACTTATTTAATAAGTAACTGTACAAAATGATGTCATCCAAAAAAATAAAACCCTGTCAAGGTTGCAGGTACATTGTAGTTAGTTCAAAGTATTTTAGCCCTGTATTTCAATCACTAGAAGTGCATATCATGTAATCTTTTGTAATAAATAGTTAAGAATTGTATGTAAACTGTGTCCTTCTGTATGTTTTAGTGAGTGTGAAAATTTTCAGTTCCTTTAGAATAATTACAAGCTAATTTTGGGCCAATTCAGTGAGTTTGAGAGAAGGACAATTTTTGTTTGAAAGTCAGTAGCTGAATTTCAAACAAGACACAGCTCCTGTCTTGCAGTATGGTGAATGTGCTGAGTCTGGTAGCCTCCTCCAGGCCCTCGATCACAGAGAGTCACCCAGTCAATTGCACTCTGAACTTGAAATTTGGGCTTATTCTGCTTTAGGGTCTAACATTAGTGTTAGTGACAATTATAATGCTACAAATTAAGGGCTGTTACCTGGCTCATCTACTTTAAACTTTAAGGTCAGCTCTGTTTACTATGACAGGAAACAAACTGTGAATTTTACCTAAATTCTCCTGTCATTTTTTTTTCCTTTGCTCCTAAGTACCTCTTGGTGCAAATGAAATTAGATGGAACCATTGTTTGTTAAATACATGGTGTAATGATTGACAATCATAAGACACTTAATGGTTAGCAATCTACACCTGTCCTCACAGAGGACTGTTTCACAACACACACAAACTCATCTTGTCTGATTTAAGTGGCTGATAGTCAGCACCTAACTAGGTACCTGGTATTTAATGTGATGTATGTAACACAATTTACTACAAAAAAAGACAAAAACAAAATGCAAAAAAATAGACATACTGGAAGCAGGAGGCTCATTATGATTGGTTAATTTTGGTAAGGTGACCTAAACAGTAGCAGAATGGAACTGGAAGGAAACTCCTAGGAAAGTAATGGTAGTCTTACTCTGCCTCTACAACACAGTACTGACCAAGGTCCCTTCTTACGAAAGACTAGAATACCTTGGAATTGTTGTCCCAAAGTATTCAGATCTTAACATTCTCTTCAAAATGGGCCGAGGTACATGAATGTTTGGAATTGATGAAGGAGAAATGAAGTGTTTGTTAAAGCTGTAGTCTTCCTCTGGCTTGAAGGTAGTTGCTGAGAGACTTCTCTCTCTTGTTGCTGATGGGATGTGAGCTCCAACTAAATGGCTTTTGTTAAACCGGGTTTTCGGTTCAGGCCAAGAAAATTCCCCTGTCAAAAGAAAATTATGATTTAAGTTGTCAAGTTGGAGTTAAAAAATGAGACAGCCCTTGCAATTTTGACCATTAATCTTCATTGCCTGCACACCTCTGAAAATTTCTGAAGGTAAAAAATTGGCGGTAAATTTACCTGGGTGATAGTTTGATGATATTTATCAATAATGGTTACCATAGGTAGCCACACAATATTTTAGAAGATCAATATTTCAGCTCGCGAGAGATTGATGTATTGAAGGATAGTTAGTCAATATTTTGGTCAGTAGTCTACACCATGTTCAGCCTGATGTTGACTGGCACTTGATCTGCTTGATTGATGGTTTGTCAAAGTCTCTAAGTCATGACATCAGCCTTCCTTCACCTTGACTGACTCATTGACCATTGACTAACAATGGAATGAGTATCAGTTGAGTGTCAACCAACATATATATTGGTTGGAGCATGGCTTGTTTTTATGTTGATATGCCCTCTGACTCTTGACTCATACAGTGGCAGTCACTACATATACCACATGTGTTTCATATTCATACAAAATTTAGTCAGTTATGAGAGAGATGAAAAGACCTTGAATCATTGTTTTGATCCTGTCCAGATGCTTAGTGCTTATGACTTCAGGGTCAGAGTAACTCTTCACTGGGGTCACTGTGAAGGAAAAAAAGATCACAGTCAACCCAACTTGGAAGAACATTCCATTATTCAGGAAACATATATGCATTTGAAACAAGATCTAACAGACAGGTTCAGCATTATGAAAAGAAGTCTAAGAGTGAAGTATGACTGCTGTCCTTTACCTTCAGTTTTGGAAAAGAGAGTCTCATCAACAGATGAGGTCCTGGAAACTACCTTGAATGTATCATGTAACCTAAAAAGGAAAAATTAGACATGATAATCCTTTCAAGTATCTGAAAAATTCCGCGGTTTTCTTCAAAAAGTGATTAGCAAGACAAAGATAAGATCACAATAAAATGAAATAAATCATATTTATTTCTATTTTATCCAATATTTTCCTTTGTAGCTAACCTGTAAAATAATTTCCTTACACGAGAAATGGTAGCATTTTATTACCACCTATATGCAACTACTATGATTTAGAGAGGTGGTGAGCACCACTGGCCTGTTTTTGAGTCTGCAATATTTTCTGGTAATAACTTACTTTCTTTGACTTGGAATGAATCTGATGTTTCTTGCATGTGTGAATATTCCATGGCCATCTCTACAGTGAAAGTACTGGATCCCCTTGTACAGGCCGCTTGTATTACCAACTTGAAGAAAAACCAGTCATAAATACAATCATTACTTTCGCTACCAAAATAAATGCTGTTAATGCTAAGATGGGTATTTGTGGGTAAGCAGAATAAATGTCATTTCGATAATTGTTTTGCGCTATAGAGGACAGCAATCCAGGGTTACCACGATAGTTACGTTGGGACTGTTTTATGTCACTCAAAGCTATTGATTGGGTTGATTTTAGAAGAGGAAACCATCATATAGCTGAAGGGGAAAAATGCACGATTACTCCAGGAAATGATGGCTTCGATGTGGATGATACGGTTGCTTCATTTTTGGGATTAATATTATCGTAGAAAGCGCTGGTTGTATGGTTTACGTAGAAAACACGAGGTACGTGAAATAATGAAGTGTGAAAGAATGTGTTAGTGATGTCGTACAGAATTGGCTATTTGTTAAACGAGCTTCTATGATAGATCACTTCGGCATGGAGGTTAAATGGATTATAATATGATGAACTTTCTGGCCAAGATCGAAGGGTTAATTAACACTACCTCTATTGTCTAGTTCAATGCCAACCCATTCGCCATCTTTCGCCACCAAGCTTCCCGCATATCGGATTGTCCCGTTTTCGATCTCTCCTCGCCATCTCACTTGCACACGAGCCCCAGAATTGATGTTATGAAAGAAAACCATGGATCTTCTTTCTACATTTTGTTTCCCTTGAATAAGACTTTTCTTCACTAGTGTTTGCAAAAATCCTTACTAGACCGAATAGCCTAGAAGAACCACAAACAAACCCAGTTGGCGGGAGAACCAGTCATATTCTATCCAATAACCTAATTGGTTTGCATTTGAAGAATAAATGAATTTTGACCAATCAAAAGTGATGTAATATTTCGAAGCTGTTGCTATGGTAAACCCACAAATCTTAGCGACGGACCGTATATTAGCAACACGGCAGACATCTTGAATTCAAACAAGCTCCACGATAAAAGCAAGTCGGAGTTTGCTGTGATTAAACTACTATGGCTCTACCTTTCCTGCCAGGCCAAGTTTTTGATCGAAAGGTAAGCATTCAAATTATACAATGCCGTATATTTCTTGATATTTTACGACTGAGTTAAAACTTAAATCTAGTAAAATTTACTTGACTCAAATCTCTCTTACCAGATTGGGAAAAGCAAGTTTCACAAGTCACAATTATTTGATTACCGGAATGATGTATCATCCTTTGTAGGTGAAGATAAAAGTGGAATTGGTAAGTTTTAAAAATACGTTTATTTCCTTGAAGTTTACATCCCTTCTATTTTAGATCAAAACGTTGAGAGGTAACTGTAACTGTTCTAACCCAAACACATAGTTGAAGACTTGACACATTTACTTAGCTGTTTTGTTTCCATTTTATCAGGAGGAGATCCTTTACCAGGACAAAAGTTAAAACCGAGGCACAGTGGTTATCCAAAGGGTATTGGTGGAGAGGCACCCGCCTGGGTTGCATTTGACAGACAGGTAAGAAATTCGTCAGTCATTTTGGCTAAATTCAGAAATTTTTACCTCAAATGCTTCTGCGGTTAAATCGTGAAAAAAATGTACCCTGACGTTCAAAAAATGGTTTGTGGAAGAACTGCGAAGACAGATATCGATCTTTAGCAGTTTAAGAGAAACCAGGGGTATTTTTTGTTCATAAAAACTGGTTTGCATGAATGTTGAGAAGCAAAACGAAGTCAACCCTACAGTTTTGTTTTACTTAAAACAAGTGAGATATCTACTCACTGGGTTTAAGTAAAATATACAACAATCTGGGGATACAACACAATTTGCATTCATTTCTAGCAAAAGAGTATGATGTATAGTACCTTAACCTTTCAACTCCCAGTACAGATTGAAATAGTACTTCTCCCCATAATTTTGATACATTATCCTGCTAAAGGTCATGAGAGCAGAAAATTTTATCAGCTGGAGGTTGGTATCTTGACTAATCAACAGATTCTTCTCAAATTTGCAAGGAAATAGCAGCTGGAGGGGAGAATTTGATTTAAATCTTGGGAGGAAATGTATGAAAAGTATGGGAGCACTGAAAAGTATTTGATCTACACTCCAGAATGACAACGCACTTGTGGGTCTTTCTTGATAGATTAAGTGATACATGTATGCAGTGAGTGTTGTTCTTCAAACAGACACAAGAGAGGCCAACTGTAATAAAAAAATTGGAAATGTAAAACGCTCCACTGACTGCTATGAACCAGAGACCAATAAGAAACAAGGTTACCCATGAAGATGGTGTTCGATGTCTAATTACTTGTTTAATTGTGAAATACAGGTTTTGTGCTTTGATGCTTATTTCCAAGAAGCAGTACATGAGAAAAGAGAGGAGCAATACAGGATTAGAAGGTATCAAACTATATTTTAGTCTTGTTTCATTCCTTATTTGCCTAACCAGTTAGAGTAAATAAAAACATCCGGCAGTCTTATCTTGGTTTTGGTTGTAAAGCAAAGGAAATGTAGTGTCACTTTCTGTAAAGCTTTAAATTTGTTATGCACCATTATAGCTAATATTATATTCTTTTGCATGATGAATTGCTTGATTAAAATCTTGATAAGATTTTAACTGTGTTATCTTAGATATTTCTTTGACCTCTCAAATATTGTACCTTTTTCATGTTAGATGCAAAATTTACTTTTATTTGGAGGATGACAGTATCCAGGTGATTGAGCCAAAAGTTGAAAACAGTGGCATTCCACAAGGTTTGTCATTTTTTTTTTGAATGGAATGTGAGAAATGAGTTGTGATTACTGTTAAAAAGAATGTTAACTTGATTTTTGTCATTTTTATTCTTAAAAGGAACATTGATTCGTCGTCATCGCATTCCACTACCTCCACCTAATGATGAAGAGTTTTACACTGTGGAGAACTTTAATGTTGGTCAGGAAATCACGCTTTACTCCCGCACATTTAAGATCACTGTGAGTATATCAAGATATCACTGAAAATACCACTTCCAGCATTGTGATTAAAACAAGTCATTTTCTTTATGAACTGGTCGTAATTTCCCCTCTCTTGTTTCAACCCTTCATCTCCCATGGGCCGCAAGTACAAAATCAAGCTGACAAGTGATGAGGGTAAAGAAAAATATCATTTAAGGGATTGTTAGTTGATCCAATACAAAGTTTTCAAACTAACATCATCAGATTTGTGTGGCAGACAATAAGGATTGTGAGAGGGTTAAAATGGAAATTTTGGGTGTCTGTCCATCTTCATAATCGTAGCTATGATTGAGATGGAAAAAAGCCAGACAAAGTATATCTTTGCAGTCTTAGATTTACACTGACCTCAGTACAGATGTTGAAACAATTTTCACTTTTGATATACTCAAATTGAGTTTGCTATATGTGTTATTATTGTTTTCAGGGATGTGATGATTTTACTCATAATTTTCTTCGTAAACTTGGAGTCAGGATACGCAACCCAGAAAACATTCCAACAGATCCATATACAGACCACCGCAAAAAGGTTTGTTTTTAGTCTGACTTAAACTGGGGTATGCCATATAAACATGCTCTCATACAAAATACCTTATCTTTGATTCTCCACTGTAATAGGCTTGTTGTGTCAAAATAAACCTAATCTTTGGTGTTACTGTATATTTTCCAGCTGGTGGAGAGCATGCAGCCATTACGTCCTTATGAGAAAGAGGACACTCTCAAGCAGTTTCTTCAGTTTGATCGCAATGTGTTGCGATTCTTCTGTGTTTGGGATGACAGTGACAGGTTAGTTTTCCCTAAGATTCTCTGTGCATTGGGGTTGTGCTTATGGCATAGATAGTGATATTGTAATGTTGGAAACATTTAGCAAGTATCCAATTTTTTTCCTCACTTTATTCTAGTATGTTTGGTGATGCACGTGAGATGGAGTTGCATTATTTCCTTGCTGATGACACTGTAGAGATCTGTGAGCGTATTCTAAACAACAGCGGTAGAGATGCAGTGCCCATGTTCCTCAGAAGACAAAGGCTACCAAAGGTATTTGTCAAGAAATTAGTCCAGAGTACTACATATATTATAGTTAACACTTATAAGTATGCTTGCATTGCATAGATGTCTAACTAGTTTTGTAATTAAATGGTTATGTTTCTTTCCAGGAGCCTACATCATTGCGGCAACCAGGGGAGATTACAGGCAGAACAGTGCTGAATGTTTTTGGTCCCATGGGACATGGTGGGAGATGGATTTTGGACAGCCTTAAGGTTAGTGTACTTGAAACAAGCCAGACAATTGATAATACAAAGTGCATGACTCAGGAAAAAAAATTGTCTTGTCTTCCACTACCCTCCCAAGTCCTTTCCTTGTTGATCCCTTGTGAGGGGAGATGGCCTTGCCTAAGAACAGTTGGTTACTTCATCTAATGCAATGTAGCCCTTTATTCACAGAAGTGATTAACATGTTACTTCTCCATGATATCTATGCATTATCCAGGTAATGAGAATACTCAAAGTTGTCAAGTAGAAGCTGCTCTCTTGATGAAATACCAAAACCTTGTAACTAAATTAAAAGGAAATGTGTAGCAGCTAGAGGGGGAAATCAGCAAACAGATCTTGTTAAAGGTTAACAGACAACCTTGAACAGTTTTTCTCTCAGAATAATCACCAGGTACTTTAAGGCTCATTTCTTTCAAGTATAGAGTAGTGCCTGATGAATGATGTACCTGTTTTTAATTTTTCAGACTGGTGCAGTGTATACAGATTACTATCAGGACAATGATCTCACCATAGGCAGTGTTATTAATGTGTGGGGCCGGAAATTCCGTATCTGTGACTGTGATGAGTTCACCAAAGAGTATTACAAGTCAAAATATGGACTACGTAAGATATCATGAGTTTTGTATTTTATTTTTTGGCATTTTATTTTAATTAGTGTAATACAGGAAGCTTTTCTTTTTGGAGTGGAAGCAGGAAATTTATATTTCTTGTTGTCGTTTTAAGTGATCTTTTACTTCTTAGTGCAAAAGGAACAGAACATTGGTTAATTTTCTCATGTTTTTTTTGTCTGCAGAGGAATTTGAAAGTATCAACTTTAAAGCCGACCCAGAGCCCCTGGCACCCCGAGAGATCCCCCCATATAACGGATTTGGTTCTGAGGAAGACTCGCTGGCTACTTGTCTCAGTCTCAGACCCAAGCCCACTCGGAGAGATTTCAAGAAGTTCATGGAAAAAGACAGGTAAGCGAAAAGTGTTGTAGTGATTAAGTTGTTGTATGTAAAAACAGGTATCAAACGTCTGAGAACATTGAAGCAGCCCCAAAACTAGCCAAAATGTTGTAAGAACAGCAACAGCAAAAAAAAAAAAGCTTACGAAAGCCATTGGAAAGTTTGACTATTTTGTTGAAGTTCTGAGCAGAACAGTAAATCAACAGAATATCCGTGATAAAATTATTTTAGCGCTCGAAAAGTCTCAAGTTTTCCTTTTGTGAATTTTTGTGTCCTATTACAGGTTTCATAGAACGTTTCAATATATTTTGTGTTTTCGTCAATTGTGTGTGACACCGTGCTTGATACTTACGTGATCGCCTTGCGCGGGGAATTGACGCGCAGCCGACCATACTAGATCCATTTGCTCATGCCCAACACATAGACTTCTTTCATCTCTGAAATTAGTTTTGCACGTGGTGAGAAAGCGATCTGGCCACATTTCAAGCCAGCTTTTGTCTCTCATAGATACAAGTGAATTCAAGCTGTGAATCTGAACACGAAATATTCAACCTACTTTGATGATGTCATAAAATTAATTTAACTCAACGGCTTTACTCTGTGAGTTGGTAGCGGCGATTCTATGGAAGAAAGTGTTTATTCTAAACAGCGAAATTACAATATTGACATCGATAAGGCTTAATTTTTATATATTTAACACGCATTGTCTGTTTTTTTTTTTCAGACATGGTTTGGAAAGTAATGTTCTTCGATTTGTTGCGCGTCTGGACACGACGCGTCCCATTGACATGGACAGAAGGTGAGTTTAACAACTCCAATACAGTGCTTTGAAAAGAATACAGTTATGGATAGGATAACGCTTGGGTTACTTTTTAAATGTTTCCCAAGAACATTACCAGGTTTGAGTACTTAGAAGAGGTTTTTTTGAGTAATGTCATTCAAAACTGGTTCTAAACTTTTATTGCGGCACATTTGGTACAGATAATCCTATTTGTTTCATTACTCGTCTTGAATTAACCAAGGGAGGAGAATAAGGTCATACTGTACATTTTGGTTATTAGAAGGGGCGATTTTTGAAGGGAGGCGCCCATTCAGGATTTACGGTACTAGGGACCTTAAGCAGTTATGACGGCATGCCGATGGAATTATTTATTTAAGTATGAATCCATATTTTTAGCGAGAGTTGCGCGAATAGCAAGATGCGTTTACTATCTCTAACGGGACCACGCTTCAACTTCAGATTAACGTTTGTGAGCAGCGTTGAGTTTAATAGGAAACTTCAATAATTTGCCATTTGGGGTTTAATTCCTCAGACTACGCGAATGTCGGTGATTTGACGTTGTTGTTTTGCAAAGTGAGAGGCTAAGAAATGTACAAAGCTTCAAAACGCACGTGCTGAGCCATTGAGTTCTCATTAACTCTTTTGTTTTGCCACGTTCTCGTTGCTGTTGCTATCGTGCTTGCTTAAGGTCCCAACTCTCCCTGTAGAACGGTGGTGAGATTGAAGTGACGGTAATGAAGAAGTACGAGAATTTTACATCCTTAGTATTAAGATTGCTTGTCATTCCTTTTAGGTTCATCATCTCTTACTTTCTGTCTGATGACACAATTCTTGTGTTTGAGCCACCCCAGAGGAACTCTGGTATACTCGGCGGCAAGTTCCTGGAGCGAGGACGAATTAAGAAACCGGATGGTGTCAATTATTTTATGACTCAAGTTAGTGATCTGTCCTACTCAGATTGTTTTGTGAATGCACGCTGTTAGCAAATCCTAATATCGTCACCTACACCAGCATGTCCCTTAAATAGCCAACTTTTGCCCTGTGTGCGCTGTTTTCTGATTAACAACTAGCATCGGAAATTGTTCGGATCCATCGCGAAGATTGTTCGAAAACATTTCGGAATATTCAAGAGTGTTCGTTTTGTACGCTTATTGGCTTCTAAGCGTCAAAAACTCTCGAGAGTTCCAACGGAGATTTTGTTTGATACGGCACATGTCCAGCGTAACGAGGGAAGGCTCTGACTTTGAAGGAAATGTAAGTTGAAAGACGAAGCGAATACAGCTTTTCATTGCATGTTTATACGGTATTCGAATAGTTTCATGTCCCATTTAACGATAGCATTTGTATTTTCTTTTCATTGCAGGATTTATACATCGGTGCTGATGTGGCGTTCCACAACTTCCAGTTTATTCTGATTGACGCGGATGAATATGCCGTGAATTACATGGAAAAGCACTCCGCAGACTTTCCCCAGGCCAACATTCAATTTATTCTTCCAAAACTGAAGCGAATTCTGGAACAAAAATACGAAGAAATTAAAGCCGACTTCCAGCAACACGATCCTGGTAACGAGGGAAGAATCCATGGCGATATTTTCAGGTGAGTTGCAAAGCGTGTAATCTGGTATTACTTAACACAAATGTATACCCACCCTCCCCTCTTTCCTCCTCTTCCCCCCCCCTCCCCATTCGGGTGCTATGCCAGACCCCACCTGTCCCGGAATTCGTACTCTCTTCCCTCACCCAAAAAGCTGTCATATGCGTAAGATCCGAACCCCCCACCAAGAATTTGTGTTGGGAATTGTCAATATTCAATGTCCTTATTTTGTTGGAGGTGAATCCATGTTGAGGAGGGATTTGAATTTGAGACGACAAAGAAGGATGGCTCAATCAGAACGTTGATATTCTGGGTTTATTTTGGGAAAGTTGAAGAAACTCTTAAAAGTTCCTCTTTTCTTTACAGGGGAATCTTGCAGAAGTTCGGGCAAAATCTCTTGACTGTCCACGAGCAATTAACTGTGTCCAGATACTTTGGTGCCTTGACGGTGAGTTTGGAGCTCTTCTACTTCGTCAGATAAGAACTATACTTGTATTGATCAAACGTGAGGCTTACATGGCTTTGTTAGTTTAGACTGAAATAAAGCAGTGGTTCATTACAGTGATTTAAACATGAATGGGGCTTATATCCAGTATTAGGATTTTAAAGAAAACCACGCCGGCATTTTTTAGCACGGTAACCTCGACAGCAATTTAAGGCCCTTTCTCTTTGAACTGTACACGACTCCCACTTGTTATGCCGACGTAAAGATGTCGCACCGTTAGAAACGATAAATGCATTTATCTCGTAGCAAAATTGTTAGCAGGAAAGACAGTTCGGTTTTTTTTTTCGGCAACGTTTTCCAGTGGTTGCCGTAGTGACACCTTAAAATCCCCATCATATCCTCGGTGACCACAGCTTAGCTATATTGGTAAAAAGAAAGCCTGAGAAAAAATTTGGGTGTGCAACAATAAAGGACTATCCCATACACAAGGTTAATCTTGTCTCTCCCACTCGCTGAAGTACGAGAACGGCTTATTTGATTTTTTTTTTCTTGTTAGTTTTCTGTCACTGATTTCATGGTGTTTGTGTAACAAGTGTTTGACACATTTTCTTTGTGCTTCAGGAGAAAAAAGATGATTTGCAAATATTGGTAGTGGCAGTTCAAGAACAGCTTAGAAAAGCTAACTTTGAAGATTTCTCTAACATGATGGATTCATGTAGACACGAGGATGTCCTTGGGTGAGGATACGAACCAAGATGTTTTGTTTATTGCTGTTCTATCAAATTCGTACTCGTATGCTACTACAATTTCTGAAAACCGTAACCGTTGTAAATGAAATCTTTCCTTCTGAGATGGAAATGATCATTAAATTCAAAACCTAAAATAAGCTTTTGTATTTATCGGTGAAGGGTGTGTTATCCATTGATTTTATTTTGAAATTGTTGTTTAGATCAATCTAATTCCATTGTTGTTTTTTCAGAACTGGATTCCTTCCCATTCAAGAACTCCACAACGCATGCAAAAGGTTTAACGTGCCCGCCAAGTCGGATTTACTCCAAGCCATTTTGGAAAGAGTTGAACGAAACGACAAGAACGAAGGGAACTATGAACACTTCCTAAAACTACTTAACTGGAGGGACTCTCCAGGTGGGAAAAAAGCTTTGCTTCCTCGGGAAGGGGTGGGGCGAGAGTCACGTGGTAATAAAAGAGGGTGAAAATAGGAAATATTATAGTTGATCATGGAGGACTGAATTGGACTGCAAATTCTTTGCCAGTGACTTCTTGTTAGCGTTTTCCAAGATTTGTAGCAATTAAAACTCATTCCTAAAACTGTTCATTGTCTTAGTAAACCTCTTCTTTTTTCATTTCTACAGTCACAACCCAGAAGTTTGTCCCAGCCGCAGCTCCAGATCCCAAGTCAATGGTAAGATAGTAACATTTTGAGATATTAGGTTGTGTGTGAGAGGAGGGGAAATGTTAGAAGGAAACGGAAGATGTTATATTTTAGTCTCTAGTACTGTTTGTTTCATGACTGAAAGGTTGTTTTTTAAAAATGCATTTGAAAATGTTCGCTCTTCTTGTGTATTGGAAGCTTAATGATGTATTGACTGAGGAAGCTACCATCTGAAAGGAGTTATATAAACGTACAGCAGGAGAATGATTCTGTGTGGTTTTTTTAATGGTATTAATATCTGCTTTTTACTTTGATTGTTTAGCAGCGGGTTGGTCCGCAGGAATTTGTATGTTTAGTCAGCTACAAGGATCTTTTACAAAATCTTCTTGAGGTGGACTAAGCTTGCATCACAGAGGATATTATTCTGCCTTTACAAGGAATTCTTCACCCTATTAGTTGGAAAGATTGTATGACCCTAAAAAAATTGTCATGCAGGACACTATAGCTTGCTGGATTGCAATAAACTGTTATTTTTTCACCGTATAGTAGAAGAAAACCCGAATGGAGATGTTCCTTTATTTTAATTGTACATAAACTGGTTGTATTGTTATGATGGAGTTCTGAGCTTTGTAAGTATTCAAATGGTAATAAAAGTTATCATAACAGGCATCGTGGTACAACCCTGTGCATAAGGAAGTTTATTTGCTGTACATGTGACGAAAACATCTGAACTAAAATTAAATGCAAACAGTTACATAAATTGTCGTTATCTTCAAACCCAACACAACCAATGCATTAGAACTCAAAGTGTGCGTGAAAGAAAAAATGAGAAATCTTTTACTACTGTTCGTGTCCGAAATACGTATAATGCGTTACATGCTTTCCGTTCATCTGCTTGTAAACAGGAATATTGCATTTTACTATTAACATTATGTCACAAATAACCCCTACTAACTTTTCTGTGACCAACTTGCACCAGAAACATATGCTTAAACATGGCCATATGCTTCTGCCCATACATATTGGTACGCTTATATGTAGTTCCTCCTCTACTGGTAACTTTTCCTTCAAAAGTGTGACGCAACAATGGAAAAGAGAGCAATACAATATGGGTAGGGTTGAAGAAGAGCAAAGTTTCATTTGTGGGGAGGGGTGGGGGAAAGCAAAATTTGATTTGAAATGCGCGAGAATGAGAAGGACACTTCTCAGAGTTTGTCAGCGACTTCGGGAAAGAAAACTAGTAGAACAGTTTAGCGACGTTCTCACTCGTAAGATAACGTGCAAAATAGAATTCATAGCAGTTGCTTGTTAATATGAGTCATCATATGGCTTTTCTGCGCGGAGGACTGGGTGAAACGTTTTCCGCAGTACTTGCATTCAAATGGCTTTTCACCTGTGTGGATCCTTTCATGAGAAGAAAGGTTCCCGGATTGAGCGAATTGTTTCGAGCAGAACCGGCATTGGAAAGGTTTCTCGCCAGTATGAATCCGCATATGAACCTGAAAATAGGAAAAACATTAATTTACGGCACCGAGTATATTCTGTCATGAACAAATCCGTTGGCAAGTGTGTGAGAGGTTCCTTGATTTTCTAAGTAGTTGAACCAAGCAGAAACAATCGTCCAGTACCAAGCGCGGGAAAATGTGTAAGTTCTAAAATAAACATTTACCTTTAAAGTGCCTGATCTGGAAAAAGTTTTTGAGCAGAGAGTGCACTGGAACCGAACGAGCACCCTTCCAGCCATCTTTGATGTGTTGGCGACAGCTTGATTCTGAGAAAGGTAACCAAGCCTTACCATGCTCGGAAAAGGAGTAGACTTGGGATTCGTCACGGCCCGAGCGGAGGCTTGGAGAGAGTCTGGTTTCTCCCTCTTCACCCGAACTGAGGAAGTGCCCGGATCAGCAGTTGCAATAGGGACGTCAAAGACTACCTTGTCTTTATCCGCTGGATTGTGTTTACTTGTATGATTTGCTTGTTTAAAGGCAATTCTGAGGAAAGTGAAATTGTTATGACAACGCGATGCTTAAACTGACTAATGGCATTAAGTTACATTTATTAAAATTGAATTGGGGTATAAAGGAACTGCTTTAAGAGCGAATGAGAAGAGATAACTCACCGTTCTGTTTTAGATTTAAAGAAGTGTCCATTGTAGCAATAAAAAGGCAAATTTCCCGTGACACTGCCCTCTGTTATGTTGTAAGGTTGTATTATCATCAACTCCGGTGGCAAGTGTCCGTACAAGAATCGTGTGGTGTCACACGGGTAGAAGATTGGACGATTCACTTTGGATTCCAAATATGGACAATCCATGTTAGGGGCTGAACACAAAACGGGACGCCTAGGTTAGTAAAGGGAAGAGGCCTCGGTCCTATATTAACACCAGCATATGAAAATGTATTATTTACACCAAAAAGAAGCATTACGCTCCTTATTCGTGTCGAATAAAATTTTCTTCGTTTTCGGAACCGTGATTTGCAAAACAATTTTGATTTTATGCGATTTCTCTTTATGTTTTTGTTCTAGATCATTTCAACAGATCTCCATGTGATCGGCATTCCACACACGCACACACACACACGTTCAGATTACAAAGTCCCCTTGAGGCTTTTACGCCGCGATAACGATGAAGATGTTGAGTTTTGACCAAGTGATGGTCATACAATTTAGAGGCAGGCCATTCATGTCAGTGACGAAAGGTCATAGATTCGATTCTAGCTTCTCAGCTGGGGGAACACCGAATTTTTATTTTCCGAGTACGTGCTTGTGACTTTAACTAAAATGTTAATTTTCCATTTTTAAAACGGGCAAAAAAAAAAATCTTGGATTATTAAGGCATTTCTTTACATACCTCGTCTCTTTGTTGGTGGTCGAAATCCAACCTTGCAATTCATCTCTACAAATTAAAAGAAGAGCGTTGTTTTTTTCAACTGTGCGAGCTGAATGGAACGTCAGAATTAATATCTTACAAAGCGAACTTCCTTATTCCCTAGAAAACAGCAAGAATGGGAAATACAGGCTGATTTGAAAAGCCAATGAGAGGAAAGCGGCATAGTTTGATGAGGTTTGAAAGTTCTTTTTATTGAATTGCTACTAGCCTGAAAGACTTTTGCCGAAAAAAACAGCTTTAAGACAATCACGTATAACTCTGTATAATGTATTAAGGGGAGTGATGTGTGTTGTTGCTATGGTAATTCTAAAACAACAGAGGGCAGTCAGCTGGTTTGTTATTTGTCTCTCTGGTAACAATGACGTTACTAGTAAATAATTAGGGCCGCCCAGTTGACCTTGGTACCATTTTGATGTTATCTCTCTAAATATTGCTATTATTATCATATTTTATCATCATTATCATCATTATTATTATTATTATTTCCAAAGTTGTTATGATATGAAGTATCATTTTTACTCGTATCATTATCATTAACGGGGTCTAGGGATTTCTTAATCTGTCGTTGTGAAGTGTGCTTGGTTCTTGCTTTATATATTTAGATTCAATCATTGATGATGACCTGACTGTTTTCGCTCACTCGCACAGCACGTCAGTTTCTTAAAATAAAAAAAGGTGCGACTTCTGCACTTCAACACAAACTCAACTGTAAACTACTGACACTCCAGAAGACGAGCGCCATTGACACCCAACGCTACTATCGACTAAGGTGCTCAGTACCACAGCCACCGGCACCCTACAAATTAAAGTTCCTATTCACGAAATTAAAATTACAAACGAACCGAACAGAACGACCTAACTTTAACAACGGATCGAAAAGGACCAATCCCGAGCGACTTACGCATATTGACTCTTACAACCGATAATATTACGGCAAAACTGACTAATCAGTTTGTACGAACCGAAATTAGAACATTCGGTTGACGACAACTATTCACTTGATGATGACTTCTGCTCAGGTTGTTGAAATGTCAGTCACCACTACCAACACCAGTCCTTCTCAGGACTACACTCATCGGACGATCAGATTACACCATCACATGTTAACCTCAGGTACCACGTGATGAAAACCATGCACTGAAAAAATAAATAAATAAAAGAACCTTACTTTACCATAGGTTTTTTTTTTTACCATACATAAATCTTCACACCTTAGCTGTATTTATATCTCAAACACTTGGTGCTTTCTAGATTTTATTATTTTAGCCGATCGCAATGAGACCAGCTATGAAATGTCATGGTAACTAAACCATACCGTATGAATCGCAATTGAATAGTTTCCGCATTGCCATAGCGATAGCATAACAAGACTAAACGTTACGCACTTTTCCATTTCCATGGCTACTGTTAATAAATTCTTTGAGATGGATTTTACCCTTTAGTTGAGTATAAATATTCGTTTAGCTTTAATTCCTCCCGAAAAGGGCTTGCCAAGACTAGTATGTGAGACCATTTTTCACTAGACGCTTTCTGAAGAAATGGACGTGAGAGAATCGACGGAAGAGGTAATCTTTAGTGCCTTAGATCTTATGTTTTGTTGGTAAAAAATCTTGAGTATTTTCCAGCATGTTCCTAAAAGAAAACTAAATCTAAACGACATATTTTTTTTATTTATTTTCTAATTGTGTAAAGGATTCAAATCAATTTGTGGAAGCAATCGTCGAGGACATATCGAACACATGCAGTACACTTTCTGTCAGGAGTTACTTGGTCAATCCTTTAACCACCGCTGCTATTGATTCCTGTCAGAATTTTTGGTCGACAAATTCAACCACTTCGCAGAAGCCTCTAAATACAACACACCGGCATTTCACTAAAAGTGACAGGTAGGACACTGAGATGTGATAATCATTAGAGACCATGATCAAAGCTTGAACACACCGACGAGAACGTAGTGAAACAACAAATCTTATGGGCAACAGAACGCCCCTGCACGTGCATCTTAAGATTTTATACTTTTCCATGCTGATAATATACATAAAAAATTACTCAGTTCTGATCGGGTTAAGATAAAAGCAGTTTTCAGGTAATTCAATGCAGGAGAGGGTTAATTCAGTGTAAAGAAGTAACAAACCAGACATTTTGATTGGTCAATCAAAGAAAATCACTGATAGCCAATCAAATACGAGCTTGGATGTCGCAACATTTGGATACGCTGAATGCACGGTTTGAAAAAATTATTTTTACACTTGATGCGCACGCTTTGCTTCTGCATAGTTATGATAAGCTATCTCGTATTTTTTCATGTATACTATTAATACGTAATCACATGATTTCCTCGTGCAATATGGAATAAATCAGCACTTGAAAATTTTTTCAAAGACCACAAATTGCACTCGCCTTGCGGGCTTGTGCAATTTCGTTGGTCTTTGAAAAAAATTACTTGTGCTTATTTATTCCAAATTGCACTCGAAATCGTGTGATTACCTATACAAACAAAAATATGGGAATAGTGCAATGGTGAGTCCGCTCACATTCCTACCCGCTCTGGTCCAGGTTCTGGACCTGATGTCACGTGTAATTTAAGATGGTTCTCGTTGCTCCTCCGGTGTATGTGTAGTGAAACTGAGACGGAAAAATATTCTCGTTCTACATGAAACTAAATTTTAAACCTGCCTTCACTTGTTATGGCTAGGCAAAGAGCAGCCTCGTTTGGGAAGTTGACGCGTCAAACATTTCGCAGAATTCATAACGTGAATGTCGATTACAGTTTGAACGAGTCATTCCTGAACCCCGCCTTCGTAAATGATCAAATTCCCTTTTGATCTCTGGCATCTTAAAGACAGCATCCTCATTATGTTGTATTAACAGATATGCTCAACATCAATATCACCATGACAGACTTGAAGAGATAAATGACTGTAATGAACCCTCGTCGTGCAGTCGGCGACCGGAACGGGAAAGTGTAATAAGATTTCCAAATAAGGATCCGATGATTTCACACGAGACAGCTATTGTCTGTTCAGTAATGACGCAGCAACATAAAGAAAAAGATATGTACATGCCTAAAGATTTTGAATCAAAGAAGACACAAAAACAACGAATGCAGTGTCCTGTGTGTTTGAAAACATACGCCAGGCCAGGAACGCTAAAGGTAACATTCCTAACCTTTAATTTCCGTGAATGATCAAGAGAGAATTTCTCCGTACAATATCAGTATAATATCAAGCAGAAAGGGGATGAGAAAAAACATCAAATATCAATTTTTAGATTGTTAGGTGATCCAATACCCAATTCTGTAAACTTACATCATAAGAATTGTATGACAGACGGTAAGGAGAATTACTCAGGTCATATTGGGAGTAAAGGGTTAAATTTGTAATAATCATGGATTGCTGAAGTGAGTTCGATCTTAAGAATGGATATTTTAAAATTTTATCAAATAGTTTCAATTTATCTACTTTCTCCTCATGGCGTCCATGATAAAGCTATAATAAAACCTTAGAAGTGTTCAGAAAAAATTTGATTTTATTTCTGTCATCAAGTGTCGAATGTGTTTATTGTTTAGATTCACTTACGGGTTCACAACGGTGAAAAGCCATATAAATGCTCACAATGCTCCAAGGCCTTCACTCAATCCGGGAACCTTGCAGTACACATGCGCATTCACACCGGAGAAAAGCCTTTCGCCTGCAGTGAATGTGGTCGGCGGTTTACTCAAAAGTCAAGTAGAAACAATCATACGAAACTTCATGAGAGGAGTCGTACAATAAAGATGAGTTTGTCTGTGATAGATATGGCTCGGACGAAAACATTTATACATAAAGCAGGGGAGTAAGTCGGTTTTAAATCCTAAGGAGCAAAATGTGTTGATTAATCAGAAGGGGAGAGGTTAAGCTAATGTTGCTTCAGATCACACATAAGGTACTTCTGTACTCTTTAAAAGACGCTTTGTAAAACAGCACAATAAAATACATGGAAAACATTCTCTCCTTTGTATCAGTTACAACAGGATCATCTGATATGTAGGCTCTCGTCGGCTTAGATTAGACGATGTACTGTAAGATTGGACAGAGTCATGATTAATTTTATCACATTTGTAAAAATTTGCACAAATTACACACTTTTTTTTTTGATGTCTTACCTCAGATTCGTAGGACATACAAATATATACGTACACGTTACGGTACTAATTACAGATGTTAAGATCGATTTGATTATAATTTTAAGGGTACAACAATTTGTTTTATAACGATTGCACATATAACTTATAATTTCCATCAATAAACTGTTAGCAAGCCTCGCATTTTTTATTTCCCTTGTCATCGGAAAGGTCAGCGGGAGCGTTATAGTTAAAATGTAGCACTGGTTGGTGTATTATTTAAGAAGATATGAAACTTAGAATGACAACTTTCAGGACAAGATGGTTGATTGATAACCATTGTAGTAATATCCATTGATATTAAAACGATAAAGACCTGGAAGTATGAAAACGGTGTAAAAGATGGTTACTCTGTTTACAACACATACATGTCACAAATTTTATCTTCCACACGTCCTAACTGGCTGTTTTTATACTAGAGGACCCAATATCCTTATAGAAAGATAATGTATCTCTCGCGTTCTGCGTCTAGTGTGAAGACAGGACGATGGACAAGATGAACTAGAAGAGACCAGCACACGGGGAGGGTAAAATTTAAGACGACGCCTCGTTGAAAACTGCAAAACAGACTGGCGGTTCTCCTGTTTAAGAAAAGCTGAAGAGGAGTTATCAAAGCGTGCATGCAAAAAAAGAGGGAGGAAATGGTAAAGAAACGTTTTCTTAGAGAGATGAACTTCGAAAACGAAGCCTCAGAACCCGCTCTTATGTCAACAATCGTTTTCCTCGTCTGCCAGGGGGAAGGCAAAGTACTTGAGGTTTGTTTCTGTTCAGAGCCGATTTCTCTGTCCAAGTTACTCTTACATCTGCCATGTAGTTTTCTTTGGCGTACAGCCGCTGGCCATTTTATAACACGGTCTCATTTTTAACGTACCTCGTCTGTTGCTCGTCTTGAGACACAGCGGCATCACATGTCCTGACGTATTATCTTTCTTGAGGTGTCATTTAATATGCAGTACGAAGGATAATTTGTCTCGATGCGTTATGTGTCTTGTGCCCGTCATAATACAAATGACGCATAACCAGATGTTTGCCTAAGTTCGGTCAGACGGATGATGTGTCTTCGGCATGAATACGTCCATTTGTGTTTTTAGACGCATGACACTTTTTAAGAGTGACTTACTATAAAGGACTGCTCGAATAGAGCGGAAATTAGCGGTCAACCCTTTCTTCTCATCAAATTAAGGACGTAAAATTTATGCTCTTGTTATTCAAGAAAAAAAGGGGTGAAATCGTGCGGCTCTCACTCAAATTTACAGAATAAAAATATGAAGTATTTTCCCACTAACGCAAGAACGTGAAAAAGCAAAGGTACGATAGAAACTTAGAACGAATCGTTGAACAATGGGGAAAATATTTTGAAAGCAGCAAGGAATGTGAAGTCTGAATCGAGAAAACAATTATGAAAAACGCTCTGAGACACAACAAGCTGTGAAAGCGTTCAACAAAATCTCCAATCTTTGATCAACGGATGTGAATATCAAAAATAAATCGTAAGTGTTTTTCAGCCATTTTGGTAAGAATTTATATGGTTTTTCAGTGCAAATAGCAACAAGTCATGGATGCCGCAGTACTGCTGGTTGATTTGCCTTCGTTACTACTTGTTATTTTTTTAGTCGTTTGCGTTATCTTGACGTTATTATCTTTATTTTGATTTTTGTTTTTATTTTTTATTGAGTCCCTTGCGTCTTACCTCACTGTCGGTGTTACTTTGTAGTTTGGGCAAGCTTTTTTTCACGTGCGACGAATGCCGTTTCCTGATTGGCCATGATGTCGGGGCTGAGTAAGATTCCTTATTCACATGTTTGTTCACGTTTTCAGAAAATTGAATCAACCAATGAAAAAGCTTGTCATAAAAATGTTATATCATCTGTTGGAATCACGAGGCAGGGTCACTGCGTCAGCCAATGAGATCTCAGCCTTATTGCAAAATGTGTCTTATTCTGACCTCAGTTCTTCGCTGTTCTGCACGCAATGATTCTCACCGTGTAAATTACCTCTGGGTTGTTTGTTCATTTCAGTATCATTCCCGCTCCTGATTACCACAAGATATGGAGGAATATCAAGGTATTGCAGCGTTTGATATGTATTTCTGTTTAAGGCATAATGCATCCAACTCGTTTTTTAAGTTTAAATCAAACCTTATTTACGGGATCAATATTGAAAAAACGTTATTCGGCTCTCTCTTTTCTTCCACAGTTTGGTAAATTCCTTCGGTCATGCACGAAACAAAATCAGATCGCTGTTGTTGAGTGTGGAAATAAAATAACTGTAAAGAAGGCTTTTTATCTTGAATCAGCTAAGATCGTTAGCTTGTTTGGTAGCGCACCTATGGTTTGTTGGAGTGGACCGTCTTTTATCCAAATTCCAAATTGGCCCTCAGCCAACAATTTGATTTGAAAAAGAATGCCAAGTAGCGAAATAAATGCGAAAGCATTGACATTAATTTGATTAGAAGTTCGATCGTCGCTGAAATCCGGTGTTCGCGCCAATAGTCTAGAAGGCTTTTGCCCTCCAAAAAAGAAAAAACATGAAGCGGACCATTCGCATAGCGTGTTCATTAGTATTTAAAATCAGTGTCACATTTAGATAACCTTACTTCTTTTTTATCGGGAATCCAAAGGTCTGAGGTTCGATTCCTCATGGGGACACAGAATTTTTAGTTTGTCCCACGCTCGTGATTCCTCATGGGGACACAGAATTTTAACTTTGTCCCACGCTCGTGGCAAGACGAAAAACATCTTTCTCTATTTCTTTACCGAGCTCAAAACTTGCCATCTCTCTTATTCTTCTCTTCTATCTTTAGCAGTTAATGATTGCAAAATCCTGTATCTCTACTGCCCAAGCATCTTGCATCTCGACTGTCCCAGCAGACTGTTTCGTAATCGCTAGTTCTTTTACGTTTTAGTGAACTCCATGTGCTACTGAGTATCACCTGGGAATCCGTTAGATTCCTACGGGTTTCACCCTTTCCATTGCACCGTTCATGCGTTCTTTGGCTTTTTACTTTTAACCTGAGCAGTGTTTTGATATCTTGAAATTACTGAGGGCCACCAAAAACGACTAGGGAGGGCGAGGTGGGTCCATGAAGAACCCAAAGTTATGTAATGCAAAGATGGAGATGGTAAATTTCTCGTTTGTTATATTTGATTCATATTTTAGGGAGTGATTCGTCCTACATCAAAACCACGTCACTGGATCAAATTCCATTCCACGCTTTTTATTACGTACCTATGGCACACAGGTGAGTCAAGTCTTATGTTGGGTTTTCACGCGATGAATTCAAAATTTGACAAATATTTTTCAGCTTAAAAATGGCTTGCAGCATGGAAGTAACAGGGAAAGCATATCACATTTTAAAGCGATTTTCCTAGATTTTCCCAAAATAAAGGGATTTAAAACCATATCCAGTTTCATATCTAAATTTTTGCGAATTTCCTTTGGTCGTATTTAATCGGATCCTTCGTCATATTGATAAACGTTACAGAAGATAGCCAAGTTTTAGTAAACTTGGGAACATGGGACTGAAGGAATTTTGAGTCGCATGAAAGTAATTATGAAGCTGCTTTCAAGACATCCATTGAAACTTACCCGGCGAGCCCCATATTAAGTGCACACCAAGCGGAAAATGGATGATGCCAGTGAGAGCTGCGTAGGTGTTTTTTTAAATTTCCTTGAGTAAAATTACCGAAGGAAAATAAAACGTGGTCATGCTAACTTTTTAGTTCAATTTTGTTTTTCAGTCCTTGTAAGTTTGTTCACGTGGCTCATGAAACATCTACCAACTCTGACCTAACTGGCCAGGTCGTCAGTTCCCCCCCGGCGAAAGGAAATCTCGCTCCTAGACCCTCCGTTATCCAATTCGTTGATGAAAACCAAAAGGTGGATACTCGGCCAAAGTGTCCTGTTTGCAACCACAAATTTTCCAGGCTCGGATCCTTACGGGTGAATTGTTTATTTGATTTTAGACTAACTTCAAACTTTGATTTAATTACCATCATCATCATTATTAGTTGTAACATTATCGTTTTCACTCGCCTTTTTAATTTCTCATCTTCGTTTCCGTCTATCCTTTCTTTTTCACTCTCATTTTCATAAGTCGTTGTTCTTTTACCATTTTCCATTTCAATCACAATCTGTTACTGACGACCTTGACCTAATTAATTTTTTTTGTCAGGTTCACATGCGAATTCACTCAGGTGAAAAGCCCTATCGGTGTCAGTTTTGCCCTAAGGCCTTCGCTCAATCAGGAAACCTCTCCGCGCATGTGCGGATTCACACAGGAGACAAACCTTACAAGTGCAGTTACTGTGATAAACGTTTTACCCAGTCGTCCGCTCAAAAAAATCACGTGATGATGCACTTAAGGAGAATGGTAAGCTACCGTCAGGCTGGTGTCAACTACATGCTGAATTGAGATAAAGGCATTTGAATAACTTATGATAAGGTCGTTCACCATTTGCCGAAATTCTCATGTACATTATGGGCGTAGCACTGTGGTAACCTGGGATGCCTGTGCAACAAAGTGAGTTTAATGGGAAAACGGTGTATGGAGGTTCCGTCTGGGATTTTTACGTTTCCTTTTTCCTCAAGTGATGACCGAGCGTTTTCTTTTCGTCCTAGAAAAATGAGATGGAGACACGTAAACAACGGAGGCAAATGCCAAATTATCGGTGGATTCCCTATGTCTCTGAAAACATTTTTTCCAATTTGTAATATTTTGAATATAGAAAGTTCTCATGAAAATGTGTTTCTTATCAGAATGATTGGGGTGACTTCATTTGACTGCTTCTATCAGAATCACCATCTGGTTTGCTTGTTAATTCAGATTGGTAAGTTTATTAGTTTTGAAAAAAAGTAGTCCTGATTTTCAATAAAGCAGAAGCCTGTAGAATTCTGATATTTGTTGCCATTTGAGGTCATTTTGCAGATGTTGTTTTTAAAACTCTGAGATGCATGAATGTGTGAAAATCATAATGCGTTTGAAAATTAGATTCAGGTTGTGGTGTGTCTGTTCAGTAAATGATCACAGATGACGCCAAGATTTGGTAAGAACAGAAAAGTGACGCACAAGGCACACTTTGTTATTTATGACGATAGAGCAAAAATGTTGTCAATGGTGACGTCATCTATTTATCTGTTTACCAATACCTCGTAAGTAAGAACCAATCAGAATTGGCATATCATTCAGTGTAAGATCTAAACTCTTTCTAGTTATTTTTGGTGTAATTCGTATTTATTTATTTGGTTCTTTATATTTTTTCATACCTCCTCCTTAGTGTTTTTTGTTAAGTTTGTTAGCGTTTTTCTTCGTAGGTTACACCTTTTCGGTCGTTTCTCATACCGCACGTTATTTCGCAGTCCTCTTATATTTAAAGCCAGTTTCTTTTCCAAATAATCACTTTTCGAGTCAGTTTACCTCAAGCGTTGATATTCTCTTAGTTTACCTATAGTCGCGCTTGGCGCTGTTCTCTATTTTAGAGGGCAATTTTGCATTTATACTGGGTGCTATCAATGTACGTATTTTTTTTACGTTTCGCTTCGTTTGTATTCATTTGCTGTTTACAGTTTGTGTATCTTAAATAGTAAACTTAATTCTTGATTTTTTATAGTTTGAACCTGCCGCTACATATCAGTATTAAGTAATCATAAAGAGATCAGAATAAGAAATGGAGATATTCTCTACGTAACAGGTGTTATAATAATATATAGACCGACAAAGCAGTCTAAAGTGAGATAATTTTATCTTTTAGATAATTGTAAATAAACGAGTTTAGAAACTTATTATAGCTCGTGGTTGTTCCAAGTTACCAAAAGGCTCATTAACGAGCTCCTATTCTTTTAATACTCATGGGCTTCAATCTCTATGAAAAGGAAGAGTTTTGGGTCAAATTAAAACGCGTAATAAAAAGCATGTATTGCTGTGTATTGTGTGAAAGTGTCAAAGATACAGCACTTCTGTGGGCCGAGAAAGTCCCCTCTGAGCATTGAGACGAGAATTTTTACAATGAGCTAAGAACTCATTTAAGCTTGTGGTTCTTCTAAGTTACCAAAAGCACGTTAAAAAATTGTTTATTGTTTCAATATTCATGGCTCTATATCTCTGTAAAAAGGAGGAGTCCTGCGATAATTCAATGTGCGTTAGAAAGAGCGTGATTAGATGTGCATTGTACAGGAGTGTCGAGGTTCCAGCTCTCTCATTGGCCGAGAAAATCCTCTCTGAATATTGAAACAATAGAACTTTCTTTAATGAGACTTAAAACTTAGTTTGGCTTGTAGCTCCTCCGAGTTGCCAAAAGCTCATTAACGAATTTCTATTGTTTGAATATTCATGGCTCTATATCTCTGTGAAAAGGAGGAGTTCTAAGATAATTTAAGGTGTGTTAGAAAGAATGTATTTGATGTGCATTGTGAAGGAGTGTTGAGGTTGCAGCTCTTTTATTGGTCGAGAAAATCCTCTCTGAATATTGAAACGATAGAACTTTGTTAATGAGTTTGAAAACTTGATTTTGCTAGTAGTTCTTCCAAGTTACCAAAAGCTCATTAACGAGTTTCTATTGTTTCAATATTCATGGCTTTTTATCTCTGTGAAATGGAAAAGTTCTGAGATAATTTAAAGTGTGTTAGAAAGAGCGTGAATAGATGTGCATTGTGCAGGAGTGTCGAGGTTGTAGCTCTTTTATTGGCCGAGAAAATCCTCTCTGAATATTGAAACAATATAATTTTGTTAATGAGTTTGAAAACTTGATTTTGCTAGTAGTTCTTCCAAGTTACCAAAAGCTCATTAACGAATTTCTATTGTTTCAATATTCATGGCTTTTTATCTCTGTGAAATGGAAAAGTTCTGAGATAATTTAAAGTGTGTTAGAAAGAGCGTGAATAGATGTGCATTGTGCAGGAGTGTAGAGGTTGTAGCTCTTTTATTGGCCGAGAAAATCCTCTCTGAATATTGAAACAATAGAATTTTGTTAATGAGTTTGAAAACTTGATTTTGCTAATAGTTCTTCCAAGTTACCAAAAGCTCATTAACAAGTTTCTATTGTTTCAGTATTCATGGCTTTTTATCTCTGTGAAAAGGAGGAGTTCTGGGTTAATTCAAAGTGCGTTAGAAAGGGCGTGATTAGATGTGCATTGTGCAAGAGTGTCGAGGTTGTAGCTCTTTCATTGGCTGAGAAAAAAGCCTCTCTGAATATTGAAACAATAGAACTTTGTTAATAAGTTTTAAACCATGGTTTAGCTCGTAGTTCATCCAAGTTGCCAAAAGCTCATTAACCAATTTCTATTGTTTCAATATTCATTACTCTATATCTCTGTGAAAAGGAGACGTTCTTAGATTTAATTTAGAAAAGTTATTTGTGTGTTAGAAAGAGCTGTTTTATTTGTTAATAAGTTTTAAAACTTGGTTTTGCTGTGTTCATTGTTGCAGGAATGTCGAGGTTCAATATTCATGGCTTTATATCTCCGTGGAAAGTAGAAGTTCTGGGAAAATTCTCGTTCATTGGATGTGCATCTTGAAAAGGTTGCCTTCATTGAATATTGAAACAATAGAGTTTTGTTAATGAGTTAGAGAACTTGGTTTTGCTCGTAGTTCTTCCAAGTTACCAAAAGTTCATTAACGAATTTCTATTGTTTCAATATTCATGGCTTTTTATCTCTGTGGAAAGGAAAAGTTCTGAGATAATTTAAAGTACGCTAGAAAGAGCGTGATTAGATGTGCATTGTGCAGGAGTGTCGAGGTTGCAGCTCTTTTATTGGCCGAGAAAATCCTCTCTGAATATTGAAACAATAGAATTTTGTTAATGAGTTTGAAACCTTGGTTTTGCTCGTAGTTCATCCAAGTTGCCAAAAGCTCATTAACGAGTTTCTATTGTTTCAATATTCATGGCTCTATATCTCTGTGAAAAGGAGAAGTTCTGAGATAATTTAAGGTGTGTTAGAAAGAGCGTTATTTGATGTGCATTGTGCAGGGGTGTCGAGGTTGCAGCTGTTTTATTGGTCGAGAAAAACCTTTCTGAATATTGAAACAGTAGAGTTTTGTTAATAAGTTTTAAAACTTGGTTTTGCTCGTAGTTCTTTCAAGTTACCAAAAGCACATTAACGAATTTCTATTGTTTCAATATTCATGGCTTTATATCTCCGTGGAAAGTAGAAGTTCTGGGAAAATTTATAAGGCGTTAAAAAGAGTGTGATGAGATGTGCATCTTGCAGGAGTGTCGAGGTTGCAGCTCTCTCATTGGCCGAGAAAATCCTCACTGAATATTGAAACAATAGAGTTTTGTTAATGAGTTAGAGAACTTGGTTTTGCTCGTAGTTCTTCCAAGTTACCAAAAGCTCATTAACGAATTTCTATTGTTTCAATATTCATGGCTTTATATCTCTGTGAAAAGGAGAAGTTCTGGGATAATGTAGAAAGAACGTGATTAGATATGCATTGTGCAGGAGTGTTGAGGTTGCAGCTCTTTTATTGGCCGAGAAAATCCTCTCTGAAAATTGAAACAATAGAACTTTTTTAATGAGTTTAAAACCCACAAAATTTGTAGCTCCTTTAACTTGCCAAAAGTTCATTAATGAATTTCTATTGTTTCAATATTCATGGCTCCATATCTCTGTGAAAAGGAGAAGTTCTGAGATAATGTAATACGCTTTAGAAAGAGCGTGATTAGACGTGCATTGTGCAGTAGTGTCGAGGTTGCAGCTCTTTTATTGGCCGAGAAAATCCTCTCTGAATATTGTAACAATAGAATTTTGTTAATGAGTTTGAAAACTTGGTTTTGCTCGTTGTTCTTCCTAGTTACCAAAAGCTCATTAACGAATTCATATTGTTTCAATATTCATGGCATTATATCTCTGTGAAAAGGAGGAGTTTTGTGATAATTTATAGGGCGTTAGAAAGAGCGTGATTAGATGTGCATCTTGCAAGAGTGTCGAGGTTGCAGCTCTTTCGTTGGCCGAGAAATTCCTCTCTGAATATTGAAACAATAGAATTTTGTTAATGAGTTTGAAAACTTGATTTTGCTCGTGGTTGTTCCAAGTTACTAAAAGCTCATTAACGAATTTCTATTGTTTCAATATTCATGGCTCTTTATCTCTGTGAAAAGGAGGAGTCCTGGGACAAATTGTAGGGCGTTGAAAAGAACGTGTTGAGCTTTATATCGTGCGGAAGTGTTAAGGTTGTAGCTCTTTTATTGACCAAGAAAATCCCCTCTGAATATTGAAACAATAGAATTTTGTTAATGAGTTTGAAAACTTGGTTTAGCTCGTGGTTGTTCCATGTTACCAAAAGTTCATTAGCGAATTTGTTTTGTTTCAATATTCATGGCTATATATCTCTGTGAAAAGGAGGAGTTTTGGGATAATTTATAATGCGTTGAAAAGAGCGTGTTAAGCGGCGTATTGTGCAGAAGTGTCAAGGTTGCAGCTCTTTGATGGGCCGAGAAAATCCTCTCTTAATATTGAAACAATAGAATTTTGTTAAAGAGTTTGAAAACTTGGTTTAGATCGTGGTTCTTCCAAGTTAACAAAAGCTTATTAGCGAATTTCTATTGTTTCAGTATTTACGCGTTTATAACTATGTGAAAAGGAGGAGTCTTGGGTCAAACAATCGCGTGTAATAAGGTACGTGATTAGCAGTGTATTGGGTGTAAGTGTGAAAGTTACAGCCTTTTTCTGGACTTAGAAAATTCCCTCTGAAAATCAAAACAATTGAATTTTGTTAATAGGTTTGAAAACTCGATTCAGCTCGTGGCTGTTACAAGTTACCCAAACCTCGTTTACGAATTTCTATTGTTTCAATAACCATGGTCTATATCTTTGTGGAAAGGAAAAGTTTTGGGATAATTTCTGTGGAAGTGTCAAGTTGCAGCTCTTTTATCGGCCGAGAAAATCCTCTTTGAATATCGAAACAAAAGAATTTTGCTAATGAGTTAGGATCGTGGTTTTTCCAAGTTATTAAAAGATCACTGATGACTTTCTATTGTTTCGTTTCTCATAGGTTTACATCTTTGTGAAAAGGATGAATTCTTGGTCAATCTATATTGCGTTAGGAAGAGCTTAATTAGGTTTGTGTCGTGCAAACATTAGCTGGTGACGTCGTTCACTTGCTCATTAACCATTTGTTATGATTTAGGAGACTATTAATGTGTTACGCAGAGCGTGATGACGTAACTTGTGCTTAAGTTTTCAAATATTGAGTTTATTACAAATAACAACAAATCTACAAAAATATAATTATCATCAATCATCATGCGCGTTAAATAAATAAATAAAACATTAGTATGAAAAAATCTATTTTGCAATCGAGGATAGGGGACTTAAAATTTGTACGCTCTATTTGTTTCTCTACGAAAAAAAGCCCGTAGTCCTTTTACACGCGACTCTGATTATCACTTCAATTATAAAAATACCGCAGTAAACAATTGTTTTTCTCTACAGTGAGGTGCTTAACCCTTTACCTCCCAAATCAAATTTGTAATTCTCCTTACTGTCAACCATACAATTCTTATAATGTTAGTTCAGAGAATTTAGTATGGGATCAACTAATTAACCCCAAATTGATGTTTTTCGTTATTCTCATCACTTATCTGATTGATATTGTATTGATGTTGTGAGGAAAAATTCCGTCTTGGCCACCCATGGGAGTCAAAAGGTTAACTATAAATATAGAACACTGACGTGTTTCATTGCAATAAATACTGTTTGATGCAATTTCTATTAAGCTGACTTACATCGACTTTTGTTTCAAGATCACTAACAGTTTCTTGATCAACATAAAAGACTGCTAAAAAAACTACAAGCGCTGACTGTTCAAAGCGTTTAGTTCCTTAGTTTTCTTCCTGATCTCGTCCTCCAGGTAATCGACTTTCTTCAAAAGGTTGTTCTTATGTAGTTCAGCATTTGTCAGCTGTTGAATGACAGCTGCCAATCTGTCCTCAGGTACGTTGTTATCCCCCTCCATTTGATTGACAGTGTTGTTTAGTTCCGATTCCGTTTTCATAACCTGAGCCAGTTCAGCATTCAGATTGTCTACTTTTCCTTCAAGATTGTTTACTTGCCGTTGAAGAAGTTCTTTTGGAGATTTTAGTCCGGTTTTGACACCAAGAGGTCGGGACTTTGGTCTTGAAGTAAAAAAAAGGAAGAGGTTGTTAAAACAGTAATCATGATTGTCACAACATGCTTTACTGGTTTTCGTTTTTCACTGAGTCTTTAACACGACATTCCTCACGAATTGAAGCATTAGACGCCACTCTTTAATTTTTTGTTTTGTTTTTGTTGACGGTTTTTGTAAAACGATACATGGAAACGAAAAACCTACATTTTTTGCATTCTCCTCAAAGTACACAAAGCCCCGAAATACTGTATAAACTCACCTTTGCTCGTCTCCAGTCTTCTCTCCTCTAAGTTCTTTCAGCCTCGTCATGGCGAATTCTTCTTTCTTTGACGATGGCGCATGCCCAGATGAGAGGTACTCCTTCAGTTTGGCGCGGGTCAAGAAAGCGTTTTTACGCGCCAGACGTTCTGTTATACCCTGAGGGAAAATTCAAAGCAAGTCGTTATTGACGAAATAGAACATTAATAAAAAGACTTGTCAGACTAAGCTGGCAATAACCTTAAAGAAACAGTAATCGTCTTTTCACAGCCTACCTGCACAGAGAAGTCTGCATCGACTAGGCTCGACACTTTAATGTCCACCAGTTCTCCCACCACATTCACTCTCTCGGTCATTGATCTCGCAGGCTTAAATGCCGTTTCCAGGGGATTGGGGCTAGACACAGTTCCCGCCAGGCCCTGCGCGGTCGGGGAATTGCGAGACCGTGCAAAGAACAGATCTTGACAACAAACACGGAAGGCCTGAGAATTGAAAGAAAATGATAACTAAACTTGTTACAAGAATGACACTACTGAGAAAGCAGGGAAAGAGTCGATATGAATTGAAGACAAACGTTCATTTGCGAGGAACAATCTATGCCACAATCCGCATGTTTATGAGTAGTGAAATTACAGCTTATAACTGACAAGTGGTTAACTGTGGTTTGTTTGGAAGATCATCTCTACTTGTTGCTTTCACAAGAACCTTAGCACCTTGCAGAACTCCAGGAGGAATTCTTATACCTTTTTTTAGTGTCAACATGGTAATTGGAGGTGACTGGATAAATAAATACCATATATTTATCATATGTTTTCTTAACAAGTTTCATACAAGGTCTGATAGCGTTCCAATCATCTTGAACTCAATCATGGAAGTGTTATATTCAGTCACAGTGTGTGAGTACAAAAACAAAAGATTGTGCATGTTCGACTTTTTTGGCTGGGTTAATACCCAGTCACACTTACGAACTGCACTGTCAGAAGAACGAAGAAGTACCTTATAGAATTCCCTGAGGAAGAGTGGGTTCTGATCATCAACAAGATCTTCAATCTTGATGTGCGCCAAACAGTGCATGATCACAACCAGGAAATCACCGACCGACTCCATCCGCTCCTGTCGCACGAACAACACCCGCCGCGCATGCTCATAGAAGAAGGAGTTTCTGAAGGCATTCCGTTCGTAGTTATTTTGGGGCAAATTGGATGCGAGCAGTAAAGTAACTTCAGGCGCTTCCATGGCTTTGCGTAACATCTGTGTTATGAAGACTCCAAAGCGATACACCACAAAGTTGGCAGGACTGAGGTCATTAATATCCACTGGGACCAAATCGCCCCGACAAAGCCACTGCGCGTCTTTAATGTCGATATATGGTCGGCCGCCTTTAGCTCCGGCCACTCCTCCCTCACCGATGTTATTTTTCAGCATATTTTCAATTTCGTTGACGCTGTCGAATATTGGTGAACCAATCAGCATCGAAACCCAGTCTTGCTCTGAAACTCCCGCGGGCAGTCCAGCGGTTATAACAGGCTGACCATCTGCTGATGACGTCAGCAAACTTTCCGTGGCGGTAAGGTCTTCTGCAATTAGGAAAGACAAAGGAACGAGATCGAATAAATAAAATAATTCAGACTGGTTTGAGCTAAGTCCCTCCAAAATACTTTTATTAAAGTTGTGCGTATGTAATTGGTGTGTGGTAGCTGACGTTTCATTATGTCGAAGTCAATCTCGATCAGTCACCTCGTCTTGATGAAGAGTCTCAGCCGCACGGGTCACGAAAAAACAGCACTTAAAAACCGCACTACAGAATTGTAGGTTACCTGTGCCTCTCACTGACACCGATTCATTTTGACATCTGACAATGTCACATTACTAAATATTACCTGTGCTTCTCTGTCGTGTCTCTGAGGGTGCCGAGGGTGTAGTTGGGGTGCTTGCCTTCAGCCGCTCCGCCTCTTGTTTCTGTAACGCGGTCATTTCTTCTCTCTCTTTCTGTTCAGCAGCTTCTGTTTCAATCTTGGCAGAGGCTTTAATCTTCTGCATCTCTGCATCTTTCTTCTTCTTACGCCTGGCCTCAAGTTTCTCACGCAACGCAGCTTTTGTTCTCTCTTGTTCTTTTCTAAGGTTTTCTTCAAATTTAGCCATGTTGGCCTCGTGTTCTTTCATTAGTTTCTGAATAACAAATTGCAGTGAATTCAATCGCCAGAAAAGTGTAAAAAAAAAAAACGCAGAAAAGGTGGTTGATAGGAAGGTGTTACCTAAGAATGTTGTTGAGGGAAGGGGGGGCAGGTAGATAGATAGTTAGAAAGAGGAGGGAGAAGGGGGGGATAGTTAAGGAAGGTCTCTTTCCTCTTACCTCTTTCTGTTCCTCGGTCATTCCTCGTTGAGCCATGGCCAGTTGTTTTTTAGCTTCATTCTCCTGTGCTGCCTTTGCTCTCTTAGCGGTACGCTCGGCCTCCCGCTCTGCTAGCCTCAGTTCCTCTCGTTCTCGCTCTTTCTCCAACTCAGTTTCAAGACGCCTGAAGGATTATTACAAAGACAACATCACTTTTATATTTCTTAGTCATTCCACAAGTTCTGTAATTGGAATTATCCTTGCACACTGAAACAAATTCATACATTCATTTGACGACTCAAATATTACAAATAAATTACTTTATTTCTTCGTCCATCTTTCTCTTCTGTTCTTCACTCTGTTGTTGTCTTTCTGCCTTTATCTTGTTGATTTTCTCAGCCATTTCAAACATAGTTTGTTCTCGGTATTCTTTGGCTGCCTGTGAGGCGCGTTCAGCTTCTTCATTGTAGTTGTTGATGAGTTCCTAAAAAAACAGTCATCTTTCAGTTTACTTGTTACAAAATACTTCTATTACGTCCTCACAGAAAATTGTTGTTTAACATAACATCTGAATTCCTGGATGACAGTATAGCCCCCATAATGTTCATTAAGAACCACCTGGTGATTCAAGATAAGACGCAACTGTAAAACAAGTCACAGGACACCTACTCTGACATGTTTTTATTAGTTTGATAAGTTACAAGAAACGATGACGCACCTCTTCGGTGGATAGCTCACTCATTGTGCCCGCGAGCTCTTGCAATTGTCTCTCTCTAAGTTCCAGTCTAGCATGCGCATGTTTCACCTCAAGAGAAGGCAACGTGTCCAGTTCGGCCTGTGCGACTTTCTCTTGCGTCTCTTTGTCAAACTGTGCCAATTGTTTCTGCAGAAAGAGTAGAAATAAGAAATTGAAATACAAATATTAAAAATAATGCTTGATTAACTAATCGATGACGATATTTCGCCCAATGTGCAAATCTCGAGAACTTAGAAAGGTCCGTAAATGACTGTCTGTTCCACTAATTAAATGAAAATAAATACTTTATTCCTGAAAATATTTTAGCTAAGTTATTTTAATTCACACATTTCATAGATGAAACGTTTTGGAATAAACATATGTATCGACTAATATAGTACTTAAGATTCTCAGCAAAATCAAACCGCACTTTTACCTTTTGTTTTAATTTCAACTCAGCTTTCAACTGGGAAATTTCAGCTGTACTCATTGAGTTCGACTTGTCAATCAACTCCATGAATTCCTGAAAGTAGAACCATAAAATAAAGTATTCAAGAAAATGTTATAACAAAATAAACAAACTCTTTTATCGAATTAAACAGGATTCTTTCGAGAGGTTACCGAGCCTAAAGAGGTTCAAACGAGAAGGTTTTCTGTGCCAAATAAGTACCACCACTATTTTGAACCATGTTACCTTCTCTTGCTCTGCTATCAGTTCTTCTCTCTCTGCCTGGCGAGTTTCGGCCATGCGAGCCCGCGCTTCTGCCTTGGCAGCGTCGATCTCTCTATTAAATTGATCTTCAAGTTGCACTCTTTCTTGTATGTGCCTCTGTTGCAATACTTGGAATATCGTGTTTCCAGCCCTTTCACTGTCCAGGTTTTGAACCGTATTCACCAGTGCTGTCTTCTGGGCCTCGCGAATCTAGAGAAAGTAGACGATTATGCAGTCATACATGAGTAAGAGCAATGGGTGTGACCCGTTGTTTGGTCTGTTTGCGCGCAGTCTCCAGTAACATAATTACTTGGTTTGTCCTTAATTTTTGAACAACAAGTCCGATTCGTGTAACTGCTAAAGAAAAGTCTGCCAGCTCGCAACATGTTTATCAAACTGACGGATATAGTGCTGCGCGGTTTTCTCCAAGTTGTGACCATAACAATAAAATATTTGTATTTTCCTCATTGTTTACCTTGTCGTCTTGAACTTTTTGCCTTTCACTTTGCTGGTTCATCAGTGTCTTGACCATCTCAGCTTGGTGCTTTTGTTCCAGAGCAGCAGCTTTGCGTCTCTTCCGCTCGGCAATCTTGTCACCGAGTGAGTTCATCTGTCGCTGTTTCTCCACGTCCATGCTGCGTGACAACATCTCCAGCTCTCGCTTGTGTTGCTCCAGTAACATATCAGCCTGATCCTTAGACAGTTCGTTACGCTTTTGTGACATCTCTTTCTCAAAAGTCTCCTTCTTAGCTTCAATAAGCTGTAAAAAAGAGATTAGCATAGAATATATTTAAACAATTAAGCTACTCTTTCCACCACACAAGCAAAGCTCAAGATAAATATAAAGAATAATGTTCAATTAAAATTACAAAAATGTCGTCAACTGATTTCCTCTCACCCTTCGACTCCAAGAAAAGAAAAGGGTGGATGGATTGATTAAGATATTGTCTACCTTCTGCTTCTGTTCTTCAATCTGATCTGCGACTTGTTTCCCAGCATCCTGTTGAGCAGCTCGCAGGTCTTTCTCCAGGTTGATCAACTCCTCAGCCTGCTTTATTTCCAGCGCAGTTTGTTCTTCAATCTGTTTCTCAGAAAGATTCTCAAGCTCATGACTCAGGTCGTCAGCTATTTGAGCCTCTGCTTCTTCCAGCACTTGTACAGCGGCATCGTCCCCGAGCAATTCAGCCTAAAGAGAAAGAAGTTCAGTCAAATAAAACTCCCCCTGAATATTTTAATTAAAAAAAATCAGCAAGTGGGATAAGGGAGCACGTTTTACAAAAGCTGTATTTTCGCCTTGCGTTTTCCGTGGCTAGCTATTTTATTTAAAGTTACTTTGCCAATTCTTGAACTTCCAAGCACTGACATTTTTGAATGGATTCATATTAAAAGCAACGACGCATGTCCGTCTGGTATACGCTTGCTGTTTCACTGTAATAACAGGGGAGAGACTGCTTCTTCTTAATTGTAAAACTCCAGAAAACGAAGTTCGAAAAAATATATTAAAGAAACGTCTGAAACATCACTCTGATTACCTGTTTCTTGCTCATTTCTTTCAGCTCTTTCTTCATAGCAGCTTCCTTGTTTATTTCTTCCTTCTGTCGTCTCCTTGCAGCAAGTTTAGCGGCCAAAACAGCCCGACTGTGCCTCTGTGCATCGTTGTATCGCTCTTTCATTTCTTCAGCCTCTGCCATGTACCTCTCTACTATTTGTTGTTGTTGTTCTTCAGACATTTTAGTTCCCTTCAATAGGTTTAGCACAACCTTAAGATTAAAACGATAAACCGACAAATCAGATGAGTAAGTGACATATTCAACGTTATATTTAACTGCATTAAAAGCAAAGTGAGCCAGTTCACGTAAAATGGGCGACAGCTGGAAGGAATGGACGGGAAAAAAGGGGACAGACACAAGTGAGAGCGCAAATCGGTACGTAATCGAGGCATTCAAAAAGTTCAAACCTGTTTTCTTTTCTTTTCTTCTTGTTCAGCTTCCACCTCAGCCACCACAGCAATCAGGGCGCCTTGTTCTCTCAGTACGTCAGCGTTCTCTCGTTTCTGCAAGGCGTCTAGGATCTCTGCTTCCTCAGGGGACCCGGGTGCAACATGTTTTAGCTCTTCTTTAAGTTCCTCCTCAGTCTTCTTAGAGCGTTTGCGATCCTTTCTTTCTTTCATCTTTTCTTTCATGTTGACTCTCCTGGAAGCAGCTCGCGAGTGAAGCTGGTGTAAAAAAAAATTAAAGACGTTAGTTTTCTTCTCAGTTACAATTCAAGTAGAGGCGTAATTTACAAGGTGGTTGAAAAACTGCTTAACCTAGCAGTGCTCACAGTATACATCATGTTCGATTACCCAGTCTGTGGCAGAGTTCACCGCGAGTCTGAATCGTGAAGCTTCCGTCAGGTATATGGAGGAGGGGAAGAGGGTGTGTCGATCCCGATGGGGTTTCGCCTTCCCTTGATTTGTCTATAATCTCGTAACAAACGAATAATCATATATATGGTTTCCTAGACTTGGAACTCCAATTTCTTACCTCTCGCACTTCTTCAAAAGCTTCCTTGATCTCTTCTGGAGCAAGTGATAAATTCATGGATTTCACTCGTGCCTCCATCTCTTTATCAAATTCTGCTCGTCTGCCAGACTCCATCTCTTCTCGTTCACGTTCACTTTCTTGTTCGTAGGCAAGCGCCAGTTCAGCCAGTAGCTTCTCTTGCTGTTGGGCCAATAAGATCAGATCTCTCTCCAGTTCATCCTCATCCGGGAGATCAAGATCTATGACGTCACTGACTCCTGCAATGCGAGCTTCTTCCTTATGACGACTACGAGACACAAAAAGGGAAGATTTCACGAATTTCAAGGGAAGTTGATTTATTTACTGGACAAGAACATTATGGAGGCGATATTGAAGGTAACTGTTCTGAACCGCTGAGGACTAGCTATGGATGGTGTTGAAATGTTTAAGTACATCGGACGCTTTGTGCTCCACACACAAATGAGCAAACAATGGAAGCAAAAATAAACCATAATCACGATAACAGATTTATTAACAACAGACCCACAAAGTACTAGCCGACCTTAACCATTGCATGACAATGACAATGAACATGATAATCTAGTCGCTAAAGCTATGATTAAGTTGTCATTGATGGAACACCAATAAATGAAAAAAAAATGATTGTAATACATACTTGTAAAGCTCTTTCTTGCGTCGTACTCGCTCTTCTTTCAAGAGTTTTCTAACGTCCCTCAGTTTTCTTTGTTTTTGTTGCTCGATATCTTCCTGTACTTTACTCATTTTTTCTGAGTATTCCTGGACGAGAGCTTCTTTTTCTTCTTCGCTCTGAGCTCGACGTAGTTTTTCCCTCAACTCTCCCTGAAATTGGTCAAAAACAATCACGTTCAAGTCCTGAACAGGTCATTTCATAAAATACCAGTCTTAAGTTTGGCGTTTTTTTAATGCGTATTGAGCCAGCGCGAGGCGAGCACGCAGTTTTCCGCGTCCTCCTCAGTCGTGTGACCGCTCTTCGCGCTCTCCGCTCACATGACTGACTCGCCTACTCTGCAGAGTATGTAAGATTCTAGTTTAAACCAACCGCTCTCTATGTATAAAATAATAAATATGTTAGTTATCATTGTTACTTTTTAGTAACACCTGCTACTAAAAATATCTATTCAGCGATATAGTACTACAACGACCTTTTACCTGTAACTCAGTCACTGCCTTGCCTTTCTTCTCTTCATATGAAGATATAACCTCAGAGATGATTTTGATTTCGTTCGAGCGGAGTTCATTCTCTAACTGTGCGCATTCCAAAGTGTGTTTTTCCATCAAATTCTTACTGATTTCCTTTCTCTTTGCTTCTGTCAAGCCACCTGATGCGGCGATCTCCGCGATATTCACTGCCTCGCTGCTGTATATTTGTCCCATTTGATCAACTTCTACTGTTGACAGAATTTCAGCTGTGGAGAAGACAGCGCTCGACTGACGCTGGAGGCCTGGGGTTGAAGTCATAGCAGCAGCTTTTTGAGTTTGTTCGGAAGCGACACCGTGCTGGCTTATAAACACAGCTGGGGCTGAGGGAAAAGAAAGAAACATACAACAAAAATGAATACATGTTCAATAATGGCTTAAATGACGAATCAAAACAAAATTTTTTTAGAAGTCAAAAGTACAGATCATAGGTAACTAACACCGCTGACAAACAAGACTGGGAAATACAACTTGGATAATACATATGGATTGTAAAATTCTTTTGTTCGGCAACTGGTAAGAGTAGTAATTTGCAAACATACCAACGCTAGTGCCTCGTTCTTTAACGGCACTTGGACTGACGACGTCAAATTTAGCGCCGCCACCGAGGACAGAATACCCGCCTCCGACAACTTGACCAGCGGAGTTCATCAACACTGGCATGCCCTCCTGTAAAAGGCGAATGAGGCGCTGGAGAAGAGGCAACAGCTCCCGATTAGCTTCGGGTAACGGAAGATCATCTCCGTATATCCCCAGCAGTGAGACCTCGTATTCACCTGCGATGATTGCTCCTCCCGTCAGCACAAGCTGAGGTGTGAAATAAGTACAAGTTGAAAATCGCCAAGTTAAAATGAGATAATTGTCGATTGATATAGTTTTAGGAAAAAAAAACCAACAAAATCAAACAGCACGAGTTACCTTGGCCTCCAAAGCAGAAATCTCGGCCTTGTTCCTGACGTATTCTAGTCCCGAGTGCTGCTCGTCCAGTTGTTCTGTGCGGCTCTGGAGCTGATCTTGTAGTTCGCCTCGTAACCTGGCCTTTGCTTGCTGGAAGCGGTCAGTGACAGCAGCCTCGGCCTCAGGATTTAGTGCACCCTGAAAAAGGAAAAACGTTAAAGACATAGAAATTAAATCCGATGAAGAATTGAGGAGAGAGGAGAAAAGAGAGGAATAACATGACATGAGATGAGATGAACCAGAGTAAAATACATAGATTTATTAGTCTGAGGTGAGATGTCAGTTTTGAATTCCCTTAAAGCAGTTCTGATTTCATTTATGAAATTTAAGATTTTCCGTACCTGAAGTTCTTCCATTCTGTTGTTGTATTTTGTCTCTTCGGTTCGCAGTTTATCAAAAAAGCGGGTGATTGAATCAGCAAAGCGAATGTGAGCATTATTGTGTCCTTCTTCCTTGTCTCTCTCCAAAGCGTCAAACATTGTCAGCACAGCCACCACATCTGGTGGCAATACAGCGGCATGATCCACTGAAGCTTCGCTTCGTCGCTGCACTTCACGATGCGCCGCATCAGCTAAGGACACGGTTTCTAAGGGAACAAAATAAACAATCTTAGCTTCTTGATGACAACTGATTTCGAGCGATTGTCTCAACACGATAATCATTAAAAACAATTCCACGATCTATTTTAATCAGGTTTTGATAATTGTGAGGAGTTTCGAGCTTTCATTGCATCATCTTCCTTTCTTACCTTCCTTAATGTTCTCCAGTTGTTCCTGGACATGATAAGCTGTCACGTGTTCATCTTCCATCAGCTGGCGGTACAGATTAGACTCCACTTCCGTGAGCTCAGCTTCACGGTGCCGCTGACGACGCCAGAAACTGCGCCGGCCAGCGAGCTCCTCTTCAAGAAGAGCCACCTGCAAAAAAGGCATCAGAGGTTAGACGTGCTTTGATGTGCTGTGATGCGCCCTGATGTGCGCTTGTAAAACACCATATACAAACAGTGAAGACTTACAGAGCCAGGGGGCGGGCGCCGTTTTCTTTGAGTACTAGAGGAAAGTGTGACAGGTTCTGTTACACCAAACTCTTGGTTCATTTTCACGCCACATATGGTGGACAGTGCACCAGTCACTGGATCCACAGCCTTCTCTCCGATCATGATAGGAACCAATCCCTCTCCACCAGGGTCCTCCAGTGAGCCTCCTAAGGGAATTATGGTGTCCGTCTCGTGGTTTTTGTCGATTCCAAGGATTGGAACCTCGAGCTCCATTCCTGATGGGTCCCTCATGGTGGTACCTATGAGTATAGGAAGCAGCTGACCAGTGGCCGAGAATTCGTACATTCCTGGGCTGCCACCACTCTCTGCCAATAGAGAGCAGCGCTCCTCGCGGCGCATGATGTCATGAACACTTCTCAAACAATACGACATGAGCTTGGAGCGTCCCCGCTGAAGATCCTTTTGAGCATTCTCCAGCACACTTAGCTCATGACGGCCATCAGACTCATCTGGACCAGTTACGGCATCTTTCAAATCCTGCAGAGCCTCTAGGACGCGGAATTCATAATAGAGCTCACCAACGTCTAACACATATTGGTAACCTCCACCTATTGGTTCCAGTTCCTTCTCTTCTCCATCATCCACAAGCCTGGCACCAGTCACTTTCAGCGGCCTTCCTGACAGAGGCTCTGTGAACGAGTCACTGAGCAGCAATGGGATTTCATCGCCTCTGTCTAACTCCCCTGAAGTACCACCCAGGGGAATAACATTGCCTGTCCTTGGGTCAATGGTGACTGCCACGATGGGGGCTGGGCGACCAGAGTTAGGATCCAGCATCATCGAACCAATTTCTATGGCAACTGGAAGACCTGTCACTGGGTCGTCATGACAACCACCGACTGGATAAGCATTACCTAAAAGTTCATCAAAATAAAGGTTAAGTTCACTTTGTACACGAAGAAAAATTAAAGAAAAATAGAATTTCAACAGCTTCCTTCCAGCAATTTAATTTAAAATTTGTACGGAAAAACGCTTATTTACCGTCAAATTTGTGTTTTATTGGCTTCAACTTCATGGCTGCTTTAAAACAATAGGAACCTACTGGATTGCATGGAACTGACATTTTTTAAGTTTGTGTGATCGGTTTCCAGAGTCAAGAATACGAAACGAAGTACGGTGCCACAGCCCATTACAAAGTGCACATTCGGATCAAACATATCTTGTCACCGTAAAAGTATTATGGTTCTGAGGCTAACCTGTCTCTGGATGAATAGTCATTCCTAAAATCGGAACAGGAAGACCAGTCCTTCCACAAATCATTCTCCCATTCAGCCTCATGTCTCCTTTCTTCTCGACTGGGATCAGAGTCAACTTCACAGGGACTCCTGTCTCGGGATTGTTTGGGTATGGTACAAACGGAATAAGAGCCTCTGCTGATGTGGCTGCGTCTGCATTATTGCTGTCTGCGGTGAATGAGAGGCGAGATGCAAGCGGGTCATACGCAACATTTCCCTCGATGGGCATAACACGCCCGCTCTTTGGATGGACGAAAAAGTACTGCGGGACTGGAATATTTGTTAAGTTGTCAGCCAATAGCATATTAGCTGTCGTTGGGTTGGGAATCATTAGTCCCGTATGTGGGTCATGTGATATCATATCAGTGGCTTGAATGCTTCCATCGGCGTTAAATAAGTAACTCATGCTCAGAATCTCTCCTTCAATGGTGCACAGCCTCGCACCGGTGTCCTGTCCGAGTAATGCCCAGGTTCCTCGTCGCTGGCATTCACTGGTTATTTCTACGTTCAACCGCTGAATGATTGCATCAACGCGGCTCCCAATCCTTCAAGAAAACAGTCACACGGAGCATGAGAATGAGGTTACGGAAAGTCCAGCAGAATAACGACCCAACTGTTTTTTCAGGAATAAAACTAAATGCCTGACTATTTGTACTTCCAATGATCATTTTCTTAAAGTTACCTGTGTTCCAACTGGTCGTTGAAGTCTCCAGCCATATCACCCTTGCCTTGCTTTTCACTGTAACCTTTCAGGATACGCATCGCTTCACGCAAAGATGAATCAAACGCCACTAAGTGCGCCTCTCTTGCTTCATCGTCTTCTTTCAGAATTGTTTTCTGCCGCTGCAAGATCTGCTGAAAATTGAAACCAAGCTCCTTCCTCCTCTCAAGTTCAGCTTCAAGCTAGGAAACAAAATAGAGATCTTGTTGTTGTAGTAAATCATTTTTCGGTTGAATCTAGTTTAAACCATGATAATATAATCCTACGTCCGCTTTCGCGTTAAAATCCATTTGCGACTGAAAATGAAAGAAAATCGCTTAAACAAATTGTTTTAAAGCTGCGCTTAACTTCCACAAACTACTGCACTGATCGGCCACTGAACATTAACTATGAAATGGTCCCGCGTGGGTCCCGCGTGGGATCAAATTTTACCTCTCCTTTCTTAGCCTCAAACATTCTCAAGTCTTCAGGTGTTGCCATGGCAGCTCGACCTTTAAGGTTGAGTTTGGCGATCCATAATCCTTTTAGAGACTCTGTCTGTTGGTTGATCTTCTGGTAAAGTTGTTTTGCCTGAAAATATTAAAAACATAAACATAAGCCTGGTCATAAAATAATGCAAAAAAATTTTAAACCTGTTATTGTGTCATCTTAAATGAATTCTAACGATAATTCAGGTAAAATGATTTCCGTCGCTCGGTATCATACGGAAATGTTTTGTTCTAAGATTTACTAGCTCGAGGCTTACATCATTTTTTAATGGAAACTAAGTTTAACTGTATGTAAGTTTCATTATTGGGAAACTCAGACAATCTTGAACATCAAGTATTCATGAAATTTTTCTGTGTTCCGAGGATCAAGTCATTGGGGCGCCAGAAAGCTAAACCACAGACAGCGAGTCAACGATAATTATTTGTGGTTTTGAGATTTTCCTGCGTTTCCTCACTGCAATTTGTAAGGCAGTTCACAATTGACCTGTCAGTATCCAATCAAAGACTGCAGGTAACGAAACTAGTCTTCAAGCTAAATCATTACGTTCCTGACTCCAGTTACCGTGAATCCGCTCTGTTGGCGCATGCTATCGAGACCTCTTTTAATTTCAATATAAATGTCGACAGTTATTACCTGGTCTTTTTGTCTGGCTATGGCTGCTGTTACTTCCCTGGACTGTTTGGCTAAAATACCATACAATCGCCCGGATGTAAAACCTTCCAAATCCACTTGTTGGTCGTAATCCCAGAATTCATCGCCCTTCACTTCCTCATCAACTAGAGAAACAAGCAAGTGATAGTCACCAATTATCTTACGTTTAATTCACGCATACCACGAGCGTTTCCATTTCCGTCGTCTCCTACAGCAACCCCAATGCTTTCTTCCTCTGTGCATCACAAATTGAAATTTATGACTATAAATTAGCCATATATACTATTTTCGTATGGTTCTGTTGCGTGCGCAAAAGAATCGACCTTTATCTAGTATTACACCTACCTGCAGGGCCCTTCTCCTGTAAGGGTCCTTCATTCGCATACTGATTGAGCGCCTCAAGATTCCTGTGGTACTTTTTGACAGGGTGAACGGTGGATCCTTTAGAGGAGTAGTCATCAAAGTTGTAATTCTGCGCCAGTACACGATAGCGGGGGAATTTGAAGGTAACTTTCTTCCATCCTTGTTTACGGAAGATTAACTACATGGGAAAGGAAAAAAACTGAAAACTTAGAAATGACTATAAGAAAACGCCCCTAAAAACTTTTTATTTTTTAAGAACACAAAGAAAAAAGGGGTGGAAGTTGATTGCAGAGATTTACCAAAAAGGACTGGAGGATCAAGTAAACTAAAGAAATATATTCTTTAAAACTTAAGCCAGTTTAATTTTTTTTTTATAGAAATGAAACGCTGAGTAAACCTCACTCAAAACATATTGATTCAAATCTGCATAAAAAACGACCTCATATGCCAAGTATTTTGTTCCTACGACCTTGCAATTCCTGAACATGACAAAAGATGTCTGGACACAAAAGCCATTCCTTGGGACAGAACAAAAAAAACCAAACTTACCAAACCAATAACGAGAATAATCATCAATAGGGCGAAGCTTCCCAACATGGCGCCGATCAACACCCAGTCTGGCATGACAACGATATCCCTGGCGATCGCGATGCCATTTTGGATCACATTCCTTGGTGTTGTGGGGAAAAATGGACCATTCTCAGCACAATCAGCACCTTTGGCCATGACTCGAACAAACTGCAACACAAAATTTCAAGTTCTGTATTTTCATTTTCACCTTTGTGTAAACCAATCTAACCAACCACTTTGCCTGACAACCAAAAATATAAACAGCTTGGTACGTTTATGTGTTTCAGTCCAGACAACTCAGAGATGATTGTTAGTTGTAAACGGTCATAACATCTGAGTCTTAATGTTAAAATAGCAAAATAGATAATCTGACTGTCAATAAACACAACTAACCATGGTGCTCTCTGGATTAGCGCTTGATGTGAACACGTAAACACCCTCTACATCAAACCTGTAGGCAAACAATTCAAACTTGGTGGATTCCAATTGATGTTTTTCTTCCAAAGCTTTAAACGGACCTTCATCAAAGGATGGATTTGTGTTGTACAGGTTGTTCTTGACGTACTTCGGGAAGTCTGTGTTAGAAACTTTCCACATCAAGTGCGAACCATGCTTCAGGCAAATGGTTGGGTTTGACATGCCTCTGTAAGACAAATCGGACACAGCTCTTCTCTTTCTTCTGCTTGTAGCTGAAGATGAGTTTGCTGAGCTGAGTGCTAGTTGTGCAGCGAACAGATCAGAGACTTCTTCTGCTTCAGGATCATACGCTCCTTGTATTTCCCCATCTGTTTGAGGATTGAAACAATAATTCAACGTAAACAGAAGAATGCAACCCTGAGTTTAATCCTGCAGTTCATACAAACGTAGAATACTGATGTAATCGCTGGAACCTCCTAAGTTGTTTGGAATCTTTGAATATACGAGAAAAAAAAACAGCTTCTAAAAAGTTTTTGGAACATTTTCAAGGCTACGGGGTATCAAGACCTCTAGGATCAGTTTGGAAAAAAAAAAAACAAAAAAAACATGGAGTTGGAGGAGTAACTTACCTTGAAGGACAACAAGACTTATAGGAGACTCTAGGCCCAAGGTGCAATCAAACGTTTCCTTGAAGTTTGGTACACTCTCTAACTCTGACAAATTGAAGACGGACGACTGAAATGAAACAAACACATCATCTTGTATTGATTGCGTATTCTTACAAACTTACGTCTTAAGGGAGATGAAACAAAAGCGGATGCAAATAAAAGAGGGAAAGGGGAAAATGTTTAAGGAAAGGAAACAAGGAAGGGGAAATGGCAATAAAACGGAAATGAACAGGAAAAGGAAAACGATTTTGCCCACTTGAGGACTGAGTTCCTTGTAAACTTCAAATGATAGTAAGCCAATTGCTGAGCATATAAGAGATGAGGTGAACTTAAAGGTGGAAGAATTTTCGAGTGATTCCTCACTTGCGCTGCATTAGATCACTGATCTGTTTAATGCTATTTAAGGTTTGTGGAATGTTTAAATCAAACAGCTCTTACACACCAGACTGGTTGTTACTAAAATACTCCCTAAATAATGTTTGCATACCTCTCTGGAACGGGAATTGACCTTGAGTAGTGGTGGGTCGTTGCAAAGTATTTGAATCCGGTTTTCCTGCAGTAACCTGCATTCTCTGTCACAAATGTCGTCTGTGCTCGTTACCTTGCACTTACAAAGACCCAATTCTCCCACAAATCCTAGGGAGCCCTGAGAACATTTCTACAAGACAAGAGAGAACACCCATATCAATATCAGCATTCGCTGTCGTTTTCAAGTGCAAGTTTGAAGTGCGCAAAACCACAAATTTCGTCCGCTTCTTTGCAGATACTCCTAATCAACGGGTCTAATATTTGAAACAAAGGCAGGAAAGTCTTCGTAATGATAATCCATTTCCAAAGTTGTGTATTTACCGTATTATTGCAGTAATCATTCCATTGTTCCTCAGTCCAACAAATACCCTCCTGATTCCTCCAAGTACTATCTGTACATAATGGGTACAGCTTCAGGACACATTCGTCTCCGTTTTGAAGATCATATCCCTTTTTACAGGTGCATGTTTTGTCCGATATCTGAGAGAGAAAAAACTCAGGAGTCAACTTTCAAGAGGGAAGTTACATCCTCTGGCATCAGAATGTACCAGTACAAACAAAGTTTACTAAGGTAGCAAAGCACGGTAAGGAAACGATCAAAACAACTGAATTCACAAATATCATTTAATTTATATGAAACAGAAAAGCTTACTTTAAAATTAAGTTCAGTTCGAGATCAGTAACCTGCTGTAAAGCATTGTGTTTATGTCAAACATGGTTGCATACGCGTCATTACTCGACTCTGTAATTATATTTGCTGGAAAAATCTCGTATCTCTGAACATTTAAGTGGACACTGCTCATGATTTATTTTGCTTTCTACTTTTTGTGATCAACAGCACTCAAATTGTCCTATTTCTATGTACCTGGTATATTTGGTTCTTTCCATTACATACGCAGGTATCGGAACCTTCTCTAGATGTCAGCGGGCTACAAGACAGGCATGAAGTTTGAGCCTCCCAAGGATTATAGTGATTTTCTGGACAGGCATCACACTGGTCTTTGTGTCCAGCACCAAGCTTGTCATTATAAGTCCCATTCGGGCAGCTCACCAATTCTACACCCTTCTGGCAGTAGTAACCCCGAGGACAAAGGTACGAATTGGTTTTCTCCACACCGAATTCTGTCCCATTCAAGCCAGGTTCATCTGTAGTTGCTCCTGAAGACAAATCATGGCAAAGTTCAGAACTGACAAAAAGCTGCAGTCTTAAAACAATAATAGGGACCTTTAGTAGTTAGGACGGCAACGCCAAAGAAGACGTCGAATTTAAAATGAAGAGATATTTTCAGTTCAAATTTCGCGAATGAGTGGATGTGACTACCATCCTTTACGGCGCCGCAAGTTAACCTCATCATAGCATATGAAAGAGCGTTGAGTTCCAAATGGAAACTTAGATAATTTGCCGTCGAGGTTTCCTTTCTTGAACCTCGGTAATTTTGAGGATTTCACGTTGTTATTTTGCAGAGGACGGCTAAGAAATGTACAAAGTTCGAAAACGTACGAGCTGAGCTATTGTTCTGCTCATTAGATCTTTTGTTTCGCCACCTACTCGCTGCCGTCGCCGTCGTGGTTTGCTAAAGGTCCCTAATAACTTTCTTGTACCTTCCAAACAAATGACACCATCACGGCAAGTCTTACACTCCAGACGGCTTGGATGATTTCCATACTGGCCTTTGGGGCAAATCACGCACGAGTCATTGAAGCTTTCTCTTGATGAATTTTCTACCTGTTTGTAACCTGAAGCAAAATCATATTAAATCAGTGAAAAGAATAAAAATGTAAACGACGCAGAACTCTCAAACATCATTGCTACCCCACCACTCAGAGTGGTTAGCTTCTGATTGGTTAACAACCAAATTTAAAACCCAGGTGATGCAGAGGCAAGGAAACTACTGCCACAGGGCGAAAATGTGGATCAAGGATTGGTGACTCTGCCATCGTAATCTGGTTAAGTAATCAGAGTGATGTCCACGTTCATGGAGTTTAAAAGCATCAACTGTCAGGTTTACTACTTACCTAAAGGACAAATCTTCGGCTGACAGGCACCGGAATTAAGGTCAGTAGGATCACAACGATCTTCTGGATCACAGTAAAACCCAGCGGGACAGCGTATGTATGACGGAGATCCAATTGGACAATAATGGCCAGCTGGGCATGGAACTTGGGTTTTGGTTTCATTGCAGTAATAACCGGGAAGACAAACAGTTGGTAATGTTCTTCCTGCAGGGCAATAAGTTCCATCTGGACACTCGTATCCATAGACACTGCTGTTAGACAGGGGACAATGCCTCCCAGCAGGACAAAGGTGGCACTCAGATATGTTACGTGCCCCTGTGGAACTACGGAAGGTGCCGTTTGGACAAGGTATTGGTTGGTCTGTGGCGTTCAAGCAGTATTGACCAACTGGGCATGGAGAGGTGGTGTAGTCGGAAAGACCTGCAAGATAAAGTAAAGTATATTAGCTCAACAATTACGATGCGTGACACCAAGTGAACAATAACAGTTAACAGTTCACGTACGGGTCATGATACAAATTATGACTCATAAAACACTTTGGTTTACACGCGTTATGTTGCCGAATATGCCCCAACTTTGAAGTTCTACAGAAGATATTACCTAATTCTTATTCCCAGCGTCCAATCCGTCGACAGTCTTCCTTTGAAAGCTTATTGAAGTCTACAAAAAGTTTTGGCCTTCTCACAGAGGAATAGAAATTTGCTTGTATAAAAGTCGCTCTGAAACGTCAATATCTGTTTTCGACGGTGAGCTGTAGGTAAATGGTTTGTCCACGCTACCGAAAATATGTGAAGGAAAATAACCATAGCAGCCTTCGATTGGCTGACAAATGTACTCGTATTTTTGAACTTGACACTACCTGTTCATCGAAGCTCAGTTTTACCCGAGCTAAATGCAGGTTATCATTTTTTGTAGACTGCAATTTCTCTGCGACTAAAGACACCAAAAGCCTTACCTTCATACCAGCAATAGTAGCCAGCAGGGCATGGGTGACAGAAGCTTATATCTGTCGCACCAGATACGCTGTTGAATGTTCGAAGAGGGCAAGGTCTTGCAGTGTCATTGAAGGGACAATAATGTCCAACTGTACAATCTGTTGGTATAGAACTACCACTAACGCAAATCTTTCCAGCAGGACACACTTGACAAGCAGCTTTTGATTTGGCTCCCTTTTTAGTGATTACCAAACCTGGCTCACACGCCAATTTTTCTAACGTCCCAGCGGGACAGTAGAAACCAATAGGACATGGCTCTCCAATACTTGTATTAGATCCATCAGGGGTAGGGGTAGGATTGCCAATGTAACACAGATATCCTGCTGTACAATTGTCAGTGACGACACCCAGCTGGCAAAAATGACCAGCAACACAAGGTCTACATTGATCGGGACTGCTCAGTCCAGTTTCCTGGTCTTTCGTAAATGTTCCATTAGGGCAGAACACCGGTGTGTGTGTACCATTTGGACAGTAGTGATGGGGAGGGCATGCTATGGGGTTAGAGGTGTTGGCAAGGCAGTAGGAGCCTTCTGGGCAGACATCACACGATTCTTGCTGTTGTCGACTCTGATATGACCCTGGTTTACAGCCTACTGGGTTGGCAGTTCCCTTTGGACAGTAGTGGCCAATTGGACATAGGAAATTGCTTGGTTTTGCAAAGCGAATATCTTCTTCTGCAGGGCAGTAGTAACCTGGTTCACAGTCTGCAGTCGCAAAGAGCAGACCAGATTGATTACAATATTTTCCTTCAGTGCAAGGGAAACAATCATTACGCGATTTAGCACCAAAGGTTGGCCTGAGGGTTCCTTCAGGGCACAAGGTGCCATTTGTTGTCCCCTCTTCACAGTAGTACCCAGGCGGGCAAAGCCCATTGTCTTTATCATTAGGTTCTAAAAATTTGGCTCCCCCTTTGCAAAGGTACCCGGAACGACAAGGTCCAGTTGCATAAGCCTTTCCAGGAAGTTCACAGTACTTGCCAGGTGGGCATGCCAAGCACTCATTCTTAAATTTCCCGTGTTCAGTAGGAAGATAAGTTCCACTTGGACATGGTGTTCCTTTGGGCAGCGACTCACCACCTGGACAATAGTGTCCCGGAGAACAAGGCGTCGGCTGAATGACAGACGTGTTGGGACAAGTAAAGCCAGTTGTACAGCTCTCACAAACACTCTGGCCTTCAATAGGACCATATTGACCCCTAGGACATGGTTCTTCCTTTACTGTTCCTTTAGTACAGAAATGGCCTCTAGGACAAGCCTTACCCTGGATACCGTCTGTTGGGCGAGGAGTGGTTGAACCTTGAATAAAAGAGAAAATTAGAGAAGAAGATAATGTTATGGAGAAATTGCCAATACATTTCAGTAGGTTAGCTGAGCAGATTTATGTAGGCATGAAATTTTTACCTTTAAATGTTCAACATAAAAGTGCGGGTGGTATTTTTAATCATCTCCGCAAAATTTTAACTAAAAAAACCTCTCAATTGGTCTAACTTGTCTTTTTTCATCGTGGTTGTAGTGATAAATAAACGTTGCGGAATGGAAGAAAAAAAAAAAACCACCAAGGTATGTGGCAAGTCGGTCCTTACCTAGGATACAAACAAAACCAGCATCACAAGGTCGCTCTTCTACGATAGTAGCATTAGGGTCACAGTAGTACCCAGGGCTACAAGGCTTGCAGTCTGACACGTTTTTATTTCTCTCCGAGTTTGCAAACGAGCCTCGTGGACAAGGTACAGGTATATAACTTCCCTTCACGCAGAAATGTCCTATGGGACAGTTTGCATATGGTGGATTTGGCACCTTGGCGCTTCCATTACAATAGAAGCCAGCCAAACACAGATCTTCAGGTTCAGCCAAACCTTCTTGTTGACAATAGTACCTACAGTTTGAAAAGAAAAACCTCTATCAGCAAAAGACTACTATAGTTCTGTTTTGTCAAATACGGATGATCACTGTCTTTGAAGACGATTCAAAATAATAAATGGCTCATTTGTTGATCTATTTAAAGTCCGAGTACCGAGACCATTTCTTTTCTCCACTATGATTTAGCACACACACTGTGAGGTTTTCTTACCTGGGAGGGCACTCTGTACATTGTTCAGCTCGCTCAAGTTGAGTCTTGTTGCTCCATGTTCCAGAGGGACACTTGTGTTGTGTGGCAAATGACGTCCCTGACGGACAGTAATGTCCCATGGGGCATTCATATCCAGTCAGATTACTAACAGCAACTAACGTATTATCACAGTAGTATCCAGACAAACATGGCTTACATGCGAAGGAATACTCATTATCTTGGTAAGTGCCATTTGGACAGCGTTCTGGTAGAGGTGATCCCTTCAGGCAAAAGTGACCCACTGGACAGGGATGTGAGTTTGGAGATGACACTGTCTGACCAGGTGGACAGAAGTATTTTTTATCGCAAAGTCCATCTGGATAGTTTAGACCACTATTATTGCAGTACATACCAGCTATACATTCTATACACTCTGAAACATTCTCGTGTTTCTTTCCTGGTAAGTAATAGCCTGGTTGACACGCAAACGGGTGAGGTGATTCCAATGGGCAATAGTGTCCTTCTTCACATTCCACTTGGCGGCTGCTGGTGGATCCTGCTGGACAGTAATATCCAGGGTCACACGGTCCTGCCGTATCATCCAGCTCGTCTCGATCGCAATACCTTCCAGGTGTGCACGTTGTCATGTTATGCGAAGCTTCTGGACAAAAGTGACCGGGTGTGCAACGTGTCGCACTAGGTTTAGCTTCTCTGTCGCCTCCAGGACAATAAAACCCCGCACTGCATGAATTGGTGGGTTTCTCATTTCCATAATAGGCGCAGTAGTGACCAGGGTCACACGGTAAGCAGTCTAGTGACGAGTTGCCCTGGAGCTTGGGGTTGTACGTACCTGGTTCACATGGTTTATAATGAGGTCTGGGCGTAGCTTCTGGACAGTAATAGCCTTTGGGACATTGATTGCCTTGATATGTGGTGGAGTTAGCATAGCAATAAAAGCCTTGAGGACATGGTTTGCAACTAGCTTTGCCTTCCTCATCTTGATAAGTTCCAGCAGGACAACCTGTAAAAAATGACATCAATTTAGTCACGAAATATTTTCACCCTGCAGGTTATGATTCAGTTGACTGTGACTTGCTGTCATTGAGACAACTATGTTTCAGATAGTTTCTTCATGGAAGATGTTTTGGTCAATGTTTCATCTTTGCTTTCATCGCAATTATTCATTCACTCTGGAGTTATTGTAAGGTAACTCTGTAGATCCTTTGAGAAAAGGCCAATTCTCTTCATATTAATAATTGTTATCCACGTAAAGTCTGAATATTTTGTTACAAGTATCACTTTCGTTTATGTAAGTACCTTCAAACATGACACTGCCAGCTTTACAGAAGTGCCCACGGGGACAAACATCACCAATGGTGATGTGCTTAAAATGGGCAGGACACTGTGTCAAGTTTGTCATGTATGGGTTTGGTGATGCTGCGCCAGACACACAATAGTAACCAGCACTACAGTTTCCACTTGGTTCCGTTAGGTTTGTGCCTCCACAGAATCTGCCACCAGAACAGGGCGTGCAGTCTTGTTCTCGCACTAAGTTCTTCCTGTTGCTGTAAGTACCAGCAGGGCACTGTTTCCAGTCAACTCCTGTACCATTTGGACAATAGAACCCCTCTGGACAGTCATTCTTAGCAGAACTCGAGTCACCTATAACACATTTGGAGAAAAGATGAAAAAACACATCAATATAACAAAAGCAGCTTAACTAGAAAAATGTTGACAGTTGAAAGAAGGTTTACTTCAACACAGCTGAGCTTGAAACAACAAAGCTTTCAGCTTCGGCTTTTTGAAGAGCATATTAATGACATAGTTTAAGTGGTTAAAACCATTGCTTTGCAAACCACAGACAAAGCGCGGGTTTAGGTGTTAAAATAACATCATCACAAACCTGGGATAACAAGTTCTGGGAGACAATAATAGCCCTCAGGGCACGTCGCACATTCCGATGATCTGGGACTTTCAGCAAATGTCCCTGCTGGGCAATCTTGAGGTTCAGGACTTCCTTCTGGGCAGTGCTTGCCAGCTGGGCAAGGATACGGGTTACTAACATTTTGACCCTTGGGGCAATAATAGCCCTCGTCGCATTGAGCCTTTGGCTCAATAAGTCCCTCGTCATCGCAGAAATATCCTGACCTGCAATCCGTACACTCGTCCGCCTTTTCTAAACCACTGCCATTTGAATAAGTTCCTGACGGACACGGAAAAGGATGATGGGTACCCTGTGTACAATAACGGCCTGGAGGACATTGAATTTGTGTTTCACTTGATGAGCGAAGTGGACAATAGAAACCGGGTTTGCAAGGTCCTGCTGTTTTTGTCATGGCTGTTTCATTACAGAATTCTCCACCAGTACAATTTAGGCATTCGTGTTCTGTCTGGAGACCTGTTGCTGGGCTGTAAGTACCAGCTGGACAATCGATTGGCTTGTCAACACCTTCATAAAAGGCAAAACGAATAGAAGCAAGGTTGTTATGACAAAACCAAGAAAAATCTGAGACACGACACCGCTTGGTGTGAAGTCACCAGGTCCCATTTATAATGATATTTTTTGTTTGTAATTTGTATTTAATAAACTCAATTACTTCAGTGCTTGTGGTACGGAAAAATCTACCCGCCAAGCTAAGGAAGAAATATTGATAAGGAACAGTGTATAGTTTTTAAGACACTTGAGCATTGTGTACACCTTGATAGAAGCACGAAAATGGTAGCAATGTATCAAAATGATGAACTATAATTTAAATTGTATAACTTATCAACTCATATCTATGTTTTTCTTTCAAGTAAGAATTTATTTGAATTTTGGCATAAGAAACCTTAAGATTATTGGTATAATAAAGGTTAAAATAAGACCATCCAATAACAGGGTAAGAGAGGATGTTAATTACCTTCAGGGCAGTAAAATCCGGCAGGACAGATGTCAGCTTTTTCTCCAAGTTCCGGCGTGGTACTATTAGCACCTTCTCTACAGAAATATCCAGCACCACATAACTTGTATGGAGTCACCAGACCCCACTCATCACAGACCATACCACCTGTACAAGTTCTACAATCTAACTCTTCATCCATGCCAGTCCTATTGTTGAATGTACCAGGAGGACACTTAAACTGTTCTGCATATCTTGTGCCTACTGGACAATAATGACCCTCAATGCAGATATACTGTCCATATAAGATGACTGGGCCATTAGTGTCATTGCAATAGAACCCGGCTGGACAGATTTTACAGTCTGGTTTGGCTCTTTCGTCTTGGTAATATCCCGCTTCACAAGGTATGGGATTTGGACTTCCTTCCGGACATTTGTTTCCTTCAGGGCATTCATGCTGATCGTCGCTGTCTGCTCTACCGCTGCAATAGTACCCTGCCCTACACAATGCTGTAGGCACAGGCAGCCCACTTCCACCACAGTACCACCCTGGAGTACAGTCTTGACAGTCAGTCACATTTCTTTGGGAAGTAATGACAGAAACACAAGGATTTAATCAGATGGTGAAATTCCGAGTTTACGACACTTTCTCGACTCTTTGAAAAGGTATAATTTTATAATTCAAAATACCATTTTGGTTTCTGTGGTTTAGAAAACCTAGACTTAGATACATGCCTTACCTTATCGACGTCAAAAAAAGGGCGTAAAAAATTGAGAGGAACAATAAATTTAAATAGTCTTACCTATTTCCTGTACTATTTAAGAATGTTCCAATTGGGCAATTCTTTGATGCACCGCTTCCTCTTGGACAATACGTCCCATTTGGACAGATATCTCCTGTCACTCCATCTGTAGGTTTCGCTTCCTTTGCTCCGGATGTACAGTAGTGACCTGCTTCACAGTCAAACTCTGGTTCAGAAAGTTCTGGACGTGGGCAGTACTTTCCTGGATCACAGGGTATTGGCAAAGCTGATCCATTGGGGCAATAATATGACGTCGGACAGCGACCTAAATTGAAATTAAATTTTGGTTGTAGGGCGTTTGCGTCTAATACAGGAAAAGTACAGGACCTTAACGACTAATCCTTACCTGCTTATGCATACGTAGAGTATGTTGTAAGAAACTAACTCACATATGCTGAATGTTAAACTACATCACTAAAAGAAATAAGGCCCACAGGAACCCAGCTTATTCGTTACATTAGGAGGATGGGAGTTTCGCAACTCCTTCTGGATGGAAAGCTGGTCCATTCCAGGCAAGAGATAGCAAATTACATTTTATTGAAAGAACGTTACCTCCATCAGGTGTAGGGTTCGTAGATCCATTTCTGCAGAACCACCCTCCATAACAGAGCGCAGTAGGCTTACTCAGACCATTTCCTTCACAATACATTCCAGCAGTACAAGAAACACAGCTTGATTCTGCTTCCTGTCCAGTTAAATTGTTAAAAGTGCCCTCGTCACAGAGGTATGGAACACTTGTGTTTATTGGACAATACCTTCCGGATGGACAGACAGAGTCATTGAAGGTGGATGCCTTTGCAAGGCAGAAGAAGCCAGCAGGACATGATTTACAATATGTTTTTCCTTCTTCATCTTGGTAACTTCCATCAGGACACGGCTTAGGAAGGGTGTAACCTTCACGGCAGTAATGACCAACTGGACACACTCCACCATATCCTACATGAAGGAAATCAGATATAAAACAAACCATTCGCTCATATTCACCACAACATTCACAACACCATTGTTGAAGCAAGTATTCTAAAACAAAATTGAATATATTTTCTTTCCATTCCCTGCAGAAATGCCTGGAGTTATTTCCTTGGTGTTGCTTACATCCAACGTTACATTTGGCAAATTCATCGCTGGCCAACTTTGATTATAAGCTACTAGTAACTAACAGTTTTACCTGTGTGTAGTCCCAGGATGGAGCAGTTTCCCAGTAGTGACGTTCCATTCACCGAGTTAATAGGATCTGGTTTGTCAACACCGGATTCGCAGTAGTATCCTCCATAACAGTCCCCAGTAGGCTCGATAGCATGGAGCTCACCACAGTACTTACCACCCGTGCAATCCTCACATTGAGTCACCAAGCTAAGCTTTGTTTTGTTACTGAATGTACCGAGTGGGCATGGCTTCCAGTCTAAACCAGTCCCAACAGGACAGTAGTACCCCCTTGGACACTCGTGGTAGCCAGACTTTGAATCTCCTGCTGTAACATTTTCTGGAAAGCAGTAATATCCCGGAGGACAGTCCTGACAAGATGCCTGCGTTGTGGCGTTGGTGTACGTTCCAGAAAGACAGTCTTTTGGAGTGGCGCTAGCTGTAACAGAAACGGTTTTGTTCTAGCATTAACATGGAAAGTCTCTTTTATGTCAAAGGTCAAGGATCTGTGTTTAAATCTTAAGAGAGACTCTTTCTAGTTGTTCATGAGCCATTTGGAAAACCTTGTATACAAAATATCTAAAATCCCTTCCTTGTCCTTTACTGAAAGATGACAAACCCCAAAACTCTTTTTTGCTAAAAAGGGCCACAGTCCAACTCGCTGAGTGATACAACGTTAAATGACTATGGAATTTCCAAGCTCACGAGCGGAAAACGAAACAGTTTTCTTTGCGACTCGTTCTGTCTAATGTCTATTCAGGGATGGACTCTTATGTACCTCGCCATCATTTATGGTGAATGTCAAGTTACAAAATCCAGAACTTACCTATGGGGCAATGTAAGCCAATAGGACACGGAACAGCATTGTCCACCGAGGAACCAGTTGGACAGTAATAACCTGCCCTGCACTGCCCTGTGGGATACGTTCGTCCTCTTTCAGAACAATATGAGCCAGCTGTGCAATTGGTACACTGATCTTCTTTCCACAGGCCGGTGGTGTTAGAGTAAGTGCCCAGAGGACAGTCCTGGGGTGTATGGGTACCAAGTGGACAATATTTTCCTGCAGGACAGACTTCTTGCTGCTTACTAATTGAACCCCGAACACAGAAGTAACCCTCGTCACATTTTCCTGTTTCCGATGTATCTCCACTAAATTCACAGTAATATCCTTCCGTGCATGGAGTACACTGGCTGGAATTATGCAATCCTGAAATTTAAGAATAATCTTTCTTGCTGTAAATATGGTGCACAAAACCTATCATCTCTACGTAAAGGGACAAGCAAATCAACCAGTTAGTCACTTTACAATTGAATGGCATCAAGGCCCAAAGCCACGTCATGTTAAGTCAAGTTCGCTTCGAAAAGCAGTGAAGTCAACCCGAAGGTGATCATCACACTCGGGGAGGGACAGGAATTAAAACAAAACGCCGAATAAACACACAATGACGAATCTACAGAGAAAAAACACACTGATAGAGTTGGTGTAGCTTACCCAAAACATTACTGAATGTTCCAGCAGGACAAGGTTCTGGTTCATCTGTGCCTTCCACACAAAACTTTCCTCGGGGACAAATATTTGCATCACTGGCCTGCTCAGGTGTGGCAGTCATTGCACCTGAATGAAAGAGAGTAAACAGTAAGGAAAAAGAACTGGAAAGAGCAGGTAACAAAAGACTAGGAAAAATATTCCTCAGTTCCGTGTTTGTGCGTAGCAATGTACGCTCCATAATAAAATTCTGAATTTAGTTCTAAAGAACCATTCCTGGTATAACTGAACATAATCACAATAATATCTTCAAACTACTACATAGTAAATCACTTTCCGTTTGAATTTGAAACTTTCAAAAACGCGATAATATTGACAGAATAACTTACCTCTCTTGCAGAAATATCCAGAGCTACACAGTGTCTTTGGATGAGTCAAACCTGGTTCCCCACAATAATAGCGTGGAAGACAAGGTGTACATTCACTCTGACTTGCACGGCCTGTCAAGTTGTTAAAAGTGCCATTCTCACAGGGAAATTCTTCGGCAAATCGAGTTCCATTGGGACAAAAGTATCCCTCTGGACATAAATAAAGATTGTAATTCTTTACTCCACCAAATGTAGCATTGCAGTAGTAACGAGCTGGGCATTCTTTGCAAGTGTCTTTTAGAGGTTCATCTTGATAGTGGCCAGATTCACAATTTTCAGGGGTCGGAGAACCTTGAGTGCATTTACTTCCAGTTGGGCACCCATATAAAGCTGGTGTACCAACTGACTGTCCAGCGGGGCAATAGTATCCAGCTGAACAGATTCCATCAGGAGCAGACAGACCTGATGTATTACAGAACTTTCCAGCAGTACAAAGCACACACGCACTTGAGTTTGTTGCTTCGATGCCACCATAATAAGTCCCTGGTTCACAAGCAATAGGATCCATGGATCCTTCAGGGCAGTAGTGACCAGTAGGACACTTTCCTCCAGTGCTGTCAGTTGGCGTTGAAGTACTTGCCTTTATCTTACAGAAATAACCTGCGCTACAGTTTCCTTTTGGTTCACTTAGGCCGGCAACATCACAGAATTTACCTCCATCACATTCCCTTGGATACCCAGAACCTTCAGGACAGTAATACCCTGGTTGACATTTACCACCATGTGTAGTGGTCATGTTCGAAGTTGCACTTCCATTGCAATACCACCCAGCACTACAGAGGCCTGTTGGCCAGGAGTTTCCATCACCCTCACAATAGCTACCTTTTGGACAAGGAAGGCAGGATGCTTGTGTTTGCTGTGCAGTTAAGTTGTTAAATGTGCCTGGTGGACAGGGGTACTCATATGGCTGAGTAGTGTTGACTGGACAGTAGTGACCGCTTGGACAAGTGTAATTTATAAATGCGACTGTCTTTCCTAAACAGTAGAAACCAGGAGGACAAGGCTTACATTTATCCTGACCAAACTCATCATTGTATTTCCCTGCTTCACATGCTTCCGGTACTGTGGAACCCTGAACACAGAATGTTCCTGGAGGACAGATGTCACCAATGCCAGTGTACTGGCCAAGGAATGTTGGGTTAGGGCAAGAACCATTGGTAACATTGTATCCGTCAATGTAAGGCTTGTCAACAGAAACACCTGTCATTCAAACAACAAAAATTAAGACAGAAATAAAAAATCAGAAGGCATTTCTTCAAGAGAACAATATGTTTTTTCAATGCATCATAAACCTGACACTGTGAATAACAAACATGTATTTCCTAAGCCTAGGCAAAGTATTAGAAAACAACTTAACACATTTGTGTTTAAGAGAGCTTTTAGTTCAATAGTTTAAAGTAGACAGTGTAAAGCATTTTTGAATATGTTTATAAAATGAGTGCCATTTAAATTATTCCTATTGGTATCACCACCTCAATTTCAAATCTTCAAATTTGTTCATGTTGAAGTAAACTACTATATTGCTAAAATCCTCCCAATTAAATGCTGAATTATTAGACGTTTTTATAACTTCGTCATTGCAACAACACGGATTCCTAAAATTTTTGACAAGACTAGAATCCTTAAAGACACCTTAACTGTTGATTGTCTCAGATTTGCTTACCTATGGTACAGAAGTAGCCAGGAGCACAGAAATCTGTTGGAGAAGTCAAGTTCTTCCCATCACAGAATTTTCCACCATCACAGTCTTTGCACTGTTTTTCTTTGTGCAAGCCAAGATCATCACTATAGGTACCAGCAGGGCATGACTGCCAATCAAGACCAGTTCCTTCTGGGCAGTAGAACCCCCTAGGACAGATGCGGAACCCTATGGATTCATTTCTTGCTAGCTCAAGAGGGAAGCAGTAAAAACCATCTGGACAAGGATCACAACTGCCTCTCCCTGTTGAGTTAGTGAAAGTTCCTGCTGAACATGGTTTGGGTAGAGCACTGCCAGTGGGACAGTGAAACCCAATAGGACACTCAACTGGATCAGGAACAGATGAACCAGCCGGACAGTATGAGCCTTTCTTACAAGGGGCAGAGTAGTTAGCCTGACCAGGTGTAGAACAATAAAATCCTGCCACAAAAAAGGTAACACTTAGTATCTATCTGCACTTTGGTCAAGACCCTCTAATCTTCAAAAATACCATACGTTTACACACCTGCAGTACAATTAATACAGTCAGTGATACTTGTTCTGGTATAGCTTGGTTGGAATGTTCCAATGGGACACAATTCTGCCTCTTCATTTTGTCCAATACAGTAAGTTCCTGGTTCACAACGGACTTCCATTGAACTAGATGAGCCAATTGGACAGTAATGGCCAGGGTCACATTTCCCAACGGGAGAATCCCGCCCGGGCTCAGAACAATAAAAACCTGCTGTGCAGTTCCAGCATTCACTGACATGCTTGTAGGCTACAATGAAAATTCAACATAATTTTAATGCAAGATCCACAATTGAAAAAAAAAAAAAACTGCAAAATTTTTCTTCTTCTTGTCATTGAACACATAAAAGTTATAGCTTTTTAAAACCACTGTTCTAGCAATTTGTTAGTACACTGTAATTTCTAACTTCATCTGTTAAATAAAGAACAAAAATAGGCAAGGTAATTGGGCATGTTACATCACAACACACACCAGTATCATTCCCATATGTTCCAACAGGGCAGTTTACTGGTTCACCAGTTCCTTCTGGGCAATAATGACCCACTGGACAAATGTTGGCATCATTCCCTTGATCTGGGGTGGCACTGGAAGCATTACGCCGACAGAAGTAGCCAGCAGCACAGTACTGAATAGGTTCTGGCATTCCTAAAAATAAAACAATGTATACAAAGAGTTAGCTAACATTAACAATGATTTGTACTGTGATACTTGCTCAGCTTTCTAAACATCTTCTGATCCTTAGTAACTTTTAAAAAATAATTCTGGATTAGTACTACTTTGCATCGTAAATTATGTATCAAATTTACGTACAATTTTGAGTAATATATCTGATGGCAGGGCAGTTTTTTAGTTACTAACATACCTTTGACTGGACAATACATGCCAGGTCTGCAACTAACACAGTCCTCTATCTTAGTAGCATGGGTTCTATTATTGTATGTTCCAGCTGGACAAGGGAACTGGTTAGAATACGATGTTCCATTAGGACAGAAGTATCCTTTTGGACATGGGCGTGATTCATATTCAGAGTTATTTCCTGGGCAGTAAAAGCCTTCTAAACATGCCAGACACTTTGCAAGCTTTGGAAGATGTCCATAAGTTCCTGGTGGACAAGGGAGTGGTGCTTGTGATCCCTGAGGACAGAAGTGACCAATTGGACAAATACCTCCATAGCCCGTTTCTCTGCCATCATAATGTGGACAAGAGTTATTGCTACTGGCATTGTATGCCGTAATGTTGTCCCCAATGGGGTTGGGCCTGTCAAGGCCATAAGCACACCAGTGCCCAGGTGCACAGTCACCAGTGTAATTTATAGCATGTTCATTGCCACAGTACTTTCCTGGATCACAGACCCTACATTGAGAGACTCTCTCCAAACCCTCCTGATCACCATAGGTTCCTTTGGGACATGACTTCAAGTCAATACCAGTTCCATAAGGGCAGTAGAAGCCTTTTGTGCAGTTCTTTGGAACACCTGCTATTTTACAGAAGAATCCTGCAGGGCACAAAGAGCATTCCTTAGCATGTGTTGATTTGGCAAAGCTGTTGTTTTGGCATGGGATGGGTTCAGATGTGCCTCCTGGACAGAAGTGGCCTACTGGGCAGAAAAATTGATGTGGATCCTTCACCTTGTTCCCTCCAGGACAGTAGTATCTATAAAAAAGATAAGTGATCAATACATCACATTTCCCCATTACCTAGGTCAATCAAACAGTCCAGAGATAATAGCAAAAAATACCTTTCTGCACAGGCACCAGTTTCTTTTGTTAATCCAACACCTTGGCAGTAATACCCTGGGGTGCAGTTGAAGCAATCATTAATGGACATTCCCTTTGTGATGTTTCTAAATGTTCCGTTAGGACACAATTCTGGCTCAAAAGTACCCTCAATGCAATATGCACCTGCAGGGCACTCAATCATGTCTGGCTTTGATGCCCCTGATGGGCAATAGTACCCTTTTCTACATAGTCCTTCAGGCTCTACCAAGTTGAAGTTTTCACAGTAGTGTCCTGGAGTACAGTTTTTGCACTGTTCCTCTGACGAGAGTTTAGTCTCATTGCTGAAGGTTCCAGGAGGACACTTCTCAGGTTCTGCAGTACCAACAGGGCAGTAAAAACCAGCTGGACATGGGCCAGCATCAGTGTAGTTGAAGGTACCAGGGGGGCACAAAGTTGCATTTACAGGGAGACCTTCAGGAGTTGACACAGATACACCACTACGGCAGTAATACCCTAGGAATGAATCAACACTAATGTTAATATTTCACACCTTTAAATGAGGGAAATGTAGCAGCTGGTGGGGGTGCAGCATGTGAGCATCTCTGTTCCATTTTCTTGGGTATCTCTTGTTTTCATATCCAAAAAGAAAATCAGTTTTACTGACCTCCATCACATTGCTTTGTATATGTTGTCTGTCCTAGTTCATCACAGTAGTAGCCACCTGGACATGGACTGCATTCATCAACACGAGAGAGACCAGAAGTGTTGCTAAACGTCCCCAGGGGACAGGGGAACTCATAAGCATGCGTGGTGCCATAAGGACAAAAATACCCTGGAGGACAGGTGCTGTTTTGATATAGAACCACGGGGGCATAGCGGTTGTCACAAAAGAATCCTTCTGGACAAACCTACAGTCAAATAGTAAATCAGCAGGGATAAAAAATCACATCTGCTATCATATGTTGAATTTCCTATCACTCTCTACTGCACAATGTAATAAAAGGATACCACCGCTGTTGCATCAAATTGTTGTTAAGTTATCAACGATAATCTTTGAATTAAATTTGCTAGCAGAACTGTTCTTGTTTGATGACAAAAGTAGCAGCCGCAAGATGTCACACAACACAAAATGGCACCTAGGGAGAATTTCAAACATCAAAAGCATTTTTCTTCTTTCCAGATTTGCAATAATTTAATTTATTTGACAAAATCTTACGGCACACTTCTATCAGTTCAACAAAAGCATGCTCCTGTATGGAGACTTTCTTCAGTTTAACTCATTAACAGCTTCCAAGAAATTCATTATATCTTCATTTAAGAGTTAGAGCTACTGTTAACCTAAACCAAAACATATGAATATGGAAAGTAACATACCTTACAAGACGACTGATTTCTGCTGTCCTGGTAAAATCCAGACTCACACCGTTGCGGTTCTTTGGAACCTCTCAGGCAAAAGTGACCAAGAGTACACTCAAGTCCATTTGGATTTTTCACTCTCTGTCCAGGAGGACAGTAATATCCAGGATCACACTGGTCAGTGGGTTCTTTATTTCCATTTCCTTCACAGTAAAAACCACTGGTGCAGTCAACACAGTCCTCAACCTTTTGATTCTTAGTGGTATTAGAGAAAGTACCATTAGGACATGGTGCTGGTGTGGCACTACCCTCAATACAGTATGAACCCTCTGGACATTCCGCCCCAGTGACCCCATCTGTTGGTCTGTCTGTTTTAGAGCCTCCCACACAATAGTAACCAGCTGCGCAATCAGCTGAAGGTGCTGGCAGAGCTTCACCTCCACAATATTTTCTTGCTGGGCACTGGAGAGGCTGTGAACTCCCTTCTGGACAGTACGTTCCGTTTAGGCACTTGCCTCCATTGGTGACAGGTTTTGCTGCTGTTGCGCCTCCACTGCAGTAGTATCCAGCATCACATGGGCCAGTAACATTAGAAAGACCTTGAAACATGCAAAAGCCATTTTACTGTTGCTTTAGTATTATTACAGCATGTTATTAATATACTCCAAGCTTTTTTGAAAACTGTGAATACCTGATTGCAGATACACTACTATAATCCCACATGCATCACCAACTCCCATAGCTAACTAACCTTGCCTGTCACAGTAATATCCAGCTGTGCACTGTACACAAGCACTGTCAGAAGACATGCCCGTCAAGTTGTTAAATGTTCCTTCAGAACATGGTTTGTCCGAAGCATAACTTGTTCCTTGTGGACAGATAAAGCCAGAAGGGCACTCTTGGGGACTTGTTGTATTGCCACTACAATAGAAGCCTCCTGGACATATCTGACAAGTTGCTTGACCACTTGCATTGTTATAGGTCCCAGGATCACATGGCTGTGGAAAAGCTGAGCCAGCAGGGCAGTGGAACCCTGGAGGGCAGATCCCACCATATGTTGTATTAGGTCTTGGAGTTGGGGATCCCTCAAGACAAAAGTAGCCAGGATCACAAGTACCATTCACATGATCTTGATGTCCCACTGCACAGTAAGAGCCAGCAGTACACAGGGTGCAGTCATCCACTGACTCTAATCTGCCAACATTACCAGGTGCGAATCTTCCAGGCGGACAAGGTGTAGGCTGAGAGACACCTCTCTCACAGTAATAACCTCCTTCAGGACATTCACCAAACCAAAAACGATCAAGTACTGGGTCATCTGGGGGTGTTGATACCTCAGCACCTCTAAAGCAAAAGTACCCTGGATTACATGGACCAGTAACATCCCTTAATGCCTCAGTCTCACAGTACTGGCCTGCCAAACAGTATGTACACTCAGGCTTATCCTTAAGCCCTGTTCTATTGCCAAATGTACCAATAGGGCAGGCCTCTTTGGCTGTTGTTCCTGCTGTGCAATAATAGCCTTGAGGACAAGGTGAAGGGTTAATTGTTCCTATAAGGCACTCAGTACCTGCCTCACATTCTTGGCATGTTACCTTTCCTTCAATGGGAGCATAAAGGCCTGCAGATAAGCAATAAAAACATTTCTTTACTCCTTTGTTACCTGTCTTTGGTAAATTAACAGTACACTTTAAACATAGAATGCTTTTGGTGCTCTTCAGTTCCATGGAATTCCTTAATCAGTTAACTAGACATTGACAGCAAATTGCAGTACCTGGTTGACACTTTTCTGGCTGCTGTCCAGCTAAACAAGAACTTCCTCTTGGGCAAATTCCACCAGTAGAATCATTGCTTGGTTTGGGTATTTTAGCCCCACGCAAACAAAAATAACCAGGATCACAGAGACCAGCTACATCAGTACGTCCTGTACCATTACAGTAATGTCCCAGATCACAACGTTCACAATCATCCTCAGATTCACCACGAGTTACCTTACTGAAAAACAAAATTGAAATAGAATTCCAGAATGACAAATACGCATGTATTTATATGAACACAGTCGTTTTCAATATTTTCAACTTATCACCAATGAACTTTTCATTTGTCACACACACTACTGTATCATTGGAGTGCCTATGAACCTACAGAACACAAAAGTTTAGAAAAACCTTTCTTTCTCATGAGGATTTTTTTACTCAGTTTGTTCAATAATTGAGCAACATAATGAGATGCTGCAAGAAGCTCACCGATATGTTCCTTCTGGGCATGGTATCTCATCTGTGATTCCACTTGGACAGTAATGACCTGCTGAACACACCCTACCCCATTCCAAAACACCTTTTTCAAATGTGGGTGTAGGCCTTGTTCCATTGTAGAAACAAATGTATCCTGCATCACAAGGACCTGTTAAATTAAAAAAAGGAAAATTTATGTAAGGCTGATGACAGATGAATTTATCCACTGGATTATCAGGAAGAGGATAGTGAACTTAAAAGTCTAGCCGAGACCCAATGTTGTAAATGTGACCCAACTTTCTGCATAAATGGTATTTCACTTTTAATTCCTATGTACAAAATAACTTACACTGCAGTGGAGACAGATCTATTTGTAAGAATTACATTTAGCAAATCTTCTAGTACATACAAACCCCTTATCATAGAAAGGTTCCAATTATAACATATCAAATAACTAACAGAAGGAGTAAATTTGTCTTAGATATTTTTGCAATATTAACCACTGACAAAGGGTCCTTGACATTTACTTAGAAACAGGCTTTTCTAGTTATCTCTTATACAATGCCCTAGCCTTGAATATCCAAGTTTCTATGAACCATTAAACAGAAACAAGTGGTCTGTATAGTGTACCTGTAGGAACACTCTGTGCCGTTGGATTACAGTATTTTCCTGGTGGACACCCTACACAGCTTGAGTTGTACACTTGACGAGTGTAATTGTTAAATGTCCCTTCTGGACATGCAAATTGTCTGTCTGTGCCAGGCGGGCAGTAGAAGCCTCGTTCACACTCTGTACCATTGACCATGCTCTTTGTGGGGCAGTAAAATCCTGGCTCACAGGGAAGACAATGACTTTGTTTTTCATGTGGTTGATATGTTCCTGGTAAACATGGCTGTGGCTCTGATGATCCTGCTGGAGTGAAAAATCCTGGTGGAGTAATTGTCTGATTGCTTAAGATGGACCCCTCTGGACAATAATAACCAGGGTCACATGGTCCTTCTGGAGCTGTTAGTTGCTTCTTAGAACAGAAGTATCCAGGATCACACAACTGACAGTCTTGGTCGCTTGTCCCACCGGTGCTCTTACTGTATGTTCCAACACGACAAGAATCAAATTCAAAAGAGCCTGCAACACAGAAAGTCCCTTGAGGACAAGGTCTTCCTGTTTTTCCATCATTGGGAGTTCCAGTATACGCTCCACCATAGCACACATAACCTGGGTCACACTGCGCTCTTGGAATGGAGAGACCTTGAGCATCACAGTACCTTTTTTAATAAAACATACATATACATTAATAAGTCTGACACACACTTATTAAAAATTTCACCTTCAATTTGGAGGAACATGTACCCATTCCTGCACTCCTCATTTCCTATCTGAATGGTTCAAAATGCAGGTTTAGCTGACATATAACAGAGAAAATTACCAGGGAGAACTTTATACCAAGCATTCAAAAAGTAATATTTTTCCCACTAAGTAAAACCAAACAAGTGGAGACTGTTTATCTCAGACACCTCTGAGGCCTGGATATGGGTCATGTGACCTTTGACAGGTGTTTGTCTTTAGTGATCCTTTCTCACCAAACCACTCGAATCTACAAGCCCTGACAAGTATGTTATTCTCAGTATCACGTGTGTGTATGGTTTTGTTAGGTTTGCAATAAAGGACAGGGTTGAGCCATCAGTCTGACATACATATATATATATTACATATACATATGATAATGTGCAACTTACCAGCCAGGGGTACAGTCTGTGCAGTTCTCCAGATAATAAGCTCCACTATGATTATTAAATGTTCCCAGAGGACAAGGCTGAGGGTCACCTGACCCTGGAGGACAGTAATGACCAGTTTTACAGATAGTGGGTGTCTGAGATCCTGTTGGACAGTAATGACCGATAGTACACTCAATACAATCCTCCACAAACCTTCCTCCTGACTCATTAAAGAAAGTACCCTTTGGACAAGGTTCCTGTATGGGGCCATATGAGCCAATACGCAAACTTGAGACTCCATCTGTGATGTTGGTTGGACAATAGAAGCCAGGACTACAGTCACCTGTCTCATGGATGGATTTTTCAAGGCAATACTTCCCTGCAGTACACATTCTACATGCAGATATACTTCCTCCAGTGGTATTCGGGTTAAATGTACCAACAGGGCAAGGAATTTCAACAGGGTTACCTGTAAATTTAAAGTGAAAAAACAAAATTTATACAAATTACAATTTCATGAATCCATTATGAAGAAGAAATTGCCATTAATCAAAGTAAAATATGGAAAGAAAATAGTAATCATCAGTAACCTTCAGGACAGTAATGTGCTCTCTGGCAATCAGTGGCATCAGCGACATCCGTCAGTCCTGCTCTACAATACTTTCCAGCTGGACAAAGCTTGGTTGTGTTCATGCTTGTTTCAGTTGTAGTTTCACTATCACAGTAGCGCCCAGCCAAACATGTCTGACAAACTGATTGTCCTGGATTTGTGTATTTCCCTTTTCCACAAGGTTCTGGTACTACAGTACCATTCAGACAAAAATGTCCAGCAAGACAGGCAAGGCAGTCTCCTTTCCACTTAGCTGGTGTTCCTACCACCTCTGAACTTGTTGCATTGTATCCATATGGCATATATGTACCTTTAAAAGAAATGTCCACAACACTTTTAGGATACGAATACTCTGTAGAGCAGAATAAAAAAGCCTAATAATGACTGCAACTACATATAGTTTACAAGATCACTTTTAGATCCATTTAGGTTTTTCATGACTCACACTAAACAAAGGAAATTCTATAATTCTATATACAGTGTAGATATCTTTAAATGTGCAAGGTCAAATGAAAATTTGTATCTTAACAAAAAAGGTTGAATAAACCCTTCAATCAAGGATAGGACCCAACAAAAACTCAACCCAAAAGTGTTGCCATGCTAGGTAGCTACTATTCCAGATTCTCACACATACTAGTTCTAAGTAAAGTAACCAGTATATATGACAGCTCCACAGTACACAGTTGTTGCCACTATGAGTTACCCTCACTTACCAATAGAACATGGCACTGGCTGAACTGTAGCCAACTCACAGAAATGGCCTTGTGTACAGTTAAGACACTCATCAACTCTTGCTTTGGCATAGTGAGGATTGTATGTTCCATTAGGACATGGAAACTGTTCTGCCACTCGCGTGCCTCCTGGACAGTAATAACCTGGTGGACAGTTACCTCTGGGTGCTGGTTCACCACCTGGACAGTACTTTCTTTCAGGACAAATATCACACTGGGATGCATCAAACAAGTCAGAACTGTTTGAATAGGTTCCAGGAGGACAAGGATACTTAGTTGGTGATCCTGTGCCTGTTTTAAGGCAGAAATAGTGCATCAGAGTAAGTTATGAACTGTTCATAAATTGTGTCCAATTTTTTTTGTGAAGGTATTTCAGCCAGATTCTAGCATCAACACTTGGTGTGAATGCTGAAAACCATAGAAAATGTTCTCATTGATCACATTTTCCTAAACTGAACTGAACCTTTGGAATAGTTTTTCAAGCAAAATTATAACATTCTTCCCTAACCCACCCCTTCCACCACACAAATTTCACACCCACCTGCTGGACAAAAATGTCCCTGACGACAAACTTGCATTGTGTTATTGTTGTTTAGACCAGTTCCCCAGCCACATGACCTTCCTTGTGGACATGTCAGGCACTCCTCTGCCAGAGTCAGACCTGCTTTGTCTCCATACGTTCCAGGGAGACAAGGAAACTGATTACCTGCCACTGTACCATTTGGACAATAATAACCTTCATAGCAGTATAAGGTGGCATTTGTCTGTCCTGCCTGAGGACAGAAGTAACCAGCAGTGCATGGAATACAGTTCAGTAAGTGCCCAACCTGCCATTCAGGATTGTACGTCCCTGCTGGACAAGGAATTGGGGTAACTGTGGGTTCAGTTAGTGAGCCATCTGGACAGTATGAACCAGGAGGGCAAGGCTTACACTCTGTGTAATTCTTCAGGCCAATTTGATCATTGTAAAATCCAGCATGACAGGCAAATTGTGTTCTTGCCCCAGTTCCAATTGGACAATAGTAACCAGGAGGACAGATGGTGGGCTGACTGGATCCTGCCACACAATAGTTGCCAGCAGGACAAGGCAAACAAGCTACTGATCTTGATGTCTGGTTGGCAATTGGGTTGTATGTACCAGCTGGGCAAGGAAACTGATTGGGGAATTTTGTTCCTGTTGGACAGTAATGGCCATCTGGACAAAGAAATGGTTGGTAATCAACTGTGCCACTCTCCCGACAATAGTGACCCATAGGACACGCCTTGCATGCCTCCTGTGATTGTGACCCATTGAAAGGATTATAGGTCCCTGGTGGACATGGATATAGAGTGCGGCCATCACACCATCCACCCTTAGGACACACATCTAGAGAGAAAAAAGGAGCTCAGTAAGAAAAGGAAAACAGTAAAAACCTACAATGTCCATTAAAATGCAATTACTCTCAAATTAAAACATGTTCCATTACATAAATCCTATCAACAGGTACATGCAGTTAAAAAAATTTGAATGGCAAGAACATTGAGAGAAAAATAGGTAAAGGAACACACTGAGAATTCAATTAAACGTATTTGCAACAGCAAAGGACTAACTTGTCATAACTGATCTACAGTTTTAATTACATCCACTTGATCTGGACCTTCCAATCATAGGTGCATTTGTAAATCACATACCTTACTATTGATCCTGTCATCATTTTCATTTTCTGAGTTTTCTAAGCATAGAACCTTTGGTTTTAAATTCAAGTTGTACTTTCTTTAAGTCCCTATAAACTTGCCACACAAATGAAGAAACATGAAGCAAGTGTTTAACTGACCTTCAGGTGGACTGTCTGTAGTTGAACCTTCTTTGCACTGGAAACCTCTTTTGCATGGAAGGCAAATTATCCAGCCAAGACTTGAGTAATACCCAGGAGGACAAGGCTCAGGAGCTAAAAGATACAGGAAGTGTATAAATCTTCTAATTCAACCTGTAGCTTGATATTTTCATCTTGGGATTTTTTTAAAATGCACTTACCACTTGGATCAGCACATTGTTTGCCAGCCTCACACAACTTGCACTCCGCTGCATTTCTTTCACTGAAGTAACCAGGTGGGCAAATAGTGGGACCTTCTGAGATTGACGGGCACTTACTTCCTGGGAGACAGGGTGTACATGTGATCTGAGCCCCTAAAGAATATGTTCCATTTGGACATAGGTTCCTGTAGTAAACAAAGAGTCAGAAGCATGAGACTACTGATTTTCTAATTGTTCTGTCAAAGCAAACATTGTCAATACCACCATGATTAATGGACAGGATTCTCTGAAAAAAAACAGACACAAGACCAACAAGACAGAGAGAATAATGAAGCCACACACAAAATTAACAAAGAAGTTCAAGAATATAATTTTAAATAATACCTCACACCTTGATCTTGTATCGGGCATGCATAGCCAGGAGGGCACATTTCACATGAAGATGCATTCCCAGTTGAATAATAACCAGGATCACATGGAATCTCTTGTTTTTTATCCGTATATGGACAATAGCTGGAAAATATCAATAACTAGTTATCAAATGAAGTCTAATACTCTTTTAACCCACTAATGTGTGTCAACACAGTGCACCATTTATTAACAAAGAAATGTTTTACAGTTTTTCATCACCATTCCCTCTTATTTTTCAAAAAACCGAAATGTTTTGTTTGCAGACTGAAATACTTACAAGCCTGCCTTGCAAGGTGTGCATACAGTCTTCTTTCTGGTTGCATAAAACCCAGGTTCACATTTGATCATGTAATCTGTGGTTGTATTTGGACAAGCATAACCTTTTGGGCATGCTGTGCAAGATGTCTGCCCTCCTATGGAATATTCTCCATCCAGGCAGGGTTGATTTCCGCTGCCGTCTTTATTGGGACATTTATAACCAGGTGGACATGCTGTACAATGAGCACTTCCTGCTTGTGAGTAATAACCAGGTTCACATGCGAGTTCTATGTCTTTGCTAGAATTTAAGAAAATGAAATTGGGACCACTGTTAGAATGAATCAATGTATCAGATTCAAAATTGACACAAACTGTGAAACACTTAACAGAGAAATCATGATTGAAGGGAAGTACAAGATAGGGTATCTCAACTGAGCAATTAAAAACTAAAGAATAACAAAACTTCATTGAAAAAAAAAAAAAAGAATTTAATTTGACCTCCAGAGAGAGTTTTTGGCAGCAGGAAATCATGTGCATGGTTAGTTTCTGATCACTTGAGATTTTCAAGCTCACATATCAACTTACTAGAGAATTATTTAGATACCCTAAACCCTAACCCTCACCCTATGCATCATAAAAAAAACTTCCATCATTTTATTCATAAACCACACAACAAATCACACTATAGTACATGGAAAATAAAACATGGGGATTAAGTAGTAGCTTACTCTGTTTGAGGACAAAAGAATCCTGCTCTGCATGATTTACAGAGAGTGCTGCTACCAATAGAATATGTCCCTGATGTACATGCATGTTTGGCTGTGGAGTCTGACGTGTTTGGGCATGCGAAACCAGGAGGACAAGCTGTACAGTCTGTTGCTGCTACATCACTAAATGTACCTGAAGATAAATCAGGTGAAACTTGTCAATAAAAGGAACTTTTGTGCTACAACATTAACAATTTTGTTAGGGTTAGGAACTTGCAATGAGAGGGGTCAGTTTTGTTACGAAATTATCTTACAAACAGATACCTAGTGAGTAAAGTTTTAAGGACATTAGTTCAATGTATGTACTGTTATGTCCTGTCATGATGGTAATCTACAAGCTACAACCACAAAACTTGTGGCAGTTCTCCATATTCATACCTGCTGCACATGCCACAGGAGTACCACTGGTTGTGGGACATTTAAATCCAGCTTTACACTGCTTACAACTCAGAGAGTTTTTCTGATCTGTGTAGTGGCCAAGGGGACAAGCCTGTGGCAATGAGCCACTGTTGGGGCATTCATAGCCTTGTACACAATCCTGACACTCTGTAGCCCCACCCAGTGACCACTGTCCTAGAGCACAAGCCACTTCTCCCTCTTGTGGTGTTCGGCAAAAGTAACCTGGACGACATCTGATACATACTGTTCCATTGTTGCTGGGGATTTCTCCTGGATTACAACTGACTGGTAACTTGTATCTTGACTCACATATTTGCCCTGTGCTTGCATTAGGACACTGTGCACATGATACCACTAGAAAAAGAACACAATTAAGCATAACTTAAACTTATTTAGAATGACCAGTAGAGAACATCAATCAAGCCTTTTCATTTTCAAAATTGAAGTAGTAGTTTTTGATAACCAATGGTCACTTTGTTTTGAAATACTTCAAAGGTCAGGATAATTCCATATTATGACAAAAAGCTATTAATCGTAGACTTTTTCAAAACTGAAGATCTCCTACCTGTAAATGGAAAATCCCCCTTTTTTTACAGTTATTTACAAACACAGAGACAAAAAAATTGACAGCTTACTTGAGTCAGTGCTGTAGAAGTAACCCAGTACGTCATCAAATGGACATAATTCTGTTCTCTTGTTCTCTGGGCAGCTGTAACCTGCTGGACATGTCTTGCATGCTGTGGACAGTGCCTCAGCATATGTCGCTGAAATGATGATTGGAAATTATTATGATTTAACCTTTTTATATAAACCTGTACCCAATTAAGAAGTCAATAGCACAATATCATGCAATTATTTCTGATATCAACATCTTATGATTGATAATAGTTACAATTAAACCTTTAAACTCTTGGAAAGACCAGCATCTAATTTCTCTATACACCCTCAACACTGAACCAAACATTTTGGTTATAAGAATACAGTATATGACCAACCACTGAAGAAGCACTTGATTGTTAAACAATTTCTCCTTGTCAATACCATAGGAAATGTACAGATAATATTTGTGTATTCAGAGAAGACTTCTTGTCAACTTTCCCTTAACTTTCTTCTTATTAACTTTTTATACATCATCAAAAACAATCAAATATACACCATACAAAACAGCTAGCTGCACATATTAAGTGTAATATGATCATTGTGCTTGATGTTGACTTTGCATCTTACCACCAGTACAGGCCACAGGAATACCAGCAGGATCAGGGCATGCACTCCCAGCTGGGCACGCTGTGCAGTTTTCAAATCTTCCTCCCGAGGAATACATTCCAACAGGGCATGGAACTGGTGGGTTACTAATTATTAAGAATAAATTGTCTTTTCAGATTTTCATTTAATATTGTCAACATTTAAGATATAAAAGCATTTAAAGTGGTTTTTTTATCTCAATGGTTGACTTAACTAACACATTGCATAATAGTGACAAAAATTAAGGTCACTGTAAGTTATAGATGACAAATGAATATTCTATATTTTATTACCAAGTACTGGCTTTAAGGCCTGAACAACTAGCTCACTGATTTAGTTACATGCTTATTTACCAGACCATCAACTGGCTCCTTGGCAGATTGAATAGAGTCACTCTCTTTCTTTGAAAACTAATGTGTGTGTCTATTAACTAATCCCACTCACTGGCTCAGAGCCTGAAATTCTAGCACATGGGCCAAATATTTCAAATGATAACTCCTACATCATAAATGAAAGAAAAACAGCTTTTTGCATGGATTTAAAGAAGAATTCCCTTTACAATTATTATACAACTCGACAATTCAGAAATCTACAAACAGGCACAGGATAACCAACCTTGGATCAGGGCAATAGAACCCTGCTGCACAGGGAACACAAGAGGTCCTGCTTGGTGTGCTTTGGTAACCTGAAGTTATTATTCATAAAAATAATCATAATATTAAGAATAATAATATCAACACGACTGTTAAAACTTATATTATAATTGCTTAGGGTTTCTCAGCTCTTGCATCTCCATTAATGCATTTAAAAGTTTGTAATCTATCAAAAGTTGACACAAGCAAAAATAGAGCAGTTGAATTTACTGTTGAAGTTAAAGGTTGAGTGTTTTTTGTTGCTGTTTCTATTGTTTTTTTCCCACTGAAAAAGGGAGACTTTAAGAGAACATTTTGGCCGAGAATTATGAAACTTGAAAGTTCAAAGGATTGGCTGAACTTTTCTGGCACTTCTGTTACCAATTCCTTATTACACTTTCCACCATAATGTATAATCAAGTGGATTTTTTTTTTTTATCTGTCTAGCTCAGTATGTTAACAAGCAACACTAACCTTGTGGACACTGCTTACAAACACCTTCTCCCTGACCAGAAAAAGTACCAAGAGTGCAGTTCACAGGTTCAACAGCTGGATCCAGACACTGTTTTCCAGCTGGACATGGCAGACATACAGATGATCCACTTTGACTGTAGTTTCCTGACTCACACGCCAAGCAATTTGACTGTCCATACTTACTAAAGTAACCAGCCGGACATGGTACAGATCGATCACCATTTGGACACTCACGACCAGCTTCACATGTATGACATGTGTCTTGTAGTGTTTGGTTTGTGTATTGCCCATCTGGACAAGTCTCAGGAGCTGACATTCCTCGATGAGGACATTTATGACCTGCAGGACATGCCTTGCATGCTGTGGAACCAAGAGGTGCATACTGTCCCTTAGGACACACCCTGGGTGATGTACCATTGGAACATTCATAACCTTCTGGACATATCGAACATGTTGCATTACCCTTCGCACTATAATAACCCTCTGAACAAGGTGTTGGTTTAGATGCAAGGTTCTCACATTGGAATCCTTCTAGGCAGATGACACATTTTGTTTGTCCTGTACCATTGCTATAGTAACCTGATTCACAAGGCTTTGGTAGTTGGCTACCATCAGCACAGAAAGATCCAGCAGGACATTCCTAATTAAATAAATTATACAAAATATCATCTCAGTTGCAGAATAGTCCACTTGTTGCTGAAAAATAGAGGGACTATTGACTCTTTCACTCCGAAGATCTCTTAATTCTCCCTACCATCTGCTATACAATTCTTCTGATGTTACTATGAAGAATTTGTTATTAGATCAACCAATAATCCCCTAACTGATACTTTTCTTAATTCTCATCAATTGTTTGCTTAATCTAGTATTGATATCGTAATGAGAATTCTTTCTTAATCACTCATGGGAGTAAAGGGGTTAACTTTTCAAATTTGTCAGTAGATAACATTTCTCTATTGGAATGCACAAGAAGAGCACCTAACCAATATAGCTTACAGCACCACAGTTTCTTTAGAAACTTACCCCTTTATTCAATATAGCTTACAGTATACCCAAGTACAACCCAGATTGAATATTAATTGGCACTGACTTGGCACACTTGAAACACAACCTAAAACTATATCAATCCACAAAGTTACCTTGCATGCAGCTATGTCTGATTGTCCTGGTAGGTCATTGTAGTAACCTTCAGAACATGGTTTAGAACTGTTCTGACCTCCTGGGCAACTAGAATTTAAAGTAAATTATTACACTAATTATTTGAAGCATCTCATACCGTTTGCTACATGGATAATCTCATTTTCCCAATTCTATGATTATCTGGCCCCTTAAAAACCATAAAGAGCTCGAGATATCTGCTAAACTTTGTAAATGTACAATGATGAGGGACAACTCATGCATTACGTCTATGTAACTGGACAGGACACACTGTTAGTTTGACAATTAGGTTTAACTTCTTCACCAAAAAGTCAACTACAGGTATTATTGTATTATTGATTGTTACAAGGACTTTGTGTCCTCAAATTCTGTCTTGAATCAAACTCTTTGTTATCAAATGAGATTCCCACTTTGCAGTCATCCTATTTTGTTCAGCAGATGAATGATTACAGACTGAACTGGACTCTAATCAGTGCCTCTTGAAAACGAGAATATGTCTGATGGAATAAGTTTCCAAAAGACAGCATTTATCTCTAACAACTCAAGCTAGACACAAAATGTTGCATGACAAAACGTACTGTGAAGTGCATTATACATGAGTCTGAGACTAGACTACTGTTTTACGGTAGAGATTACAACACTGATATTAGCAACACAAAACACGACACAGTCGTATATCGTTATACTGTTTCTTTGTGTAGTGAAACCGCCGTCAGCATGTAAACCCGTCTCTAAAGTCTAACGAAAGAAAATCAGACTAAACAAAACTTACTAATGACCAGGAGGACATTGAAAACAGCCGAATTCGCTTCCATTTACCACAAGAAATTTGCCGGGATCGCAGCTCAAACTCCCGCCGCATGTTGTACCGCAAACTGAGCAATCACAGGGATCTGAAACCACAAAAATGAGTTAATATCTTGCCTTAAAAACCCTAGGCTAAGTATGCGACTAATACAACTGTAGCATGAAATATAGGAACAGTTCTAACAATGCAAATATAAAAGTGTACGATATGTATTTGTCACCACTTACCACTGGCAGAAGTAACCTCTGTCCAGCAGAGTATGATGGCCGCCAAAATAGAGATAAATGAGTGCAAAAACAAAGTCTTTAAGGCCATAAAAATTGTGTTAGTAATAACTCTTTTCGTGGACTTTCTAAGTAGTAGGCATGAAAGATTCCTTGAGAGTCACGCAGACGAGCTGAAGGTTTTCTCCAATGTCAATTTTTTTTCCGTAAATAGACTCGCTACAAAGCGCTGTTCAAGAACGTACTGGGCTTCTCATCATCTGAGTGAGTTCATTTTACAACACTTGTATAATCTTTTGTGCGACTTTATCGTCAAAATTCTGCAAAGTCGAAGAGGCAAAAACTAACCCGATAACGAATGTAATCGAAGTTCATAAAGTTAATTATGCAAAATTATGGCGGATCTCAGTTCATTCCGCATGTGATTAGAACAATTGCGTCAGGTTGTCATAACAACAGGTTTGTTTTGGTCGTAAACCACATTCCAAATTTCCTCCAAAAACAAACTCGAGTTTCGTTTAGTTTTTCAAAAACAAACAAGATCCTTTAGATTTTCATAATTACTGATCGTGTATTTTGTATTTCAGACACTGGAGATATCGTCCATTTATTTATTTTCGCCTTGGAAAACTCGTACGCTGAAGTCGAGTCTGTGATTACCTAATTCCTTCGTATCCAAAGCATCTGAGACGAGAACAATGCAAACTTTCCAGTCCATTAAACCCATTCTATTCTCACTGATTGTTTGCAGAGAAGGAAAAATTAATTTCTCTTTAAATACGTAAGGAAAACATTACACAATGCTCGACGAAAAGAGTGATCCAAACTTTACGTGTCACCATTAAAACTATAAAAAAGACGACCCTAATCTGCTCTACATAAGGGAAACAACTGTCTCAGAAAAATGATTCGTGAAAATCTTGGTAAAATGCTTGAAAAAAATTCAGACGACCCCCCGAGCGGTGCATTGAATATTAACTCATTAAATCGTGGGTAAAAAGCTCTTTGATATCATTCTGAAACGATACCAGTTTATGTTGCGGGGGACACTTGTTGTGTTGCCGCCCATAAGTTAGTGGAATGAAATATCATTCGAAGAGGTAGAAAATTATTTTTTCCAGTTCTATACAAATCCCCCTATACGTACTGGATACGCTTCAAGTCACACAGTTTTAGCCTATATTGTCACAGTACTGACATAAACTTGGCAGAGTGAAACTCACTGTATGGATATTAAACTTTTATCCTCTCTATGTCCAGATCTGATTCAGAGGTATAGACAGAGGGATCCCTACCACATTTTAAATTTTTTTCACTTTTTTCGTTGCTCCCTTAATATTGACTTGAAATAATATTTTCCGAAACGAAATGTTTTCACTTGAAGATAGGGGTTTTAACTGACTACCAGGGTTATCGATAAAGTAACTAACCATAACAGAGGGAATGATTTGGAGTGGAGAGCAATGCTTAAAAAATGCGGAAAACTAAGACACCGACATTCTGTACAAATAGATGGTAAGGACGCTCAGGAAAGGTCACTTAGCGGCCTGGGCTCTATCATGGGTGAGACAAGGAACAACACTACTGTTCAGGCTGAGTGGAAAAACATTCTGCTATTCATTTGTCAATTGACTCGCGTTCAATTGACTTAAAATTGGTAAAATGCAATGTTTATCAGGCAAGCGACAACACATTTGAAGGTGGTAAAAGACGCAAAAACGAACGCAAAAGAGATTAACGCAAATTCCTCTCACAAATTAATTTGTTGTAGTCTGGATAAAACTAACCACTAGGAATGAAGTGGCTAAAAATTTTTCAGTCTGGGTCTCATATTTTCGAGCAGAAGTCTCGCAGTCTTGGTTTTTTAAATTCGCCATTCCTTAAATATACAGCTTTCGAGCAGGCTATCATTTTTAGCGCTGCAAGACATGCATTTCTCCGTCGCAGGGAAGATTTAAAGCGAGTCAAGGAGAGGTTTTCCAAGGTCTGGCGCTAATTATCAGTGCTAGATCCCCTACAGACCTCTCGAAGGCTAGCGTAGCCCAAGGCTTCGTGCTTTCCAGTGGGCGAAGAAACGCTCGTGCTGAGGCGCTAATCACGTGGCTCTGTCACAAAGGTGACGTGATTGATAAGTTGTTCAGTAATGGTACAATTATAAAATAACTCTTTTATTTTATTCAGGTTTGCAGCTGACTTGGTAACATTACATCTTTATTTTAGCGTTTTGTTTTGTGATTGTTTCTTGTCGGAAATCATCTCATACGTTCCTATCCTATTTGCGTTTCGTAAACCAGCTGAAAGCACCGAATGCAACTACCTCATCGAAATTTTTAAGATCAACCGGTTTAGTATCCTAAAGATATCTACAGAAAGTGGCGCTTCCCTTTAAAAAACTGGAACAATATAATTTAAATCTTAAAATCTTCACTTAGCATATAAAACTAGCAAATTTTTTCTCTTACTATTTACATAAACTGTTTATAAATGTTGAAGCCATTGTTACTATCTTACACTGATTATCAGCGTATCATCTTTGTTCATTTGATACCTTAATGACCTGAATTTCCATTGTTTTAAAAATCAACCTTGATCATCTGTGGACAATTACTCAACAACCAAACTTAAACAAATGAATATCATGTCCAGTTCAGCGAAATGACTTCTGCTTGGTAAAAAAAAATTGCTTTAAGCACTTTAGCATAAAATAACTCAGCAAGAATAACAGAACTGTTAATGTATATAAACTTCACACAAATTATCCAAAAAGTTGTTTACCAAAGTTTTACACAATCATTGAAAGTCGAAAACTCTTGTAAGCTCGAAATTATTCGATTATTTTTCTGTACAATGTATGGAATGAACACTTGCTTTTGCAGTTACATACATCAGTGGAGCCACACGCGAAAGATTTCCATGAGGAAAAGATTTCGATACTGAAAAAATCTAGCCGATAATGGATCACATGCTTACTCTGAAACATACTAAAAGAAAATACGACTTAAATGGCCTGTTAAGTATATCCAAACAGACTATTAAACAATTGCTTCAAACTTCGCAATAAATAAAGATTGGAGTTAGGAATTCACCCGAACATCAACTTTTAAAAATTTTCAGAGCATAACTGCGTTTTAGCGGGAGCTTTATTAAAATTTACCCCATCATTCCGCTGTATCTTGCAAACGTCGCCGGCATTGGATCTGAATCTTGCAAAGGTCACCGGGATTGGATCTGAATCTTGCAAAGGTCGCCGAGAGAGCATCAGGATAAACTGCCCACGACTTTGCTCGAGTTGTGGTAAAAACAAATCTAGGCGCGTGCCTCCAAACTCGAGATAAACCCTCACCTGGCACGCGTAACGTCATCCAGACACAAAGATCTTATCACACCCTTTTTTTCGGAGAGGTGTAGTGTGAACTCAGTCAGGAATTTCAATCCTCCAGTTCCGTTACAGATCCCACGATCGATACACATGACTGCCACTAGCCCTAACATTTTGCAGTTTCTTGTTGGTCTTATACTCCTCCATTAGCTTGGAACACCGCTGATCTTTCTCTGCGTCGCTCAACTGATCAACTTTGTATTTCTTTGGAGACAGTTCAGGAGAATAATTCAGAAGTTCTGTATTGGACAGTTTTTCCATTTCTTTGAGGCTTTCTCTACTGGAATCACTGCCGTCCAAGTTAACACCCATCTCTTGCTGTAACATCATAAGATCTTCGTAGACTTTTGGATCATATGATACTCCTTCCGTATCTAACTCCTCCATTTCACTCGATGAAGGATCCAACTCATATGGATCTCCATGTGGAGAAAGCCGCTTACCTCTCAAACGCCTTTGCGCGTGCGCTTTTGAGTAATCCTCAGGTCTTATCCGATCAGGATTGTCGTAACTATCCCGAGAAGACGCGTAACCGCTCGACGCTCGGTCGGTGGAAGTTCGATCGCTTGAGCGGGATGATCGTTTTGAAGTATCTCTGGGTGATTCAATGCTGTTTGTTTCGCTGGATGATACAATCACTGAGCAAATCCCACTTGACGCGTTTGAAGAAGATCTAGAAACTCTGTGTCTTTCCTGGAAGAAAGGATCACACAATTTAAGCTGGTCCATTGAATTTGCTGGCTCAATGGGATTTATGTTTAAATCTGTAACAGAGGGAGGCTTCTTCTCCTTATAAACAGGCGGCGAAGGTTTCTTTGATCTATCGCGACTTCCTGAATTCCCACGTTCATCGGAAGACGACTCCGAATCAACTGATTTTAGATTTGCTACCGCGCGTGGAAGTGTAACTACGTCAGATTGACGGTTGTTGGCTGCACCACTCGGCTGACTTTCGTAAAGCTTCTGGCCGATTTCACGGTCACTTTCAGTCTCCGACAGTGACACCAAAGAAATTGCCGGAGACACGCTATTTTCCGAGTCCGTATAGATTGGAGCTGCTGAGGGTCTGTCCTTCTTTGAGTGTTTGTCGTAAGGTTCGCCAGCGAATAAAGATTCGCCCCAACCTTTTAACTGATCAGTAAAGGAAAGTCTCTGAGAGTCGGACCTTTCTAAATGAAGGTAAGATGACTCAGGCTCAGTGAGTTTCCTTCCCAGTGATGACGTGCTATTGACCTCTCGTCCTTTCTGCTTTGGATACTTCAGCCCCTCGTCTGATTCGTCCTCTTCATCACACGTGCACCGGAACTTTGGATCAGAATCCTGTTCCGAAATCGGCCGAAGCTTTCCTTCGTATAACGAATGAGGTCTGTGTCGCCTCCCTTTTCGTCCTCGTACCATGGAATCTCCCGAGTCAGAATCCGAACCCTTTCCATCGCTGTTGTTGTTTGAATCTTGTCTTCTGGTGAAAACTGCTGGAGTCGACCAATGATGAGGCTGTCTTCTCCCAAGTGGTGCGCCACCTCGAGGGATATCCCCGTCCCGCGGGATTTCTTCCTGTATGGGTTGAAAGCGCGGGTTACGGAACATACTAACTTCTAACTTCTTCTCTGGTAAACTGCTGTTAGAACCAAATTTCTGCCTAGCGTGAGCCTTAGATCCTAACTGTTCATATGAAGCCTTTCGTCCAAATCCGGAGGGAGATATTTGAAGAGAATCCCGCGATCCTATGTCAGGCTGCCTACAGAATTGATCGTACGAATCCCGTACCTCGCGGGATGCGGGCTTTGCTAAGGTACAATCATACCAGCCTGACTGGCCGTCCCGAGTCTCCAAGTCACCGAAGTAATGAACTTTCTCCGAATCCTCAGAAGCTGTTGGTGATTGAGGCGGTGATGCGCTCATTACTAGCTTGGCATAACGTAACATGTCTCCGCTGTACCGACCGTCATGACCCGATAAGATCAGATCTTCTTCTCGTTTCATCTTTGCATATTTATCGCCGTCTCTTCCTTCGTTATCATCGGGAATAAATCGGACAGTTTCGGGACGCAACTTAATTTCAGCGTCAAGGAAGTCGTCCTCGGAATCTTCGGGTTCAAAAGCTTCACTTGTGCTGTGAAGAGAAAAAAGGAGTACAATGTTTCTGACGGACTGAAAATAATGTAAAGATATTATAAAACAGGTCATAAAATATTAACTACATCGGTTAGATCTTAAAACCTTTCAATGACGCAAACACGGTACATAACATCACAAAACTTCAAAGAACATATCAAGTTACCAAACACTTCACATAAAAATCTTCAAATTTCCCCTTTCTCAAATCGTTCAATTGGTGGGTGGGTTTTGGGTTTTGCATGTATCATGCAAATTGTTTGCACTATGGATTCTCGGCTAAAACGTAAAATTAACAGTTTAAAAAAAATAATTCAGCATTTATACTGAAAAAGAGTAATAATCTCAAAATATGAATAAGTGACAGAAGAAACCTCTGTTCGTTCGGAAATTTGGTGAATAATCAACCCTTTGATGAATATAAATGAGCCAGGGCAGTCCAATCGTGAACATCATACTGGCTGTACTAAGGAGTTTGGAATGAAACTTACAAATTAACTTGTCACTGATGTGAACTAAACGACTGTCAGACTAATAGGAGAGATTGAATTCAGTCGGCTTTTTCGAGATTATTTCAAGCATTGTTGCAAGGCTACAGATAAAACTGCTAGAAATCATTCCGGCACCGTAAAGACTATTACAGGTATACTTTGTAAATTTAAAACAAAATTACAATCGCTTTTCTACTCTAATGGGTCATTACACAGAAAAAGCCATCGGTGATTAATTTTGAGAATTGACGATGAACATGGCGTCCAGCTATCACTTTATTCAAACAGAAATTCATTGAGTTCTTGGGTACAAATATTTTTTCTTGTTCTTAAGTGAAAAATACAGAATGACACTACCAACAGAACGCAAACCTTAACTTTACAATGTTTCTATAATTAATACGATCCGAAATTCACGCCAAGAAAACAAAACAGTAAAAAAACAGGCGAATTATGATCTAACTAAGTTACCTCAATAAATTTCCCATCACGACCTCAGAAACTCTTCGAAATTTAACAATTCAACGAGTAATCGATCCCGAAACAGAAACTCCTCAAATAGTTATAATTATTGCATGACTGGGTCGTCTTTCTGTTTTAATAAATTTATCATGCCTGTCCCTGGCTTGGAAACCAACAAAGCTATCAAGTGAATGACACCTGTCATAAATTTGACAAAGATGACTTTCTAGTCGGCATGAATTATAAAAAAGGAGTGAAAGCGATTGAATCGAGTCTAATTTACATACCAGCCACAATAATTGTTTTACAGGTGAATAATGTACGTTAGCATTGGCAAGAATTACAACATATCGAATCTTTCCTCAACTACAAAAAAATAGCGATCGTGGAAAATAATCGCCAATTTCGTCAACTGTCTTGAGATCAAATTTATTGTAGTGCCTTTCGAATTTCAAATATCTATATTTTTATCTCCAGACTATGCCGATGAGAATTTGCCAAGAAATTCAAAGAGATCAACTTGTCACAATAATATAACTTAGAGACGCGCTGTGTGAACGGTTGGGCTTTTGAAAAGAAGGGTACTGACTAATTCAATGATAAAGTACTGCGGTTCGACAACAAGAGTTTTCAAATGGGAAAATGCAGTTCTAACATTTTTCTTTGTCGATGTGATGCAGTTAATAAACTAGCTCTTGATGAGCCAATCATAATACGGAACCCCTTTACGTGACTACTGAGATAAAAATAACCGGAGCAGACCACAGTTTGGTATGTAGTCGTCTTCTTATTTATCTATTTACTTGATAATCTTTTTTAGGCCACGGTCCCATAGGGTTTGTATTCATAGCAGTAAATAAACAATTTGTAGAAATGTACCTGTTTGGAAGAATGAAATGAACTTTCTTGTCCCCGGATTTATTTATGTCTGAAAGAGAAATGAGAAATTAACAAACGTCTAAATCCTTACCGGACTTTTTTTTACAAAAAGAATCATTTAAAAACCTTATAGCAGATCCTCCACAATACCCTCTAGACGCTAATATAATATGAGGCGTGAATCAGGGCTCAGCAGCCTTACAGATTCGCGGTTCAGACTCTGGAACCATATAACCAAGCACAGCCAATCAGAAACCAAGTTTCCCCTAAGGCTAAATCGTCATTCACTATTTATTAAGAAAAGAGCTGATTGGTGTATGAAGTGTGCTGTGGCTTGCACCTTTTAATGAAGAGGACATTATAATTCAACTTACGGTGTTTTCTGGATTTCTTCCTGTGAATGAAGCAGAAACAAACTAAGCCGAGAAGGAAAAGACCAACGATGGCTCCAAGGACTCCAGCTACGATGGGAACAACGTCATCGTCACTGGAACGTTTGCCGATGACTGGAGAACCTAAAACATCAGATGATGACAAACTTCATAAGAAAAAACGACTGAAAAAATGAAAAACAATTTCACAGACCCAGACCCGGCGAAAAGGCGTCGGAAATCTACAATCACCGAAAGAATTGAAAAGCTTAACCTTCAAGATTGCACTGTAAAATCTTCACCCAGGCTTCTTATTGGCTACCGAACATGGTAGTTTTAAAATGAGAACTCTACTTCGCCATTCTCGCGAGGATTTATGGCCAAAATAATGATTTAGAGCTCACCAAGTTTATAAGTCTTGGACACATAAGCAGCCTCACTAAACTCGTTCGCACCAAATGCAAAAACCCGGAAGTCGTAGCTCTTTCCAGCTTCTATTTTTTCTGCGTTGAACAAGTACTTTCTGCGATCCGCTGGGACAGCAGCATCTGCCATACGCCAAGAGGATGATCCATTTCCTTCACTGTACTCCACGACAAACTTCTCCACAATCGGCCGACCAGGTACAGCTGAGTAGGACCACATGACCCAGTATCCGTCCTTAGTGGTGTTAACAACAACATTCTGAGGAGCTAAAGGTTTCCCTGTTGGAAAAATAATACTAAATTAAACATTTTGATTGATAAGATTGTTCCGCAGTTTAATCATCAAATTAGCACAAATACAACGAATGCAAATTCGTCAATAAATTTGTAAATCATGCGGTCATTACGGAGAAACAGAAGGATAAGTTACACTCAAGATGTAAATTTTAATTTACAACAAATGTACCCCTTAAGAAGCAAGCGACTACAAATTGCAGTGTATCATTTCAACTGGCAGGAATTCTGTGGAACATGGTCGAACAGAAACTGGGTTAGTGACCTTACCTGGTTTGTCAGGCGTTCGATTTATGACTGGAGGAACGCCTTTGGCTTCCACAATATCACTGAAGTGCCCAGCCCCTTCTCGGTTGATTCCTCTGATGCTGAATAAGTAAGGGTGCTCCGGCTGGAGGTCTGAGATCTGGTATGACGTCACGCTAGCTGGTAAATTAGGTGACTTGAGCCATTCATAATCATTATCAGTGGTAAGTCGGTGCCAGACTTCCAGCCTTTGGGGATATCCACCATCGTACCCAGGCCGCCATGTTATCATGGCCGTCGCGTCGTTGAACTGAACGCTTAGTATCGTGGGTTTGCTGGGAGTGGCTGTAAAATAACACAAAATTCACGCGATTAAGGCATCTATTTCTCAAACATTGGACAAATTACAGTGTGCGACTTACAAATGACGGCTATAGTTGTGGAATGTTTAGCCTGTCCATCAGCTGATGTAGCAATACACGTGTACACCCCATAATCATCTTTCTGGATGCCTTTTATTTCTAGCTTGCCCCCCTGTCTGACCGTACGGCCTTCTGGGAAAGGTTCTCCTTCGCGTTCCCACTTTAACGTGGGAGTAGAATCAGAAGTAGCTTCACAGACCAGTGTGACGTCATCATCCACTCTGAGCGTCATGATACTTGGAGGTGCAACTATAAACTTTGGAACAACTGCGATAAAATAGAGACAGGAAAAACATCAGATTCTGGGCAAGAGCAGCTTTGTTGTCAAAGCGACTAGTAGGAATTCTTACCTTTTAGGACAAGCCTTGTTATTTTTGTTTCTCCTGGCCCCACTTTGTTATAGGGAGTGCAAGCGTATTCCCCCGCGTCTGTGCGTCGAACATCCTGTATCAGTAACGAACCCTTTTCCAGCACAGCAAACCTTGAACGTGATCGCAGGTCTTCACCGAGTCGCGTCCAGTTTGTAAAAGAAGTGCTCGGGTTTCCAACGGAGATACACGGCAACCGGGCATCAGAGCCCTCGGGTACTGCCACGGTGTCCTGCATTTCGACAACCGTAGGGGTATCTGAGATAAATGAGATAGAATAGAAAGTCTTCAAAGTATCTGTTTAATCAAATATTCATCTTGAATCAACAAACAGACCCAGACCAGCTGCTTGATAAAAAAAAATAAATTAAGTGAGCAAAGTTACTTCATCCATTGCTTACATTGAACATCCAAGAGTATTTTGGCCCCAGGGTAGGTAACCAAGCCACTTGAGTCAAATGTTTTCGCAGTGCACTGGTACACACCGGAATCGGTTTTGCGGGTTGATTTGATAAACAAGGCACCGGAAGCAATGACTGTGGCCCGTGTGTCTGATGCAGCATCCGCGCCATCTTTAGTCCAACTGTATATGACGTTTTCACTCGGCAGGTTTGTATCAGTGAGACAGTCAAGGACCGCTGGATATTTTTCAACCACTGTTTTTCGACGAGATGGTAAACCAACTTTCCCTGAAACATAAACAGCGAAGGGAAGCAAAGCAAGATCAAATTGTGTTTTATGTAACAACGGGATGTTTTCAAGTGTGCTGGTGAAGACATCCTTAGCATGCTGTGTCAACAACCAATTCATGTATAAATGGAAAAGCGTGAATGAAAAAAATATAAGAGCGTGGATCACGTTACTTCAGGTTACTGGGAAGCAAAAGAACAGACTGTGTTTAATTAGCTTTCGTGAATGATCGTCTTGGATGAAACGATAAATCACAAGACTTGTGGGAACTTTTGAACACATAATTTTAGAAAGGTATGCTAAGCTCACTACCGTCTAGCTCACGATAAATAACGAGAACATGGGAAATTTTGGCAAAAATGCCTACGACTCTTTCAGACGGATACCAGTAACACGAAACTGTATCAAACAGAGATTAAAATCTCCAGCACGCGACCTCTCATCAACCTTTTAAAGTTATTTGAAACAGAACGTTCCATTCAAGAACTCGTAGAAATATAGAATATTAAAGATTTATGAAACTGACTCCTTGCTACCTTAAGACTGATTCGTTCAGAATGAGCAGAATTGGAGCTGGAGATTCTCAAACGAAAGCAATAGACGAGAAGGCAATGTTACATATAAGCCTGTGATTAGCGGGTAGACAACAACACTTGAGGCTTGATGTGTTACCAGAGATATAGTGTTTTCAGGTGAGCTGTTGCATTTAGACTCCTGTCTCCTTTGGTAGAGGATGCCGCTTACTATTTCAACGCACAATGATGTTCAAATATCTTCTGATCGGTCCATACTAAGATGATCTTCCGCTCCTCAGTCGCAGAAACTCATGTAACCTCTCGACCAACGCAACTCATTGAGGGATCAAGAAAGCTACTGAGTTGAACAGTGGTTGATCATTGAACGTGCATTATTATCATACCTTGAGCTAGCACTGCTGAGCTACACATCCCCACTATCAACACGATATTAAGCATCCCAAACACAGTCTGTTCCTTTCGCTTTAAAACCAGACATGCAGTAGAACTCATCGGGGTTGTTTGCTGTTCAGCAAGCTTTGCGTGTAAAACAACTCACTTTCCCCAAGTGTATCGAGTTACACTGCACTAAAAGATTCCTTTTGTCTGATCGGAGAAATGTCAACAACTTTCCATGAAATCTGCCCTTAAGCCTCTCGACGAACCAATGGCAACTCACTCGTTAATGATATTAATCACAACAAATTCACATTTAGGATACTTAGTCTGTAAGAGCACTATTCAGAGCATCGTTTTCAAATTTCTAGACTGAACACTTTGTAGGAAGCCCTGAGTGCGTGGGTTAGGTTATCTTTTGACGGATCTACAGCATTTCCGCTCAAATCTATCTTAGGAAATGCCGGAAGAGGATGAGCGAGTAAAAATAATGACTCACACCACAAAAGTACGTGTTGTTAACTCAAGTCTAATATTTGGTTTAAAAACATAAAAGGTATTGCAATGGAGCCAAAAAGGAATGATTGGAAAAGATATAAAATATCGCCAAGATTGTTATGAACTCGTAAGAGGGCCCCTGGGAAAAATGGAATGTTGTCATGAAAAAATCTCAATACCTAGGTGAGGTGAAGGCATGAAATATGTAGAGAGACAGGATGTTTGTTTTTTTGTTTTTCTCTAATTTATAGAACCCGACCACTAAATTATCCACACTTAATAGGTTCCTAATAACAAGAAAAGTAATACAAAATTGAACCTAAAGTGTTGGGATCGTATACATTTGCCAATATTAAAATTTGCATTTTTAAAGCGACAATTATGTGAACCCCACTTCAATGATACGCTTATTAATCATCAGCTGGGTGATTTAAATGTTTGGTAACCAAAAATTCGCGAGAATACGTTCTCACGCGAGAATACGTGCTCAAACCTACATGAAGCTGAATGAACTGGAACGAAAATAGGAAGGAAGAAAGAAAGTTTTAAAAAGGACACTTGTCTTCTGGACGGATTTAATCGAGACCTAAGTATGACAAAGCAGTGGTGCAGATTATCGTTTACTGAAGTGTAACTGAGACACCGGATGAAGCGGTGTAGGTCTCGTGAGGGAAGCACAAAATTTTCCTTAATTGGCAAGGATACTGAAAATAGTTTATGTGCCAGCTAAAAACGTCTTCGATATCTCACGTGTCAGAAATCTGTTTCAACATCTCTGAATATTGTACAACTTTGACCATTTCGATCCCACAAAACCTTTTAACATTCTTCAAATTCACATCAATATAGTGTGAAGCTCACAATTTAATAGGTTGAAGCGAAATAAAACAGCTTCTCAGATTTCCTTGAGTATATCATATTAGCTATCAAGAAATTATTTGTACTTAAATTGGGGCAAAAGTTAGATAAGTTACTTTAACGACCAGGACTGAGTAATAAAATTGCAACAACATAAAACACAATAAAAGCTCGAAAGAATTGTGTAACACGCGTCAGGTAACAAGTGAAGACATACAAAGAACTACCCAAACTGCAGGAAAGAGTACCGTGGGTTAGTAATGTCAGCAAATTAAGCACAATTTCCAAGTTTGTTTTTCTTCCTTTTCATTGTTCATGAAAAGCAAGACTAACTGGGAAAAATTTCTTGGGTTCTTTTGAGAAATCTGTTCATGAATTAAGATACCCTTTTCAGCAATATGGAGAGTTACAATTGTCAAAAGGCGATGCAAGCAACACATAAACAAAAGTTAGAAGGAAGTACGTTTCGCGGTGGTGTTCAAATGATGGTTGTATATACACAGTGCTGTGATGAATTTGTAGACGACAAAAAAATCGGTTCTTACGCTTAATGGTAACTTCAAACACGTGATGAAGTTGCCCAACAGAATTAGCCGATGAGCACTGGTATCGACCGCTGTCATCTGGCACAACAGTTGTCACTGTGAGCCGACTTCCGGGGAAGACAGAGGCGCGTTCGAATGGTATAGGTGCCCCGTGTTTAAACCACTCCACTTCCGGTTCCGGAGTACCCCCAACCAAGCAGAGCAGAGTCAACGAATCGCTCTCGTTAGCAATTATTTTGTCCAGCGGTTTCCTTAAGAAGAAAGGAGGGACCGACAAAGGGGCTGATAAACCGTGAAAGAGAAAAGCCGAAATATTAATGGTTATCATAAGACTTAAAGAATGAATTAGTAAATTATCAGCTTAAATATAGGATTATGTTATCGTTATAAGAAGGTAATGAGGTAAATAAGTACAGGGCTTTTAAATTTAAGAGTAACGGGGAAAAAAAAATTAGGATGATTTAAAACACTTATGGCAAAAATTTTAAGTTACAACTACCAAGTTAATTAAAGTTATTGATCACACGCTGTATTAGGGATTAAAATGTGTCACAGCGTTAACCCACATAGGAAAGCGGAACTTTTAACGTAAACAAAATTGGTCAACAACCATGAAACCTGGGTGCCTTAGGAAGTTTGAGGTCAGATTTTTTTGTTTTCGCATATGTAGTCAACATAATGATTTAAAGCATTTGTGTGATGCCGAAACTCTGGTTAATTTTCAGTACTCCCGGTACTGTTTGCTTTTTCATTGTAAACTAATTGACATGCTAAACAAGTTTATTTATCTTGGCATGGGAATTGTTTGCCTCAGACGGACGTTTACAAAACAACGAGGTGCCGTCTCAGAATAAATGAAAACAGACGAGATTTGGTTTTGGAGACTCGACAAACGAGAGAGATTTTAGCTTTAAGAAAGTAAACTAAATCTCAGAGCTACATCAACTTGTACAAAAGACAAGACCTCCACTGTTATTAGTTTCCTGTGCAGTGTCGGCAGTGATCGATGCTTCTGTTTGTTCATGGCTTTAAAGAAGGATTCAATGATTTAAATTTGGACATCTTAGCCATAATTAAATTTCCCGATCGGTTGGGTCCATTCGGCCGAAACTCAGTGCACTGCATTGCAAAGTTACGTATCGTGAATCTTGTCCTTTCCCTTGCGTGTTCATATATTGACCAAATTATTTTTAACCTGACAGTTTTTCAAAAGACTTGCTTTTCAAAGGATAAATCAACTGACCACCCGTGAATTCTCTCCTCCAAGCTGACAGCTCATGGCACCTTAATCACACAAGCACGTTTTGTTGCCATGGCAATTACAAGGGGGCTTACAATGTTTTTGAAATAAACGTCAGTCGGTTTGCTCTTTTATTTGAACAAACAAAAACGTTATTAGATCTTGAAAATGAACTCTTGCATTTCCTGAGTCTAAGTTAATGCTTTTACGAACAAAGTTTCGCGAAATATGCTTTGGATGTCGACCGTGTTCACCTCATCACATAGGTAAATACAACAAAGTGAAAATCGTTTCCAAACGAAATATGGAATAAAGAAAAGTTAATTGGGATAATATGAATTCCAAAGGCGCAACGTAACTTCTTGTGGAGTGAAAGGAAAACATCGGATGTGACAAGCAAAGACTTACTGTCAAAATGTCGGTAGTTGGGTCAATAACTGGTAAAACCTTTTCAAACAGAGGATATTAAATTGCACGCACTATTTGCTTGTGCGGGAAAGTTTTTCTCTAAAGCAGGGCGATAGATTGGTAATCGGTCTGTTTCTTGCGGTCAAAAAGAATACTTTGCCCCGAATAAATCCAGTTGTAGTTTAGTCCCATTGTTCGTTGTTTTTCATTTCTTACACCAGTTGAACTAGAATTGAGTCGGCTGCAAGTAACGTTAGTTTATATCCAACTGAAATTGTACAGTTCAAAGAAAGGTGACGAAAAATGTTTGCAGTTTAGTGTTATTAAAACTTTTTTCAAACACATTAGAATAAAACTGGAAATTATTATGAGTAGTTCTTAACTTTCAATAATCAAACTTCACTTGAGATAGCAAGCCACTTTTTAACCTGAAAAGAAAGTTGCAACGTTCTTCCACGATAAAACCGACTCAAAGGCTTGTGTTACATTCTTTTCGCTGTATTCATTTCAACACAAAGCGGGTGAGAAAGTCTTATGGAAAGGGGTTTAATATTACTCTCCATTTTAAAGTTAAGTCGTGAATGGTTTTAATCTAACTTGCCTTAAAGTTGTCTAAGTCACCTGCAGAGCGGATAAAGTTCAAACTTAATTCTTAATATTTCTTACAGACGTTGAATATTTTGCTGGCCAAACTATAAGGCTTTGTCGGTCTAACATAGCAATTATGTCCTTATATTGTAATACCCCAGCGTTCTAAAATCACAATGCACATTCAATCAGTAGGGATTAGGAAGGCGGCTCACAAACACGAAGCTTAGAATCTGGGATTAAACCGTCTGTACTGGTTACTTATTCAAAATTGCAGCGGAGACGGCGTAGAAAAATTCTGTTTAATGAATTACAACGAAATTTTCTAGTTCAGTCGGGGGTCGAAACGCTTGGTTACTCAAGCGTCTTTTAACTTCAAAGTTTTACAATAGAAACTTTTTACTCCGAATTGTTCACACTGGTATAAAGAGATTCAAACCGACGCGTAAAAATGAAGTTTCAAAGCCGTTTTAATCTCAGAAGACAGATTTTGAGTTTCTTCTAACGGGATATGAAATAAAAAAATAGGATTTCTTCCACGCTGATTTAAAACTCTGAGTTTTTAACAGCAAAACCTGATGTCACTGCTATTTTATGCCGCCTCAATGAAAAATGATAATTTAATTATTTGGGTAGAAATGACATTTCCTTTGGGTGGGAGCGCTACACGAACAAAAGTTTTTTTAAGACACTCAGGAATTTTAACCACCATGAATATATTCACCAAGCGTTTTCAAAGAAACATTGTGAAATTACTGTCATATTAACAGACGAAAATTTGTAGTGAGGCGGTTCGGGAAATCGTCATTACTTGATGGAGGCTTCAAATTAATAAATCCAAACATTAGAAGGAAAAGAAACCTTGGCTAGACGAATTAAGCTGTTCACTAATAAAGAGTCTCCTGGTGAGGGATTTTATGACGTGACTACTAGAAACAGATTCAAAACAATGGCGGAACAAGAAACCGCACGATTCCTCCTCTAAGCAAAGCACGTCTCGCTCAGCGGGTTGCTAAGAATCGGAAACGTGTCCTGTGCGTGTCACGCAGAACTTAAACCGATAAAGTTACAATTCTACTGAGAATTAATATCCTCATGTTTGAGAAGAGACAAGCTACGCTCCTTGACATTAATGTCGACAGTTCAATTACATTTTAGTGTACAAGATTTCTGATAAATAAAGGTAGAACCAAATCATAAGGTATCGTTACAACCGGCGGATGAACAATGTAAAGCACCTGTTCGCTAATATCCACTCCCGTCCCAAAGACGTCATACACATTAATTTACTCCTGTACAATACAAGTGGGTCAACTTACCAATGACTTTGAGAACGACCCATCTTCCATGAGTTATGATCGTACTTTCAGATCCAGATTGCATCGTTCTACACCGGTATATTCCCGCATCAGTATCCTTTGCTCCCGAAAGCAAAATTGCAGAAGTATTGATCATGTGAACACGGCGAGAATAGCGCGAATCAATGTGAGGTTTGAAGCTCATGAACTTCATAAAAATTGGACTTTTCGATCCGTTCTTTCGCCATTCTATGAGGTCCGGCGATCGATCTGCGTCTACAGCATCGCACGGTAAAATCGCGTCCGATCCTAGCTTTACCACGATTTCTAATGGAGGAGTTTTCCCCCCACCCGGATCAGTATTCGATGAACTTCCCTGAGCCAAGCCTTGAGGAAGAAGGAAAATAAGCAATGTTAACTTCATAGTAATCAGCGAATGACTGGTTATAAATGCGATCGTTTGAAACATGCCATCAACAATGTCGCAAATAATCGCTTTGATCGCTTCTTGAACTGATTACGAAAAGCTCTGACTTTCACGTGTTGAAAAGCGTTGTTTAATTACTCAGCTGTGTGTGGGTGACTATAGTTACGGGACAGGGAAGAGTCAGGATGGTGACGCCATTTAACTCAGCGGGCCCTGATGCAACAAAGGTTCGAGTTATTTACAAGCGATCTATAGGCCTGCAGAGAGTTCGCAACAAATCAGGGGTTACAAGAATCAATCATCTCAAGAGCTCTCATATTCTAGGATGACGGGCGACGAAAGTACAACTTTAGATTACTACCGCGATAATGTTTAGAGCGTTCAGCGAATTTAAGAAATCTTCCATCGAAATAAATGGTCCGTAGTTGGACGACAATTGTTACCGAATACCGTTGTGTCCGCGACTGAGATCGTTGCCATTCTGCACAAAAAACATTATCCACAATAAACACTGACCCCAGATTGTAAAGTTCTTGGAATGTAGTGGATCGTTCATCGTTGATACAAGCGCAATACGTGCTGAAATTACTGGTTCGTTGTCTTTACGGAAATCAAACAGTAATATTGAGCATACAGGAGATCGCTGGCTTGTCTTATGCTTGGATATTTTCAGCGACTATTCGGCAAAAGTGTGATAATTGTAAGAATATTTTGCAAACTTACCTCTTTGAAACATCGAGAAAAAGGAACCGATCAACAGGAAACACCAAAGCATGACGCTATCAAACCTACAAGAATAAGACCATAAAATCCGTGTTGTTAATCTGCCGCGATTCTAGCGAAATTCCCTCCACAAGCCGCTGATTCTCTGAAGCAATATTTCACTATCCCTTCACACATTATTGTAAAAACAACAGTGATACAAAGGCGCTCTTAATCGGACATACACGACCGAAATGGACATTTTCAATCAATAAATTGACCAAAATAGAACGGACTAAGATAACAATGAAAAGGCGAAAGTGTCAGGCGACAGCCAATCAGATCACAAGTTGATTTTCAAGTTGACAAGTAAATTGATGAATTGACACCAACCGCATCAAACGTGCGCGTACTTTGCACGGAGTAAAGTGCTTTTTGCGTGGACATTCGTGGAACATTAGCAATCGGTGCTTTTTGCGTGGACATTCGTGGAACATTAGCAATCGGTGGCAAGAGATTGTTTTATTCAAGCCTTAGAACGGTATCTGGGCAGAAATAATGGTGTGTAATAGTGCAAATTTTAAGGTTAAAGAAAACCGGAAGCGACGGCGACCGATGAAAACCATTGTACTAATAATGTAAGAGAAATAATTACCATTGCTTACCCTAAGCAATGTGCCGCATTTCTAATCAATCAGTTGTAGCTCTGAAGCTAATAACTAAAAACATATCTAAAATATAGAATATCTGAAAAATCGTGGCTGACTTAGATAATCGCCACTGAAATAAAATTTTGCATTGGAAATCAATTTTTCAACTACTGATCAAGTGTCTTGAATCCTCAGTACTGATTGCGTTCTATAAAAATATTTGTCACCACAAATCGTTCCTCTCCCTCCACTAATGTTATAATTTGTGACGTCAGACGTCTAAATAACAAGATTACGAACCCAGGAAGGAAAGACACCTTTCGTTAACTCTAGGAAAAAACATTCCAAAATTTCAACAATAATTGAAAGGAAAACATGAAATCAATCCCTGTATCACAATTAAAATAACTTCCAGATTTAGAAACACTGGCGTCTCCGTACAATAGAAAGAGAATAAGCAACGACTGATAAAATTTCACACGTGTGAGACGTTACACCTCGGTTACACCTCTGGAGAAACAAAGGAAACTACATTCTAACGCCCTGTGGTATGACAGGAACATTAGTAATGTTTGCCCTTGACACTTATTCCAAAGATTTTGTTTTTTTTTTCGCATTTACATCCTTTTACCTCAGGTGATTGATATAATTAGGTTTTTGTTTCCTGGCCTCTCAGGAAAATGTCTGTGGTTCTAAGAAGTATTTTTTGCACACAGGCGTTTTATTCACGGCTGTATCAGAGGCGGTCGTTCTCTTTCTCCGACCAAATAATTGTGGTTAGTTCAATCAGTTCAGTGTAGTTTTACCAGCAGGAATCTCTTCCGTTGGCCTCGCGCACCCGCTTTACAAGAATTGGCAGAACAGCGTGCGGACAAGTTCAGGAAGGCCAGTTAAACGTGACACCACATACACAGAACTAGAAGCACGAGACAAGTTATAAAAGAGGGAGAGTCTCGTGAATCAGCAGATCATATTCATTTTTAGGTACCATAGTTCGTGTATTAAATGGTTCTCAAAGTGGTTCTCTCTATATCTGAAAGATCTTTTTAAAAACATATTTGCGCCGTTACTTGGTGTTGACGGTTCACAGCCGCCCGAAAATCGCGCGCGCTGAACGCGCGTGGAGTTTACAAGCGAGCTGATAATTTTCGCTGGGTCTTGTTTTGATAAGTTCGTGGTGACTCCACTCCAAAGAAAAACAATTTGAAAAATAAAAACAAAGCAAAAAGCAAGGATGAACTTACACAGATTGGATTACAGTGGAGAATTTTGCCGTTCTTCACAAACTCTTCAAACTTTTTGAATCCAGTGATCTTTGTGCCGCTTTCAAAGAAGATTTCGGATTATCTGAATTGACGGAAAGAAAGACATGATTAAAATGCTACATGTCTCCGTCCCTCATTTGAAAATAGAAAAATATAGACAATATAACACAGATAATAGAAGACAGCCATGTAGCCATTCCAACCAGACTGACCAAAATCAGCCGGAAATGACGTCAATGCATGGACATTTTGCTTCTAAAACCGTAACCTAGTAATCATTAAACGATCAATAGCAATTAAATTCTCCGCAATTATTCTAAATTTCTTTATTAGAAGAGTTTGCCTTTACGTAGTCATTACCATTGAACCTTTTACTCTTATTTCAGTTTCTCGCCGTCCAGAAAAGTAAAGTATTTGAGTGATCCTTCTTAGAAAGATAAGAGGATCAAGTAAATACTTCACATTTTAAATACACAAGTACTTGTGGGTTTTCACTAACTCTTCAATCTTCTACCAAACACAAACACAATAAAACAACATATTTAGAAAAAAAACCGACTATGAACCTCCATGGTCTCATTAGCTTCCCACAACCACTGCTCAACCAATTGATATCTTTGCCCTCCAAATATCACAGTGTGAAGCCATATTAAGTGTTTTTAAAATTTAGGTTTTCCCAAGTTTTTGTATAAGAAACATGAGTTGTGATAACAATTTTTTTTTCTGGCTTTCTTTAACCTCTCTAGAATCTTAATCTGCTAAAAAATGGACTGTGATTCTGTATAGGGTTCTTCGTTTCGTATGAGACTCACGTGGTCCAACGGAAGATCAGTTGGTCCCGAAGCCGGGAAGCCCACATTCCATTATCTCAATAATTTTTTAAACTTTCATCATCACCAGCTGTTCTCATCATGACATGGTAGTGAATATTTCGAGATTTGAAATATTTGTACACCGTCAGCAAAATCTTTAAAGAAATTCACACACTAAGTGAAAATTGAGAATTGTTCGCTATACAGATCCATAATGTGATGCGATCGTATTCTCCCGTAAAAGGTTATTTTTACTTGCCTCATTTTACATAAACGAAATACTGGAATTAAAAAGCAGCTAAAGAAATGAGAATCAAACAATATATTTATATATCCCTACCTTGATCCCAAAACGAACAGAATATCTCGTCATCTCAGTAAAATCCTGCAGAAACAAAAGCGATGTGGACAAGACGAGGGTTAGCCTACATGTATATGGTTTAAACTGACCACCTTCAACATTACTCATTTCAAAAATATACTTCACATGTGGTTCTCAAATGTTACAGGACATTTCTCTGTTTTACCCACGCTGCAAACAGCCCAACCAGCAGAAACGAAAATTCAAAAAAGCAGGTCGTATCTGCCGAGGAATTATGAGCGAAAAGAAACTATAACTTGCCAAATAAAACATTAAAACAGAAAATACGCAGTATATAGAATCACTGGCGGGAGAGATATATCAAGAAATGTGCACAGCGTGATGTCAATTTCATTCAGCCGAGACACAGCTCATAAATATGACAAATGGACGCAGTAGACAAATATATAGATATATCCAGGAGTTACAAAAACCTCTTTCAAGTGAACTAACATTACTCTGTTGAATTTTCACGAAACATGCGCTTTATGAATCTTTGAGCGGAATGAAGGTCGAAATCCACATGATTAGAAAAATGAATTTAAACCGAACTAAAACCAGGGTATAAATATTTCATTCAATAAACTATTTTTGTTTCTCAACTGCCTTTCAGGCCTGCAATACATACTTGTCGATCAGTATTCACCGTGTGTTTAATTACTGCCCACTGGATTTAAAAATGTGTTCTCATGAACAAATGAACATCTAATACATCTGACATCTTTTTTTTGTAACTATTTCACCTTAAAAATGAAAATTAAACGGACGTCAAAGAGAATGTGAAAGTTTTTTTTGACACGAGCACATGTTTTTGTAGGTTGCTGCCATCTAAGAAGATGTATGCAATTCTGTATTGAACGGTCATAGTTTGATGATTAATTTTGTCTTTTAAGATTAGAGCAAAAACTATTATTAAGTCATAAGTTCCTATATCACTGTTTCTTTCTACACACAGATAAGAACATGAAGTGACTAATTTGAAATCATTAATATCTTAAAGATCTCAAAACGTTTCAGCTCTCAATTGAAGAGAACAACAAATGTTTCATTGCATCGAATAAAAAAAATTAGAAGAAAATGTGTTATTTGATTACTAAGTCTTAATATTGTTTTACATCTTAATACAATGTGTAAGTATTGCATCCACTCGCGGCTCAGTCATATCATAGTTGATGATTTCCTAAACTCACGTGGGAAGACTGCAATAAAACGGTGCTGTTTCAATTTCAACACAGTCTATGTTGACAGATTCTGATCAGATTCAAGGTAAAGAGATTTGTTTCCCTGACCATACTTTTGTTTTCACCTGATCCTGCACTGATGATTGTTTACTGACACGAAATAAAGAAACAAAGAACGCTAGGCTGTAGCTACTTCTACCTGGCAGCTGTCAATCATCTCATCTCCCGCAGCTCAGTAGCACTGCCCGTCCAAAGTTATGTTGTCTTTTCATTTCCAAGTGCTTAGAATAGTGATCACATGTTTGTCATTCTGATCAGTGAAAGCATGCGAATATTTTCTTGCTCCTAACTGGTCGAGTAGGAAAACTGCTAACACTGTTAACGAAAGTGGGAGCAAATTTCTTGCGGTTTCTGGATTTTGAGTAGTGTAAAAGTAAAGCGCATTTTTAGAATGATTAAATCTTCTTACGGTATGATAAAAAAGATATAGATTTAAAAGAAGACGCAATATCATTGCCAACCTGGGCCTCGCGTGTAGCGTTCGGGATCACGGGTCAAGAAAGGATATCTCGGGACGCCTCGCGTGGAGGACCACCAACTCGTACTAATATTTATTTTAACTGCCAACCTAGGCCTCGCGTATAGCATTCGGGATCACGGGCCAAGAAAGGTTATCTCGAGACACCTAGCGTGGAGGACTACCAACTGCTACTAATAATTATTTTAACTGTCAACTTAGGCCTCGCGAATAGCATTCGAGATCACGGGTCAAGAAAGGTTATCTCGGGACACCTCGCGTGAAGGACCACCAACTGCTATGTCTGACTTGAGCCTATTGTATTCAAAATATTTACTCTTAGGTTTCTTATTTGTTTTGTTATTATTTCCATGATCAGAGCCTTTTCATTAAAACAATCTGGGTTTAAGTCATAAAAGAATAATAAAATGTTAAGTTGATGGAAACAAACGAGAGATTAGCCGCTTATTCAGTTGAATTATCAAACCGTAAAGCTAATAATCTTACCTATGAAGGTTTCACGGTCTTTACACCTAGACAAATAGCACTGAATATTATCCAGCACATTTACTTTTCTCCATGTGTTTCACTCGGTAACCGAGTCTCTTAACAAAAAACCATACGCTTCTTGATAAGATGTAAGATTGTAGCGCATGATACGATTTACTGAGCATGTTTCATGATCTGAGCCAGTGTTTTCGAAACCTTTCAGCGCGACAACTGATCATTTCAAAAGTAAGATTTACTGTACATGAAACATCAACAGAAATTACTGTAATTCAATTAATTGAACGTACCTTAATTGCGTGAAAAGGAGAGCTATTCCAACGACGAGACTTGAATATTCAAACGATTGCTGGGATTGCTTTGTTAACGCCTGCTGTCTGTCAGAGACACAACAATGAACCGCACAGGGGGAGGAAACTTGAAGTGTCATTAGTCATCGTCTCACAAACGGCATGCGGTTTCTTGTGATGGAGAATTCTGAATTGTAAAGAGGAACAAAAAACTGTCAAAACTAGAAAAGAAAAAAACCACGAAAAAAGTAAAAGCTTTTGAAAGGGTTAAAATGGTTCAGTCACCAGGGCCACTTGTACGATTGCAACTCAATGAGTTACAACTTTCACTCACACGAGCCTAGAAACTAGCCGTATACGATCCAACAATTATCAAGTTTATATAAATATACAGATTTCTTTTTGGATTACAGCAAGTAAAACTTCCTTTTATTTCTTCATTTTGAATGGCGTGACCTCTTGATAGCGAAATGGTCTCAATGAAGGGAGAGGCAGCTTATCAAACCGGAAAAACCTCAAGATTAGATAAAGCCCATCAACATCAAAAATATTAGTCACTATTAAAAATATCCTGTGAACAATTAACTTCCGGTGTGGATCACGGGTTATCTGTCAAACCTTGCCGGCCCAGACTAGTTTTTCGAGAAGAATAAATAATGCAGCAAAACGTTACCTGGGTCAAAATTATCGAAGGACTGGAAGGTGGATTCGAGACATACTATATTTTTCAAGACCAACATGAGATCGTGTGAGCAGTTTTTAAAATGCGAGAAGAATGTTTCGACAAAAAACAACAAAAACAAACAAATATTAAAGGGAAAAAGCTTAAAAAACGGTGTACCAATTTCATGGGTCAAACGGTTGGTTCATATCCTCATTTTGTAACAATATGAAATGATGTAAGTAATAAATATATGTTTTTAGACCACTTTCCGTTCTCAGTTGTCAAGCTTTATCTTGTGCAAACCCAAGTCACCTTAGGAGACAAAAGTCTGTCCTGGGTCGTCTGGCCACAATGGAAAGAAGTCTGATTGTGGATAATCTTATCCCTGTGTGGTCTTTTATACTTTTTCTTTCTTTCCTTCTTTCTTTTTTACTTATTATTTACGATCATTATTTATTTTTATTTTTATTTTATTTTTAATTTCTTAAGTATTTTAATCATCTAGAGTTGAACGTTGCAATCTATTGTTCTTTTAATCATATGATTTAACTCTTTATGTCTTGTGAGCAGTTTTGTTTCTTAATGCCGGCGTAAATTATGACATGATAGCAAAAATACACGTTTTTGGGCCGTTTAAACAATGATCAAGAATAAAAGGGACACAATTTCACAGGTAAAAAGTTGACTGACGGAGAGTACAGCAGTGGACTGAGGGCGAATGAATCACAAACTTCTAAAGGTGATCACAGGATTTTGAGTACCACTTGGTAAAAATAAGCACGTTATTTTTCAAGGCGCCACAAAATTGCTGAAGCTCATTAGACGAATTATATTCCAAACTGCATTAGAAAAGTCAATATTTTTTCATGCCGCTAAAAAGCCTAGCCAAATGGCCTGTTACGAATTCTTGCAATGAATCAACTATTTCTGCACTATATTATTTCTCTTTTGCATCACATTCAGCAAAAAGCACAATTCTCTCGGGCAGGCAATCAAACTGAAGAAAATAATTCGTGTATATTATTAGAGCTGTAATCAAATTGGTATTCGACGTAAAATGAACAAGGCACGGGTAGAGACAATTTGTAAGAATTTTATCCTCTGAGCATCAGGTAATACTCAAACAGGCTATCCTCAATAGAAGGCTTTAATTTTCTTAAGAAAGATAAGACACTAAGTTTGGCAGATTATCCTATAAATTCGGGTGATCAGTTCAAACAAAAGAAGAATAAAATTATAAACTCTGTATTAAATTATTCTACTCTGCAATTTAACAACAACTGGTTGAATATTTAATTAAAATATAGAGGAAAAAGACAAGTCGATGACGAGAGCTAAGTTGTAAATTACAGATATATTTTACATGAATAGAAATCTTGGGAATAAAAACCACGGCAAATAGCAAAGGTTTCACTTTCCTTGTTGGCTTTCGGTTGTTTAACACTTGAGTTAAATATTTTCTTGAACTGCGAATAGGGGACTTTTCAGAACTTTTCATTGGCATCGATTAAAACATTTTAGGATTAAGCGTGTTCGTTAAATGTTTATTTGCGCTGTTTGCCTTTGCCATAAGCGCTATGGTTAAACTCACTTTAACCTATAAAATGGGAAAATTTCAAACACCTTTAAGTAAATGTACCTTGCATTCTGGGGGATGCCTCAAAAGTCGCACAATTGTATTTCACTCGTCAGGGCCAACTAACAGCAGTGATAAGGCATTGTTCCGCCTATAAAACTTTGCGGAAAGTGCTTCAGCATTGTTAGGAGTAAGAGGAAATACAGCTTTCGCTTCACGGCACTGAGCTCATTTCTAATTCAGGCTCAGAACATTAAAATCGTGACTTTGCTGTCATTCAACAAACTGTTTTGAATTTTAATTTAGAGACAGACCCACGTATTCGCTAAGCTAATATTATTGGTGCGCAGCAATTCTAAATAAACCTTAGGTTTGAGAGGACTTTGTTTTACTTAAGTTTTAAAAGTGCGCACCTTCACCGCTCCTGAGATGAAGCTCAACTACGAAGCTACTTCAAAACATTTCACTCACGTGGTAATTTTATTGTAATTGAAAAGAGAAAATGAGTGACTCATCCCCAAATTTTTCCATCTCACGAGGGGATGCGACGTAGGGAAAGAAAAATTAGTTAATTATTAGTTTTCTAGCTCTCTCTTGCTTCTCGGCCTAATAGGAGCGCTAGGGAGCTCTTATGCAATGATCCGAGCACAGACAATCTTGATGGTTTGATGTCCCTGGCTACATACACCGGCAGAAAACAATGTAAGTTGCAGTGGTCACTGCTTCAGAAGGCACCTTAGTCTTAAATACTTTTTTTTTTTTGGTACAATTGAGATAAAAATTTTGGTTGATAATTTCTCTATTAGTCACCAAGGGATTAGATTATTACGAGTAGCTCATCAATATCAATAGAATAAAAACAACTAATCTGGTTCGCCAAATTTTCCCCAGTGTCCTGAATATTACCAAAAAAGTGTGGGTGTTTGGATTTCTTAACAACAAAACTAAGGGCCTGTTTACATGGAGGTAGGGGACCCCGGGTAGGTGAGGTAACTCGCCTATCCATATAATTTCTAATTTTATTTTGATCACGTTTACATGATGGGTGGGGTGACCCGCCTAGGCGGGTTGCCCGGTGTGCCAGGTAGGGTAACCCTCTCAGCCGGGATGACAATTTGCCATGTAAACGTGTCAAGGTGGGGTAACCCGCCTAGCCGGGGTCGCGTTCATGGCAAAAAGGCTCAAAAGCGAAACGTGTTTTAAAACTTTGTACATTTCCTAGCCGTCTCACGGCAGAAATCACCAGAAACCGCAAGGAGTGTAAAATGTTCACGTTTCGGAATATTTAGCGTTGTAAATCGACCATATTTGGCTTCCCAAACTATTCCGTATAACGTATTAAGTCAACGGTTTCTCGCGAAACCAAACACCGCGTAACACAACGCGTGACGCTTTCATGAATAAATACATATGTGTCCGAGAATTAATCTTTCGTCTTTTTCGAGATGTGAGCTTGAGACGCCTCTGCTCAAACTCCTTAATTGCAAGCGCAACAACACCCCTGCACCCCGGGGTTGTAAGATTGCATGTAAACGCGTTTTATTTTTCGACCACGGCTAAGCGCCCCCACCTCCATGTAAACAGGCCCTAGCTGTTTAGTCTGTCAGGGCTGACAAGAGGGTTTTTTTTTTAAACCTTTCACTCCTTAGATCTCAGTAATAATTCTAGTTACTGTCTGCCAATTCTTATGTTAAAGGGTGTGAGTTTCTAAAGAAACTGTAGTGCTGCGTTGGCGGGAGAGTATAACTGAGTTGAAAATGTAAATTAGCCACCACAAAGAGTTTAAAAGGCTGACGTTTCGAGCGCCAGCCCTTCGTCAGAGCGATCGATTCTTATGTTAGTTTGAAGAATTTGGTATTTGATCAACTAGTAATCCCCTAATGGTTATTTTTCTTTATTTTCGTCACTTCTCTGCTAGAAATTGTATTGATTTTTCAAGGAGAAATTCCGTCTTGGTCACTTATGGAAGTTAAAGGGTTAAACTAGTCATACTGCCAGCCATTCCTGGGGTTAGGGCCTGCTGGCTTGACACTTTCCTAGACAGAATTAATTTTATACGATTTTCCTCAGAAATGTTAAATGCACAAGTCATTGATGGTTTAAAATTATTATCAGTTCCATGGAAATAAAAAAAATGTTGAATTTGAATTCTCACACTAGACTATCTCTCTCTACTTATCATCTTCTCCATCGTCCTTGTGCCTGGGGTGTTCCCTGGCTGTAAGCTGAGCCTTGTGAAGGAGTTGAATGGTATCCATAGTTTCCAAAGTTTTGATTTCTTGTTGCATTCTGTTGCCATGGGGACATCATATCCCATGGACCTCTTGGCCGGGTATAAGAATTCATGGAATTACTTTCAATCTCACTTCTGACAGGAGAAGGTGATGATATCAAAGGAATTGGACTGGACTGCGCACTCATCTGTCTGTTATGATGGTCAAAAAATGGCTGTCTATTGAATGGTGAAAGATCTGACATTGGACTTTGACTTCCTGATCTTGAAAACATGTTCAGTTGTCCATTTTGATTTTCAAATGGAGACATTCTAGGTGGCAAAATTCCATAACCAGAATTTGATACACTTTGATTTAATGGAGAGTTTGTATTCCCTTGAGCTTGTTTAACTGTTATTGGTTTGCCATATAATGTGATACCATTCAACAGACTGATGGTGAAGGGTACAGAGACTACCTCTGATAAACTGACAAAACCAAAGGTTTTATTTCTTCCTGTTTCTTTGTCTTTAGGAATATGGACAGCATTTAGAGGAGCAGCCTAAATATAAGAGAAAAGTCATATTTTCAATTGATAAATAACTGATTAAGGGATAAAAGATTTTGTAAACAGATGAATAAGTCAAGTCATATTAAACACAAAAGGAACCTGATCTATGTGGCAACATTAACATGTACCAAACCCTGAAAAACAAAAGAAAACCACTAAAATAGGAGAAGGTTTGTGCACACAAGCAAACTGACCAAGATAAGATTATGCTGAGCAAGTGAAAGATGGAATGTCCAGGAAAATATAGCCTTCCCTCGAGATATTTCCTTGCATTCAGGGCATAAGGTCTGATTCTCAAATAGCCCCAAAACTCTCACACAATTTCTCCTATTCTGAGTCAGATATTCAGGCCCTAAACACTAAGTCACAGTAAGACTGTCTCACAGAGACTGAAACATGTTAGCAACTGAATTCATCAAGAAAGAACACTGATGGCATTTTGGCTAATGCGGATAGCAAGTGGAGAGAGAAAAACTCAGCAATAAAACAGTGAAGATAGATAGATAGATAGATAGACTGTTTATTCACAAATACATCGCAGTCATTAGACTGAATTGCGTATTTCACAGAGAAATATATAAATAGGCAAATATTAAAACTAATCACAAACATATGTACATGATATAAAAATATAAGTATCTAATGGGATTAAAATATGTATAGTTACTAGCTAAGTACTACGCGTTGTTTGTTGCTAGGCATCTTTGGACATTGCATACACAAAGGACTGTCTAAAGCAGTCTGTGCGCGAGCGTGGTAGATTATATGTTCTCTGATGTCGCAGGCAGTAGCTTTGTTCATTTCTTGGAGGCAGTAAGTTGTGTAGTTTATGCCCCGAGTTGTTGGCGATTGAATCAAAGAGTCGTTTACATAGATCACTGCGTCTCTCTTTTAGCGTTGGCAGGCCTAGTCTGTCCAGGCAGTCCTGATATGACATATCTGGGAGAATTATGGAAAGAACTCTTTTCTGTATTCTCTCTATATCCTCACTGAGGTAAGCGGGAAGCGCGTGATGGAAGAGGGGAGCGCAATATTCTAGAACAGATCTGATTGTTGTACAGTAGAAATCAACAATGTCATTACAAGGTACATGAGCCCTTTTCAGGAGAACAATGAAATATATCCGCTTGTTTGCCTTCTTAATGCAATCTATGACGTGATTGTTCCATTTGAGATCACTAGATATGGTAACACCTAGGATTTTGGCGCAATCGATGACGGGAAGGGCTTTGCTATCTACTACAAGTGGAGAAAAGTTATGAGGATTTTCTTTAAAGTCAATAATTAACTCTTTGCACTTGTCAGCGTTAAGTTGCATCAGCTGGGATTGGGACCAGGTGTCCACCGCAGTAACAACGCGTTGTATGTCACCCAGGGAGCCACGAGGTATGGTTTGAGAGATGGTAGTATCATCTACATACTTCCACGTTGGGGCGTCAACTTTGAGATCGTTGATCATGAGCAGAAAGAGCCATGGTCCGAGTTTGGTTCCCTGTGGGACCCCGGCTGAGACTGGGCCCCACTCAGAGAAACAGTCTGCCGACAGTTTTACCCGTTGTTGCCGGTTTATCAGGAAGTCGGTCACCCAAGCTTTGATGCTGCGTGGCATGTCAAGACCACTGATAATGTCTTGGTATTACTACTAGTTTCTCTTGGGACCATGTTCAAGTTTTGCCTGGTGTTGTTAAGTATGTGTTGGAGCCCTAAGGTCTCTGATTTTTTTGGGTTAGTGGTGGAGAGGTTAGTTTTTACAGTTTTCCTCACATTACTTCAAGAGGCTCTTTTAGAGAGCAAAATCCTGGAAGATGACGACCATCAGACACAAGCTAGAAGTCTTCCAGAACAGATGTCTGTGAAGAATTCTCTGCATCTTTTGACTTAAACCTTCTCCAACAATGAGCAGCACAGATAAATAGGAACAGAACCCATCACCTACTAGGTCCAGAGAATAAGACTGCAATGGATCAGCCTCTGTCAGCTCTACCCACAAGGTAAGTACTAAAACATGAAACGACCTAAAACCACCTACAACCACCTACAACCATCTACAACCACCTCAAAAATTTCAACAACGACCTACAACCACCTCAAAAACATCCACAGCCACTCGCAAACTTTCTAAAACCACCTAAAACAAGGCATAAATGTCTTAAATAAGGCGAAATGACAACATGTCACGTACATGCAATACGAGAATCGAATGAAACCTCCACCTCCCCCTGAAATTTTACTCTCCCTGGTCCCATGTATAATCAATCATCTCACGAAATGAAATGTGAGAGCATGCTAATTATATTTTTTATTACCTCAGTAGTAAAAGACCTGAAGAACTTTACTAGCAGATGTTTTGGCTCACATTTCATTTGATTATGTAATGGTCTAAGGTAGTGTTTTTCTCCATTTATAATCTCAACAATGGAAATGTAATTGGAGCAAAATGTGAGTCACTATTGCATAAGTGGCACCATTGCATAAGTGGCACAACTGCATGCTGTATGAATACCAGCATGATGGCGTTTGTGCCAAAGGAAGATTCCAAATGTTCGCACAGTTTGCTTGAAATATTTCTAATGATCATTCTAACTCATACTTTTTCTAGATGTGAGCCAAAACATCTGCTGGTACCCAGGGTAGAAAAAGCCAAGTCAAGTCAGTCTTGACTACAAGTTTGTCATTTTACTCTATTACTTTTTGTAACTTGATAGTTCATTTTGTAAAGTTCTTTAGGTCTTTTACCACTGAAGTAATAAAAAATATAATTGACATGCTCACGCATTTCATTTCATGAGATGGTTGATTATACATGGGACCAGGGAGAGTAAGATTTCAGGGGGAGGTGGAGGTTTCATTCGATTCTCATATTTCATGTTAGTGACATATTGTCGTTTCGCCTTATTTAAGACATTTATGCCTTGTTTTAGATGGTTTTAGATAGTTTGCGAGTGGCTGTAGATTTTTTTGAGGTGGTTGTAGGTCGTTTTTGAAACTTTTGAGGTGGTTGTAGATGGTTGTAGGTGGTTTTAGGTGGTTTTAGGTGGTTTTAGGTCGTTCCACGTTTTAATACTTACCCTACCCACAATCACCCACCTCCCATTGGAAGAATGAGTGGCTCCACCCAATGAAACTTTGAGAAGAACTGTAGAAAGGGAAATGAAGGCTAGGGAGCTGGAAATGGGAGCAGTTACACTCACTGGCAACTGACGGAAATCACTTGCGTTCTCTGGCCGAGGCTTCATGTGCATAGACGCATAATGTGGACATATGTGAGTGAACATATGAATGATAATTGCTTCATTTGAAAATCAAGGTAAACCAACTTTACATTAATTTGCCTGTCTAATTCTAGACTAAAGCAACGGTATCCTGTAACTCGAGTTACAAACCGAATGTAGTCTGCTTTTCACCTACTTTCCTTGTCGTCAAGAAAACCAACGTTTCAGTACTATGTTTTTTTCTTCTCTCTTCTTTCTACCGTTTTTCGGTATTTTGTTTGGTTACTTTCGGTGGTTTCATTTCACTGGTTTCGTTCTGTTATTTCGGGTTTTGGTATATGACCATAACAATAATAATTTGAGATACCACATGTGGCGATAGATTAAGACGTCATCATGACAAAGATTTATAAGTCCTCGTAACAAAACCCGAGTTATAATAGTCGTAAAATCCTTCATTGCAGGTACTTCGAGACAGGGTTATCATAGGTGAAGCAGAAAAATTATTTTAACGGAGCCCTCTTCGCTGACTGTCGTTAGACCAGAGCCAGGCTGGTAATAGATTCTCACCTGCAAGAACAGTTCCCATAGTATTTCCTCTGTGACTCGGGAGTCAAGGTTTCCAACAAACAGACAGCATTCATCGCGTTCGATATAGCCAGCCATAGATGACCGAGTATCTACTCTAAAAGTCCACTAAAAAAAATGAAACATTCACACCGAAGGGAAAAGTTCAAGGGAAAGCGCCATCTCTCGTTCCCAGGGAAGCTCTATCTGAAAAGGCACTTTATACTACTTCATATACGATAACTCGAGAGATGTTTGATGCCTGTTAATGGTCAGTGGTTAGTCGAGTCGCAATTATGGGCGACTATAAGACAAAACGGACAAGGCGGGGGGGGGTGAGGGGTATGAAAAACTTAAGAGAGTGATTGTGATAAAGGAATTGATAGTTTTGGTCTGTAGGTAACACAAATGGAGGGTTATGAAACTGCTGCATTTTTCATCAACTGAGCCCCAAGACATTTTATTTTGAATGCCATCATGATCTGACATATCAAAGTTCACAAGGCAAACAGGTTGACAACCGGACATGGTTTGATGCTACTCTGGTTTAAAGATTTAATGAATGTAACCGAGAAATTACAATTCATACACTCATCATTTTGACACTCCAATCTAGTTCCTTCATCAAGGGTAATCTAATAGCTGCAAAAAATAAGGACCTCTGGTTGTAGTGATTAGACCACCCCTGACGAAGGCACAAGACAGGAGTGTCCAGACATTGGGTCTATGAATTGTAACTTCTCAGTAACATTTATCAAATCTTTAAACCAGAGTAGCATCAAACCATGTCTGATTATCAAGATCTTTTGACAGAAGAATGTCAACATCTTGTCATAAGAGGCAGTCCTTTCTAGAGACTCAGACAGGCATGCCAGTCTTTTCAGGTGAGAAAATGATCTCTGGCCTTGAACAATGCCTAAAGCCAAGCCAAGATAAGAGAGGTAGAGGTACAGTTCTCTAAGAAGCTAAATCACTAAATCTGGTCTGCAATAAATGAATGAAAAATCCATACAGCACCCTCTTAATATTTAATTTTACTTTCAGTGCTGGGCACTTAATTTATGCTACAACATGTTTCTACAAACTTGATGCAAATTTTGAAAACAATCAACATGATTTGCATCCAAGAAATCTTCAATATACAAAGGTTTACCATCAAGCTAAACAAAGTTTTTAAAGAAAGAAATTTGGGCTGGTTAGTACTGACAAAAACACCGACGTTCAATTGTTAATCATACCTGAGGTAAGTACAAAACCTGGATTTTCATTTTTCCTGAAAAAATTCAACTTATGGTTAGTCCTTTCTCAGGCTGTGGATAAAGCTGGATTGACAAGTCAGCTTCAAGTTTATACTCTGAACGAAGAACTGATTTGTTGCTTAGATGTCTTTTTACAAACTGGACAACCACTTTAAATTTGTAACAAGACATGTTTGAACACTTTGTTGACCATAATTAGTTAGAATTTCCTCATCAACCATTGCCATGTTAACAAGAATAGTGCACCAAAATGTGATTACATTTCAAATTTAAAGTGAAATGTAGTTCTAAAGAAAGAAGAAACACTTCAAACATTTGTAATGAGAGCTGGCCTAAGAAAAAATTATGCACCAACATTCTGATTTCACATTCAGATGATCTACCAACTGAGTAACACTGAACTGATTGGTGAGCAATTTAACAAAAAACAAATTAATAAATAGTTATAGAAAAAAAACCCACTGGAACAAAAACAGTTCAGGTAGTATATGAACATTGGGATTAATTTTGTCTGCTAAGTGTAAAGACTACCACTGAAAGGTATTTCTTGGACATCTCACAGACTTCTGCCAATGAACTCCTGACTTCTGATGAATAATTACAATAAATTGAAACAAAAAATTGTCCAAAAAAATTGAAAGTGGTTCTTCAAATTTTAAAAATAGTTACCAAGTAATAGGCATGTCTACCTTTATTAATACTTAGTTACTTTTATGTCTGCAAAATTGTATGGATGTTCACATGTAACAAAAAATATACTCTTTGTAGAGAGTTAAATCAGTTGGTTGAAAGGCTTTGCACCTTATACATAGTTTGGTTGGTGGAACATTCAGAATAAGAAAAAAAAGAAGAAAAAAGGGCAATCCTTTTGAAACCATTCACAAACAATCTCTTTGAAACCAGTACACATATTCACAAACTTAGAACAAACAGAACTGATTTTAGAACCAAAACTCTTCAAAACCTTTTAAAGAAAAGTGATCAGATGATGTAATGTTATTTGGCATACCTTACATGACACATCAACATTTTACACGAATGAAAAGCATTTATTCTACACTAACACATTCACATTTCTACACAAGACAAGCCTAGACTTAACACAAATTTTTCTTTGTCCATATTTATATTTTACTACATATCTGATGTATTATAAAATGTCCATTCATGACGGACTGCACTGCACTCGGTTCCCCAATTCACCATCTTCATCATCGTCATCATCATCACTAGCAGTCTCACTATCACTGCCTTGCTCCCCACCTTCACCTCGATTCTTTAAGGGAAAGGCAAAGAAAATAAATATCAACCATCCACATGACTGGTTTGTGTATTCTTTGTGTGAGGATCTGTGAGGGCAATAGCTGCTGGGAATCTATGCCCTAGAAGAAAATCTAATGGCAATGTTCTGGAAAGAATGGATCTCCACAATAATTTTCAAAGATTTACAAAGCAGGTCTGTAAAGGAAAATTTTTTAAGGGAGTATTAGAAGAGGACCTGTGGATTTTTTTCTTAACACACTACTAATATGTTCAGTGTATTTTTTCTTCAAAAATTGTTTGTGGGTTAACAGAAATACAAAAGGTACAGACCTGGCTTCTTCTGATGTGATGCATCATAAGCCATAAAAGGTGTTCACTGATTGGATCATGAGGCCGAAGTCTTTCTTCTTCTCTGTCTTTGTCATTTTCCTTAATCACCTAGGATAACAAATCATAAGTTAATAAATTTTATTGGTCAGGTTAAAATAGAAGCTGCAAAGCTATGATTGACTATGATGCTACTCACATTCTTTAGTCCATCTAAGCTTGTTGGTTCTTCTGCTGTTGGCAGCCAAATCTTAACATCATGGTCAAGGCCACTTGTAGCCAGAATTGGAGCAAAAGGATGTGGCTCTAAACAGTTCACCTGTAAAAAGTGACTTGAATCATAGTTTGGTTTCATACACTGAACAAAAAAATCAAATAGAATTTTAAGATCTGTCACCATATATCAATTTACTTTCCTGACTTGCATGTGCAGTCTACATTGTCTTATCTAGAAGTTGTTAAACCCCTTACCACACCAGTGTTATCTCCCTCAAGGAATTGTACCACTTCCTCAGTTTCTTTGTCCCACAGGAAAATGTGGCCACAGTCACTTCCACTAACAATGTACTCACTTTGTGGACCATAAAAGTTTACCCCCTTAACTAAAAATAAAAAAGGAAAGAAGAGTATCACACCTAGAAAGAACACAAAAACTTCTTCTTTGAATCTAGAGAGATGACAGTCATCATGGAAAGTTGTTGTTTCTATCAGTTTAACTATTTATCTCCTGGCATTCCATCACATTTACTGCAAACTGATTGGCTAGCCAACATGCCATCTGTTAAGAGAGGGAATAGTCCTGCAGTGTGCACTTATAAACAACAAGAAATAAAAACATGGGCTTGTTGTCAAGTTTTAATGACTGATATATTTATTGCTTTTACTTTCTATGATAGTTGATTGATCTAACTGTTGAGTATGGTCGATCATCTGATACCTGTAGCATTGTTTCTGTGCCCTTTGTAAGTTTTAATGTATTCTGCTTCAGAACTATGGAAACAAAAAAAGAGAATAAAACTGAAAAAAAGACTTTGCGACCTCAGCTGTGGTTACAGCACACATAACATTTCCAATTAACATAATACAGCTCAAGAACTTGTTAACTGCAAAAATTCAAATCAAATAAATAAAATCTTTTACTGGAGAAATCACATATAAAATAAATAATGTCGTACCTTGAGTATGAATCAAACAGGTAAATGTTCTCATCATTGTAACTAACAAGCAGTTCTGCAGCAAGATGAAAAACAATCAGTCATGCTTCCAATAAACATCTGATAACATGAACAACTATATCATTCATAATTATGTGCTCACAAATAACAACAACAGCAGGAACAAACCTGTCCCATCATATGAATAAACCAAGCAAGTGATGTTGGCAAAGATGTCATTACTTCCCATCTAAGGAGAAAAATGATTTATGACCTTTTGATGACAAAGCAGACATATACAACAGTTCTACCTGTAAGTTCTCTGAATGCCAACAAGTTCTTTATGCTTAATTTGACTACTTACCAGATGATGGGGACAGTATTGTTTCACAGGCTCCACTGAAGCTTTACTGTCCTGTTCAAAACAAACATTAAAAAAGTAAATGTCCTAAGCCAAGAATAATTGGTTAATATTTTCATGACAACCAGAAATATAATTTACATTTCCTTACATCTGGGAGTTTTCTTCTGTCATAAATTCTGCAAATGCAATCAAAAAAATAGTAAGGACATTTAAAATATTCAAGGTTTTAATAGTGCTGTGAATGTTGGTTAAAATCTCTCATAAGACTATGTTCTCAAGATGACATGGCAGTCAGGGAGTTTGTCAGGCATTAGAGAATGCTCTGGCTAGATTTCAATTGCATAAGCTATACAGTCAAATCTGTATTAAGCAGCACTGTATTAAGTGATCACCCTGTATTAAGCCAATGGTTGTCAAAAACCCGAATTTGTTTCCTCTCAGCCACTGTAATTTTCACCTCTATTGAGTGATAACCTTTGAGTGAGTCTTTATGGCCTGTTTGTATTTTCCCCCACCTGTATTGAATGGTCATATAAATCAGACCCACTAAAGCAAAATTTGAATAACCTTTCAAGTAAAGATTGATTCATGTTTTTCTCTGAAACTCAATGTTAATAGTATTTTTGAGCGAATGTTATTACATTTAGTGGTCAAATACAGCATAAATTAAGTGACCCCCCCCCTCCCATTCCTGCAGGTGACCCTTCAGTACAGATAAGACTGTGTTTATTCAGTCTGCTAAAATATTTCTTGAAAACCCTGAACAGTTCTTCTTTCCACTTATCTCTCCTGTGAAAAGAATACCCTTAAGCTCCACCTTGATATATAGGCATGGCTTTTAAAACACACCCATGGTAGCAAGGAAAGGCTGTCAACGCATGAGCCAGTTCCACCATAAATTCTGTTTCAACCTATTTATTATACCTTGGAGCAACTAATTTATGAGTCTTTTTGGACAATCAAGAGTGGTTCCCCAACCCTCTCTTGAAAAAGGAATTTTGGAATGCCTTCATGGCAACAATATTGGTTCACCTTGCAAATTGATCCCTGCCACCCACAGCAAACTCATAGTTGTTCAGAGGATTGATAAAGATTGTGTACAGAGGAACTCTTCGGTGCTCCTCAACACGACAGCAAAACAGTCTGAGAAGAAGAATTGTTTTCAATTGTAAATTAAAAGACAAACATTTTCCACTCGGAAGTATAAAACAGAATTAATTGATATACATAAACTTAAATATCTCACTTGTGAGCTTTATCTTCTCGGAGATCAGCATGGAAAATAACTCCATCCTCTCCACATGTCAGAAATTCACATGGTGATCCTGGCTCTATGCAAAGCTGGAATTTTAAAAAATAAGAATGCTTAAGAATAAGTGAAAGGAACTTTTAGTAATAACACAAATTGAGTCACTATATCAACTTTACACAACTTCCTTTCACTATAACAAATATCAATTGAGAAAAGGAAGAAGGGGGTGAGAGGATTTGCAGTTTTTCTTTCAATATGCTCTTCCACATCCTTCATATTTCATTGACGATTTTTCTTCCACTCAAAACATATCAAGTGCCATTTTCATTTTGCCTACTTGCCTCCACTTTGCACCTGTACGAGTTCTCACTGGCTTATTACAGTACATATTTACACAAACAAAAGAATTGAAATTGGTGAAAAAGTTTCTCTACCTTGTGTGCTGCTCCTTTGTGTTGTGCAAGACATTTGGTATTCTTACAAACATCACTCGAGGAATGGAGGAAACCAACGCGTACCTAAAATTAACCAATAACATAATATACAGATACTGTTTCAACTCATAAACTAAAAATCTTAAATGCATGAAGAAATCTCTTACCCACTTAATTTCACAAATAAATACAACTAAAAAAAAGTGAAAAAAAAAACCAGCAAGAAAAAGGGGTTGTTTGCATAGTGCCACTCAAATAGAAATTATTATCTTGATCTAATACCAAATTCTTGCAGCTTATTTACAAGGAAATGTGTAACAGCTAGAGGGGAGAATTAACAATTAGATCTTGGGAGTTAAAGGGTCAAGTGCTGCTTAAGAACTAACAGATATTTCAGGATTTCTGTGAGACACCATATTTATATAGTCATAGAATTTTGTTAGCTATTTCTCACAGCTGTTAAAAATTGTAAACTTTAAGATAGATTTCCAAGGTCAGTTCTTACATAAGATCTTACTGAAACAGCAATAATTGTTTCAACCCAAACTGGTCATTTAGTAGCTTTGACCAAACGTAACTTGTCACAAGCAAACCCGTAAAATACAAATACCATCAGTATTGAGTTAATTGGCAGAATTCATGGGCCAGTTTGCCTCCTGATCTTACCTGTGAGTTTCAGGTGCCATCTAAAGTTTGTAAGGGTAACCAGAAAGGCCAGTAATCAGTTTTAGTGGAAGATTAGCAAAATAAGCATGCATGCAGGAATATTGATCAGCTGACTCATTCCATTTGATAATCACACGTAGGATTAATATGATGATTGTCTTAACAATGAAGAGCAAATGCAATTTTAATTTACCTTCCCGTCTCTAGCACAGCTTACTATTGTACTATCACCAGTGTATGGCATAAACTTGGCCTACAAAAAAAAAAGTATTTAACTGAAAGCCTCACATAAGTATGACAACATATTTTCCAAGATTGATGTAAACAAGCGTTAAGAATTATGTTTCTTTTATTTTTCTCGGTGTGCAATTCTCAGCTTATTTCACCTGAAAGACATTGCTCGAGTGTCCACTTTGGTAAGCTATCTTTTTCTTGCCTTTAGCCCAATCCCATATGACGATTTCTAAGTCATCACTTCCAGAAGCTAGAAGGTCCCCGGACATGTTGAAATGTAGTGTATTCACACATCCATCGTGGTGAACAAGTTTGTCGTGTAGTGTGAGTCTTTTCACAAGTCCACAAGAACCTGAAGTGTCCCTGGAGAAATTCCGCGGAGAGAGGATTCCAAGCTGACGAGATTGTAAGCTAGGGACCAGACAATGATAGGCGTTCTTAGCCATTTCAGAGTCAATTTTGCTCAAAATTGGTGCAGTCTGGAAATTTGTAGGCTGTAGTTCCTCTCACGTCTGCGACGGAGAAACCATCAAAGGGAGCCTTCTTTTTGGGCTTTTGCCCCTTCAGAATCAATCATGAGTGGTTCAAAGTACAAAAAATTACTCAGTAAACAAATATAAACATCGTGGAAATTCACTTTCTTCGAACTCTGCGTGCGAAAATCATAACAAGAACGAAAGAATGACCTTCGGTGACACGAGGGCTTTACGGAGATCTACCGAGAAATCCGAACTTCTAACGAAGATGTCATGTAGTCGATTATTATTCGTGGGCGTCCGTCACTTAAAATGGAGGATGCGACTGGAAAGGAAGAAGAACTTCAGAAATTTCTGGGAAAAGTCGATGAGATTGGTATTAAGAGTTCCTTGCACACATTTGATTCTCACTGAACAGAATTAGTGATCGCAAAGCGTTAATTACACTTCCTATATATTTCCAGTATCCGCCGTTTAAAATTTGCCAATCTTCAGTATATGAAGTGTAAATATTATTACACGATTTGTTGCTAGTGCAACACAAACGTATCATCATTTTATTTTCCGAACAATATCTTTCTTATTTACTTGTACAATGTGAGCAAGAAGCTGTATTTTGTCTTCGTATGGTAAATGGCTGCCTGATCTCGGTTAGAAGGCATGTTTTGACCGTTGTTGCAGTGCTAGGTCTTACAGTGAGCCGACATATATAGACTGATTGTAACAATTAATAATAGGAATGTAACTGTTCACGTCCGTATTGATAAGAATATGTCCGGCTCATTATCATATACTGATGAGAGACAAAATGATCACTGATTTATCAAGCATCTACTTTGGTTTCTGATTGTATGTATTGCCATGTAGATTTCTCATAACTGTTGCATATAAGAGCAACAAAGAAATGAATTTGTGCCAATTGTTATATGTCACGGGAACACTTCAAAAGTGATTTAAACACAGGCCCTTGGTTTGTTAATTCCTCCAATCTGCTAAACTACATTGGAAAGGCACACTGAGGACAATCTTGTTGCATGATTTTGTTGTTGTTTTTCTTTTTTTCAGATTCCATTATGAAAGATTTAACATGTGGTGACTATGAAAGGCAAAACAAAGCTCTATCAGCTGCAGATGAGTTCTTGAAGCGACACAGGGCTGAAAATGATGATGATTCTGATGATGAATGTAAACAAGTCAAAACAAAGGCTGAGAGAACAGTCATTTCTAAAACTGAGGAGAGAAGACTTCTAGATCCGTCAACTGCCTTGGGTGAAATGGTTAGGTTAATAAGCTAAGTTGTGTTACCTTGGGATAGTTCAGATTTGAAATTTGTGTTTCTGTCTACTTCCAGGTGTGCAGTCTATCATTCAAAATTATGCCTTAAGAGAACAGTTTTATTAAATTGGACTAATTAATTGAATTATGTGTTTATATCTTTTGTTATATATGTATGTTGTTATTATTATTATTTTATGAACAATATTTTTTATTCTACTTAGAGAGATGCAGGAGAAGTTTGTGCAGGTGAGTTCTAATTATTGTTATTGGTAGTTAATATTTTGTGATATGTTTATTTGGGTGGAAGCAGGATGCAGAAGGAATTCTATATGCATAGCATTGTTATAATCAGTTACACTGTTGAGTGGTTCATGATCCAGAGTCTTGGTTTTTTAGACTACGTATTTTCCATCTAGGTGAGCTCTTGCAATGCTTTCAATAAGATTTGAAGTAGGTGGCTACCTTGGTAAAGCACCCGCTGGAGAATAATATGAAAAACAATTTCACTCTCATTAGCTCATTATTTCTATTAAGAATAAAATGGGTTCAAACAGAGTTTTCTGTGTTAAACTTTAGTAAATGATCATGTAATAGTCTCCTTTATAAAAATTGCTTCACCGATTGTTTATTTGTAATCAAAATCTTCCATTTGCTGACTTGCAAACCTACTGTATGAGTTTCCCACCAAAAGTCCTTAAAAAGGACATAGGTTACTGGAGTCAGTATGTTCTTGTTAACTCAAAATCTTATTTTTCCTGGAAATTTGGTATACAGTATGATGAGACAACATTAATAGTTTTTTTTTTAAATTTAAACTAAGGTGAAAGTTGCCTGAAAGAAATCTAAAAGATCTCAAGGTGTTTTAGGTCTCACTTGTTGAGTTTGTTCAACTTGAATGAATTGCATGACTTGAATGTGCCTTGTGGCAAAGTATACCCAGCAATTCGCAACAGAATATCTGCTGGAGCTCCAGTGGATGTTGGGTATTATTGAAAGCACTGTGAGTGAGTCTTGGAGAGATCAGATTCTCAGATTATGCTTCAATTTGAGTCTTCATGTTTAAGAGTTTAATTTTACTCTCAAACTTAAGATTCTACTTCTTAGCACATTAGACAATAATACCAAACTCCTGTTGGTATGAGTGAAATGAAATCTTTGCAGTGCTAAAGGAAGTCCTGAATATGTATTTCTACAGAGAAGTTCATGAAAGCAGTCGAAGAAGATGCTAAGGAGAGGGCAAAGATAAAAAAGAGGTCTGAAGCAGAAGCTGAAAAACTCAAAGGAAAAGGAAATGCTGCTTTCAAGGAAGGGAATTATCCAGAAGCTATTAGTAACTACACAGTGGCAATCACTAAAAGTGGCTCCAATCCAGTACTTTACACCAACAGAGCTCAGGTGGACCAGTTACTGCAATGATTCACTGTTTGCTTCATTGATTTAAAAGTGCCATGGTGATAATGATGTCAGTAATGGTGATCATTGTTACTGTCTTAAAATTGTTTATAACCACCCTTAACTTGACAATAAAACTGTTATGTAGTGGAAGTCTTTTCTACTACTGAAGTAGTATGGCTGATTTCTGTTCATATGAGATTTTTGACGTTGCATTTCATGGTCCTTGTTACTCTCAGGCATACATCAAACTGAATGACTTCGATTCTGCAATCCAAGACTGCAATCTTGCTTTGAAGGCAAGTTTAATTTTCAAGTAATACACTTTTTAACCTAGTAATCATAGATCATGATCAGTTACCTTGCTCTACAGTTGTATTGATTTAAGCGCTAAATAAGAATTTCTCCTCCCAATATCAATACAATATCAAGCAGTCAAGTGATGAGAATATGGAAAAATCAATTAAGAGGTCATTAGTTGATCTAATACCTACTTCTCCTGTTTCACTCCAGAAGAATGGTGCAGCAGACAGTAAGAAGAATTACTTGTGAGATCTTGGGAGTGAAAGGGTTAAGGCTTAAAATGAGAAAGAAGAGAGAAAAGTCAAGAGCTAGCTAAAATTTACAGTCTGGGTAATAAGTATCAAATTATTTTTATTACATTTTTAGATTGATCCCAGGTGGGTGAAAGCTTTTGTTCACAAAGCAAGAGCATTACAAGCTCAAGGAAAATTTGATGAGGTACAGTTTGATTTGCAAACATATTGTGGTCATGTTATGACATTTACAACTGATATTGTGTACAATTAACTTACAGATCACAATTCTTTATTGTAGGCCATCTCAGTTCTGAAGGACGCCATCAAAGTGGCACCAAAGCAAGAAAAAGTGTTAAAATGTATTCAATAGTTATAACTGATTACAGTTATTTAGTATATGTACTTTAGTGACAGACTTTGTGTTGAATTAGTTGATTTAGGAAAATGTTGTTTTCAATTATTGAAATGGTAATTAACCTTTAAATTTAACATTTTTCCACAATGATGTTATAAACAGCTTACATTACTGAGGCTGAGTCAGCAAAAAAAAGACTTCAGGATGAAAAAGAGGTCAGTCTTATAGTACATTGTCAAACTTCAATATCTGCACTATAACAGGAAATCTCTTACTTCCATCTGATTTTTTTCTTTATTTTCTTTATTTCAAACTAATTATCATATGTTTCTCCAAAATGAAGCAATTTTAATTTTGAACCACAGATGAAAGTGAATACATCATATAACCATTTTAATTATGTATTGATGGTAGGCTGCTGGTATTGCTGGAGAGGAGAGTGGAGAGTTGATAAGAGACTCCATAAACAGACTACAGAAAAACAGCCTGGCCACATCACAATATACTGACGCAACAAGGAAACTCCTCCCACTTCTTGATAGCAGTATGTCAATTTTTATTTTGGAATTATAATTATTTATAATAATCCTCACTTTAATTGAGTTGAATTCTGCAAATAATTTTGTTAAATGGTTTTTCTCTAGCTAATTGAATCAATGATATAGTTAATTTTGGATTAATTGTTAAATCGAGTAATTTCTTTTATTAAAAAATTGTACCTTTGAAAGTTATGAGTCCCCATCATTCAAAATTTGTAGAGGTTGAGCTGAATTAATTCTTTATTACATATTGTTTCTTCCATGTGTTTATGGTAAGTTCTGTAATATACAAGGGGCTTATATTTTGTTTATCTATGGTTGAACTTGAAGGTGCAAACAGAACATTATTCAGATGCTATGGAGGTTTTCAGATCATAGACTGCAATAATACTTTTAAAAAGTAAGTGCTAACCCAATTCTTTTAAAAGCACAATTGTTACTTCATGGTACAAGAATTTTTTAAAGTCTTGTACCATGTTATCAGGGGTTATTTCAAAATAACCTTTGATGTTATGGTGTAAGGCCCAAGTCTTTATTATGTTAAATAAATGAACTTTTTTTAAATGAACTGTTTAAATAAACTGTGTGCCTCCTAAGTAATGGAACTCTAAATTTCATCTTTATAGTGAAATTTCAAGACTGCTAATCAAAGTCTGCAAGATATATACATCCAATTGCTACTTGATACTTTTCTTCCTGCCTTGCTCATGTAAAGACTTATTTTTTTCAATTTTCAGGTACTGGGAAGGAGCAGCTGTCTGTGTAATGTTGGAAGACATAGACTTAATTTGTGAAATTTTAAGAATTCTAATGGAGGCATGTACTGATAATGGTAAGGCTAATAGTTTTCATGGTGATGGTGGAACAAAACTAAATGAACCTGCTTACCAGAAGGACTAAAAAGTATGAAATAATTTAACCCAAAATGCTAAATTGCTTCCTCTTGCCTTGATAAATGAAATCAGAAGTGTCATTTTTTTAAATTTCAGATCACAATGTAGAGGAGTTTCTCAAAAAAGATCATACTCCATCATTCAATCGTTTCCTGCGAGATCCAACCTCTCCTGTCATTAAGACAGCTGCCACATCATTTCTTCACCAGCTGTCCCAAACTAAAAAAGGCAGAGTTGGTCTCACTACTTGCAAACATATCAAGTGGTAAGATGATCTTTTTTTCTCAAGCAGATGGCTTCATAGCAAATAACACACTTATCGAGTCATAGCTGAAAACTTATTGTGTGTTTCTTTGCAGTGTCACTGAGGCGCTATTTTCACTGGCACAGAGGGGAACTAACACAGCTGTTGTAGCAATGTCCACAATTAATAACCTAGCCCTGGAACTAGGGTATGATATCTAAGAATGCTTTACCAAGTTTTCTGAACAATGGCAATAAGTGATCAACAAAAATTTGGAAACAGTTGTATTGTTCTCAAGTTCTGTTCTGTTCTCAACTTCTGTCTGCTTTTTAGATTCTGTGAAAAAATCAGAGATTTGGTTGACAAAGACTTTCTGAGCATCTCTCAGAAATTTGTGGTAATGTAGAATACTTTTTACTGTACAGTGTTCATTGGAATTTGTTATTGTGTTGGTTTTTTTGTATCCATCCCCAAGGAAGTAAATTTTCTTTTAACTCCAAACTTCCATTTTTTCCACATACAGTTATTTTCATTCTCTCTTCATTGTTTTTTCTTCTTTGTGCAGAGAAAGTTGTGTGAAGTAAACACAGAGGTTTCCCATGAACCAACAGACAGCTGGTCTCTAGTTTCATCTGGTTTGTCAGCTTTAGCCAACATGGCCAAGGACACATGTATCAGAAAAAAGATTGCTGATGAACAAGATTGGTGGGAAACAAGTGTCAAGTTTCTGGTTGGTATTTTCACTGCACTTTCACTGACTTTTTTACAACCCAAGTAATGACCTTATACAGACTGTTCAGTTTTAATTTAGACCTTTGCTATGGAAGATAGGTTGGCTACCAATTTGTTTTTGTTGTGTCACAGTTTTCACCCTCTACACCCTAAAACCAGTATGCATATTCTCTATACTGTTCTCTAGACATTTCATAAGGAGCCAATAAGGAGAATTTGTTTAACAATCATGAATTTCTTTAGTTGTTGATCATTTCCTTTATTCTTGTGACTGTTATGTTTGATTTGGGGGTGATTTTGTAAGGAGACATTATATACTACTCACTCTTAGGGGTGAAAGGGTTAATATTTTCTCTTCTTTTCCATGCAGGATTGCAATATCTCTGGAATAAAGGATCAAAAAGTGAGAAGCTCCATTTATTCTCTTCTGGGTTTGTTGGCAAACATATCTTTGCAATCAAACCAGCATCAAAAGGTATTATCTCAATATAATGCTTTGTGTGCATCTATTGAAAAGAAAAAAAAAAGAAAAAATTGTTGTCCAATTTTTATGAAATCTTTAAGTCACAAAAAACAAGCATCCTTAAACTAGTTAACAGATAGATTCCATGCTGCCATGTGTTTGTTCAGTAATAGATCAAAGATGACACCAAAATGTGATAAGAACAAAAAGAGGCGCAAAAGGTGCAGCTGAGTATGTCACAGATGTTCTTATCATTTTTTATCAGCTTCTCTGATCTACTACTATACAGACCCACAGCAACATGAAATCTATTTGTTTCAGATCATATAAAAGCAAAATCTTGTTATTAGTGATGTCACTTACACATCTGCCTCCAATAGATCATAACTAACAACCAATCAAAATGCCTGTATAATTGAGTCAACTTTTCATATAAGTAATTTTAACTTCCAAGGATTTATCAAGAAAATAAACAATTCTTTTTTGTTTTTGTTTTTGGCTTTGCCATGTAGGATGCTGCTCCAAGATTGATTCCATCACTCATTGAAATGCTTAACACAGGTTATGATGAAGTTTGTGAGGTATAAGTATAAACATTGTCCTTTCTAGTGTTTCCTACTCAGTGTAGAGTGTAAGGTTGTTTAGCTATGTATGTATGTAGAGTTCCCTTTGTTATGGATAATACTTATCACTAACAAATCTAATTTGTCAAACCCATTTGTAGCATCCTTCGAAAATAGTCATATAATTTGCCCCATTACTAGCAATCTGAAATATTTGATACAATGAATATAAATTGCTTTTATTTAATAACTATTTTTTAATTTAATCTTCCAGCGCAGTCTTGCTACCCTGAGAAATATTTTAGCCCATTCTACCGATGCTCTAAATCAAGCATGTGATCAGAAAATCCACATTCACATCATGCGCATTCTAAAGGTGAAGAACCTTCATTGTTGTTTTCAACTTTTGCTTTTATTGTCAATATATTTGGCCAGCAAGTTGATAGATTGCCCATGCATGTTGATGTAAGTTAGTTTTTGTTCAATTTAATCCACAGCTGGTCATCTTAAGCAGCCATTTTCAGGTTGGATGGGGAGCAAGTACAAGAGAAACTGTAAAAAAATATGCAATCAAGTCACTAGCATTGTGCACAATGGAGAGAAAAGATGCCAGAGAAGCTGTACTCAGTGAAAAAGGTACACTGTCACTGAGCATGTATGTTGCACTCTTATTAGATCTAGGAGTTGGAGTTTAAACCTTGACTGGGGTCTTCAACTCCAAAAACATCTTACATTAGTCTGAGGAAATACCAGGGTATGCATGAAAATTTGATGAAAGAGCAACATACTTGCTCTTGCTCTAAGAAACACTTATCCACAAAGAGTGCAGATGTATGACACAGTGTTATTTTGTTTCAGCTTTGGACTTCTTGGTTCAATTACTTCATTCTACAGATGAGACCATCATAGGAAATACAGCACTCTGCATTGGCCACTGTGCTGATATGGGTATGTTATACTGAACTATCATCTCTCTACCAGAGCAGTGGCTTTGTCAATATTACCATGGATTCTAAGCAGAAGAGTGAAAGTAGAACCTTAGGTCAGAGAATGTGCTGTGTTCTTGGACAAGACACTTATTTAGTTTCTTTGAATTCACACTCTGCATGGTGATCATTAGGCATAAGAGAACTCTTTGGCTAAATTTCAATGCCCTGAGCTACTTTTTTGTCAGACTTGAAGCAGTTATGAACATGTAATATTTATCAAATAGATTCTATGTTGCCTTGCATCTGTTCAGTCATAGATCACAAAAGATGTCAAAATGTGGTTATTAAGCTAATTTTACAAATTCTTCTGGATGTTTACACTATTCTTCTGCCACTAAATTTCTTAACAAAAATCTTTCTCTCATTTGAATACTAACTTTGGATATTAAAGTGTATTTACCCATCAAGTTAATTTGCATTAGGTTATAATACTATTTATGCCAGATGTCTACTTTAGTTTATTAGCAATCTCTTCTTTTTGCAGAGGGAGTAAGTGAACATTTGGCCAGTGATAATGGTGTGGTGGAAATCCTCCTGAAGCATGCAACAAATGATGAGCTAAGCAAAGATGTCAAACAGAATGCTGCCATTTGTTTAGCAAAACTCGCAACATCAGACAAAAGGTACAAAAGGGCAATAGTATTTCTGGTGTTGTACATTACAAAATATTCAGTCATCATAAATGTGACTGGTTGGAAATGTCTTAAAAATATTCTCATTTTATTTTTCAGACATCTCGAAAAGCTGAAAGAAATGCACGGACTTGAAATTCTTCACTCTGTTATCCAGAACACAAATCTCAGCTGATAAGATAATGGCAGAGTTCTTAAACTGTCGAAATAACAACAAGCTTTCTCAAGTCTGGTCTTAGATTTCCTCCCTAAAGAGTGGGAAAGAAGCAAGGCTTGATTTCTGAAAAACCAATTGGTTATCAAGCCTACAACAGCATCAGCAGCCTCAGCAACTCAGCACTTCACTAAGAAGAATGAAGGGATTTTTACTCTTTGTAATTATGTAATTATGTTGCACTTGTTATGGACATAAGAAAGGCAACCAGTAATTGCTTAAACTACAAACTTGTGTTGTTGTGTGGTGCTGGCACTGTTTCTTAGGTGCAGTCAGATAATCAGCTTGCAGTCTTTATTCGGTATGTACTATTTATTTTAAAAGGGAGTGTAATAACCCAAGTATATTTACTGGTAAGTTTGAAGTAGGTGAAACTTTGACACTTGTGTTTAGAGTGATTGAGCCATTTTGCTTCCAAGATCTAAAGATCAACTATCAGAACTGTCAGCCATACATTTCTTATCTTCTTAGCAGACACATTTTGGTATTAAATTAAACAATATTTCTAAGTTTTCATTTTTCCATCTTTTCATTGCCTTTCCTCTTCACAAAGTGTGGATATTGTAAAGGTAAATAACTCACAGGTCACTCCTGAGGGTACTAGGGACAAGAAGTTGTTCAACTATGATTTTTATGGGGAAAAACTATTTGTACGATTGCTTTGTTTTCAGAAAGCTTATTGATCAAAACACTTGTTAATTGATTTGATTATCCTCAAAATGTAGTTTCCAAAAGTCACAAATGTTACGTACTCATTCACAAATGAGGTCAGATTGTAACTAATAAACCTGAAAATTTGAGCCCAGCAACACTCTGTGAATTACATATACTTTTACAACACAACTTCAAAAAATCTTTGCACACAAAAGGCCGAAATTATTACTGTGTCAAATTTAATTTGTAAGAAGGTAAGGTGACCAGATTGTACTGAATTAGAAATGTTTCTGTATTTTATTGCAACATACTGGGTAATGTACTGTCTTATGAGCTTTTTGGTACGGTACATATACTGTACATATACTTTACATAACCTTGGCATGTCAAACAATTTGTCATATTACACTGTCACTTGTTAATAACTTAATATGTCTATTCCCAGCGGTACAGTATATAAAAATTTCAAGTAGAAGTGAAATACCCCGTTGTTGTTTAGGGCAGTGCAAGATAGGAGCAATACACAAAGGGCTTTTCATGCCATCTCATTCATCAGAAGGTTCAAAATATGGAGTTACTTTGCTTGATGCTCTGTCCTGGACTAACATCCTTCACATTGCTAACTTGTTTACCCAGTTGGATATGAACAGTTTAAAATTTGGGCTTGAATGTTGCTGGCATAGTTTTCTTTGTTGATAACTTGCTGGTTAACAAACTAACTTGCAAAAACTTGCTTCTATTTCACAGGTACAATGTGGCAACTGAAAATAAATTCAAAATTTTTCATGTTGTTAAAAAAAAAAAGTAAAAAAAAATTTATCAACCAGGATGTACCACAGTTATTGTTAAGAACATTTGAGAACAACAGAATATTCTTAAGTCTGTTGGCTTACTATACTGGAAATGATATGAAAATGTAAAAAAGAATGTCTGAATGCATGTCTTACCCTAGAAGTCCTTGGCCACTCCATGTGTTTGGAGTAAGAGTGATTGCCTTTGTTCCCTCTCCTCTTTCAACAGTTACATTCACTGGTCTCTAGACAAAGTATTAGAGATTAATTTAATTTGATACACAGATTGTACAAAAATGCTTCAAAGCCACAGTTTATTTAAAGAACCAATGACTAATATTATTGCATCATGCAGTGAAATACATCAGACTAACAAAAATTGAAACAAACCATTTTTAGAACAAAATAATAATAAAAAAAGGACTGAATGTATTAACCCAACCTAGCTTAACTTGAGACACCTAAACAACAAAATGTACAACAAACTTATTATTTACCCCTTTGCTGTGCTGTACAATAGAAGCTATGTCTGCAAGGCTGTGAAAGTTTTCACCATTTATCGAACCAAATTGTAAAATGCGATCACCAACTTTCAAACCCTACAAAAGAGAGAGCAAGAATTGACCAGTCTGTCATTTACCTAACAGTTCACAACAAAAAAAACAAAAAAAAAATGACAGTAAGGAGCAAAGTGAACACATGGAATAAAATACTCACAGCTTGGAATGATGGTGATGCATTAGCTACTGAATCCACTCTGAGGAAAGCTTTTAGTTTGGTCGAAATATCTGAAAATATATCCATGGCCATGTCTAAGAGTGTTCATTGATAATTAGATGCCTTTTTCTTTACTAAGTCTTAAAAATGATTTTTCTAAGAAGGTATCAATTTATTGACATGTGACACAAAGTTATATTAACAGGAGGGAAACACATTAATTGATTGATAATTAACCCTTTGACCCTAAAGAGAGACTGGTGTCTAATTTCTCTCAACAATATCACCCCTGAATCACACATGAAGGTCATGAGAATACAGGAAATGATCACCAACTAAAGAAGCTCTCGATCTTCAAACAAATTCTCTTTGTCAGCACCTTAAGAAATGTGTTAAGAAGAGTATGGAGAATATTGATACTGGTACTTTTTTATTTTACGGCGTAATGAGTTAAGTGATTGAGCCTTGCTACCTTCCACTTCCTTGTCTTGTTGAGTCTCTTGTTTATTTTTTTGTTCTCGTGCTTGAGCATGTACTTCATGAATTCCTTCCTCTATCTCTTTCATCAGCGCCTTGTGGTCATTCTGAAGACCTATTTGTCATGATGAAATAAAAAAGAAAAACAGTTGACATTAGTCAGCAAAATTTCGGTTGAAATTTCATTTGTAATGGTAACGTTCTGTAATCACCAGAATTATGTTTTTCCATATTCCGAGAAAACTACACGAAACAAATATATTTCTTACATATAATCCGATTTCTTGCGACTCTCACGGTATAAACATCAATGTCTGAACGAGGGTAATTTTCTTCGTCAATCAGCTTTTCGTTCATCCCAACTCCTTTTTGCTGAAAAAAAACCAAAAAATTTATCAATGGTGCAACTTTTACATCCAATCAAAGTCAAGAGTTCTTACCGAGTCTAGGACGTCTTGAAACTCCTTAATTTCCTTTTCAATAGCATCTTTCTTTGCGATGAGATCTTTCACTTTCTTCATAGAAACGTCCGCCATCTTGAAAATAAAAAAGTCAGCTACTAGAAGCGCGGGCCCCAAACTGTTTATCACGAAAGCGAGGCTTATTTTCACAAGATCAAAAATAACATGGCAACTATTGAGTTTGGTGTCGATTCTTCTCGCATTTGATAAAAAGAGTTAATTTCAGAAGCCTAAAGTTTAGGGAATGGAGGGTGAAGGGCGCCGTGGCGCTGATGCCACAGCTGATAATGCCTCTATGGGTTATATGTTAACTGTAGGGGTTATGGAAGAAGTTCTCGAGAAACTAAAATTGCTTGACTACGAGACGGAATTCTGCAAACAGATGGGGTTCAGACCTTTGTCAAGGTAACAGCCAGTAAAATTTGACACAAACCTCGCAATTTTAGTTGTGTTAAGATGATTTGAGGACTATCCATAATGACAGGGATTGCTTCTGTCCAGAACAACAAAACTCTGTTGTGGAGCTCTTCAAACATATGGTCTTTTATATGGAAAGAAAGATGATTTTTTAGCTCCTAGTCGACCGCGAATCGCCAAGTTATAGTTGGTAATTTAACCCTTCTTTTTTCAAACATTGTCAGGCACTACTTTGCAGTGGCAACTAACCCAGGGGAGCAGTTTTTTACCTTCACATCATTAGCAGCTTGGTTGTTTACACGTTGTGACAGGAACTTTGAACAACCTCAGGAGGTTTGTAACATGGAGATCACTGGTCACTTTTTTCTGTCAGATAATGAGTGCTTGATACATCCATGGTGTATAATTATTGAAGTTGTCTTCTTTTTCAGTATGATGACCCTAATGCTACTGTGTCCAGCATTTTGGATGAACTTAAAAAACTGGTGAGACAAATTTAATAATCATTTGATATTAATTCATAAGACTGATGATTAGTCACTAAATATAAGTTAATTTTTATTTGTGATTTATTATAAGTGACTTTATTTCAGAATGTTGGAGCAGATTTTCCACCAGCAAAACTGAAAACAGGAACAGGAGAACAGGTAAATGAACACAAATCTTATTAAACTATGTAATTTTTGTTGTTATTATGCATATTTATTATAACGTGACTGACACTACACTAAACTCTACTGATCCAAGGTGATAATTTTAGTGTAGTCCAAGAATGACAAGGTAAAAGTAAATTTGTAATTCAGCTTGCAATGTCCATTTTAAGTAGTTGATTAAATTATATGCAACTTGATGTGATTGTGAAAATGTTTGTTTTATGATGTTTTTTAGGTTTGCTATGTAATTGATAAACTTGCAGACGAGGCTCTGAAAGTCAAGAAATTTGGCTGGAAAAAGTAAATGTCCATATTATTACATGTCATTATATGTATCCTAGATAGTTCATAAATTTATTTGTGTTGTGATGAAACCATATTTTTCTAATTTCCCAGGCCACAACATGAACAGGAAGACTTTGAGGAGGAAACAATGGAAGATGATGAAGCTGAACTGACACTGAACAAAGTGGAGGAAGAAATGATGGTGAGAACAACTTAAATCAAAATACTGATATGCTCACTGCATGCAGGCATTTTTTTTCAAGCTTAGTTGATTTACATCAACTCTAATAACAAACTCTTATTTTCTTTTACCTGAGTTTTTATGTCTTTTGGAGCACAGTTGTTTGTTTAATCTCTAACTTTTGTACCTCTTTTGGGCAGGATGAAACAGAGGAAGAAATTGAAGAAGAAGACAGTTATCTAGATCTGGCAGGAATGAAGCAGCAGTCACAAATGAATGTAATCAGAACCAGTTTGTGATGATTGTTGATAAATGAATTCATCTCAGGATCAAAATCTTTATGTTTTTTCTTGTGTCTTTTGCTATGAAGGAGATTACTGATTCATCAAAACCTGAGTCTGTGATGGAGTCAACTATTGATGCTGCCGAGTGGAAACTTGAAGTTGAAAGAGTTCTGCCTCTACTGAAGGTTCACATTAGAACTGACAACAAGGTAAATTTTTAACAATATTTCCTTTTATTTTATCTTTCTTTAAACTTTTAGGCAATCAAAGGTATCCAATTTAAGCTCTGGTCAGTGGCAGTTTGATTTAGGCAGGGTTTCTGATGGCGTTTTACGTCTGTTCCCCTTTGTAGGACTGGAGGACACATTATGAACAAATGCAACAACACAGTGAAGGAATTAAATCTTCTCTAACAGAGACAAAGGTATGATTAATTGGAACTCACCAATAGATTAATTATCATGTACCTTAATTGTTTTCATAGTTAACCTTTTGCTATTGAGAGCTCATTTAATTTAGAAATTGTCCTTGCTGTCTGCCATACAATTTTTATGAAGTTAGTTGGAGAATTTTATATTTGATCAACTAGTAGTTCCCCAATTGATATATTTTCTTTATTCTTATTTCTTGTCTGTTCATTATTGTATTGATATTTTTAAGGGGAAATTCTGTCTTGATCATTTGTAGGAGTTTAAAGGCTAATTACAGACTGTTTACTTTGCTGCCAGCTCATCACCATTCTGTATTACTCACATCTTCAACTGCTATTTCAATTAGGGTCATCTTGACAAACTACACCATGAAATTGGCAGGACACTTGAGAAAATAGGAAGTCGCGAAAAGTACATCAACAATCAGGTGCAACTTAATTAGACAATAAAATGAATTAAAAAGATGTTAGAGTTTAGGTTTGAGTGTTAATGTTTGACTCAGAAATCATTTCTGCCTATTGTTTATAACAGCTGGAACATTTGCTACAAGAATTTCGGAGTTTACAGGACACTTTAGCTGAGGTATGTTTGTTAATATTAATTTTGCGGAGATGTAAGTTCACTCGGGCTACAATTTTGATGTGTCTTAATATATTTGTGTGTGTCATCAGACTAAAGAACGTTACAAGCAAGGCTCTGGGGGAGTAACTGACCTCACCAAGTCATTATCACAGGTTTGTTTACATGTGGAATTTTGTGATTGTTTTTTACTCCTTTTACCTGATGACACAGTATTCTGATGATAAACCAAATTGAATTCATTTTGTGTGATTGTTTAGATCACTGAAGAGCTTGAGTCTGTCAAAGCACAGATGGATGAAAGAGGAACAAATATGACTGATGCAGGTAAGGGACATAATTATATCTTTGATTCATTCTGCAACTCTGGTGACAGTGACTTGTAACAGGGGAGCGAAGATCTTTAGTGTCATTTCAATTGTGTTATGCAGGTCCATTAGTCAGAATAAAACAAGCTTTGACAAGACTTAAACAAGAAGTTCAACAAATGGAAGTTCGTATTGGAGTGGTAAGTTGGGTCTTGTCTTTTGTTTGTTTGCCTTTTGTTTCGTTCTTTTCATTAAGTACTTCAAAGACATAACAAATGATAGGGAAGGGGTTTCAAGTCGACTTGGATTTCGTTGAGCTTTCGATGACTTAGAGGTGTGTCTTAGTACTGATTACAGCAAGTTTCAAGACTGTCGGAAACTTTTTACGGACAAGAATCCGAATACGATTCCGTGTAGATCCCGGAACGTAACAGTGATTTTAGGCGTAACGCTTAGGGAACGGCAAATTACAAAAATAAACTCTGATGTTTCCCACTTACGTTACTTTCTGTATGTCAACCCAGTACAATTATTGGAAACTTACAGCAGACGACTTGTTCAGTTCTTACCGTTTTCCTAGAAAGTCTTTCTCATAATAAGGTAAAACTCGCTAGTCATGAAGTAAGAGTAGAATAGGTATTTACATTTTCAAGTAACTGCTGTCCCTCAGTTACAAACACAGACATATTTGTTCTTTACAATGTTAACTAATAAGGTTGTTGACTGTCTCTCTTTAGGTTGAACACTCCCTTCTCGTTGCTAAAATCCGTGACCGTAGCGCCATTAGAGAAGACATGCATGCCCCAGTCTCTGACGCAGCTACGTTTGGAGATTTCAAACCGTTTTAGACTGGACCGATCGTCACATGACATGTGAAAGCAGAGTAGGAACCTAATTTAACATTACTTTGTAGTTCCAAATTTACTACGAAAGGATTTTCAGTCATACCACAAACCATAGTAAGGAATGGAACTGAAACTGGAAAGTAATCAAAAACGTTTAAATTGCAGGGAAGTTTCTGCAGAGCGCAGAGTTTTATGTTCTTCAAACGCATCTGTCATCATTACACCTTTCAGCTTGGCGTGCTCTTGGCCGTATATTAGTTTCTTCTCGTAAAGCGTGAGGCAACTTTCTCTTTGGAAGCACACCAACATTAATTTAATGACTTTTGTGTGAAATTCCGGTGACTCATTTTACAGGTTCGGCGATTCTACATTTCCGAGAACTTTTCTTGTTAGAATCAATAATATAAGAACACCCTCTCCTCCCTAGAGTTATTCATGTAATATAATGGCGTTCATCTGATAACTGTTAAATTAAAAAGTGGTTTAAAACAGTGGCTTGTTTGGTTTTACTTCAACTCTTTATTTCAATTGAAGTTTGATCGTGTTCTGATCTTAACAAAGCCGTGAAAAACTATTAAAACCCAATCTAGATTTTAAAGTGACATCTTACGATCAGCTATGACAATTCGTCTACCTGTGTGGTCGATGTCATCTTAATTTCCTCGTGAATGGAACTGAAGCTTTGTGTTGTTTCCGTTCAATTTTTCTCTGTTCCAGTCGTAGTAAAGTCATTTGTACAGTTTACTTTGGTTTTGCAGACGTAAAGACGTAAACTTGTAGTGTTCAGTTTTCTTTTGACGCTCGTGTAAATCATTTGTACCTCGGCCGTTTGGAGCAGTTTCGATATCAACATCTGTCTCTCTGAACGTCCTCTGCTTTGAGTGAATACAACATATCTCGATTATCTGATTAAAATATTTAAGTGACTCAATGATAATTATCTGTTAACGACCGCAAGAACTTAATTGCAAGCAATTTCGTTCTGAAAGAAAAACAAGGTGTTCCAAAGGTATTTTTCTTAAAAAAAAGAACCTACTTCTTCTAGACGTGACGAGACTAATAGAGGGAGAACAACAATTGTAATTTGGAAGACCTCAAAATTAGCCACGAAAGCTGAAACAAAAACATCGAGTCATTAGCAGTAAATTAAGCCATTTTTAAGTTCGAGAAGAACTTCGTAATAAGCAAGTATTTATTAAACAAAATCCACACGAAACACAAATAGTCACATAACAGGGGGCGCCGTGAGTTCATGATGTCCCGTTGAAAAACCATGATGAACGCGAAAGTTACACTACAAACTAAATATGATTAGCGTTCATTTACTTTAAATATTGCCAAACTAAACTGATAGTTTTTAGGACAGATCTGTCGTTTTTTCTTGGGTGGTACGCTTGACGTAGAAACAGTGAAATTTTCGTCAGATATTTTTGATGACTGACTATCGCATGTCTTCTTAATTGCCTGTGGTTTCAATGTTGTGAAGATTAAATACAAATCTTTCAACTTCGCTTGAAAAACAAGGCGGTACCACACTCGATGAGTATCTCACTTTTTTCTTCATCATTTTAATTTCAAGCCCCAAATGGGAAAAACAACGAAAGCGTTCTTGAACAAGTATTACTGCAAGACACACTCTGTTTACAAAGGCTCCTAAGTGGCTTTACAATTTTGAAAGTCCATAGTACAATGGAACAGTTGGCTTTAGAAGCGATGCGGCAAGATTTAGCGGGAGACAATTTATACTTCAACTCTGCGGGAACGCAAAAACGCCGCTCAGCATTGAATTATGACAACTGCTGGTTGCTTTTTTTTTCAACTGAAACCTCCTGGATTCACTCCGTGAAAATGTGACTCCAGATTATCTCAACCTCGACACAATTAGCTCAAACTGAAATAAATTACTTTTATGATTGAAAAGGATTACACCAGTGGTGTAGCGGTTGTTCTCTCTATCTGTGTGATCAGAGGCGTGAGGCATTTATCAACGGCTTTGACAGCTCTGAAAAGAACTTAATTAATAAGGAAATAATTTCTCAGCGGGACAATGCGACAATGACTTTTCCTGTGGTAAAATGGAAGCACACGGTATTTTCATTTCCACTGTGCACACTCCCAGCTTGAAATTTTACTTTAATAATGTTTGAAATTATTTTCAGTGGTGTTTTGTAGCTCGCGGTATGGGTTCATAACAGGACAAATAAATGAATGGTAGGGGGTGAAAGTTTAGCTTTATAAACTGTCACTAATAACGCAAATAATAAAGTTGATTAATCAGTGATGAGCTTTTAATTAACAATCCTTAAGAACTAATATCATTGTTTTGCTTGTGTGTTTTATTAACCGTGTCAAAATCCACTGGCTGTATATCTACACAGCGCGTCTGAGAAGTCTTGTGAGGCGAGGATCTAGTGAACATTTCGCCCAGTCTAAAGTGAGCTGTAATCAGTGTTATTGAGAGCAAGAATGCAACAATTAATTGCATAAGTGGGTGTTGATATTCCATGGATGGTCTTACTGCTTTCGTGTCCCGGTTCGACAAGGTAAAGCCACAAGATTCATCAGCCACACAAGTTGATGGTGGCCGAGAGCAGGACAATGCTTCATCTTCTTCGAGCTTGGTGACTCTTCCATTCAGCATTGCAGAAATTTTGAGCGATAAACGAAATGAGCCAAGGAAAAAGGAAACCGAAGACATCAGTATTGAAATGAGACGATATGCTGTGCAAGGTAGGAGAGAAACAACCAAATAACAGAACATTTCGTCTCTGTTCGCCGTAAGGTTGAATGTATTACTATCTCACTGTAGTTTAAACTACTTTCAGAATAACTATTTCTATTTTCTAGAAATTAATTCCTAAATGCAAAACGGGACATTTTCCTGTGCCATTGTTATAAACATAACTTGAGACACTACAAGGGAGTCACTGCGTTCCTGAAATTATCATCAAAATGGTTAACGTCTGAAATAATTTATAAATTTATCCTTATCAAGTAATCTATGGACCAAAATATGTCAATATAAACAGTAATAATAATTATTTATTAATTGTAGATTAAACAGTTCACTGCAATAGTTTATATTGAAAGTCTCAATTTCTACTCAGTTGGTATAAAACCATCTTACTCCGAGTAACAAGAAAAACAATTTGACTGATGAACTTTTGGGTCAGTCTTACCTCAAGAATTTTCTTATCGAGCCTGACAAGACTAAACGTATCAATACTCCAGTATTTATAAAGAAAATCTTCTAAACCTTTTGATTCAGCTACGGAGCGAAGATTAGCTTAAAAGAAATGGGAAATTGCTTTGAGGTTTGGTAAACCGAGGGATCACTGGACTCTCGGCAGAGAACATTCATATTGAAGCAAGCCTAACGTTCGTCAATTGTAAAGTGAGATTACTTAAAAGCATGTTGCATCCTAGACAGTGCGTTTAAGGTTCAGGAAGAACGTTTGAAATAACAGTCCATATCAAATTCGGATGTCTTTTTAAAATACTGATACGCTTATTAATATCTGTGTATTCTTTCGGAAGGTTTTGACGAATCACCCAGACGAACAAACCGGTGCAAACCTCCGCGAAACAGGAAAAATTTCACGAGAGAACAATTGCGAGAACTGGAGAAACTGTTTGATCAGACACATTACCCAGATGCCTTGACGCGGGAGACACTGGCGAAGAGGATGGGCCTATCAGAAGCTAGAGTTCAGGTAACTCGCCGAACAGGGTCTTGTGGGATTGTTTTGAAACAAAGCAAGTTCAAAACTGGTTTGAAAGTTGTGGACAAACAAAAATGAATTCAATTGCCATCAATTTTCTCTAATTCCCTTGGATAAGCACTTACTCACTAGGCCATAGTGTCAAACAAGCACCCGTCTCGAATAAGCGCCTCCCTTCCTCCCTCATCTCTAGTTGCAGGGTAACAGGGAAAAACTGTATCTATCGCCACTTCATTTATAACGTTTTAAGCTTCAGCCAGAAGTGAATTAGCACAGGAGTCTGCGCACTCCTTTTAATGGGTACTCCTTCTTTTAGCCGAGATTTTAACTAAGCATCAGAGCGTTTACTCGAGGAAATACGGTATATCACATCAAGGAAAAAAAAAACAATTGTCAATGACTTGATTTCATCTCACATTTCCAGTACAAAACACAAAATTGAGAGAGGGTACTTGAAACGAGGGGAGAGGAGTAAGACTGGGGCTAGGTTAGGTGTTCTGATGAAAAGCATGTCACTGTGACAATCCCGCTGATTTATCCACAGATCTGGTTTCAAAACCGTCGTGCTAAAAGTCGTCGGCAGGAAGGACCGGGTCAGAGGGGCTTCGTTGTCCCGGCAACCCCGACATACAAACCACCAAATCACGTAACTCAGCTACGCCAAGAAACATCTATCACACCATTTACCCATGGTGCTTATAGAACTGGGTGTGTTGAGCATCTGTGCATGTGTAACCACGCCAGTTTTGTTACCAGTGTCAGTCAGGTTGATTATAATCGTCAGTTTAATCAACAAACAAGCATCGAGGATCTGAGACGTAAAGCTCGGTACCACAACTGGGGGGGGCATAACGTACATTGAGCCCGCGTTTTCATCTCCTTGGATCAGTGGAGAAAGGAATTACTTTAAAAAGGATGTTTCACTGCCTTTTTCCGTGTTCAGGAAACTAAAATCAAAGTCATTTGTTTTCATCAGACCAAACTGACCGAAATAAATATCTCTCAGATTTCAAAAATAGTTCAATTCGATATTTATTACATTAATAGATATTACTATAATAAACTGAAATCATGCGCTTCATTCAATACAAAAAATCGCGTATTCTCTCTAAATTAATGACAAAACATCAAGCTGATTTGGCTCTTATCGATGGACTGTCATAAAATAGCTGCCGAAAAACTAAATTTTACAATTATTTCATAGACTAGATGGCTGTATTGCACGGTTTTTTTTTTGATGAGCCTACACGAAGAAATGGACTGTCTACAACTACGGCTTCACGTGTACAAAAATTTATAAAAAATAGCGGTTTGATCTAAAACTTCGATTCAATGTTTTCAGCCTATTCTAATTAAATATCTTGTATTGCAATTAGTGCAAATAAATAATATTAAAAAAATACAAATGTTATAAAAGCACTAAGTTTACTTCTTTGTTTTCTTCTTGATCGGTTTTCCTCCCATGGCTGTCTGTAGTTTTCTCTCAGCTTGTTGTTTGCGCTCGTGTTCGGGTTTGTTCACATGCTGCTCCAGTTGTGCTTGTTTCTCTTCCAACTTTTTCTTGAACAAGTTCAGTCGCTCCAAACAGTTACTCTTCTGCAGATTAATGGATTCCAGCGATGCCTTTGCAGTAGTTATCTTGGTGGTTGTTTGTCGAACAGCATTCTTATGCTGAGCATGCTCCGTGCTGCCCTCCGCTGATTCCCTGAAGAGGTCTGTTTGAGCCAACAGTTCTTGTTCCAGTTCCCTTAGATTTGCAGTGACATCAAGAGACTGCCTGGAGAGCTGAGCGAATTCCTGGTTCAAGCTGTCTACAGTGTCTTGCATGTCATTAACTTGAACCTGTAATAAAAGTTCACAAAGTCACTACTTATCAGAATCCCAGAGGTAAAGGTGCTCTTGTCTCGTCACAAATGAGTTTGGTTAGTTCTCAGACCCTATAAAATATTTCCACTCCATGTTACATACCAGAGCAAGAAAGGATTTCAATAAGTTGATTTATCTTGCATATCTGTACATAAGTTACTTTGCACCAGCAGTTTTCTTGATCTCAGGAAAGGAGTTCTCTCATTCTCCCGAAATTCCCCTCCTACACATAGACATCCACAATAACGTCAAGTATCCTCAAAGGTCAAAACACATCATAGATAAAATATCAAAACACGTGAACATACCTCTAAGAAGGTCTTATAGAGGTCCTCTTCCTCTTTAGGCTGTGCAGATTTCCCAGATATGGGCAAACGAGTGGCATTGCGTGACAGAGCTTGGGCGCGGGAGACCTGTCGAGACACTCCACGCGACAACAAATTCCCACGTGACTGAGCGTACCGTGACACTGGTCTCTCCTTAGCTAGTGGTCCTTGTAGCTCGTGTAATCGTTTATCAATAAATTCTTCTGTGCCTTGAAGACGGGCGTGGGACGCTTTCTCTTCCACATCACCCAGGAAAGATCTCAACTTGGACTCAACAGCAAAGTTACTGTACTTGGATAAACGTTCCACAATACCTTCATGTGTAAAATGCACGCCATCTTTGTTCGCGCCGCGCAAAAGCTTGACGTCCAAAAGTCCATCCACCATATTCGCCTTGTCAGCCTCAGTATGAGCATCACCAAATACAGACTCCAACAGCACACGGCTGGCGCTTTCCAAATCGTCGCTTGCAGGAAGTGAGGACAGAGTGCGCGCAAGCGCAGAGGAACGCCTATATCGTGCAAAGAATAAGTCATCGCAAATTACAGCTAGGGCGTGATGGAACTCTTTCATAAATCCCGGATGGGAGTCGTCGCGTAAGTCTCCGCAAGCAATGTGCGCGAGGCAGTGAACCAGAACCAAAATAAACTCTCCAACGTTGTCCATCCGTTCAGTTCGCACGTACAAGATACGATTGTTTGCGTCGTAGAAGAAGGAATTCCTGTAAGCGTTCCTCTGTAGATGAGAGTTTGGAGGCAGCTTATCGGCTAGCAAGAGTGTGACAGGAAGATGATGACAATGAACGGCGAGTAAATCGACAATGAAAGAGCCAAACTTGTATGTGACGAAGGCTCGAGCAGGCAGCGTGTTCAGATCAACTGGGACAAGTTCATCGTCCCCTGTCCACAAAGTGTCATCCTTGATGTCAATATAACCTTCACCAGGTGCTGAGAAGCAAGTCAACACCAATACGTTACACAACGTAATTTACTGAGTAACCCTTCTGTAGACTCTTACTGCAGATATAACTTCTGTAGCCCATTACTTTAAATCAAAGGACTCAAACCGCATCTAAGAAAGTCAATCCTACTTACTAATTTGTTGAACTCTAAAAATGTTCTACCAGGTACTTTAAAATAACCCTGTCCACTTGACATAAGTAAAAATATTGATTTCCACTTACCTGAACCGCCAAACTGTCCTCCTTTACCAGCGCCACCACTCACTAACGATTTGATGCTTTCGATCTTTTGGTACAGCGGTGACGCCAGCAGCAGCGATGCCAGTTCACCTTCGCTCAATGGAGCTGCTAATCGATAACTGTCCGGCATTAGTCGCGCTTGCTGTACAGGGGGTGAAGCAGCTTCAGATTCGATTGTAGCAGCTACAAGGTTATCGACATGAATGCTTTCCTTCAAAGCGATCACCTCTTCAGCTTGTGCTCGATCGCGCTCAGATTGAACTTTCTCTTCAAATTCTTTCTTCTCCTCTTCGTTTCGAGTTGTAAGTTCAGCCACCTTAGCCTGCCGTTTTGCCTCACGTCTTTTCTTCAAACGCTCTTCCAATGAGCTCTGCATTCTCATTCTATCCGCGTCCATTTTGTTCATCAGTTTAGCCAAGTCTTTGCTGTGTTCTTTCAATATGGCTTCTTGGTCTTCCTTTGAAGCTCCTTGTTTGCCCATTTTGTCCATTTCTTGTTTGACTTTCGCCTTCTTTTCCTTCAGCAAGGCTTCTTTACGAGTGTTAAGAGCCAAGATTGCCTTTTCGTTCTTTTTCTGTTCTTCGTCTGCTTCTTGTTCCAGCTGTTTGTCGAACGCCTTAAGTTCCTCTTCTAACTTAAGTTGTTGCTCGGCTTCAAATGCTAAGTGACAAACAGATGCAAATAAGAGAGGTTTAGAGAAAAATTTATTCATTTGACTTAAATGAATTATTGCTGTTCATTGAATTTTTCAGGTAAATTGTTACTAACCATCATTTTCTTGTTTGAGTTTCAGTTCATTCTCCGCTCGCTGTTCATCTAGTTTTTGTTTAACTATTTCCAGTTCCCTCGCGGCTGCCAGCGCCTTCTCAACTGATCGCCTGTGTTCCTCTGCTTGTTCTGGAGTCAACTCATTCAAAGCATCAGCATATTCCTAGATGAGGAGAGTAATAGCATAAATAAGATGAAGAGTTAAGCAAAGAGGGAAATTGAAAAGTTAACAAGGAATACCAGAACGAATCTCTTGATGCGACCACAATATTCCTAAAGCAAACATAAAATTAGGACAACTAAAGCTTTTTCCATCCAAACTCACCTGATAGTGCTTCTCCTTAAGCTCTAACTTGGCGCGCGCAAAGCGCACTTCCCAGTCTGACTGCACACCATGTTGAATTTGTTTCCTTTGATCAGCGTGTTTTTTATCCAGCGCGCTTTGTCGTAATTGCTGTTGGTTCAATAACTGGGCCCTCTTCTGCTGCAGCTCTTCAGGATTTAATTTTTGTTTTTCCAGTTCTCTTAATTCTTTCTCGTGTTGAGCCCGAAGTTCATCGTTTTCTTGCGCATGTCTTTCTTCCATCTTGGCCAGTGCTTCATCAACAGCCACTTTACGTTCTTCCTGAAACATACGCTCCAAGTCTTTCAGCTCCTGACTTTGACGTTTTTCCAGAACCTGTAGACAGAACAGGTTTGTGTTTTTTTTCTTACTTAATCCACTGAAGTAGCTATCGTGTAATCAATAGTTACCATGACATAACAGTTAAATCAGAGCCTACAGAGGATGTTACCAGCACGAATTATATCCAGATTAAAAGAGAAACTATGGCTTAGTCTCAACAACATTTTCAAGACAGCTAAACAACAAGGTAATTAAATGATCTGTATAACTCCACATTTATTACCTTTCTGATGACAAACTCTGCAGCTTCAGAGCCGTTCTCCCTGATCCCGTCAATCATAGCTTGCTTCTCTGCCTCTTTTACCTGACAGTGAAAAATGCATTCGTTTAAAACAAATTGGCACGATCTGTGAGTTAAAATCCGCAAATGAATGTTAATCAAAAATTGATTTCATTTTACACCGTTGAACTCAGAAACTGAAACATCTGAATTAATCTCTAGCAATATAACACACCACAAAAGAAAAACTTAAAATTTTCCCCTTTCAACTGAGCACGTGCCACTCACGTGTTGTGTGCGCACTTCTTGCAGTTCTCTCTTCTGCTCCAACAATTCCTTAGCCATCTCTCTTTCTTGTTTACGCTGCTGTGCTTCTTGTTTTCGTTTCTTTCTTTCCAGTAGCTTCTGATGTAAGTTCGCCTGCTGTCTTTGTTTCTCCAAGTCCATCTTTTCCATTATTTCTTCCAGTTCTTGTTGATGTGCCGTCAAAAGCTGGTAGGCAATTAAAACAAAAAAATTATTGTGAATGATTATGGAGAGTGAATGACTATTGCTTACACGGTGTTCAAGTCTAACTTATACAGTTTCGATCATTTGCATGAGATGACAATGTATTGCGGAATATCGATTACTTCTCTCCTGGGAATTCTGAGCTGATTAAAAGAGAGACTCTTGGCGTACCTGTTGCACTTCTTCAGGTGACATGTCCTTAGAGCGTGCCGCTAACTCAGCAGCATGTCTGTCCTTCAGCTCTCGCAGTCTACGCTCTTTATCAGCCTCAAGATGTTCCATAGCCTGAGCTTCTTCTGCAGCCAGTTCTCGTTCAAGTTTTTCGTTGACTTTCAGGGTATCTTGTTCATGTCTATCACGCATGTCAGCTAAGGTACGCTCCTGTTCGTTTCGTAACGCCTGAAAATAAAGATGTTTACAGAGATCAGATTCACAGAGATTAGAAAAAATTCATCAACCATTACTTTTTGAGGTTCAATTTTGTCAATAACTAGTTCGTTCTGCACAGTATATCGGAACTCACTTCTTTAGGGCAGTGTAGTTAAGTTGCACGAACCTGTTCTTCTGAAGTTTCACGTGGTAATATGACTTCGGGTACGATCACGTGGTCTGCGTCGACTGGCTTGTTAGCTGCGATGGCTTGGCTCTGCTCCTCTAAGATCCGCTGAGCAGCTGTTTCCTCTGCCTGCCGGCGCGCTTCTTCTTGACGACGCGCTCGACGAGCAGCAAGTTTTGCCTAAGAGGTAGAAATCAGTGTCAATGCCATTTTCAGTTTGTATGGTTCTACGACAAGTGTCATTGTGTTTTGCCTTAATAACTAACAGTCGCGGTCCCACCCTCAAGTGATAAGCATCAATGGTACAGTTGGATAATCCAGTTATTTCGAGGAACCATGTTACCTTGGTGTCCTCCAAGGATTTGAGTTTTCGTTGTTCCAAGTGTTCTAACAGCGCTTCGTTCTCCTTCCTGAACTGATCCATAATCTGTTGTTGGAGAACCGCGTCCAAATTGTCTTTTGTGGCCTATGTGAAACAAAAACCAAAAGAAAAAAAAAAAAACAGGATAATCCAATTCAATCTACTGAAGATGACAAAAATGCAAAATAATAACAGATATCCTGTTTGAGATGACGACTAATGTCTATATTTAAGAACCTGTTTGATTTTTAAGCTCACTTTATCAAGAAGTTCTTTGTGGACTTGCTGCACGTTTTGCATATGCGACTCATTGAGTTTCTTGGTGATCTCTGCAATATCACGCGCCTCCTCTGCCTCAAAGCTTGTTTCCAGAGCAGCTATTTCCTGCTCGTGTTGCTTCAGCAAAGCTGTCACATCACCACCTTCGCTTATAACCTGAAGTGAAAGTCACATGAAACGATAAGGAACAGAAACATTTTACACCAGCGTCCAGTTATCTAAAAGCACCAAAAGTAGATGAGCATCTCCAGCAATGCTCAGTTTACCTTGGCTTTCTCCATCTCCTGTTGTTCCCTGAGTTTCTTCAGTCGTTCTTTCTTTCTCTGGGCCAATTTCTCCCTAATAAGCGCCGTCTGCCGTGCCTGCTGTTGAGCCAGGTCACGTGACATTTTCTCCTCGAGTTCCATTTGTTCACGTTTAATTTGCTCAGCTTGATCAGCGTACAGAGAACCAGATGTAACAAGATCATCCTGAAATAAAACAAGAATTTAAGTTTCTTACCCAGCAGCAAGTACATACACGACAAAACTTTGCGAAAGAAAATAATTATAAAATTTCAAGTGTATTCTTATATTGACGATTCTCTTACCACCATAGCGCAGAATTTGTCTCCCAACTGGCGTCGGTAAACATTCGCCTGTTCGGTGGATTGTTGTTCCTCTGCTCGCGCATGTCCAATAGATTCTTCCTGAATAATCACGTCTTGTACACTTTCTTGCGTCTTCAACACTGTATCAATACTGGCCAGAGGTTTCACATCATCCAAATGAATTTTGGACTTCTCGGCCTGTGAAGACAAGGAAAATTGTTAAACATCACTCTTTTTATTGTTATCTTTTGCCACAAAATTACTCGTACCTCCTCCTTCTGTTTTCTTAAGAGGGCGGCCTCTTTTTCCTCTCTTCTCCTCTTCAGCTTCTCTCTCAATGCTGCCATTTGTTTCTCTTTCTCAGATGCCAACATTCCTTCTAACTGGACAACTTGTCTTGCATGATCCTCCATAACCGCTCGCATTTCATCTTCACTGAGATCACCAGACAATTTTTCTGCTAACTTCTCCGCTAACTTTTTCATTTCGCCCGAACGGATTTCTTCCTGTTAATGAACATATGCTTCCACATTAGAAGCAAAACTCTCACAAAGTTGATTCTGTTTGTAGTTTGTTTATTAATACCAATTGCAGCCACGAGGCTGGATTACAGGTACAGCTGTTGAAGTTCTAAACCTCACTTTCTCAGGAACGTAGAATAAGTTACATGGGTGACGAAGTTCATTCGTTTTATTAGCAGTGATGTAACAATCAGGCTTCCAAAAAAGCCAAAAACTGGAACGTGAATTCATAACTTTTAACTATTAGGAAAATTACCACAAAATGAACGCTGTTCCTGGACAACGTGAAATGGAACTAAAAAACCTGTCATGTTAACTCCAGTGTATCTAGTCCCTTATTAAAAAGGAAAATGTCATGAGGACTCAGAGGAAATGCGTGTTAATAAAATATAAGATTCTTTCTTTTTCCTGCTTTAAGCCAAACCTGTTCTTTCAGAAGCTTGTGTACAGCAGTCTCCTCTTCTCGTCCAGTCTGCTGCTCAAGGTGCATGCGCTCTGCATTCATTTTCCGAAGGAACTCACTAACGTCACTCGTTCCTTGGATCTGCCACTGCGGCCCAGCAGCCTCACCAGCGTGTACTTCCACCACAGGATACCCAGAAGCTTGTTGGGTATAGGTAGTAGTTATTGTGCTGCTATCTCCACCCATCACAATCATTCCAGGCCCTGGTACAGTTATGCTTGTTCCCGACACCACACCTGTGTGACAAATAAAACATATTTGTCACTGGCTTTGGAGACGATGGAGAGGACGAGAGACAATACAACAAGAAGTTAAGTTTGCAATTAGGAAAATTCCGTTGAGCCGTGTTACCTGGCATTGAAAACTGTCCCTTTTCGACTTTCTCCAACAGTAGCTGGAGAGACTGCATCAGCTCCTCTTCTCTCACCTGTCCACCAGCTGTCATACCGTATCTCGTGCCGTGTTCACCAGCCTCACTTGTTTGCTGCTGTTCAGTGGAGGCCTGCAACCGATCATCATCACTTAACACATAACAATTTCAACCTTCAATAATTGTAAAAAATTACATAAAAATTATGGTTATCTAAGGTAATTGAGAGCAGGCCACAACCTACATACCTCGCCTTCCTTGACCCTTCCTGCCTCTTTGGTTGCTTTGATAAGTGCAGAGACGTCCATGCTATCTAACATCCCTTTGAGCTTCTCTGCCTGTTGGCTGATTCTGTCATAAAATGCTCTCAAGTCTGCTTGGTGACGCGCTAGCTGTGACGAAACGTGTAACGTTTGATCTTCCAATTTGTCATATAATGTACGAACGTTGAAGTTTTCCAGCTCAAATCTTACACTTGGAGAATCAAACGACGACCCTTCTGGTGAACCACGAGGTCCAAGGTCATAAATATGATCATCAATACCTAACATAAAATAAATCAGTAATAACGATGAGTTACAAACTCTTTTGCGAGCCTCAACAAACAAAACCATAGAAGGATACTTACCAGGGATAGGGACAACAGGGATAGGTGCTCCTAGCGATTTGTACTTGGGCCTCAGTGCTCGTACAGGGAACCTTCCGATGCTCTTTGGGCGCCATATGATAACAGCAATCACAAGCATAATGATACACACCAGCATGAACACAATCATTCCCCAGATTACTGCCCAGTCTGGGGACAGGTTTTGAGGCTAAAATTACAAAATGTGAGGAAGTAATATAAATTAGGTCATTCAAACAAGAACTACATTTATCCTTGACAGTCGCCTCGCTGAACTTTCTCCTTTTTAATTATAACATCGAAACAACATGTAAAAAAAAGTGAGAACCTAAAGATTTCGACTGGAATTGCGGTGTAAAGACTAGCACTGCGTGGGAAAAAGTAATGTTGTTGTTTCTTCTTCATCACATCAAAAAGCAATGACAAAATCAATAGTTTCACCCTTTGTAACAAAAAACTTAAATTGTTAGCACCAGCTTACCTTTTGGAGGCCGACACCGAGAGAGGTCAAAACTCCCTTTGTTGTCGGTGAAATAGTGACACCCCCGCACGAAACACCAGGAGCAACCACATTCACTATTACCTCTCGGGAAGGCTCTGCGTTGTCATAAAACACAAACGTTCCATTCTGCGTAAAGACATGTACAAAGTAGTCCAGAGAGTCGTTCGATTCACGGATAAGAGAGTGAAGTTTTCTAAAGTTTCCATAGTCAAACTTGTCATTTCTGTTCAACAGATGGTTTTTGCGGTATCTTGGATAATGGCTTAGGCTTCGGTTTTCTGGGTTGATTTCAATTTTGAAAGTCAGTGCCTGCCCATACTGAAAGCAAAATGTTGGATTTGCGATTGTGTTGGTAGAAGGGGCAGTAGTCGTATTATCACCAACTGCCCTTCGCCGTCTGCGCGTCACGACCGCAGCATCTGGTCTCAACGCATTTTTCACATCATCAATAGAATTTGGCACAAGTGCCCGCACTGACTGGGTTTTTCGGAAAAACATAATTTCAGTAGGATGTTGCTCGTTGTCGTTATCACTGACTCCGAGCTCTTGGGTGATATTAACAGATTCTGATTTTCCTCCACTGTCCACGTACTTCAAAGTTAAAATGCCATCAGAATTTCTTTTTATGTACGTCTTAGTCCTGTTCTCCTCGCATTCAGCATCACAGCTTACGGTATAAGGGCATAAACAAATGCCATCCTCAGTGGAGAAGGACGCTTCGCTACTATCGCACAGTTCTTGACATTTTACAGTTTCTTCTCCAGGTTTCACACATTCTCCCTGAGCAGCTTTTCGAGCTTCACCAGTGCCGCATCGTGGGAATTCCTAGAATTTAAGAGTCCCAGTAACAATGAATAAAAAGTGCTGTAAGAACTTAAAAACAAGTTTCATTCAAATACAGAGACTCAAATAAAACAACATGCTCATAGCTTGCAGCAACATGAAGGTACGTCTTGCCAGAGGAAAATTCTTTCTTAAGTAGCACGTGACACAAAGCGAGGACGATAGGCGAGTTAAAAGAGAGAAAAAATTGCAAAAAAACACGTTCGCTTTCAACACGTCACAAAGAATGCGATTTCCCGGCAGTAAAAGCTCCATTTGGTTCACATATTAGACACATTCCTGAACATAACAAGGTCCATACCTCAAGCTGACAATTCTTGTCACTGTTTCCTTCGACCTTCTCATAAGTGACTGGATCAAAAAACACATAACCGGATAAGCATTCACAGGAACCATCCGACACCTGGAAATGTCGGTATTTCCCGAAACACTCACAAGTTTCCTGACCTTCCGTTGAATCAGCACTGCTTCCGCATTGTTTACAAGCTGTTTTATTTGATTCGTGTTGGTAAGTTTTGGGAGCGCAGGGCGAACAGTCAGAAGCCGCTGTTGCCTTGGAAATAGTTCCACGAGTACCAGGCGGACAAGCTCTTGGCTCTTCAGATTCAAGGGGGCAAAACGCTCCTTGTGGACACGGATGCACTCTTGGTCCTGTGGTACCTCCGGGGCAGAAAAAACCTGCTGGACAGGGATCACATTTAAGACGCTGGGGATGATTACCGTAAGACCCTGCAGGGCACTTTAGACAGCATCTACTGTGAGAATCACGCTTTCCGCTAGTACTTAAGGCCTCGTAACCAAGATCACAAATAAGCTCTTGAGTACTATTTGGTGGGCAGTAATTTGGGTAAGAGCAAGCGATGTCCACCTGCGATCCATTTGGGCAGTAAGAACCTCCTGAGAAAAACAGAAGAAAATCTTAAGTCCTACACTCTTGGAGCCTATAATCGTAATACATTATAACGATAAACTTGTATGGCGCATTCTTCATATGACTATGCTCTAAAGCGCTTTAGATTACATTTCAGGGGGACTTTAGCCAGACTGTATTGAGAAGTTTACAACTTTTTGAAAGCGCATTTTCAGGCGCCCCCGATTTAGGAATGTTTGGAAAAAGGCCAGACCACAACACTGAGAGATACGTGATAGAAGAGCGTGGGTTCGCTAACGTCCCTTGCTTAGCAGAACAAAGAATGTAGAATGTACATGATGTAGGAGACGTAGCCTACGGTTCTTCGTCCTCAGTTGTCCGAGAGGACTAAAATGTCTAGCCATTTGCAGATATCATAGCGAACACAACACATTCTCCTCAGTTATTTTAAGACCCTGAGTGTTGGTACGGCCTAAGGCTTGAACCCTTCACCTCCCGCACGGTAGACCGGCGCTCTACAACATGAGTTGACCAGGTGGCGGATACTACAGGTAAAGCACCTACCTACAGTTAATAATGATAGAGAGATAAACACATACCGGGACATGGGATGGGTATTGCAGTGGTGGCAGGACAATACGCACCACCTGGACATAATCTTTCCGCTGATGAGCCCTCAGGGCAGTAATACTTGGCTTTGCAAGGTATTCCCTGGATATTGATGGTATCATTAGGACAATAGTGACCACCAGGACAGAAACCACAATCATCCCTGCTCCCAGCTCCAGGATTTTCTCGGCGACGGCCTGCTCCGCACAGACTTGGCCCAAGCTGACTTGGACAAAAGTGTCCAATTGGACATTCGCTGTTATTGTAATTAACCATACCAGTGAGATTACACCAGTAACCGGCTGGACAGGGGAAACAGTCATTCAAGTCTTTGCCGCCAACAATGTCTCGGTATCTGTGCATAGGGCAGTCAATTGGAGCTTTCCCACGAGGACAGTACTTTCCACGAGGGCATGATAAACCGTATGCCGTTCCTGAACAGAAACACCTCTATTAGAAGCATGGACAAGATTAATCGCTCCTGACATTTATGTAAATTAATTAAAAATTGTGAAAGTTATTTTTAATTATCCCCTGAACCAACATTACCATTCAAGCAGAATCTTCCAGCAGAGCACGGGGTACAGTCTGAAGGTTCCCCATACCCACCAGTGTAATTCTTCATCGTGTTGTCTGGGCAAGGAATGGGCACGAGTGTGCCATTAGGACAATAATACCCCATGGCACAAGGACCAGCTTCAACAGGATACCGGTAACCATCTGGGTTTGGATCAGGACTACCAGCTTTACAGTAATAACCACCATCACATTTTGTAACCACTTGACCCAGGCGGCAGTAAAAACCAGTGATACATGGCAAACATTGAGATGCATTTGCCAGGCCGCTCATGTTGTCATGGGTGAATGTTCCATTTGGACATGTCAACGGTACAGTGGTGCCAGCAGGACAGTAGTGCCTTGGGGGACACTTCTCCGGCGTGGCGGTCTTTATTGGACAATAATATCCGGCAGGACAGAGGTCACAGCTTTCCTGACCTGCGTTGTGTTGGTTGGAACCTAAAGGAGGAGAAACACTCTTAAATATATAACACCAAAAGTTGTCAAACATAGTCCTAAGCAAAAAGTGGAACTATATGATATCAAACTAAAATTCATCATGCACCAGCAACAACTTTTTGTCGAAATTGATTGTTTGATGTTTAGTCGTCAAAAATGACAAACACAAACCTGCACCACACTCCTCTGGATCTGCAGTGCCTCCAGGACAAAAGTGGCCCTCCGGGCACAAATATCCATGGGGCTTGGATACATTGGCTCTGGAACCTTGGGGACAAAAATACCCTGGTGCACATGGTCCAGTTGGAAACGAGTTATTGTATCCATTACAGAAGAAACCAGGAGCGCAGTCCAGACAGTCATCGACTGATCGTGCACCTGTGCTGTTGCGGTATGTGCCTGGGGGACACGGAGCTGGTGCTTGCGTTCCTCGGACACAGTAGTGACCAGTTGGACAAAGGCCGTTTCTTGGATACTCTGGTAATGCTGTGGGGGTGGAGGTGTCAGCTTTTCCTTCGCAGAACCATCCTTCTGTGCACGGGCCCTTGGGAACTGTTTGTGCATAATCCTATTACGGAAAGACTATATTGGTTATTTTGTACTTGACAGCTTTTCTAGTTCAACACGCATATTTTGTTCCATTTCAACAATAAGTCGCATGTTGCTTTGCACCATACGGAAAGATGCCTTTTTCCATACTACTAGATGTATTCAGCTTTACAATTTTAAATTTTTTTCAACTATTTATGAAGACAGTTTAAAGAGGGCGATGTAATTAACAACACAACATCACCTGACAGAATTGTCCTGAAGGACAGTCCGTGCACATATCAGCAGAGGACAGCCCAGTGCGATTACCATAGGTTCCTGGAGGACAAGGCACCAAGGTTCCATTTGGACAGTAATAGCCAGCTTTACAAGGTTCAACTGACGACATATTCTGGAAAGGGCACATGTTACCTGCTCCACATGGGATACATTCTCCTTGTCCCAAGTTAGGTTGATAAGTTCCAGGAAGGCAGCTTAGTTCAATATGAGTACCTACGTATTCAGATGGAAGTTTTAGACAGTTAAAACTGCGATAACTCGCAGTTTCTCTTTTCCCTAACGTTCGTCTGCCATCGTCGAGCGAGGGAGGTTGTAGGAGCAGACAAAAATGAGGCGATCTACAGAGTTATCTGAGTCCAAAAACGGCTCTCGCCTCTTACAAATAAAAATCTGCGTGATAGCATTGGTGAATCAAATTAAATCTCTCTTTTTCCTTCGTCAAACGAGAGCAGTAGTACGAGGAAAGCATATTTTTTCAAATTCTCTGGTGATTTAGGTTCGAGTCTAGTTGATGGACACGTGATCTACAAGCTAGAAAATAATGACACCTGGCGAGATTTCAGCAAGTTGTGGACGATGTAAATAAAATGGGCTTAATCGGAGCATTTACGGTGGAAGTAGCCTTTCATTCGTAAATTAGTTGTCGATGTCTGTTTAGACCTCTTTCTCTTAATATCAAGCAAAACCCTACAACGTTGTCGCGGGCTATAATCAATTACAAAGAAAAAGGTATTTACCAGCAGGGCAAAAGAATCCGCGGGGACAGATGTAACCCATAGATGGGTGAGTTGGCTTTGGTTGGCTTGACCCTCCAGTGCACACATATCCAGCATCACATGGCGCAGCAACACCACTTAATATACCAGAGCCATTACAATACCTTCCCACAGGACATGGGTTACACTGTGACTTGTTGGAGATACCACCTTCGTTATGGTAAGTACCAGATGGACAGGGCTCAGGATAAGAACCATTGGGACAAAAATGTCCAGGAGGACAAGCATCGTTGAGGAATGTGAAAGGGAAGTTCAAATAGTCCGGGTAGTTTATAGCTTGGAGGTCTTTATCAGGAGCTGGAGACTTGGATGCCTCTGTGCAGTAATGTCCACCATAACAGTCGCCAGACGGTTGATTAAGGCCTTCTCTACCGCAATACGTTCCCCGTGGACAGTTAGTGCAGTTTTCAATGGCCGTCAAACCTAATCTGTCATTATATGTGCCTAGCATCCATCAGGAAGAAAAAGAGGGAAATATTCGTTAATCTAAATTTCAACATCGGGTTGGTCATTTCTATTACCACTACTTTAGAATGTTGAAAGACAGAATGTCGAATGACAGTCTCAACGCACAAAAAATAAGGATACCAACACTACTTACGCTCCGGGCATGGGAAGTCTCGATAGTCCCCAGTACCAAGCGGGCAATAATGACCAGGAGGACATAATGTTGCATTAACAACGGCCATATTTGTGGCATCGCAGTAGTAACCTTCAGGACAAATCTCACAAAAACTTTTTCCACGTTCATTTTGGAAGGTACCATTTTCACATCTGACAGGCTGGGCTGTCCCTGCTTTGCAAAAGTGACCTGCTGTGCACAAGTATTCTCCGGGTGTTGGTGAACTTTGTCCACCTGGGCAATAATAATCAGCGGCACATTCCTGAGTTGGAGCAAAATTTCCTGTACCAGCACAGTATTTACCAGGGGTACAATCTCCGCAATTTGCAATTTCTGTGTTCTTTGTTGTATTAGAGAATTTGCCTTCAGGGCAAGGAACTGGAACTCCTGTGCCAGATGGGCAATAATGGCCAACCGGACAATCAAACTGGTCTCGCACAGTTGAACTATCATTACAGAAATAACCAGCCGAGCAATTTCCAACAGGTTCAGCCAACGCCACATGCGGACAGTACTGACCAAGTTTGCATGGCAACGGTCGTGATGAGCCCCTTGGGCAATAATGACCAGCAGGACAAATGTCACCTGTGAAAAATTAAGTGGACTGCTTTAAATACTTCTACGAAGAAAGATGTGTCACGTGACGAGCTTGACTAGCATGGCTGCTACGCTTATCCAGGTTTGGTGAGCAGGATAGAGATACACTTTGAAGCTACAGTGTCTCGCCTTAAACCATCACAAAAGATGAGTGCCCTGGGCTTCAGCTCAAACTTTTTGAAGAAAAGTACATCGCTTTAATAACAGGGCTACTGGGTATGAAATGCCTACGTCAAATAAATCAAATTACGTCTGTATACAATTTAAGTTTTACTTTACCTGTAGTTTTGTTCCATGCTGGACAAACACATTCAAATGCTGTGTAGCAGCTGTCAGCAGGGCTTGTTGCGTTACTGTAACTGGCGACACCAATGTCTCCTGGACGCTTGCTCCAAGATCCGCCAGAGCAGAAAAAGCCCTCATCACACAAGTCATTGGGCCAAACGCGTGCAGAACCTTCACAGTACTTGCCTGGATCACACAGTTTGCATGACGACTCTGACGCCTGGTCAGTAACGTTGTTATAAGAGCCTGGTTTGCACGGATATTGTGTGGCAAATTCTGTGCCATTTGGACAAAAATGCCCAGCAGGACATGACGCTGGTGTGACTGTGGTACCATTACAGTATTTGCCTGAAAATTCCAAAAATGAGTATTGATCGAAAGTCTAAACCTTTGCAACAGTAAGTGATAATAAAAAAAACCAAAAAGAAAGGGACAATAGTTGTTGTTTTGTAGTGATATGGAGTGAGGTTAATAAAATAACGTTAGATTTTGTGATTATAATTTCCAAACCTGCAGGGCATGTATCACAAGTTGACATTCCTTCCACAGCTGCATAGTATCCAGGGTCGCATGGATGGAAAGTACTGCTGCCTTCTTGACATTCATGTCCCACGGGGCACTGTCCTCCTAAACCCGTGAAATGTTGATCAGGAGCACTAACATTCACACCTGACGTACAGTAGAAACCTACCAACGACGGGAACAACATGAAAAAAGCAATGATATTAATCACAGTGCACTATTACACAACCATATTAAGCCATGAGGTTTCCTTCCTAACTCCGTTATTCTCCTTGGTTTCCTGCAGAGAACAACCTAGGAAGCTTTAAATCATTGGACAAAAAGAGGGACATACCTCCTTGACATTTTCCAGTGACAGTACTTCGGCCAGCTGTCTCACAGTAGAAGCCACCGGGACACTGTGTACATTCAGTTTCATTTGTCAAACCTGTCCTATTACCGATAGTGCCCACCGGACAAGGTTGGGTATCATATCCAGTACCTTCGGGGCAGTAGAAGCCTGCGGGGCATGGGTCAGGCAAAATTGCACTGATGCATTGATGTCCCGCAGGGCAAACATAACAGGACGAAGCACCTAAAACGCAAAAGAGAGCAGCCTGAATCGATTTGGTGCAACTCCTGAGGTAAAAGAGTCACTAAATACCAAGAGTCTTATTTACTTAAACTTTCCAATTGCAAAACACAGACGCAACATAAACTAAGTCAAACCCACGATTTGCTAATTAAGCGAATAACAACCGTGTGGAACACTTTCCATTAGCCAACACCCCTGTTACTGACGTTACTATTATTATTTATTAAGTCCACTACGTATCAAACAGAGAAATCTTGCAAATTAAATACAATTAAAGACCTACCTGTGTGATTCATGTAAGTGCCATTGTAGCATTGCTGTGGTTTTATCGAACCCTTTACACAGAAGCTTCCAACAGGACAGATGTTGCCCGTTACACCATCTTCTGGATTACTCTTACTAGCATTTCCTTCACAGAAATATCCTGCGTCACAATCGCCACTCACACGGAACAACCCCGTTTCACTACAGAACTTCCCTGGATTGCAGCTCACACAATCTTCAAGACGTGCTTTGCGCCGCCCAGGCTGGTATGTTCCTTTGGGACACAGAACTGGAGCTGGGGTACCTTCGGGACAATAACTGCCATTTGGGCACTCTGTTCCATATGGTTGATTGAGTGGCATCTCTTCTGGAGAGCCCCCTCTGCACCAAAACCCCTCTTGACACTTCTTGGTGGGAACCACGTTCCCTATTCCATCACAGTAGTAGCCTGCTGAACATGGGAGACATCCTGATTCGTTTTTCAACCCTGTTTCATTGTAAAATGTTCCTAAAAAAGAATATCAAAAGATGATACGTAAAATACTCTCTTGAGTTATTAAATTTTAATAACTTATTAGATTATTTAGCAACTTAATTAATTATTCAATTCTGCTAATAACGTAAAACCACCAGTCTACTGATGTCAAATGGTTGAATACCGTTTTAAAAACAGAACTTTGTGAAGCTTCCCAGAAATGTTTATCAAACAATTCAAGTCTCTTGCTGCTAAGAACCTTGAATACTTGTTAGGTTTCCGAGATTTTTCCATTCTAAAGTTTACAATTTATCTGACGCTTGTAACAATTACATCACAGTATAATCTGGTTTCAAACTTATTTTTTCTGGTGAGGCCCTTACCACTTGGACATCCGATTCCTTCCGATGACCCCTCTAGGCAATATTCACCCAATCTACATGCGTTACCTGTCACGTCATCAGTTGGCGTTGATGAGGAAGCATTGAGGACACAGTAATGACCTGCAAAGGCAATCAATTTATCAGACACCTGGCCAAGAAACCGTGCGGCAAAACAAACATACAAAAAAGTATTACATTTGGCGCTTCACCGATCGTTTTCCTCAGCGTAACATAACTTAAATTGAAAGCGGATAATCGTATAGTCAAACAGTTACTCCTTTTTTTTTTCTTTCTTTTTTTGGCAAAGAAAACTCGGTTATGACACACCTGCTGCACAAGGTCCAGAAGGTTTCGTCAAGCCAGGAGAGCCACAAAAGAGCTTAGGTGGACAGGGCATGCACTGTAGAGATCTCTCTAGGCCTGTTTCATTACTGTATGTACCAGCAGGACAAGGAAATTGTTTCCCTGTCTTTGTTCCACTTGGACAATAACTTCCAGCGAGGCATTTGGTTGGATAAATAACACCTGTAAGATTTGTGGCTGGATCGCAGTAATAACCAGCCGGGCAAACCTTACACTGGTATTGTCCTTCTTCATCCTGATATTCTCCAGGAACACAGTTCTGCGGCTGTCCAACTCCCGTGGGACAACTACTTCCTCTAGGACAAATCACGGTGGAATTATGGGTAGAACCACTTGGACAGTAATATCCTTGCAAGCATAAAAACAACACTTCTGTTGCACCAGGTAGTGGACAATAGTACCCAGCTGTGCAGTTCAAACAGTCTTCTTCCTTCGATTTCCCTACATATGGAGAAAATGTTCCAACTGGACAAGCTATCTCAATTTCAGTTCCTTCCGGACAGTAGTACCCAGCCGTGCAGTTCCTTGGATTGGAGATAATGTCTCCCCCGCTGCAATAGTAGCCAGCTGTACAGTTACCCTGCGGCTCTGCAAGCCCTTCTTGGCCACAGTAACGGCCTTTGAGGCAACGTTTGGGTTCGGCAGAACCTTCAGGACAGAAGTGTCCGAGAGGACAAATACCTCCAGTAAAGTTCACAGAATAAAGTGGGCATGTGAAGTCCATTGAGTTGTTAAAGGTTAAATTCACATTAGGAAGAGGCCTCTTTGAGTATGCTGCTCTTTCACAGTACCATCCTTCATCGCAAGGTCCGTCTGGATCGGTATTACCGTATCCCTCACAGTACATTCCTGGTGTACATGGAGTGCAGTCAGATGGCTCAGTTGCTCCAGTCTTATTATTAAATGTGCCAGGTGGGCATTTAAATGGTGTAGTTGTTTCTCTTGGGCAGTAATGTCCTCGGGGACAGACTCCTCCTCCTTGAGATGTGTTAACTGGGTTAGGCCTTATGGCACGGATCTCACAGAAAAATCCAGGATCACAGGAACCATTTGGAGCTGCTAATCCTTCATGACTACAGTACTTTCCTCCATCACAATCAATACATCCAGAACGGCTTTGCAGCCTTTCATTTGGTCCATATGTTCCCTCTGGACATGGCTCTGGTTTGTGCGACCCAACAATGCAGAAAGACCCTGCTGGGCAAGGGGCTCCAGTTACAGTATCGTTAGGGGTTGGAACACTTGCACCTTCGATGCAGTAATAACCTGCATGACATTTGTCAGTTGGATATGTGATACCTGACTTGTGACAGTAGTAACCTTTCGTGCACTTGGCACATTGGTCCTGCTCCATAAGATTTGTGACATTTCCGAAAGTTCCCACAGGGCATGGGAACTGCCTGGCCCATTTAGTACCATTTGGACAGAAATATCCAGCAGGGCAGTCTAGAGGAGCAATTACTCCACAAGAGACATTTCCTTCACAGGACAGGTTCTTTCTTGCTTCATCAGGGTCACAATAACTTCCAGCTGGGCATAAGTAACAGAATTCCTGCCTGGAATATGGCTGGTAAGTCCCAGCAGGACATGGATTATGAAGTCCACTTCCTTCAGGACAGAAGTGACCAGGCTGGCATTCTTTGTCTAGAGGACTTTGTTGTGTTTCTCCCGCAGGACAGTAAAACCCTTTAGAGCAATTTCCGGGTGGATAGTCAAGTCCATAAGTGGGACAATACATACCAGGAATACAAGACTTACAATTGTTCCTGAACTGGTTGTATTCAGTGTCAGCATAAGTGCCTGGTGGACATGGAGTTGGATAAGAACTCTTCACAGGACAATAATAGCCTTTTGGACATCTGTCACCATTACTTTGATTGACAGGATGACTATGGACTGTGCTTCCATTGCAATAGTAACCAGCAGAACAAACACCAGACTCGCTGTCTAGTTTATCCGTCTCACAATAGTAGCCTGGCGTGCATGGGAGAGGCTCATGAGAACCAACTGGACAGAAGGTACCTTTTTTGCAGAAACCACCAATCTCACCAATCAATGGACAAACAGCCGTCCCATTTGCTATATCACTTATATTAAGAGGCTTCTTTTGCCATGATCCACCAGTGCAAAACCAGCCTCCTGCACACAAGCCTGAAGGCCGAGACAAACCATTAAATTCACAGTACATGCCAACTGGGCAGGTTTTGCAATCTTCCAGTTTATCACCTAAAGTGTAGTTTTTGTAGCTTCCTTTAGGACATGGAACAGTGAATGCTGATCCATTGGGGCAATAGTAACCCTCAGGGCAATCAGTGAAGTTGGTTGAAGCATTTGGACAGAAATAACCAGGAGGACAGACACGACACTGACTCTGTTTCCAGAGGGAATTGTACTTGCCACCAGGACAGGCAAATGGAGAAGGTGATCCAACTGGGCAAAAGTGACCAGGAGGGCAAGGACCTCCAGTGTCTGACTGGTTATCTGGATTCCGATATAGTGCTCCTTCTGTGCAATAATATCCTGCATCACAGGGGCCAGTAGGCCATGAAAGACCTGCTTCCTCGCAGTACTGTCCCCCAGGACACCTTGAACAATTTCTGAGCGAATCAGCATGCGTTATGTTATTGAAGTGACCAGCAGGACAAGCTACGGGGGCCTTTGGATCACCTCGCTCACAATAGTGACCACTTGGACAGATTCCAGCATAACCTTTGTGTCCTCCAGAAGGCTGTCTTTGGTCAGAACCATTGTGACAGAAAAACCCAGCATCACATTCTCCTGAAGTTGTTGTAGCATTAAGGTACGCGCAGAAGTAACCAGGTTCACACGGTTTACATTGGTTCTCCCGGGAAAGGAATTCAACCGGACTATAGGTTCCCCGGGGACAAGGCTGCCAATCATGTCCAGTACCTTCAGGGCAGTACCAACCTGTGAGGAGATGGCCAGCAATACTTTACAAACTCAACTTTAACACAACTTACTGAATTATCTCACAATACTTACCAGCAGGGCACGGTTCAGGAGACACTCTATTAACACAGTAATGTCCTGCAGGACAGGTGTAACATTCTGCAGATTGGGTGTGGTTCATAAATGTTCCTGGGGAACAAGGGATTGGAATGGCTGTGCCGCTGGGACAGTGATGTCCAATCCAGCAAATGTCACCTGAGGACAAACAATTAAAAAGGAATAAACATTTATAAGTTCCTCTTTTTAGCAATATATGATTTTGTTTGGAATAAAATCATAGAGCAGAACAAAAAGAGTGAATAACACAAAGTGGCACTTGTTCGATAAGGGAAAGTATTTGTGTGCTTCTTATTCAAAAACAACTACTATCAATGAAGGTTCTTAAAGGAATCGCACCCAGTTAGGTTAAGCAAAATGTATCTCACAATACTCACCAGTGATACCGTCAGTTGGTTCATTGACTGAAGCATTACGTCGACAGAAGAAGCCTGCTGAGCAGTTTCCAGACGTTGCATTAAGCCCGTCTTTTACACAAAATTCTCCTGGTTCACATCCCTTACATTCTGCTTGAGAGCCAAGCTGTTCAGTTGGCCCATAGGTACCTTTTTCACACGGGATGGTAACATTTGTTCCTCGTGGACAATAATAACTATAGAGAGAAAAAGGTGAATAAGGATGACATTTAGTTCTAGCCTTTAAATTATTCCAGTGAGTCACCCTTTGCAAATGATGTTTGTTAGAAAAAGCATATTTACATCCCATCACTTTGCATATTAATAGTGAAATATACCCTCCCACGTATACCCATGTTGGCCCCATAATCCTCAGATCTTTAATGTCAAAGCTTTGGAAATTCCTCTACTACAGCGGCTTTGACATTCTATGAAAACACTCCACAAATTCCTTACCAACACATCCGTTTCAGGCCTTAGCATTGGAGAAAATATAAAAATTTGGTGAAGCCTACAAGAGGAAACTCAAGAGTTTTATTCTTCAAAAGTCAGATAATGGGCCTGTACTTGGATGAGTTTCTTTTGATAACACTTCACTTGTGGCTTTGTTCTTTTGCTTGGTTTTACACAGATCAACAATCAAATTAATACAACAATACACTAATGATAATGAAAAATACTACAAATAATACCAGCAATTTTTAATAGGCCGTGGCCTTTGAAAGAGTCTAAAAAGAAGAGCTGGAGCAATTACTTTTTCATTGAGATCTTATTTAAAGAGAACATACTTTTAACTACTTAATGCCAAAATGCGCCTCACCCTTTGGGGCAAATAATGCCTGTGACACCATCATTAGGAGAGTTGTTGTCAGCTCGATTGATACAATAAAAACCAACTGAACAGTCATTTGTTGGATAGTCATTCCCTTCACCCTCGCAGTACTTCCCTGCTGGACAGTCAGTACATTCCTCAACTCTTTTTCTATGTGTTTTATCGTTGTACGTTCCTAACAAGGAAATAAAATAAAGTTCAATTCATGTCATTTTTTCATATTTACTCATTAAAATCTATTTTTTTTCGCATTGACCACATGAAAATCTACCAGAGCAACGATGTCGAAAAACCAAAGCAATAGCACAAAGTCAGTTGCCGAAAATTGATTATAATTTAAGAGAGAGCGATGACAATGTGCCATATCGGTGGTTGTCATAATGACAAGTGGTTGACGTTGTAAGAAAAATAATTTCAATGACAAATCCTAATAATTGCTTCTCACCTGGCGGACATTTATGTTCCTGAGCGAATTTAGTTCCATTCAAGCAGTAGTGCCCAGTAATACAAGGCTCTGGAAACTGGACTCCATGTTCACAGTGTGTGGCATTGAGAATGGTTCCATCACAGAAGTAACCTTCAGGGCAGATTTTACAAGTTGCCTGCTGATGTTCATCTTGATAGGTACCAGAGTCACAAGCCTGTTCACTGACACTACCAGAAGGACAGCTATGCCCTGGGGTGCAGACATATTCTGCAGGTCTCTTTGTTTTCTGTCCACCAGGACAGAAAAATCCAGGATCACATTCTCCAGATGGTAGCTCAAGACCTTTACTATCACAGTATTGGCCAGGTAGACACGGTTGACAATCAGATATATTTTTGTTGAAAGTAGAATTGGAATATGTTCCTTCAGGACATTTTTCTGGATCGTAAGTCCCAACAGGGCAATAGTGGCCTTTGGGACAAATTCCGCCAGTGATATTATCAGTAGGATCTGCAACTTTAGCCCCCCGGAGGCAGAAATAGCCTGCATCACAGAGGCCAGTGACTTTGGACAGTTCAGCTTCCTCACAATAATTTCCTGAGATAAAATGGATTTGATAATCATAAACCCGTTTACTATTTGAGTGATGGGCTCCATGGCGCCAACCTAATTATTCACGACCTCCATTAGGTCGTCTCGTACTCAATAGGACAAAATGCGATAACATATTAGCAATAGTTTGTGGAATCAGTTATCAAAACTATATGATGAACAGATTTTCTTACCTCTTGAGCAAGGAGTAGGCTCACGTGACCCATTTGGGCAGAAAAAGCCTGGCTGACAGGCTCCTCCTGTTGTGGTGTTTGGGCAAAAGCAACCGTCTGTACCATTACAGTATCCAACAACACCAACATCAATAGGTTTATCGGACCAAGCTCCCCGTATGCAGTACCAGCCACCTGCACAGTCTCCACTTGGTTCTGCAAGGCCTTCTTTGCCACAAAATTTGCCAGGGAGACATGGTGTGCACCCACTGTCAAGTGAAGAGATTCAAATATTTGTCGTTTAAAATATTAATTGGTTGCTTTTGTTTTAAATGTTAGAGAATTATTAAAAGAACTAAATGAATATTTACCGAAAAAATAAAAGCAATGAAAACTGTATGCCTCACACAATTGAAAGCAAGTGTGAATTGATTAATTCAGCAAGTCACACTTTGATAACGTTCCTATTTTTCAAGTTTTAGTTCCTCAATAAACAAATCAAATCAAAATATTTAAAAAGTCTGAATTTCTGATTGTTTTAAATTTGATATGATAACATTTTACATCAATCTCGCGGGCCACGATTCACATTCATAGTTGTATATTCTAAGCATTTTTTGGAAATAAAATTGATTAAAACTTTGTTTTTCTTTGTTGGTGTATGTTGCAGTTCATATACGGCATGGCAGGCTTCTTCAAACGCCAGTTTGTGTGCTAACGACATAACTTTTCACATGGATAGCCAACTGCCACTGTTGTCAGCAAAATACAATGTTTTGCACAGAGGTTTTAATGGAAGGTGCGTTAAACATTTAATGTATTATGTGGTAACCTGATGCTTTGTTGCATAGTTTCATTATTGAAGAAACCTTTGGGGCATTGATTTTCATGGGATGTCTTCGTTCCTGGAGGACAGTAAAATCCTTTTGGGCATTCCAAGACGCATGATGTTGAGTTGGATGGACAATAGAAACCTGCACAGCACTGGGTACAGTTGGACTGGCCAGTACGGTCATTGTAGGTTCCAGCCTCACAGCCTAATGGGTACGACGTTCCTTGCGGGCAATAGTGGCCAACAGGGCATGGACCACCCGAATATGTCACATTTGGTGGATTAGGAATTTCGGATCCCTTCAGACAAAAGAATCCAGGATCACATGGCCCAGAAACATTCCTGGCACCAAGCTGTCCACAATAGTTACCTTCTGTACAGTTTTGACACTCACTTTCTCTTTTTAGGAACTTTACGTTAGAGTAAGTGCCCTTTGGACACTTTTGTGGTTCTCCTGTACCAACAGGACAGTAGAGGCCCTCAGGACACGGTCCTGAATCCTGATTTGAACTTGGTGTTGCAGACTCTGCATTTCGACGGCAGAAGTAGCCAGCCTCACACTCTCCACTCACACTTGTAGCATTCTCATGAGCACAGAATTTTCCAGAATCACAAGGACGGCAACCTGAAATGAATTGATAAAACAAATCTTTATTTACTACCTCTTCTAAGATAAACTTCGTGACAACATTTTCAAGGAAGATTAGCTGGCAAACTAGTTTCCTAATACTGAGAAAAAAACAGCCAAGTATTTAAGGAGGAACAAGATAAGGTAGATTATAAGAGTATCGATAAAGTAAGGTAGAGAAACGCCTGGGTGAAGAAAAGGAAGTTATTTTTGTTATCGAACAGAATTTATAAAATGTTTTAAACAGAGGGATACTTACTGCTTATGTTAGCCAGGCCGGGTGAGTCACCATATGACCCTTTTGGACAGGGTTGCCAATTAAAACCTGTTCTCACAGGGCAGTAAAATCCTTGGGGGCATGGTTTGGGGTCCTGACTTTTGTCATCCACACAATAAAACCCAGCAGGACAGTCCAAACAGGCATCAGCAAGAGGATCTTTCATATACGTGCCATCCTAATGAATTCAGGAAAAAAGAGAACAAGAAATATATCTGCAAATTGGAGTTCCCATTTGAATGGAGCATATAACTGAAATAAATATTCATGCTAGTAAATTTATGGTCAGGTGCCACGTAACTATTGCTATACGAAACATTCAATGCAGTAGTGCTGCAATTACAAGGAAGAGATAAGTTTTCCAACTTCTGCATACGACAATGCTAAATTACCTCACAAGGAATAGGCGCCGGTGTTTTTCCAGGACAATAGTGCCCTGGAGTACAGTTCCCTCCAGTGTTACCATCCTGTGGTGCTGGATGCTCTGCTTTACCACTACAGTAATAGCGAGGCCAACAGTCACCACTGGGAGCTGTGAGAGCAGTTCCATTACAAAACATACCGGGTGTACAATCAGTACAGTTATCAATAATGGTTAATCCTAATGAATTGGAAAATGTTCCAGACGGACAACTCTCAGGTGCCACCGTGCCACTGACGCAATAGTGACCTTCAGGACACTCCTCACCAGTGTCTCCATCAGTCGGGGTGGGAGTGAATGCACCAAGTCTGCAATAATAACCTTCCTGACATTCTCCTGTGAAAGTAGGAGACGAGCCTGCACACATGAAAAAAAGAGTTGGTTTCCAATCATATTATAGGAATAAAAGTTCCTTGAACTTTTTCCTTAAAATCATTCACGATAACTCTCGGCGACTGTGCAAGGTAACATGAACATTATATCGATTTAGAAAGCATCATAAAGCCACAAAGATCAAAGAATATTACGAAGGATATGGACGACAAAAGTTTCATTGTTAACATTACATAATTACCTACATGGTTTAAAACTAACTAAGAGTGGTTTACATTTATTGAAATCAAAATATGTTAACCTCTTTTTACAATAAAAAGAGTTAATGAGAGACCACTTACCATAGCAAAATCGTCCAGGGGGACATTTAACACACTGATCTGGATGAAAAAGCTGGGTTCCATTTCCATGTGTTCCATTTGGACAACCAAACTCTGTAGCATACCTTGTTCCATTAGGGCAATAAAACCCATTAGGACAAATATAACTTGTGAACTCACTCAAATCATCCTTGGTGTCACAGTAATAGCCAGCCGGACAAAGTTTACAAGAGTCCTGTTGTGTTTGATCCTGGTAAGTCCCAGAATGACATTTGACAGGTTCTGGACTCCCTTCAGGACAAAAATGTCCCTTTGTACACGACTTTTCCTTGTCTCGTCTTTCACCAGGAGGACAGAAATACTTTGCAGAGCAAAGTGCAGTTGGTTGAATTAATCCTTCAGTTTCACAGTATGATCCTTCCGTACATAGGGAACAGTTATTCTCATTGCTATTACCAGTATTATTTGAAAATGTACCTTGAGGACATAGCCTTGGAGTTTCAGTACCCCTTGGACAATACTTTCCTGCTGGACAAATGTTTCCAGTTGTTCCATCAGAAGGCCTTGGGATCTTTGCACCACTTGTACAAAACCAACCAGGATCACACTGTGCAGTGACATCTTCCTTTCCTTTACCTTCACAATAAAACCCTCCAGTGCAGGGAGTAGGTTCATCAGATCCTTCAGGGCAGAAAAAGCCCTCTTGACATTTTCCTCCAGTAGAATTTGCAGGGCAGAGACAATCACCAGATGTAAAGTTGTCATAATCTTGGGGTTTGTCTGTCCAAGCAGCATTGACACAGAAATAACCCGCAGCACATGGTCCAGTAGGTTCAGAGAGCCCAGATCTGTTGCAGTACTTCCCTCCAGGACAAGCTCTGCAGTCTGCCAGGTTGACACTATGTGTGGCACCATTATAGTAGCCCTTGGGACAAGGGTATTGAGTTGCATACTCAGTTCCATTTGGGCAAAAATGGCCCTTTGGACAAGGGAAAGGGTTAAAGTCAGTTGAGTTTTCTGGACAAAAATATCCAGCAGGACAAGTGAAGCAAGCTGCTTCTCCTTCATTTGGATTGTATGTTCCACGCCTGCAGCCCAGTGGAAATGCTGTGCCAAGCTTGCAAAAGTGACCCTTTAAACATGGTCCCCCTATGGCGGATACATTTGCAGGTGTTGCTGTATCTGAGCCTCTTCTGCAGTAAAAGCCTGGAGCACATTGCCCTGCAAAATAAAAAAAGCACAATTTGTGTTACGGAACTAAATTATGCAACAATGAAGTATGTGGTTACAATAGACAAGTATCACAGGGTACCTTAGCTGGTCTTCAAGGGTTGAACCAGGTCAAGCATTCTCAAATGATTACATTTATCAATTGATCATTCATATTGTGATATGATTATATGATCAAGCATCACACATGCAGAAATGCTGAATATAATTGGATCATGCCAACTAACACACACAAAGAGCAAATAATTGTTCCATTAAAGGAAAATGTACAGAATTCACCTGACCTGGTTTTAATGAAAACAATCTTTCAGAAGATGCTAAAACTAATCTAAGCTGAACCTGAAATCTCAAGGAAATGTCACAAACTTTAGGAGAGAAATTATCATCTCACCTGTTGGCTCAGTCAGGTTTGTTTGCTCACAGTAATGGCCATCAGAGCACAGAGTACAGTTACTAGCACTCTGCAGCTGCGACACATTTGAAAATGTACCACTTGGACAGCCAACAGGTTCAGGGCTTGCCTCAGGACAGTAAGCACCAGGTGGACAAACACCACCTATTCCTGTAAAGTTCTGACTTGGGCGTGGTGTGTTGACACCTTGCACACAATAAAACCCTGGATCACAGTTTCCAGATATGTCACTTGGAAATGAAACAACACCTGCTCCACTGCAGTACTTGCCAGGCAGACAAGGTTCACATTCACTTTCACGAGCAAGACTCAACTTCAGGACAAAAAAGAATACATCAGTTTAGGAGAGTGAATGAAAAGTCACAACTTGAACAGACATTTAACATGTATAATCTGCATGTAGGTAGTCCAAATAAACTCATGTGTCAAGTTATTTTCACTTTTACCCCAACTTATTAAACATACTTGTGGATTGTAAGTTCCAGCTGGACACTTTTCTGGTGATTTTCCTGTACCAGCAGGGCAGTAATGACCTCTGGGACAAGGTATTGGGGTTTTACTGTCACCTTCACCACCCTCACAATGGAAGCGTGCTGGACATGTTAAACAGGCAGCAAGACCAGTTATGTTGCTGTGAAAGTAACAAATATAAAAAAGTGTGTAAACCTATGTAATAATGAGGTTTGCACATGAGAAAAAAGTATCTGCCTCCAGACACTTTCATGCATTTGTCACTGGTCCATTGTTGGCTACTTAAAAAAGGAAAACAAAACAAAAAATAGAATTTTATGCATAACCGGGACACAAACTTTAGCTGAAAAAAGAAAACATAATAGACTCATTCACATCACAGAATATTCTTGTGTGAAATATAACAGTATTACCTTTCTTATGCTTTCCATACCTTAACACTTCCTTTGGTTTAACTTTTAAAAACATGAAAAATAATTCTTAAAAGCTGTGAGAAGATGTTTGTCCTCTCCTAACAAGCTTGGTTTGATGGGCAGACTGTACAACCAAGTAGCAATGGCACAAGAGGAAATATATATATATTAATGGACTAGTCACCTGTAGGTTCCAGGTTCACATTCAGTGAAGTTGGCTGTACCATTTGGACATTGAAAGCCTGCAGGACATATATTTCCAGTCACACCATCAAGAGGCATAGGGGTCGTAGCCCCTCTTAAACAGTACCAACCAGGGCGGCAGACTCCGTTTGGTTCTCTCAAACCTTCTCCAGTACAGGATCTTCCAGGGTCACAGGGAATGCACTGCTCCTCTCTCTCAAGTCCAGGGGTGTTACTGTAAGTTCCATTTGGACATGGATATTCAAATGGTCTTTTTGTCCCAACTGGACAGTAGTATCCACGAGGACAGATGCCTCCATATGTAATATTTGAAAGGGAACCATTATTCTGGAAAAGAAAATTATGGTTTGAAATACCTTTTAAATCAATCAATATCACTTTTAAAGAAAGCAAAAGTTTCTTCATAAAAGGGGGGATACAAAGGTAGAATCTTAATCCACTTACTGGGGTTGGACTTGGGGAACCTTCTTTACAAAAATATCCAGCATAGCATTTCCCTTCAGTGGCATTTAGACCTGCCTTTCTGCAATAAAATCCTGCATCACAGAGCTGGCAAAAGTCAATTGAGGGTGTTGCAGAACTGGGATTATAAGTGCCCTGAGAAAACAAATTAGTTAAAATAGTCAGATTACATTTAATGCCACAAAATCTTATATTAAGTTATTGCAACTTTACATTATAAAATATTCCCTTGGAAAGTGAATAAAATATCTGAACATCTTAGTAACAATGCAAAACTGGAAAAAGATGAAGTTTCCTATCTTTCAAAGGCATACAAAGTTTATAATCCTTGCAACTTTTAAACATGCAACTTTGATAGGACTACTTTTGTTACATTTCTTTACTTACAGGTGGACAGGCTGTTGGTTTTATGCTGTTTGGAGGACAATAATGCCCAGTTATACAAGGCTTTGGAAATTCTAGCCCCATTTCATCACAAAAGTTCTTCTCTGTGCAATTAGTACATTTCTCTGCTCGATCTGTCTCCTGATAAGTTCCAACTGGACACTCTCGTGGAAAAACAGCAGCCTCTTCTGAGAAGTGACCTTTGGGTGTGACATTTTGGGTTGGTACAGATGCCCCCCCTGTGCAGTAATGGCCTGGTGAGCATGGTCCAGTTGGTTCAGGGTTAGTATCACCTGCACAGTAGTACCTGAATACAAGGCAAAGTATAAGCAAGGTGACTTAAGCTTGCTGGATATTCAGTTAGGTGCCAGCTGACAATATCGCAAATAATTTATTTCATATGATGCTTTCGATGCTTGAATAAACAGAACAGTAATGCACTTATAGCCATTAGTTTAAGAGATAGGTTTGCTTTCCAATGGTGCAAGGAGGCATTTGGAGTTTTTAATGTACATGGATGTCTAAGTCTCTGAACCTTCCCCTCAGCAAAAATGATGGCCATGTTATGTTGAAATACTTGCAGGTCAAGATGATTCCAAACTAGTTAAATTGGTATTTTTTTTGTATAACAACTATGGTAATGTACCTGGAACAAAGAAGAAAACAAATCAGACTGTATATAGGATCATTTTTGTCTGAATTTCATTTTAATTTACAACATCTTCCTGACAGGTCAAGTGGAGCCATTGTTTTAAATTTGTTGTACTTAGTTATAGTTATATCATATGCACATCATGAAATGTTTCCAAGCCTGTTCAGGTGCATAATATTAAGAAACACATTTTAAAACATCTTGAAAATAATTTTTTTGGTTGCCATACCCAGGGTCACATGTAACACAGTCATCTGGTTCTTTATTTCCTTTGGTTCCACTGTACTTCCCTACAGGGCAAGGCTCTGGAGTTTTGGCACCTTGTGGACAATAACCCCCTTTGGGACAAAGCCCTCCTGTAGGACTTCCTTCAGGTGGTGCCTGACAAATAGAAAAAAAACATTTTCACAAAGGCAGTGAAGAATTACAGCAACTTGACATTAACTTCACAACATCTCCCATCCCTTAATTCAAAACAACCAGACAAGTCTCTCTTATTAATACTTACAGAAGTGCAAGCTCTTCCACTGCAATAGAAGCCTGCATCACAAGGTCCAGTTGGTTCTTTAAGTCCATAGCCAGCACAGTACTGACCTGCTGGGCAAGGTGTGCATTCGTCACTTTTTTTTACACCAGTGGAGTTACCATAGTAACCACAGGGGCATGGAGAAGGAATGGTAGTTCCAGTAGGACAGAAGAAGCCCTGAAATAAATCAAGGGAATAATTATTTAGTATCCCTATTATACTACTTATTTCTCAACACACTGGACAGCAAGGTTATGTATCAGCACATCTCAGTCACTCAGGTGATATTCTGTTAGCCATGTATATGATTTTCAGTGAAACTTAGACAAAACAAACAGCTATCTAGCTTTAATAGTGCTTAAGGAACACTCTGGTATCATTGCTTTAGCTTGTATGATACAAAGAGCACATGGGTTGAATGTGAAAACCAGCTTTTGAAGCCATCTTAACCCTTTAACTCCCATAAGTGACCAAGACAGAATTTCTCCTTACAGTATCAATACAATATCAAGCAGACAAGTGGTGAGAATAAAGAAATATATCAATTTGGGGATAATTAGTTGATCCAATACTAAATTCTCTGAACTAACATTATAAGAACTGTATGGTTGACAGTAAGGAGAATGACAAATTTGATCCGGGTGTTAAAGGGTGAAGGTTGTGACTTACTTCTGGACAAACTTTTGGATCTGCCAAGCCAAGAACATCACAAAAATGTCCAGAGAAACACACACTGCAGTCCTGCACAGACACTGCTGCAGACAGTTTGCGGTAGAATCCAACAGGACAGGGATTTGAAAATCTGTACCCTGTTCCCTCTGGACAGTAGTAACCTGGAGGACACACATCAGCCTGAAAAAGGAAAGTTAAGGTAGACGAGCTGTAAAGTTTAGATTCAAACTCATATCTGGTGCACCACAGGTATTTCTTAAATCAAAACAAAATGTTGCACGTAGCACAGGTATGCAATTTGGTTATAGCTGGAACATGCTCATGTTGTTGGTTATCAGTCCGTTATGGTCTGTTATATCACAACATTGCTAAAATGTTTTGACAAAAAGTAAAATGAAGACATTATGTCTAACCACAAATAAGTACCTCATTTTCCAGGCCTTCTGGTTCACAGTAGTAACCCTCTGTGCACTTAAGACATTCACTGACAAGTTTGCGACCTTCATGGGGATTAAATGTTCCATTTGGACACTTGATAGGGTAAGGATTCTATTTTAAAGTAAATAAATCATTTCATTATCATCATCATTTCATTTCATTTATTAGCCACTTAAGATATAATTATATTTATACTGGTTTAGCAGTATGATTGCAGGAAGAGACCTCTAACAAACCACCAGGCTCCAGACATTAATTGTACGCTAGTTACATAATCGAGATTTGATGTAACTTAATGAGACACAGTATGTAGATTGAAAAAACGAACAAACAAGCAAACAAAACAAAATAAATTTGTGTACCTACTGATAATATTTCCAATACAGCTAATGAATTACTGGTTAATGCCTTGTATCACCGAGATGTTTACTCAGTAAATTCTTATTTTTTGATTGCAAATAGGTATAAAAATGTTAAATTGAAACATTACCTCATCTCCCCTAAGGCAGTAATGTCCTTTCCAACAGGCATAAGTACTGTCATGAAGGTCTGGTTTTTCCACTGTGCCTGGAGGACAATGTGTCCCAGCAGGGCAAATTTTGCTACCTATCATTTCTGCCTTGCTTGTTGTTCTGCTGTCACAATAATGGCCTGCCTCACATTTTGTACATTCAGAGGCACCAGGACCCTGGGGTAGAAATATTATTACCACACCAGTTTAAACAAAGGCTTCATTGCTCAATTAGGCTATCACCTTGAATTTACTCTGTTTAATTACAACACAACAAAGTTTCTACAGTGCATTAAAAACAGACAGTTTAATTCATTGGCAAAAATTTATTACAACTTGCAAGAGTTATGTACAAATGCAGTAAGAACATTGGGTTAATCTTACCGAGTAATTTCCTACTTCACATGCAGTAAGTTCATAATTTGCCAAATTTGGGCAGTAGTATCCAGGAACACACTGTTTGCAACCATCAAGCTGGTTCTACAGATATGAAGCAAAGAAATAAAACAGATGAAAGGAGAAGAACCAAAGACTTACAATACTTTTCCAAACAAGACCTTTTCATATATAAGTTCTTCTATTTTAAAGGTGATGTTACGACATCTACAGTAGTATCGATCTACAATTTATTTTAACAAAGCATGAAATATATATATATGTAAGATAAGTTTTTTTCGGTACCTTTGCTGATAGAACATCGTTAAATGTGCCTCGTGGGCATTGTTTGGGATTTGTGGTTCCTTGTGGACAGTAGTGACCAGTTATACAAGGAACACAATCTTCTTTTCTTTCCAGACCTGTTCTGTTGTTGTATGTTCCAGCAGGGCAGGGAAATTCTGTACCTCTTTTAGTACCTTGAGAGGGAGTAAAAATCATTTAAAACTTTCAAGAAAAATTGATAACAAGCTATCAATTGTTTTCAGTATGAAAGTTAATGGTGTTGATCAGTATAAACACTTACAATAACTTTAAAAATCTATAGGAACAAATAATTGACTCTCACAGAGTGAAAGTTCTAAATAATTTTGTACTAAAAGACACCATTTAGAGTGATGGTAATTAACTAACAGAAAAGCACCATGAGGCAAAAAAAATTGATTATGTCTTACATACCTGGTGGACAGTAGTGTCCAGTGAAACATAGATCTGTGGGTTTGGTAGAACCTCTAAGACAGAAATGACCTTTTGGACACACATAACACTCCTCTTGTGACTTCAAGTTGGTAAGGTTTGTCCATGTTCCCTCTTCACATGGGAACTGAGTGGGACTCATGGTGCCAAGGGGACAGTAATGCCCTACAAGATTAAATTACAGATGAAACTTTGTTTGAAGGTTGTATTCTTCAAAATATTGATTTCACAGACCATTACCCTGGCTAACAAATACATAGACAAACTTCAAACTGCAAACTCTCTCACTTAAAAACTCTGGCAGTATCTTTGGTACTGGTAGCAGATATCTACTCTGACTCCATTGCTACTTTTATTATTCCCACAGTGTGGAAAGATTTCCATTAAGAGAGTTGGCCTACTTTTATTATTCCCACAGTGTAGAAAGATTTCCATTAAGAGAGTTGGCCTATGCACAATTTTAACCATGCAATACTCCATACCTTTGGCACATTCCTGAGGTGGTTTTTGTATCCCTCCTGTTCCTGCCTCACATGATTGTCTTTCTGGACATTGGGTGCATTCTCTAGCATGAGTCAAGTTGTGATAGTCAGTATAAGTTCCTGCTGGACAAGCATGGATGGTCTCATTTGGAAGTGAGGACCCAGCAGGGCAGTAATAACCTGCATCACACTTCACAGGTGGCCAAGTTAGCCCAGGCCGGGGGCAGGCCATTCCTGATATACACGAGCGGCACTCTGCTAATGAACCTCTGCTGGACAGGGAATTAAATGTACCCTTGGGGCAGGCAACGGGTTCTCGTGCCCCTTCTAAACAGTAGTAACCTGGTGGACAATCCTTGCAGTCTAATTGGCCTATGAAAGTGGAAACATTGAACATTGCTGTGAGTGTGAACATTTCATTTCTTGGCACAATGTTAATACAACAAATTAAAAGAAATAAAAAACTGTTTATCATATAAACTATGGTGTTATACAAGGATTTCCAGCCCTAGGAAAAGTTGTAACAACACAGGTGAAAAAATAGCATATTTATTCAAGTGTGTTTGATATCTCCAATCAGCTGCTGACACGTCACTCGCCTTTCATGCCACTTGGTCAGGTTAATGAACAAAGGGCAAAGACTTAACCATTCTCAATCCAGGGTGATTTGTTATAATATTTTTGGATTATGGCTGCTAAAACACTGGAAAATCTGTATCACTTGCAGATGTTCAAACTTTCCAAGAAGGGGAAGAAAAGCGAAATACCAAAAGAAAAACTGAAGTTTACGTATTCAGTGGCTTTGGTAATGGCATTTCTCACAGCTGAAAATGAAAATGGACAACTGGAAGATTTACCACAGGCCGATTCTGGCCATGTGCCTGAAAGATTTCTTCTGTCAGTAAGGACAAAGTCAATAACTGAGAATTTTGAAAATTGAAAATTAGGCCATTGTTTGTTTTTGTAGTGATTAAATGCATCTTTTCATCTTGAGCCTTGGCACCAATGCACTTTATGGTTTTTATTCAGGGATTATCTATCCCTTTATTTTCATTCATTAATAAAGTTGACTCTTCTTGTTGTTAAAGGGCTTTTATGTTGAAAATAATATAGATATAAAGTTTCTCTTCTCACATTCAACTTGACATCTTACTCGTATGCTGTGCTCAGTCGTGAGCAATCAAGTTAGACACTTGAAGAGAAATTCCATATCTATGCATGCCCATGTATTATTCTCTATTTCTACTTGAAGAAAAGAAAGAGTGATTATGGTACTTTGTTTACCTTGTGCTCCTTGTTCTTCAGTGTAAGTCCCAGGAGAGCATGGGTGAGCATTGGGGTCCCCAGTCTTGTCTGTACAGTAGTGCCCAGCTGGACAGAGTCTGTCAGCGTATCCATCACCAGATGGACAGTAATATCCAGGTAAACAATCAACACACTGGTCTTGTCGTTCAAGACCAATTTCCTTGTTGAAGGTGCCTGCTGAACAAGGATGCTCAAATTGTGATTTTGTTCCTTCAGTGCACCAGTGACCAGGGGGGCATTTCAACCTGCAGATGTAAAATTTCAAGTCAAAATGCATGGTAATGAAAGCTCAGCCAAAAGACATAACCTTGACTTCAGGTAGATTAAAAGTAAGTTATTTTTTTACTGCAGTTTATTTAAAAGAAGTCACAACTGAATACTTAAAAAAAAGCTTCAATAGTTCAGTTGGATTAAGAAATCTTGTTATCATACATAAACCTCACTCTAAAAGCTTGTCTTGCTTACAACCACTTGTAAGCCATTAGGCTAATACTCAACCAAAAATTCTAATAGGTAATCTAGTGTTAACAACTGAGTTGAAAATGTAAATTGGCCACTGTAAAGAGTTTAAAGGCTGACATTTTGAGCATCAGTCCTTCGCCATAGCAATTGGGGATCACTTTTTACCATGGTCAATTTATGTCTTCAACTCAATTGTTAACACTAAATTACCTGATATACTCTCCCACCTGCCGCAGCACCACGGTTTCTTTAGAAACTTACCCCTTTCATTCAGAAATTCTAATGTTTTTTTCCTTTTCTGGTTGATAAAGGTAATGTGTGACTAGCTGGCTGAGGACCTGTTCTTAGGTGGGTTGCTAAAACTCTCCCAGTTGTGAAGTAATGGACCTAATTCAGAGGGCTTGTCACAGCTAACAATTATTGGTTAATATAAAGTGAGTATTCCTGTTAATGTTGTTTGAAACACTAACCTATGGGTGGGATAACCTCTTGTTCCTGCAGGGCAGAAAAAACCAGCAGGACAAGGTGGACAGCCCTCAGCTTCACTTGCTGCACCAGTGATATTACCAAATGTACCAGCCGGACAGTCCACCTCACGAAGGCCATCTGGACAATAATGACCCAATGGACATAAGCCAGATGGAGGTGTGGGAATTGTGTCTGATCCCTTGCAAGCATAACCAGCACTGCAGTCAGTGCATTCTGTGGCTGACTTGTTGCTGTATTTACCAGCAGGACATGGCATTGGAACTGAGTCCTTCTTGTTAACCTCACAGAAATGACCAGCTGGGCACTCTATACAGCTGGTTGCTAAACCCAAACTGTACGATCCATCTGCACATGGAATGGGTGAGGATGTGATATTTGGACAAAAAGATCCAGCTGGGCATTGAGTGCAAACCTAGGAGGTAACAACAGTTAACAAAATTTTCTCATGAGCTACTTTATGCTGTGAAATGTTTGAAGTTTATTTAAAACTAAGCCATAAGAATATGAATGAAGACAATTAAACTTACATAAAATGAAAATTCAAACATTTATAAACCTTCATCCACTTCATTTAAAAGTCTATTATACATAAGGGTGATAAATCAATTTAGAATTTTCCTCCTCACCAAATTTAACATTCAATGCTTTTTTATTCATAGAATGGATGTCCATCCTGGTAACCAGCCCTTTACTGATAAGAATAATGATGGTGACAATGACCACCATCATGGAATACTGCTTTCACACATCCATCTAACTTGCATGATGTTTCAAATCAATATGAATGCTGCCAATATTATTGTAAAGTTTTGTTTATCATTTGTAAAAGTCTAGCAGTTCAAAAGCTTATGATAAAAGAGATTCCGTCTTCATTACACCCTCATAGTAGTAGTAGTGCATGGTAGTAGTAGACTTTATATCAGTCTGGTTAGAGAAAGCAAAAAATAAGTAGCATCATGCAATTCATATACCATCTGTTACACAAAACATCAACTTTTTACATTGTTTTATCAATCAGTTACTTGCTGTTAATCTGAAGCAATTCTAAATTTAGAACCAATCAAAACAATATATGTTGGAGTGCACCTTTGCTTCTTAAATTTGTTATTACTATAGTATTTAATTGTTATGATTTACAGTTAAAGCATGGCTTAAACTTCTATGTTTAGATGCAGCTTATACTCACACCAGATTTGGCAGAAGGATATGAGCTACCATTTAATTCTCTGCCCCTCTGCTAGCAAAAGATAAAGTTGCATTTATAAAGCATCAGTCTACTTTGAAGCTGGTTAATGATGAAGTGTGATAAATTTATGCAGATTGTTTATTTTGGAACACAATTTGCACCAGAAAATTTTTTCTGAAATATCTTATTTTATTTATTTATTATTAACTTTGCCATACAACAACAATCTAAAAAAAACAAAATGAAAGAAAAAAAATGACAAATAATGGTAGGGACACCACAACAGCGTTGCCAATTACAGTGGGCTCTTAAAGGGGAACCAAAAATACAGCAATTCTCTCCAGTGGTAGGACGAAAGTAAATGAAATTATATATATACTTTAAATCCTTAAGCACGGGAAATGAATTTATGTATCATTGAAAGAAAGAGTAGTTTTACAACTGTACCATCAAGAACTTAAGGAATTCTATGGCTAACTAACATTAAAAAGATGAAAATTTGTTTGCACAAGCAATAATTCCACATTTATATCACCTTTATCCATCTTTATTTTAGTAGCAAATTTGTTTTGCCACAGCATTTGTGCCACATAAGTATAATTATTGCTGAAGGAATTTATCTGAAACTGTTTGGTTCATAAACAAACCTGTTCCCGCCCAAGAGTGTAATAACCTGCAGAGCATTGGACTTTAAAGTCGTCTGTTTTGGATGGACAGGCATATCCAGGAGGACACTCAGTACAGTTTTGTTGTCCTCCCTTACTGTATGTTCCATCAGGACACTCTATCTCCTTACTCTCTGTGGTGCTTGGACATTTATATCCTGGAGGGCACCATGTACATGACTACAAAATACAGGTTTGACAACATTTAGCAAAAGAGGAAATATGGTAAAGGTAGCTACTTAAAATAAATAGTGTATTATAAGACATAATAGGAAAAGTAATGGTAACAAAGCCCTGTGCAATAACAGAATAATAGAGAATGACAACATACTGTTTGTGATCCAACTGAATATGTGCCTGGCAGACATGTAACAGTTTGATTTGTGTCTGTTCTTTGACAAGCTTGGCCAGCTGGACAAGGGATGCAGTCTATCTGTCTGCCAATTGAATAAGTGCCCTTGAGAGAAAGAAAAGCAAGAAGAAATCATTGTGACTGGAACAAATTCTCCTCCAATCTAATATCTAGCTGATAGATAAAGTTAATTAAAGTTAATTGTAGGCAATTGCTAACTGTAGGTAATCAAGTAGTGATACACTTTACAAATTTGAAATCTCTAGAGATTTTGAAATGGCCATCAGCTACCAACAAAGCAATTTTCTGTGCTGATACTGGTTCAATGGTGTATAATGAAATAAATCATAGATACTCGGTTAAAACATACTGGTAAGCATTTAACATTTCCTGTTCCATCTTTATTTGGACACATCCATCCACTGGGACACGAGGTACATTGCTCCTGGTAACCCCAAGAATATGTTCCATCCTCACAGTTGATTTGTGTTGAGTTATTGGTGAATGGACAAAACTTTCCTACTGGGCAGACAGTACAAAACTGGTCGTTTCCATCAGAATATGATCCTAAACAAAAAGATAACAATGTTAAATTAAGTTGAGCTCACATGTGAACCAATAAATACTGTGGCTAACTTGTATGACATAAAATTTACAAGTTGATAGTCCAAAGTCTTTAGCTGAAATCATTCTGAAATACTTATTGACAAATATGCCTCCTGACATTCTACCACATAACACCCAAATCAAACATTAACTGCAATATTCAGAAAGAGTTCAGCCATTTTGCCAATATAATATTTTGATATCATACAAGAGTTCCTTGGAGTACTATTGAGTGCACAATAATTTCTAGGAAAAAAAATCAAAGAACAAACCTGGCTGGCATTGCCTTGTTGGTTTTTGTGAGGTTGAAGGACACTCCATACCTGCCGGACAGTCAGTACAAGACAGGCTGCCAGCAAGACTGTACTGTCCAGGAAGACACTCAATGGGGTATGTCTGAGTAAAGAAAACATTCAATTCTCAGCAACACTGAGCAATTTTTAGTACAGAATGTATTTGTTAAAGGATAACCTAATGCAATCAACTACTATGGAGCAAAGAATTTAACTCAGGCATGTCTGAGGGCATGAACACCACATGAACACCACTTGGAATTTGATTTGGTGCAAGATCTCTCTGCACCAACCTTTGCACAAGATTATTATTTTAAATTATTAGTATTTGGACATTAACTGGTAACAGAATGAATTCCAGTGTAGTGTTGTTCTAACACAGAAAATTCATTGTTTAATCTATGAAAACTTACATTGGTTGTTGGACACTTGTGACCAGCCGGACATTCCAAACATCGCACTGACTTGCCAATGCTGTAAGTTCCATTCATACAAGCTGTTGCATTTGACCTAAAATACACATTTGAAACAAATTCAGATATATATCATTCAACACCTTCTTCCCTTTTTTCCATCAAAATCTACTCCTTCTTTTAATCAATGTACAAACCAGTTCTACCAAGATTGTTTTACACCTTGAAGAAATACTTGCTTATCTCCTTATTCTTATTGGTGATGTACTGCACTGTTCAGTAAGACCCACACCTTAATGCTAGTTACTCACTCTGGGTTTGGACACTTAAATCCAGCAGGACAGTCACTACAAATTTTCTTTCCACTCTCTCCAAATGTTGTGGTGCCAAGTGAACACCGAACAGCCCTCTGCTTGGTGGATGGGCACATGTATCCAATTGGACATACTGTACAGTTTGCATGTCCTCGCAAGGAGAACTCTCCATTGGAACATGGAGAGGGAGTGGAACTTGGAAATGAGCAGCTATAACCAGCAGGGCAATGTTTGCAGGATGTTGCACCCTAAATGCATATTGAATTCTTAGTTGAACACAAGGCAAAAAGAACACACTCATGATCATGGTTTCCATTTCTTTACAGAACCAACGAGACCATTAAAACAACAACACACTCAGATAAGGACTCTACTGAGCTACAATGTAGGACATCTTTCATCCAAATCCATTGCTGTAGGGCATCTTGTTTCAGCAAGTGCCCTATTCAGTACTTTATTCTTACCAGTGCACTTAGGCACAGAAGAGCCAAAGAAATGTTTCTTAGACTAAGAGCTACTAACCTTTTGGCTGTAGGTACCAACAGGACAGTGTTTTGGTGCCTGAGCAGGATCAGTACATGCCTGTCCAGCCTCACACTCTGTACACAATGCATTTCCTTGAAGTGAGTAGTAACCTGGCATACAAGGCACTGGAGGCTGAGTCACATTGGTACAGTTGTAGCCAGCAGGACATGGAGCACATCGTGGGATCTGTGATGTACAACCAGATAAACAACTTATACAGCAAAACAACATTGCAAAATACACTACAGTCACACATGCCCTTCTTAACACCTAAAACACAAGTATTTAAGTGTTGCAAGAGAATTGTATAACTGATCCTTAGTCTCTTGTTGTACCCTAAATCAAACCCCAACCATTTATTTTGTGTGTGTTGAAAGACGTGTAGGAGCCAAAAACCCAGCGATATGTTGGATGAGCTTTTTGTTCCTGTCTTGACTTTTAAAAATTTTAACAGCTTAAGTGATGATACCTCTCCACCGTTGTTCCAGTATTCTGAAGAGGTGCATGCTACTGGAGTCTGGCTGGGATCATTACATGAGTGTCCTGCAGGACAAGGAGAACAAAATGATGCCCCTGTGTTAGAATAGGTTCCAAGTGGACATGCATGACAAATGCCAACTCCAGGTGGACTATATGTTCCTCGATGACACTCTGTTGGAGATATTGGATCAGAACCATTTATACATGACCGTCCTGCTGGGCAGATAAGGCAAGAAGATGCTCCACCAAGGCTGTATCTACCATCTGGACATTTCTGTTGGGACACCCAGAAAATATTTCAGCTAACAAATAACAAATATCATGATGTGAGCTTTGCTTAGTACTTCAAAAGTTGGTCTTATTTAATAAATGACAAACTGTTTTTGGCCCCCTTACAACATAGTTGAGAAACATACTTACAGTACATGTTACTTGTCCAGATATACTGTATTCTCCAGCAGAGCATGGAACTGGTGAATTGGATGGATTTAAGCAGGAATGTCCGGCATCACACACTTTGCAGCTAACTGCTCCTGTTTCATCAGAGTAGGTACCATCAGGACAGGGTTGAGGAACATTTGTAGGAGATGGACAATAATGGCCAACATTACATGGAATACAGTGAGAGCCATTACTGTAAGTTCCAACCTAGGAAAAAAAATTAAAATTGTCATCGAAGTGAGGATCTACAGCAGTTGAAGAGAAAACTTTCCCATTTGTACATGTAGCTCTGCAAACAAATAGCCTTGTGAATCAAAACAGAAATTAAAACTTTCTACACTCACACTGCATGTGACTGGTGGGAGTGCAGGATCTGAACAGATTTTCCCAGCTGGGCATGTAAGACATTCTGTAGAGGCCTCTGGGGAATACTGCAATAAAATCAGCAGTAATAAGCATTGTATTCCACTAGCTGTGTGAAAAAAACCGCTAGTAACAGGCACAATACTGCTGGACATCATCAATTTTTACCACCTGTGCACCCTGCTACAAGATTTCATGTTATACTAAAAAATCATTTGTCCTTCTTACAACCTTTCCATCTGTGTTCTAATTGTTTTTTTTAATGATTGTAGGAATGGTGTTATTTAGTTTACAATAAAGATAGGGCTGTGGTGATCAGCCTGACAGAGCTACTGACAGTGGTGTGTGAAAATTCTTCTAACCAACATATCAGTGGTGGTGCTATTAAAAACAATGGCATTGATAATGATGAAGAGAAGTCCAAAAGATGGAGGACCAAAATAATGATGATCACTGCAGCAAAAAGAGCATGAAAGTAACCACTCAAATAAAACATTGTACATACCTGGCCAAAAACACATTGAACTGGTGAGCTGTCTCTCAGGGGACAGCGGCTTCCAGCAGGACACACCTCACAAGTTGACTGCCCTGTTGTTTCAGAATAGTATCCTGGTGCACACTGTAAGAACAAACACAAAATTAAATTTTTCTCAGCTCAAGGTGATACAGTTAATAAATCAGCTGCTCAAGGACACTTAATTTTTTAAAAAGAGATAAAACCAAACATTAATTTGAGTAACTAGACATCACTTCAGAAAAAAACCTGTGGGCTCCGAGCTAAAAGTCACTGATAGACAATGTACAACATTTCATTCTAGCCAAATGATTTGAGTGTAAGATTACAGGGCAGTTTTTCAATACATTGCAAATATCGTATGTAACTATGCTTATTCAATTACAAGTCTCGTTTTTATTTACCTGAGTACAGGCTGTTTGACCCCTTACTGCACTAAAATAACCAGCAGGGCACTCTGTTGGAGACAGAGTAGTGTTTGGGCACTTGTGACCTGTTAAGAAAGTCAAAGGTGGATCAATTTTTTTTTGGACAAATCAAACTGTAAGAACAGTTTATCTTAATTTATAAGTGAAAGATCTACCAGTAATGATAAAAGTCCAAATCAGTAAGTAAAGTGAAAATTCAGATAAGAACATCAAAAAAATCAGAGCTAGTGGTCTAACCTGCACTACCACCTGATTTACTCATAAATACTAAAACTAAATACCAACACATTATTTATTTAAAAAAAAACTTGATACCTCTTTCACATTCCTCACATCTCTCGGATTTAGTTTCATTTGCATAAAATCCAGAAGGACAAGGTTGTGGACTGGCAGTGATCAAAAGAGGACAATAAAATCCTACAGGACATACATGACATGACATGCTTGCTTCAGAAGCATAATATCCTCTTCCACATGGCACAGGGGCCTCACTCTTAACAGTGCACCTGATGAAAGTATTAAGGATTAAGTCAGATAATGATTACATATTACAATTGTACACACTGTTAATATGCAGATGAACTTGTTACTGGTAAAAAAACAAAAGAAAGTTACGGTAGCAAGTAAAATGTTAATTAAAAACACAGAATTAAACTTATTTGGGTTTAAATCCTCTGTGAGTCTTTATCTTCTATCCAGGTGTTTGGCAAGAATAGTAAATGCTTGAATACTTTGAAGAGACACATCAAAAAACATATACTATAAAACACATAATACTGTACTGGTACTAAGTACTAAGTATCTTAACAAGGACAAACATTTAGAGACAAAAATCTCCAGCATTCTCCTGCACCAACCAGATGAATGAATGAATGAATAAACAATAGGAACCTTGTATAAATGAGCTGTTGAAAAAATATGATGATATAGCCAGCAGGTGATTCTATTGACTACAGGATGAAACTGATTGGTGTAGAGATCACTGTGATGAACCCTTAAAAAATCTACCAATATCATCTGATGATATGTATGCAGTAAGTAATCAACACCTTTACTAGTATCTAGCACTGAGGAGTCCAAATGAAAAGAAGAACATTTACAAATGCACGGATGAAGGATTCTTAGACCAGATTGTAGCTTCATCTGTGTACCAACTGGCCATCTCTATCATAAGAGTGAAGAATAGGTGAAGATGCCAGTGGAAAGTTAGGTGGTATCTGTCAACTGTAGATGTTGGTTGTATCCCATGAATGAATGACCAGATCAATGCATGGGTTGATGCATGGATTGATTATTGCAATAACCTCACCTATGACCCTCTGGACACAAAATACAGTATTGCGCACCAGTTGTGTTACTGTATGTTCCATTAGCACATTCTTCTGGTGCTTCCATTCCAACACTTGGACAATAGAAGCCACCTGGACACACTTTACAATCACTCAGACTTTCAGCATTTGAGTAAGTTCCATTAGAGCATACAAAATACGTAGAAAGTCTTTTGGTTGGACATGAAGCTCCTTTGGGACAAGGTTGACATTCAATGCTCCCTGCTGCAGCATATGAACCAGCTGAACATTCAACAGGGGCTGTTTTATTAGGACAACTAAAACCCCAAAGATGAACATTATGAGGAAACATAAAAAGAAAAGAGTTTGCCTAATCACCACAGTAACTGATTAAATGTATAACTAAAGACTGTATACATTACAGATTAAAAATTCAATTTTAAGTAAGTTTCATCTTCAATTTAATTCAGGCATTTGGGCAAGAATAACAAATGTTTGAAGAAACATATTGAAAACAAATCACTGTACTGTTACTGGTATTGAGTGCTGAGCATGAAGCATCTTAAGAGGGACAGATTTTAGAAGAAAGAAATCTCCTGCAGGTCCCAGTACCAATCAGATAAATGAATGAATGAAAGCATGAATGATGTCAACCTCATATAAATGAACTGTTGGGAAAATATGATGACAAAGTCAGCATGTTCTTGCATTGAATAGTTGATATGATTGACCTCTGTATCAATCACATTGATAAACTGCTAAAAAAATCTGCCAATATCATGAAATGATATGATTGTAGTATGTAGCTAACACAGAGAAGTTGAAATGTAAAGAAGAACAAACAAATGCATGGATGAAGGATTCTTAGACCAGATTGTAGCTTCATCTTTGTACCAACTGGCCATCTTTATCATAAGAATGAAGAATAGGTGAAGATGCTAGTGGAAAGTTAGGTGGTATCTGTCAACTGTAGATGTTGGTTGTATCCCATGAATGAATGACCAGATCAATGCATGGATTGATGCATGGATTGATTATTGCAATAACCTCACCTATGACCCTCTGGACACAAAATACAGTATTGCACACCAGTTGTGTAACTGTATGTTCCATTAGCACATTCTTCTGGTGCTTCCATTCCAACACTTGGACAATAGAAGCCAGCTGGACACACTTTACAATCACTCAGACTTTCAGAATCTGAGTAAGTCCCATTAGGGCATAGAAAATATGTAGAAAGTCCTTTAGTTGGACATGAAGTTCCTTTGGGACAAGGTTGACATTCAATGCTGCCTGCTACAGCATATGAACCAGTTGAACACTCCACAGGAGCTGTTTTATTTGGACAACTAAAATCACAAGGAAAAACATTCAAAAATAGAATTGAATGAAGGGAGGATGTTGCTTTATAACTACAGTATTACAGATTTATTCATAACAACAACTATAAACATGACAATTAAAAATTCAATTTTAAAAGTCAGTTTCACCTTCTATCCAGGTGTTTGGGTGAGCACAACAATTGCTATTAAAGTTTGGAGAGACATATTTACTACTAAAAACATATGACTGTACAATTAATAGAACTGAGTATTTAGCATCTTAATAGGGACAAACTTTTAAAAAGACAAATCTCAAACAAATCCTGCTACCAACCAGATGAATGAATGAATGATGTAAAAGTTGCATAAATGAGCTGTTGAAAAAATCTGATGATATAGCCCACATGGGATTCCATTGACTAGAGGATAAAACTCATAGGTGTAGAGATCACACTGATGAACTGTTAAAAAATTTGCCAATATCATCAGATGATATGAATGCAGTATATAATCAACACATTTACTGGTATCCAACACTAAGAAGTCAATGTAGCCAACACAGAGGAGTTGAAATGTAAAGAAGAAAAAACAAATGCATGGATGAAGGATTCTTAGACCAGATTGTAGCTTCATCTGTGTACCAATTGGCTATCTTTATCATAAGAGTGAAGAATAGATGAAGACGCCAATGGAAAGTTAGGTGGTATCTGTCAACTGTAGGTGTTGGTTGTATTCCATGAATAAGTGACCACATAAATGCATGGATTGACGCATGGATTGATTGTTGCAATAACCTCACCTATGACCCTCTGGACACAAAATACAATATTGTGCACCAGTTGCATAACTGTATGTTCCATTAGCACATTCTTCTGGTGCTTCCATTCCAACACTTGGACAATAGAAGCCAGCTGGACACACTTTACAATCACTCAGACTTTCAGCATCTGAGTAGGTTCCATTAGAGCATAAAAAATAAGTAGAGAGTCCATTGGTTGGACATGAAGCTCCTTTGGGACAAGGTTGACATTTAATGCTTGCTGCTGCAGCATATGAACCAGCTGAACATTCCACAAGAGCTGTTTTATCTGGACAACTAAAACCCCCAGAAAAAGGCACAAAAAGAAAAATAGAAGAAAAAGAAGAGTTTGGCTGATAACCTGAGTATTACAGATATAATGTATAGCCATAAACTAAAATATTACAATTCAAAAAATTATTTACAAAGTCAAAAAATTATTTTCAAAGTCAGTACAGATTGAATATATAACCAAGATGTAAACTATTATAAATAAAACCTGAATGTGCAAATTCAGATTCACCTCTTAACCAGGTTTTCTGGCAAGAATAACAAATTTTGAGATATTTACAAACACTGCTACTAAATCCTGCTACCAACCATATCAATGAATGAAAACATGAATGATATGAACATTTCAAAATGAACTGTTGAAAAATCTGATGACATAGCCAGGATATCCTTGTATTGTGTAAGAATATGATTTAATGATGTAGAAATCATACTAAGAAACTCACATAAAACCTAGCAATATCAACAGATAATATAAATGCAGTATGCAGTCATCACATTTACTGGAATACAGCACAGAAAAGTCAAAATGTAAAGAAGAACAAACAAATGCATGGATGAAGGATTCTTAGACCAGATGGTAACTTCATCTGTTACCAACTGACCATCTTTATCATAAGAATGAAGAATAGATGAAGATGCCAATGGAAAGTTAGGTGGTATTCGTCAACTGTAGATGTTGCTTGTATCCCATGAATGAGTGACCAGATCAATGCATGGATTGATAAATTGCAATAGCCTCACCTATGACCCTCTGGACACAAAATACAATATCGAGCACCGGTTGTGTTACTGTATGTTCCATTAGCACATTCTTCTGGTGCTTCCATTCCAACACTTGGACACTGGAAGCCAGCTGGACACACTTTACAATCACTCAGACTTTCAGAATCTGAGTAAGTCCCATTAGAGCAAAGAAAATATGTAGAAAGTCCTTTAGTTGGACATGAAGCTCCTTTGGGACAAGGTTGACATTCAGTGCTCCCTGCTGCAGTATACGAACCAGCTGAACATTCCACAGGAGCTGTTTTATTCAGACAACTAAAATCACAAGGAATAAACATTAAGAAATAGAATCGAATAAAGTGTGGAGTTTGGCTTATAACCACAGCACTACAGATGCATAACCAAAAGCTATAAATTTGCAAATGAAAATGTGTTTAATTTTAAAGTGAGTTTCTAAGTGAAGCTGATAGTTTACACTGATCCTTTTCATAAAAGATACAAAAACCAAATCACATCACAAACAAAACTTTCCAATTATGTTATTAACATACTAATGAATAACTGAGTGCCATAACTTTATTCTGCAGCAACAACAAGTGTATCCATGGAAGAAACTGTATTCTTTTATAAAAACATGTTCTCTATCTCTTTCCTAATTGTTGACAATAACTAACATGCTTCTTTGGAATATCCCAAATGAGAAGATGAGATGATGCCACATATGGATGACAAAAAACATATGACTCTCCAGCATGCATGAATATTTACTATGACTGAGAATTATATATAAAAGGTACGGTCACTTAAAAGTATTCTGATGTCCAATCAAAACATGTATACATATATTCTAAATGTTACATACATGACCATGATCAGTTTGGTAAAAGTTAAAATTTGCCCAATCTCAATGCTACATACATTGATTTTTTTTAAAAGAGAAATCTTGTGTATAAACAAACCCTCACCTATGACCCTCTGGACACAAAATACAATATCGAGCACCAGTTGTGTTACTGTATGTTCCATTAGCACATTCTTCTGGTGCTTCCATTCCAACACTTGGACACTGGAAGCCAGCTGGACACACTTTACAATCACTCAGACTTTCAGCATTTGAGTAAGTTCCATTTGAACATAGTACATATGTAGAAAGCCCTTTGGTTGGACATGAAGCTCCTTTGGGACATGGTTGACATTCAATGCTCCCTGCTGCAGCATATGAACCAGCTGAACATTCCACAGGAGCTGTTTTATTTGGGCAACTGAAATGGCCAGGTTTTGGAGTTATAATGAAGTTGTTCAAACACATGTATCTGTGAACTCAGCCAAAAAGTGCCAGTAGTGCTTCACTGATGTAGTTAAAAAAGTATTAAAGTGACATGCTCCTAAGTGAAGATGCTCTGTGGGAACTGAAGTGTCTATAAATAACTTGTATGTGGTTAGTGAAACGGCTCAGGTGATGTCATATACTTGGAGAAAGAAAATAAGTGATAGTGTGTTGAAGTTATAAAAACAAGTAGAGTGTTCCACACTCAAAGATGTGAGGTGTCAACTAAAGAGTGCATGACAACAAGTTGGAGAGATTTGAGAATACAAGAGGAGTTAAAAGTATTAACATATATCCAAATAAGTAGAGCCGTTTTCTGTGAAACAATGCAATGCATTGTACAAGTGTGTTGATCTTCTCAAACAGACTGGTGCCTCTGAGTGAACAGTGCTCCCTATGCTAATTTGAGTGTTAAGTGAACTTAATCAACAAGGTTATTCAAGCTTACGTTTAGTGGGATATCGCAGTACTCACAATATGTAACAACTACATTTTTGGGTAGTTCTTGGTCATTAAATTGTGTAATAATCATCTGTTTTAGAATAAGTTCAACAACAACAAAATTTTAGGGTTACCCATTATTTTTATCATCCTTCTAAACAATGTCAATTAATTGTTCTAATAATAATTGTTCTAGTAATAATAAACATAAGCAAAAAGACACTCTTGTGATCCATAATGATACATGTATCAAGTGCTCTGACATCAACAATAACAATAGAAATAATAATAATGATGATGATGATGATGCTGATGATGATGATGAGAAAAATAATGACGATGATGAGGACGACAATGACAACGAATCATAAGTTGATAATGTCTTGATGTGGATCAATCACATGAAAGGAAGTGCTCATTAAAGGCCCAACAGCTCACCTATGACCCTCTGGACACAAAATACAATATCGAGCACCAGTTGTGTTACTGTATGTTCCATCAGCACATTCTTCTGGTGCTTCCATTCCAACACTTGGACACTGGAAGCCAGCTGGACACACTTTACAATCACTCAGACTGTCAGCATCTGAGTAAGTTCCATTTGAACATAGCACATATGTAGAAAGTCCTTTGGTTGGACATGAAGCTCCTTTGGGACAAGGTTGACATTTAATGCTCCCTGCTGCAGCATACAAACCAGCTAAACATTCCTCTGGAGCTGTTTTATTTGGGCAACTGAAATGGCCAGGTATTGAGATTTGTCATAAAATTGTTAAAAAAAATGTATCTGTGAATTTAGTCAACACTTGCAAGTGGTGCTTCATTGGTGAAATTAGATGTTTAGTGAGGTGATAGGTTTCTTGGTCATGATCTTCTGTGCCAACACAAAGAATTTGCATGTGGTTCTTTGGTAGAGGTACATCAGAGATGGTGCCCTGAACTTTACAAAACCATGAGTGCATCTAACTGCTCAATGTTAAAAGCCAACCAAAGAATATAGATACTGGATTGATTACTGGAAGATTAGTTAAAGGTAACAACCTTATCATAAAGACCAACAAGAATGATGCTAATTAATAACACAGTGGTATGCATTGGTGCTGGTGTGATGAACTCCACATACTGACATATGTCTCCAAGTGAAAGGTGTATTGTTGTTTTCTGTTCTGAAAAGGTGGCATCTGTGAACTGTATGTGTTGATTGCACCATTAATATGTATGAATGACCAGATCAATGCATGGATAAATGCATGGATTGACTATTGCATTAACCTTACCTATGACCCTCTGGACACAAAATACAATATCGAGCACCAGTTGTGTTACTGTATGTTCCATTAGCACATTCTTCTGGTGCTTCCATTCCAACACTTGGACACTGGAAGCCAGCTGGACACTGTTTACAATCACTCAGACTTTCAGCATTTGAATAAGTTCCATTTGTACATAGTACATATGTAGAAAGTCCTTTGGTTGGACATGAAGCTCTTTTGGGACAAGGTTGACATTCAATGCTCCCTATTGCAGCATATGAACCAGCTGAACATTCCACAGGAGCTGTTTTATTTGGGCAACTGAAATGGCCAGGTTTGGGAGTAATAATGAAGTTGTTAAAACACATGTATTTGTGAACTCAGCCAACAAGTGCCAGTAGTGCTTCACTGATGTAGTTAAAAAAGTATTAAAGTGACATGCTCCTAGATGAAGATGCTCTGTGCAAGCTGAAGTGTCTTTAAATAACTTGTATGTGGTTAGTTAACAGCTCAGGTGATGATATATTTTGAGGAAGAAAACAAGTGATAGTGTACTGAAGTTATAAAAACATCTGTGGTGCATTCCACAGCCTTTAAAGTGGTGCTTATTACAGATCTGCATGAGAATTCCAACAAGCCACAATAACACTTTACCATTACATGAAGGATGAGGTGCAGTTTTACAATGACTTTAATTAATTGTGCCTACAGCAGGTTCTCTAGAGCAATATTAGGATGCTGCAACAGTTATAAGATGCTGTGCTTTAACACACTAACATAATACGACACAAGTTGCATTTAAAAGTTTCTAAACTACTTTGAGTATCATCACACTGTAATGATTAATTAATCAATTATTATAACTAGTACGCTCCTACATTGTACAAATAAAATGAAACAAATTTTTCTAGTTCAAGTCATTTTCCGTGTTCCTTTTGCAAAGTAAGAGAGGATGCTAATTTTCATTTGCACCTCATGACAGCTAAGAAGCCCTTCATTTGAACTAGCTCCACAGAAACTAAAAGAAGTAACCCCAACCTTCTTACCTGTATCCTGCTGGACAAATGGTGCACTGAGTAGAGCCAGTGAGGCTAAAGGTTCCATTTTCACAAGGGACTGGCGAGACAGCAGGATTTGGGCACTTGAATCCTTCTGGACATTGGCTGCATGTATCCTGTCCTTCTGAATCTGCATATGTTCCATTACGGCAAGGAACATGAGTGGATAGTTGAGCTGAAGGGCAATGTGATCCAGCTGGACACTGAGAGCAAACAAGACTCCCACTTGGTGCATATGTCTTTGCCTCACATGGAATAGGGTCTGAGCCCTTTTTGGGACACCTGGGGCACGAACACATGAAAAAGCATATTGAAAATGAATGCTTACTTTAATGCACAAACATTATGCGGCATTCATCTATTCACAACTTTAGTGAAGAAAAACCAGTGCGGACCATGAGTTCGTATCCCTTAGCACTCTACAAAGGAGACCAAAATCTCAAACTTGATGGAAGCACATTGTTTTCTATGCATCAGTCATTGAAATACAAATGAAACCAATACTTAGCAATGCGGACTCTGGTGTTTGTGAACCAACTGACCCTCTGCCCATGCTCCTTAAAGTTTTAATGATGGCAGCTAACTGCTTGATGTCTCTTTACACATCATCAGAACATAGGGTAGCTAACTAGTGAGCACATAATAGGACCTCTTGTTGCAACGATTAGATCCCCCTGATGAAGGCACTAGACAGGAGTGTTGAAATGTTGGGTCTATGAATTGTAACTTCTCTGTGACATTCATTAAATCTTTAAACTAGGGTATCATCAAATCATGTCTGATTGTCCAACTGGTTGCCTTGCGAACTTAAATATATCTCTAGAAGTAGTTTTTAATGTATTCAGTTTTGTTTAACACCATGTGACTATGAAGAATACTTTTTCCTTGAGGCATTAAACCTAAATGCACCAAAACAAAAATGGCAATCCACTCTTTCAAACAAAACACTGAATTATTTAACCCCAGGTTTGCACAAAGAACCATAGGCATAAACAGTCATTACCAGAACTAACTCTGAACACTTCAATACTCTATTCTCTCACAGTAAAAAATAAATGAACTAAAATCTGCCATAGTCTACCTGAATCCTGCTGGACACATGGTACAGTTTGTAGCAGCACCTTTACTGTAAGTTCCATTTTCACAGGGCACTGGGGCTAGAGCAGGATTCTGACAAATGAATCCAGCTGGACATTCTAAACACTTGGTGAGTGATGTAACATTAGCATATGACCCAGGATCACATGGAACATGTTTCTCTGAGGCATTAGCTGGACAGTGAGACCCCAAAGGACATTCCTGGCACTCAATGCTCCCCGATGGAGCAAAGGATCCTTGATAACATGGAATTGGGTCAGCTGAATTGTCTGTGCACCTGTAAAAGAAATGCATCAATCAAACTTCTGCTCCTGGTGCATATTCATCTACCAAATACTATTGTTATGCACAGCCATCAAATTCATGTTTACCACCATTATTCACTTCTAATACACAATAGTAAATAAATGTAGAAAGCTTATTAAAACTTACCACCACGGAGATCATTACACTGATAATGTATTTGCCAGGATATTGATCATGTAATTACTGATTTTCTCCTCCCCTCCCCCCCCTTCCCCCCCTCTTGCCCAAGCTTAACTCACACAAACAAACCCTGATAATAATGGAATTTCAAGGTGAAAGGGTATTTGACATCCACAAAGAAAGTACTACAATGAATTCCTTACTTATGACCACTTGGACACACTATACAGTGGGTAGCTCCAGCTTTACTGTAAGTTCCATTCTGGCATTCCACTGGTTCTTCAGCAGGATTTGGACATTTAAAACCTGGCATACATTCTAAACAGCGTGTAGCATTCTTCACAACCGAATAAGACCCATTTGCACAAGGGAGATGATAAGGAAGCTTCTCGGATGGACAATGTGAACCAATAGGACAGGAATGACAAAAGATACTATGCGCTGGAGCAAAAGTACCATTTGTGCAAGGGATTGGATCAGCTGAATTCACAGGACATCTAGAAAATAAAATTTAGGCAGGAATATTATTCATTCCTATCACAAAGGCTTTTCATTTGTACAGACACAGAATGACATGGTACATGCATTTGTGGTAATCATATACTTACTGATGGCCTTCAGGGCAAATGGTACACTCTGTTGCCCCACCCTTACTATATGTCCCATTTGGACAATCCTCAGGTGGCTGAGCAGGATTTGAACATTTTTTAGCAGCTGGACAGCTCTGACAAATACTTTGATTTACACTGTCTGTGTAAGTGCCATTAACACAAGGGACATATACTGAAAGGCCTGATGATGGACAGTGAGATCCCACTGGACAGGACTGACAGTGTAAACTCCCTGATGGAGCATAATTACCAGCTGGACATTCAGATGGATCAGTACTTGGGTCAGCACAACTGCAATATCACATAAATTGGATAATTCAATAACTTATTAAATACAATGAATTATTGCACTTTGACTTTGGTGACTGGCTATGCCTCACCCTTTACACACTAAACTTCATATGCAAATTTTCCATGCAGTTCTCTATAAATTTCCTATAGTACTGCAGAGGAGACTGTCTAACAATCAAGGGCTTCTTGAGTTTTCCATCATATCATTTATTTTTGTGACCTTTATATGTAATTAAGGGGTAATACTGTTGGATTACTGTTGATACTTCTGGGATAACAAGTAAAGCATTTACTTATCAATGATGAAGCTTATTTGTTCAATACATAAAACTTTATTCATCAGACCAAAGCAGACATTGCATTTGTTTCAACGATCTGACATAACTTACCTGTGTCCACCTGGACACTCTGTACAGACAGTTGAGCCATTCTTACTGTATGTTCCATTCTCACAAGGCTGCTCCCCTTGAGAAGCAAAGGGACAAAAATGTCCTGCTGTGCACAACTGGCATTGTGTTTGCCCAACAGTGTCTGTGTAGGTACCATTGAAACAAGGCAAAGGACTTGCTAAGGAAACATTTGGACAATAAAATCCTTTATCACATTGTAAACAAGAAGTTTGCCCTGCAGCAGCATACTCTCCAGGATTACATCTAACTGGCACAACTGTTTGGTTGGAACATCTGTTAAAAAAAGCAATATAAGAGTTATACTTGCCCTCAATTAGCTTCTTTGTATATTAGAGTGGTAACTCTGAAATGGAAAACTTAAATTGCTGTCTAATATGTCTTCATAGATGTACATGCAAGTAGAGGACACACTGTTCACATTTAGGTGTATCCACATTAATGGACATCTATAAATGATATGTACTATCACTTTTGTCCAATTGAGGTTTGTTACTTCACCCTTGAAAACATGGACTGATAATTCTCTCTGCTTGAAAAACAGCTATGAACTTGTACTCAAGATATTCTGTCTTACATTGAAGAAGAAGTGCTATTCAATGTATTCCTAAATAATTTTGTAGTATTAACAAGACTCACTGATTTCCAGGTGGACAAACAGTACATTCTGCTGCTGCTCCAAGACTATAGCTTCCACTGGCACATGATTGACAAGATGTGCCATTATATGAGAATGTTCCTGGCTCACAGACTGAGCAGTTTGATTGCAAAGGACTTGGTTCATAACCTCCAGGGCAATACTAAGAAAACAAAAAAAATCACCTAATTTTGCCTACTGATATCATTGTGTGGGAGACAGCACAAGATTTTATACATTCATGTTAACCATGAAAGTTGTTCCTTATTTTGGATAAGCACAGATGGCATGGAATACATGTCATGGTTAAAATATTACCTTAGATTTATATCTATCTGACAGCAAAAGTTTAATTTTTTTTCTTTCTCTTTAGGGATTATTAATAATTATACCTTGAACAAAAGAAACTATCAATCAAACTGGTTTGTAACATTCAACACCAGCTAAAAATTTAAACCACAACATGTTCATTCCATAAAATCATATTTTTTTTTTAATTTCACTGCTTTTATTTGACTCTGTAAGTTGTACCTTTGGTCAATTGTATATCCAAGAAATTAATCATTGTCAATAACCTTATTTTGATTTATTAATAATTTAAATGAAATTTAGTTTGTACCTGAGGTTGCTGAGTAGGATCCAAGCACACTTTCCCAGTAGGACAAGAGTGACAGATTCCTTCTCCATAATTTGAATACGTTCCAACGGGACACAAAGTGATATTTCCAGCTAAAGTACAGTTGTAACCAGCAGGACAAGGTGTAGTGCATGCTACTGAACCTGCTGTGCTGTTTGTTCCCGATACACAAGCCTATTAAAGACAGCCACATCAGTTTTTCTCATTTCATTAACAAAATTTTTTTTAAGGAGGAAGGAGATGAGAAAAGATATCAGTTAAGAAGCATTGTTTGACAGTTCACACTAAATCCTCAAGGCTAAAATTATATGAAATGCATGGCAATCAGAGTAAAGAATTAACATGCTTTAGGACTGAAACAGTTAATGCTCGAAGCTTAGTTGTCTCTGTCTTCTCCTTCCTGCATTAATTCGATTCATTAGATGAAGACTACTTTACCATCACCACAGGTATTAATTTCTAATCTGTGACTAGGCCCACATTGAAGATAGATGTGGCTGCAAAGTAACTTTAAGTTTGCACGAGGCTACCTGGTAAAGTCAAATTTCTATGCTGCATGCTTTGAAAAATGGTGAAAATAAAGTTAACAAATAAAGAAACTACAAGGTTGACTTTCCTATTCTACTAAAAACCTGATATAATATTACAAAATCCCGATGAAAGAAAGCTGAATGTCTAAACGTACTTTAGCTAATCATCATTTTCTAGGTTCAGTTCATAATTTCCAACAGTTGGGGTTGCGATGAGAAATGTTAAGGATAAAAGCTTCGAGATGGAAAGAAACCTAAATGATCAAACTTACCGTACAATCGGATGAGTTTTTTGAACCGGTATTCGGATTTTCGGTTCCCGCTGGACAGGGCTCAGGGGCAGTACTGTTTCCCAGGCAGCTAAAATAAAGTTATAATATCATTAGCTTTAAAGAAACCTCTTATCCAATTGAGATAAAAACAATATATTCTGCAACCACTTTTAATATCAATACAACGTGAGATGAAAGTATACAAGTAAGTGTAACAGAAGGTTCAAGTCGATAGACAACCCCCAACAGTTAATATAAATTCTGTATGTATAATCTCGAGTCCTTTGACAAAACATTTGGATCCTGGATATTCCTATGTATCGGTACAATAGTGAGTACAGGTCACGGGAAGATTTGTTACTTACAAGTGTCCAGCAGGACAGTCAACACAGTTACTACAGACCCAATATTGTCCAGCAGTACAATTGCTTTGACTACAGGAACATTCTGTCCCACAATCACAAGCTGCTCGAGCTAGACCTAAGCAAGAGAACACAAAAGTTCAACATCCAAGATTTCTGTAAAGTCATTTCCTTAAACGCCACAATAGAAAAGCGCATCTGAAATGATAATGACATGTATGTGATTATGATCTTACCGGTGAAGCTCACAAAAATCAAGCCAAATATTACGATAAGATTCAACCGCAGTTTCCCGCTCTGAGATGTGTGACATTTTAGCATCGCTAAATTACTCATATTAATGCTTGTTCTGTTGAGTGTTTAGGGAGACAGGAACCTCGATGAGCGGTAATATAAATCGGTCACAGAAGTTGCTGTCTGCAGAAATTCCAGCTGCACTCAGTTGAACGTTTGTAAAATGACATGTTGAACTCGAAGCATTCGAACAGCGTTCTAAATAAAATAAGAAGTCACCAGACTTCCTCCAAACAATACGCGATATCAAACTTCAAAATTCGACGTTAATAGTGTACCGAAGTCCGAGTATCCGCGATTATGTTATGAAATGTTCCACCGTGATTAGAGAAAAATTCCACAATGTTTTGTCATGAAAATTTGGTTCTTGCGGAAGATCACGTTGATTACTCTGCCGTGACGTCACGTCTAAGATGTTGTCATGGAAGCCATCAGTTTGTTTGTGACAAACTTTCCGCAAGTTTCGATGGGCTAAGTGAGGATTGGTGGGAAAAGAATAGGCATCGTAAAAGCTCGTTTAGATAATTAACTTTATTGTCTTAAGGACAAAGTAACCCTAAGAGAATTTTGATTGTTAAGAAACAAACTGCTGAGTTCGCGGTGATTTCGGAATTCTTGACCGATTAAATTTCTTTGCGACGCACTTTTACGCTCTCCAAATCACAACATCTACCTTATGAAGCTCATCGACTTTACTGGTAACCGTCTGTACGAAGGCACTGGAACCTGTTCAGTTTGTTTGTTAATCTTTCAATTAAGTGTTAGAGACCACTGTACTGTCAGCCCTGCTTGGAAATAGCTGGTTTAACTAGCTGAAAATATTCTATACAAATTTAAAACAATTATTTTATGTCTCACTATATCCTTTTATATTTATGATGAAAAGACATCTCATCCGGAGGATTTTCACCATAGGAAGATCTGGAGGAGGGCGAATCCTTTTCTTCTTTTCAAGGAGTTTTCCTTCTTTTATATCGCAGAGGGTTTTTTTTTCCAGAACGAGAGGTTGGCATGAGCCCAGTTTCGCATTGCAGCCTAAATGAACTTCAGGAAAAAAAATTAGCAGTGTGTGACCATATTAAGTGAAAAGTACAGGTGCAAAAAATTTCATTTTTTAACAAACACACGTGCATATGTAGAGTGAGAAAATTGAAAGGATAACGCAAAAATCCAACTTAAGGGAGAAATAGAAGGGAAAACTGGTTACCAAAGAGTTTGTTGCCAAGGCAACCACGATTTGACGCTGGAGAAGACAAATATGGCGACTTTCTTTGTCGCACGAGATATAATTCCTTCGTAGGTTTATTATAGATTTCGGATTACAACACTTAATCAACTGAATGAAGAGGGGTTTTGAAATCTCTAGAGGATGATGAGCTCACAAGATGCATGAAAAGAGGGGCAGTTTAACGTACTATCAATTTCGTATACCCCTCGATCCCGCGCAACAACTACCCAAGAGAAAAGGTATGGATCACAGCTTGACTGTTCGTGAAAATTTGCGTAATAAACTAGTAGGGAAATGGTTTGTTCTGGTTCTATTTCGCAAATGTCGCTCTTGAATATTTTTGCTTCTTGTATCTCGACACTTGATCTGCTGATCTGGATTTGCATGAGATACGAGATGTGAAACATCCGCATGGTTAAGAAACGGCTCAGATTGCAATTGGTTAAGGTGCTTCATTTTAAACTCTAAATTGTACGCATATTAATCCTTTAAATAAACGTAAACGTATATACATATATTTCAAGAGTGAAAATATGTTTTTCAAAAACTCTTGTCTCGGATCAGCTGAAAGATTCAAGAAGAGCAGCAGTTCCTGGAACACAGTTGATTCCAGGCCATGCAGTCAGCAAAGTCACAACTGTGTTTCCATAGAGCAAGATATTCACGACCGGAATTCACAGGTAAGACTCAGTTTGTAGTTCTGCTAACCCTAACAGACTGCTCATGAAATGGGAGAGATCAATTAATATTGTTTGTATATCGAACAGCATATTTTGGTTGGATCTGCACTGAGACGACCCCATGCAAGTGAGTATTCTCCACTGGATTACCAAAGTATGCCAGATGTTGGAAAGTCTCCACGTCAGCCTTTTAGGCCTCAATCTTCATGTACAGTGTACAACTATGCTTCTCGTCCTGTCACTGCAAGGGAACAGTCATCGCACCTTGGAAGACATACAAAGTCAAGGTAAATATCAACTCACTGTTATTAATGTGCAATGTTTCTAATGGGAGTCTTGCCTTTGGAACTCTACAAAACCCTCTTTGTGTTGGATAAAGTTTACCAATAACTTCCCTTTAATAACTTGCGCATTGACATGAATTGTTCTGTTTTGGTTGGGTAATAATTTGGTACTTGGATAAAAGGAATGTGGCAAAAAATCGATTAACTTCAAGACTGTGGGTTTGTTTTAGACTAGTATGGGGTTGTACGGAAATCTTTGCACTGGGTGTGATGCAGAAATATGACAAGAAATTGAAAGACTTAAGGGTTAGGGTTTAGGGTTTAGGGTTTAGGGTTAGGGTTAGGGTTAGGGTTAGGGTTTTATATTTATTAGCAGTTTAACCTTAAAACCTGATGCACGTTTTCCTCATCTTCACTCAATTGCAATTTCAGCTTGCTGAGATGTCAGTCAGCCTCATCAGTTTCCATGAGTTCACATTTATCCCACTCAAATTTTAAATCAGCAACAAACAAGAAACGTTTATGTGAAATTCGTAAGTTGACACATTTCTGTGAATATTAATCTCTATTAATATGAATCTAGACATCGATAACTGAGAGGCCTGGGTTCCTTTTCTTTAGATTGAGCAATTTGTTTAGCACATAAGCCATAAGACTTGGGTAGAGCCAATGGCTATTCACCACACTAATACGTTTTACTTGCAAAATTACTTTAGTAGTACCGCTTAGGTATCTGTACATGTGTTATTAGTAATCTAGCAAGCAAGCAAGCAACAAGTTTATTTCTAGCTTAAAGAAAGTTTTAGTTTCCCTCCCACCCACACCATTGAAAGTTTTGATTGTATCTTAACCTCATTCGTGTTTGTAGTTTATTCCTGATTACTGGACAGTTGGTTTAGTGTATTCATTCAATATGTCATAGTCTAGTGTGTTATTTACGTAGGATATATACATTTAATAAACTGTCTGGTCCCAAAACAAGTGTCTGTCAGTTGTGGTGTTTAGTTGGTAAATACAGATGTTTATAGGGTTTACTCTACAAGGCTGTAACACGCTGGTCTTATCCATACAGAATCTGCCTTGTCAATTGAATTACTAAGTTTAATACCAAAAGGTTTTGAATATGATGATCCAAATGAGAGTTAATGTTTACTTGACCATATGTTGTGTTAGCTAAGATGTATACTTTGTTGATCTGTCTCCAGAAAGAGATCTTCAGATCATCATGGAAACTTTGATGTGTCTCCAATCACTCTTGCAAGCAGTGCCATTTGGCCTTTTTTTCTGTTTTTAAATATATTGGTTACTTAATAAGTATTTAAAAAATTTTTATCATTTTTAGGTGATGACTACAGATTCTTCAAAAGTGATCCAATGCACAAACAGTAAGAATTTTTTTGCCATAAATTTAATTGTAAAGGTTATGTTTTAACTTGATAAATAAATTAATTGCCAAAAAATACTAAAATAAAACAAGGAGTCAAATTTACAGCTAATTTATAGGTTTTTTCTCGAAATCATGCTGCACAAAAGCCATGTCAGTTACTGAATCACATGTCACTTGGTGAACTTATCTATCATGTGAAAATGGTGGCTTCTCTAGATTTTGTAGGTATAAGTAGTGGTCACAGATGAAGTGAATTAAGTCTTAAAACTCCTAAGAATTTTAATACATTTAGATGTGGTCACAGATGAAGTGAATTAAGTCTTAAAACTCCTAAGAATTTTAATACGTTCAGATGCACAGGTACCATCAAAAAGAGGTTTATAATGTTTCTGTTCTAAAAAATCAAACCAGATAGGTTTAGAAAGGAGAATATTAACTTTTTAAAACAAAAACAATATAACATATTACTAGGTAACAAATGTTCTTTAAAAATATTTAATTATAAACTCCCTGACACTCTTACATCTACATTGTTTACTGAAAATGAAAAACAAGAAGACACAGAGTTTAATCAGACAAGAACTGCTTACAAAAATTAACTCTAACTTGTGAAGTACATAAACAATTCCTACCTATTCCTTCAATTAACCCTTTACATCCTAACATCAGGACATAATTATATTCTCCACACTGTTCTCTTTACATTTTCTAATGTTCCAACAAGGATAATTTGTTCAAACATCTATAGCTTATGTAGTCATTTATCATTTCCCTCATTCTCATGACCTAAATGTTTGATTCAGGGGTGATAATGTAAGGAGAAATTAGATGCTAATCATCCTCAGGGGTGAAAGGGTTAAGCACACTTATGAATATTTTTGCAATTAAAGGAATGGATTGGTTATGAAGCAAATTAAATATTTATATAATCAAGACTTCTTATTAATCTTCCTCTTACAGAGTACCTCCCCATGGTGAAAGTCTTCACAGCTTTTTAACTGGAGCAAGGTACAACAGGTATGATACTGACTACACCATTTTAACTCTGTCACTGATCTGAGAGACCAAGTGTGAAAGTGAAGACTGAAAAAAACCAGTGCCTTACTTAAAGATAAAGATTTTTAACTCCTATGACTCAACTCCTGATTAGATGGTGGGTTTCTAAATAAACATTGTTTTACTTATTTCTTCTTTTTTTCAATATTTGTTTATTCGTTTTATATTATACTTGTCTTACAGAGCAAGATACTTGGATTGGCGTGCTCTCTCTAAGCTAGGAGTTTATATTCCCAAGCCTGATCTGAACTCATTCTTCATTAAGAATGAATTTGATGGTAAGCCTATAGTTATAAGGAAGTTATTGTGTTGATAGAGCAACATTAATGTCTGACACTCTACCTGTTACAAGCAACCACATTGAACTCATGGTAGTCAGTAAGTTGAGTGAAGTGAGGGTAAAGCTTTCTAATACCTGTATCATTTTTTTAAATCCATGCTCTTTTTTTGAAATGAACACCCACACAGGTTTCCCCCTTCACTCCACAGGCCTTTTCCCAGAGCACAAAAATATTTGGGGATGCAATCAATTGAGTCTATTGAACAAAATAAATATTCTTCTTGGTGAATAAATTTACCCTATTACCAGATGTTATTAATGGCAAGTAGGGAAACAGCATGGTTGAACTGCCCAACTGGCTCAATTTTTTCGTTTCAAGTAAAGAGTTCAACTCCTCGACCACAGTTGCCGAGGTCCATTTCAACCAGTTATAATCAATTTACATATGGAAAACTTATTTATTGTCTAATGTCAACATCCAGATTCAGATGCAAGAAGCATCTTTTCTGACTCTACCGAAGAAGAACTAGTGGTTGAAGGACTGAAAGAAAAAGGAGAGGAAGATAATGGGACTTTTCTGACACGGGAAACAAATACAGAACCACATTACCTAAGTATTAAACACTGGCATTCTACTGAATGGAAAACAGACAGGAAGCCAAGTAAAGAGCAAAGGATACAATCAGCACCCTTAAAAATCAAAGCCATCCACACATATTATTATGACTACAGTCAAAAGAGTGAATCATCTTTAACTGTTTAATTGATGTGCTGATAATTATTTTTATTATAATTATTAAACTGAAAAATATTGAAATGGTATTTTAAGTTTTTAGTGTGCATCATTTTGATGTACAAATCCATTTAAGTTGAACTGTATGGAGCGAAAAAAGTAATAAGCATCATGTGCTATTTCACATGCATCATGGATTTGAAGCTTCCATCCAGGGAATTCAACACAAAATGAGTCCACAAAATTCCTGAACAGAATTTCCTGTTGTAACACAGTTGAATGCTCACTGTGCAGTCTCTCCCTTAACAATTTGTACCACTTATAAAAGCTCTCTTGATGTCATTATGTTGCAAACCAACTTTCCTCAAAGCATGAATGTGTTAAGATGAACAATTAATAAAGTTTAGAAGAAGATTACACAAAATTAAAGGGCTCACAGAGATTTTCAAGTTTGTAACCTTGCAAGAAAGTAGTATATACAATTATGGGTGTTTGCAAAACAGTAATTTTTGGATAGCCTTGTGTTTGGGAATTTTGCATATGCAATTTATTTACTATTTGGTGGATATTTCTGTTGAGTGTTTTCAACAGGAGTTTTTGTAACTTCTTATGAGGAAATAAAAAGTTAATGCTTTGCATTGAGATCACTGATTCTTATTGCTTGTATTCACCCTAGCTAACAAATGCGACATCAATTCAAAATTGCAGTGGTTAATTAAAATTTATTTCCTTAAGCAATAAGTATCATACAAAATTTCTATTAATTATTGATAAACAAGTTACAATCACTTTTTTTAACACAAAAATGTTACCAAAGCAACACCACAGCCTCTAAGAAATACCCATAGATTTATTTAAAATTATGAGTCTGTGGCAAAAAAGAAGTTTGGTATTGCCTGTTTTATATTTATTTCATACATTGCAAGTCTGCATAATGGTTAATTGCTTAGCAATGTCCTAAACAAATCTCTATGAAATCTGCATACTAGAAAGTATGTTACCAACATCCAAATTAAATAATTGTACTTGTACTAATTCATCAAGCAATAGGCATTAAAAATTAAAACCCATTTAAGCCTCCTTTAAAACTCTTAATTGTCCTTCAATTTCTGATATTTTGCTGTCTTTTTGATAAAACCAGCATCAATAAGGCTGTAAGCCATGTCTATTACAGTGTTTCTTAACTCTCTAGGCTTGAAATCCAAATCTTGAATGACCTGTCAATCAATAAAAGGGAATGAAGTCACAGAAAGAACAAAAAATAAAGCATACTAAAGCTGTCTTTAAACAACTAACAGGAAAGGTAACATAAACTATAGATTGCTATAAACTGAACAAAAAGGAAAATTTTAATTACAAATATATTCCAAACTCTCTTGTAATAAATAATTTGGGAAAGTCTTGTAATATATGTTCCTCATAATGTTGCACAACAAGCTTCATGACCACAATGGTCATACCGAATAAGCCAAGAGCCCCTTACTTTTGAGTTGTCCATTCTGATCTCTTTTCCAACAGCAGGCAGAATCATTTTAACTGAACCATCAAACATTGCAAGTACTCGTAATCCAAACTTTGGGGCAACTCTTGTTGGCACCTTGTATCCTAAAAAAGAAATGAAAAGAAAGTCACTGTGACTATTGTGTGGACTTTGTTATCACACAATTAATTTGTATAATAAATATCTTAATTCTATGATCAATAAAAGTGATTATTTCAAGGCAAAACTTTACCAAACCATAGGTCCAAATCCATAAATTCAGGAGCAATTAAAATCTCAACTGACATTACCTTTTCCTGAAAAGATGTCCTTAAAATACATTTTTAATGTATTCCAGATTTAACTTGTGAAGAGATTCCATTTATATTTCTGGTGGCGTACTGTTAGCAACATCAGTGAAGACTTACAGGTTACTTTTCAGTGGGAAATGACATGAAGTTTGGATTGATATTTAATCTAACTCAAAAACAATCATAAAGATCAGGAAACAACATTCATGTTTACCAAGTGACCTAAATTCTTCATCCAGAATTTTTGCCATTTCATCTGTCCACATAGATTCTTTGATGACAATATATCTGTTACCTAACAAAAAAAAAGAATTTGATTTAAACGTTCTTATTTTACTTTGGGTTGGTACATAAAAAAATTACTGCAGTGTTTGGCAAATTGACATATTACCCGATTAAGAGTACATACTGTGTTTGAATGATGGCAAACAGTGTACTTAAGATTATTTCACTGAAAAGCTGACATCCAACTGTGAATGATTTATGTAACATTCATCCACTGCATGACAATTTTAAATTTCATAACATAATGCCACATGAAAGAAGGATTTATGTGACATTCACAAGATTGCATGACAATTTTAGATTTTGTGATCATGTACTGTCACACAATCCATCATCTACCTTCTACTGTCTATCCTCCACTGTCTACCAACTATCACCTACCGTCTGTTGTCTACTGTATACCACTAAACATCTGTGTTTTAGTACATGCCAACTGTCAGTGCTTCTACAGTTATCTTACCAGGGGCTTTTGATGATGTCATAGCCGTTATATGTACTGCTGCTACATCTCTGACATCACACATTGCAAAAGATAGCCTGGGAACCATTGGTATTTGTCTTTCAAGAAGACGTTTGTGAAACTAATTAAAACAAATACGTAAATTAATCATTCAGCAGATTATGTGATCAGCAAACATTGTGCAATGCCCACACCTTAAAACTTGACAAAATGATTAGTCTAATGAGGATATTCATAAGCAAGTGTTAAAGAACCAATAGGTAAAGTAATAATTGCAGCCAATCATAACAAAGGGAGACATTAATAGGGGTCAATGAGAACATAACATCAGGCAAACTGTCTTCAATGCAAAAAAATTGCAATTGACCAAGTTGTGACTGGTTTCAGTGTTAATAAGATGTTTGACAGGGTGATGCATGTTTTCTAGACCAGTCATGGTCTGAGACATAAACTAAAACCAATGTAATCCTGGGTTATTTTGACACTCAAATGAGAATGCTTTAATATTACATTCTATTAACCACAATGAACACAAATAATTTGATTAATATATTAAACAGTCTGAATGACAGCTTAGGACAAGTCTTAGATCCAAATTTAAAAATAATAAATAAATGTAGATACAAATTTCTGGCACCCTACAAATACCTCCATGCTTGTGCAGTTTGATCCTTGTAGAACAGGTCCTAAGATGAATCCAGGACAAATGACACACAGTTCAAACCTCTCATCATCTGCAAATCATCATGTCAAGTTAATAGGAGATATAAGCCGACAATTCCATCACTGTCTTGTCACAAAGCAATAAATGCAAATTTTTAGGGAATTGGGGAGAAAATACCCTTCTAACTCCTACACAAACCCTTTTTCCCTTATTTCTATTTGTTTTTATGTGTGTTTTTTCTGGCCCTGTATTTCTCATAACTATCACGTAAACATGTAAATACCAGCTGGGTATGAATAAAGTTGTTTTTAAAATGGTGTTTATGTTTAATTGCTGCCAGCTGCTTCTTTATTTGACAACCGTGGAAAGACTTTGAAGTTGCTAACTTTTTTTCACCCTACCCCACAAGAATATCATGAGAAAATAATAATCCTACCTTGCTCCAACCCCACCCCATTCCCCTTCAAGTTGTTATCAGTACCAACATGGTGTATCATTACATTTTCATACTTAGTTTTTTCATTCTACTTTAAATTAAAAAATAAGACATTAAAAATGGCCTAACTAGTTATGTTTAAAACAGCAGTTTGGTCTGGAGTAAGCACCTGGTAAGTCCTTCTGTAATTCCCAAGCAGCTTTCTCAGCAAGGTTCTTGCTTTTTTCATAAGGACTACTTCCTTCCTCATTGGCCCAATCATTCTCAGTAAATGTGATTTGTTCATCAAGACGCCCTCCTGTAAAATACACACAAGAAGCCTTACATTTATTAAATTTATCAATGATTCACTTCAGTCTGAATCTTGTTTGGGCAGTGAGCTTCTGGACTAACATTCCAAGACACTTGGTACCATTTCATTCTATGTACTAACTGTTTCCATCTCAAATCAAGAATTAAACCCAATTATATTATTCATGTTTGCCTGAGTCTGTACATTTTTTTTTCACATGTGTTAGAGAGTTGAGATGGATGCCCTTCATTTCAACACAATTAATTTTTAAACCACAATATATTTTGGGTTCAAATATTTAATTAAAGTTACTGTGAAATTAAAAAATATCATGAAAATGAACCTCAATGAAATACTACTGGGCCAATAAGTTATGAATCAAAATTTTCTCCAGTAGTCTTCGTCAGAATATAACATCATAAAGCATCATACAGCTGTAAATTGATCTGAGGCCTCAGCTGATGGACATGGTAGAAAAGATTCTGATTCTAGTATCCACAGGTTAGAACTACTGAAAGCAAAATTATCACACACCATAATGCACTTGTTCAAACACCAAAAACTAGCATCAACTATAATGTCAAATTTGAACAAGTAGAAACTAATGACAGTTGATGATAGTCGATGATAGTGCATGGTAGTTTGAGATCAAAAGTGCACGGCAGAGTTGCAACTATTATCAACTATCATGGTCATCATAATTATTCGAATGGGGTTTTAATTACCATAAATTGCAGCAACAGAGCTTGTCAAAACAACTCTTTTAACTCCACCCTTGGTTTGAGCACATGCTTGGAGCACATTTTTAGTTCCCTCTACTGCAGGTCCTATAACTTCCATTTCATTGCTTGGATTAACAGCTGGGAAGGGTGATGCCACATGAATTACATAAGTGCAGTCTTTGACAGCCCTGAATAGAAGTCAATTAAGAGAGTTGAAACCTAATCACACTCCCACAGGCTCATTTATGTATAACTTATAACAGTTTTAATTATTATTATGAAACAGGCCTGTTGCAGGTCATTTTTATGGTCATTTTTTTAATCAACAGCTAAGTTTTAAAATTCTAATGGCATAATTTATGCAAAGTTTTTAGTTCGATCAGAACAATAAGGAAGGGGCCAGGTGGGGCGAGGTATTTAGTTCAACTGACAGCTGTTTCGGGCGTGTGGAGAAAACAAAATTTTCGCGAACGAATAATGCACAGAATTATGTTTCCAAATAAATACCACTTACTGTAAATTAAACAAATTGAAATTGTTGCAAACCAACAAATAAAGATAACAATTGAATTAAAAGCTTGATCTTCTTACTCCTGCCAAGAGTCTTTGTTCATCAGGTCTGCCTCGACCAGTTCCAGTTCATACATGGCATATTCTGGGCAGAGGTGTCTCAGAGGACCCACTTTTTCCTCGTTTGCAAGACTACGAACTGTTCCACGAACCTTGTATTGTCCGGCTTCGAGCAACTGCCTCACAACATGGCTTGCAAGGAAACCCGAAGCACCTGTCACCAAAACGCGAGACATCTCACCCTTTTAACTATAAACCCTAACTTCGTAGATTGAAATAAGCGGGTAAGTAACGTCTAAACTGTTCCCCCGTAAGAAAATAAAAATAAAAATAGTATTAATAGCGCGAGATAGTGCCCCTCTGTCACCCTTTACGGTAAATGTACGTCAGTGAGCAATGAATGACTATAAATTTGCATCCAAATGTAAACTTCCCTCTGATTGGATAAGTATTGGCAGACATTGTTCGCCTCTTGAAAAAGAGGCGAACAAGAATTCATTTAAAACGAAGAGGAAAATAAACATACAATACTAAAAGGCACTTTTAGCCTTAAGTCAGGGTTGGTTTAGGGGCGGATTTTGCGAATGGCGGGTGTGGAACATGAGCCGGAGTCAACCGCCAGTACGAGGTCCGTCAGTGTTACCACTTTGCATCCAAATTTTGAGTTTTTTTACAATTGTTGGATGATAGCTAGTTCAATTCAAGGAGTTCGACCTCGCCCTTCGTGCCCTTTTTCCCTGATCTGCCACCGATATATTTAACACGAAATAGCCGAAATGTTACACGTACTGTGGTTGATCAAAGCAAGTGGCGGATCTAGGAGAGGGGCCTGGGGGCCCCGGTTCCGCGCCCCCTTATTTTGGGTTGAAAAAAAAAAAATAAAAAGTATCGCAGAAGGAAAAAAAGCCGGCAGGGCTAACGACGAAAAAACGCCTCTCCCTCCTCAGTGGCGGATTATTGATTATTTGATAAATAAGAAATAGTCAGATAAATAATAGTCTGCCAGTGGCAGATCTAGAGGAGGGGCCCAGGGGCCCTGCCCTTACCCTCTCCCCCATTATTTTGAAAAAAAAAACAAAACAAAAACAAAGCAAAAGAACCACAGAGGGAAGAAGAGCTGGCAGGGCTTTAATAACCAAGTTGATATAATTCCCTCAGTTTTCAGCCCACCTCAAGATGAGAAGCAGATAGGTCCTCAGGAGAATACATGGGATCTTGATAAATAATTCACACTTTAGTAAAAGGAGCCTAAATTAGTTTTAATTAATATTGCATCTCTGAATAAATAAACCAATGAATGTATATAAATATACTACAATTAAAATGTATCCATTTCTTGTAAGGAAGCTTTCAAAAAATGAATTAAGGGGCTAAGCTTCTAAGGAAACTGTGGTGTTGTGTCAGGGGGGAGAGTATAACTGGGTAATTAAGTATTATCAACTGAGCTGATAACTTAAATCAGCCACTGTAAAGAGTTTAAAAGCTGAAATTTCAAGCATCAGCTCCTCGTCTGTAGTATTTCAAGTTTAACTTTTCTGAACCTTCTTTTCTTTTTTTAACAATTAATCAGATAAATAATTTCAAGAACAATTTGAAATTTAGACTGCTTTATATCATTTTCAAAAGGTTGTTTAACATAAATATTTTTAAGAAGTATTGAACAGGGAATGGTTTTCAACTCAGTTGTAAATTATGCATTATCTTGGTATCAGTTCACTTTCTCTGTACATGTCAAGCAATGGATAAATTTCTCCAATGACTGAGAACAAGCTAGGAATGTTGAAAATTTCCCCAGTTTTACATATTAGTCATATGGTCTGACAAAACATTTAGCGCCCCCTAGTAGATGGTCTTTCTCGTGGAATCCTTCTGGTTTGACTGGAATGTTGGTTAAGAGGAAGAGCAAAGATCTACAACAAACAAAGACAAATGATTAGCACCTATTTTATACACAAGCATAGAAACATTTATGCCTAATGACCCTTACCCTGGTGCCACTTTCATGTCTCCTTCCCATCCAGCTACTCTATTTGTGTTCCTTCCTCTCTGTTTAAACTTAACCTACTCTTCTAATGGTGTCCAATCCTCAGCCTCCTTTTCTAGATACTCATCTCCTCACCTTATCCCACTTCTTTGTGCGCATCCTCTCCCTTCCCTATCCCTCCATTCATTTGCTCTGTCCACCATGCATCCATATCCACTTTCAACCTACCCCTTCAATCATTCCACCTCTCTTGTTCCAGCCTGGTTCCTCCCCACATCCCTTCCTCTTTGTTACCTTCATGTGTGGCCTCAGATTACATGCAGACTTTTGGGTTTCACCAACTTACCTGGCTCCACCTCATTTCCTCTTTTAGTTGTCTTTGTTCCTTTAAATTGGATACCAGACCAAGAGCTTGTCTTTTCAGTGTTTGTTCAAGTTTTAGGATCTAATAATGATACAAAATGATACAAGCTAAATTTGACAAAAAAGATTTCATCTCACAGGCTATGACATTTACACAGGACCTCAGCTTTTTACAGTTAACAGTGAACATGGCTGGTTGGCAAAAAAAAACTAAAAAAATTTGCGAATGTTTTATTTTTAATTACTCAAAGTAAAGAAAAACTGCTGAATTAATAGTAGAAAAAAAAATAAATAAAGAGAGAGAAAGAGACAGATAACCAAGGAGGAATAAGGCTTAAGAAAAGACCATGCAAGAGACTAACTAATATGAGGTTTCTGAGTTCCACTGTGACATACAAGTTTAGTAACCTCACTGTAAATATAGAAATTATGAATATAATAAATTATTCCTCCCACCCTCCCACACAGAAATGATACCTGCTCCTTTGATTTCTGCAATTTCTTGTACAGCTCATCCCTATCAGACATGTTTACTGTCATTTTGTTCTGCAGAAAAATGAGTTACCATCAGTTAAACTTAAAATATCCCAATATGTCAACAAGAAGCAACACCTTAAAAACCCTGATCCACCTTAATCACAAAAATAGGTTGGGAGATTTTACCATTGGAGTGACTCTTCTTACTGCTGTCCTTTGCTTCTTTTCATCAAAATTTTGTGTTATTGCTGCAAGCAAGGTCAGGGCATGTAGAGTGTTTTAAGTAAATTCACTTTTGCCTCTAAATTGGGTTTCTTTTTCACAAAGTTCCATGATCATTATTTCATCAAAAGATGTGAGAAACTTGGAGCAATTGTTAATATCAAAAATGAACAATTACTGCTCATCTGGGTGACATGCAGATACTATACTGCATTGACATTAGTGCTTGTGCAGGTGAACTACTATCACTACTAACTCTGTGAATCAAATTGACAATTTCAGGTAATGGCAAAATAATGTAACACCCACAGGTAAATAAATTTATCACCTTTAGGCGAAATAACTCAGAGGTGGCTTCATTTGCTCTCTTTGACAGTATAGAGTTCTCAGCCTTGAGAAGTTGGTTTTCTTCTTTCGTCTTATAGATATCATCAAGTAGCATCTGAAACAATCAGGTTGCTTGTCATGGTATAATAATTTTATGGAAAGGCCACTTGTTTTACCTCTTCCCAGTCATGCTAATAATAGCTATATCACCATAAAACAAGTAACACTCTTAAACTGACCCTGTCAGATGAACTGATGAAAACTAAAGTTGGAAAACCTGAGCTCTGAGAACTTGAAATGATGGAAATTGATGAAGATCAGGCTGTGAATTGTGCCAAAGGAAAACCTACTCAGTGCTTAATGAAACTAAAACCTTAATTTCACCTTGTGTATCCTTAATGCATGATCCTGTTTTTTAAGAAGCAGAGCTTTTGCTCTGGACACTGGAGCAGTAAGAATGCGCTGATTTCTACCAATGGATGCTGTGTGTATTTGAGACCTGCATTGCAACAACTGATGATTTTCCATTTCCAGTTTCTCTTCTTCATCCTTTCCTGGGATGGTCTGCCAAAACAAATTCAGTACAAAAACAAGACTACTTCATCATCATATTCATTCTATTTTAAAACATAATTGCAATTTGGATAAGAAAAATACATGAAAAAGAGGAAAAACATTATTTGTGCCACAGCTGCATAATCTCACCTCAGCAGTTTGGATGTCTTCTCCACCAGGCTCCTCTACTGAATTCACCTCAGCTTCTGTCTGGCATTCAACATGACATGTTGCTAAAACAAATAAAATAGGAACAGAGATAAAAGATTTAAATACCAATCCAACAAAGTTAACTGATATGAACTTAGTCAGACGCAACTTGCTATAAAAATTTCTTCCTTCCCAGGTGTAAGGAGCAATGGAGTCCTCCTTGCATTCAAAAAGCTACTGCATCATAAGTCCTCAGCCCGTGATGGATTGTTAATTCTCCCCACTAGCTGTTGCACTTTTTCTTTTTAATTTGATCTGAAAATTTAGTGCTGAATAAAGACAAACACGTCTACCAGATAACGTTGAGTATTCTCATCACCTGTTTCCTAGATAACATATAGATAATGTAGGAGAAAGTGACATCTTTGTCACTTCTGTGAGTTGAAGGGTTAAGATTTAAGAGCAAAAGTTCCATTGCTTATATGATTTCATATGATATTTAAGATTTCGGTCTTACAAAAGGACATTTTTTCAATAAAATAATTTCATTTAAAAAACAATTGTAAAATGAAACATTTTCCGAGAAGGTTTTTTGCAAAATAACCGCTTTGGATAACAGCTGTTCAAATTATCAATCAAAAATGGGAGTTTTAATAACTGTGATAAAGAATTGCATCGACAACGAGGTATCAACTTACCAAAAGGTGATTCAGATTTAGTTTGTTCATTTTCCTCATGATGTTCTGTGTTGTTATTTACAGCAATAACTAATTTCTCGTCTGTGTCGTCGGTACTGGTAACCGTTCGCGCTTCAGTGATTTGTTGTTCTTCCTTTGCTGCTGCCGGGCACCTAGCATCAAAATCTCTGCGATCAACTTCAAGCTTTCTTCGTTCGTTCGCCAAGTCCATTCTTTCACGGCGTAGTTTTGCATTATCTCTTTCAAGCTCGTTTGCCCAAAGTTGAAAATCCTTCCTTACTTGATCGTGTGCGTTAAATACATCTTCCACAAAAGATTCAAGGTCTAATTTGAATTTGACGAGTTCTGTAGATAAAGCTTCGTTTGGCCCCTGTGATGCAGCTAGTCTACCCTTCAGACTTCGAAGCACAGGATATTCGTCACTCAACTTAGTGTACTTTGATTGAGAACCTTCAACAGCTTCAAGAAGAAGTTTAGATTTTGCAATGGCATCTTCTAGTTTTCCTTGAAGACTTGTTGCACCTTCTAACACTGGAGTTACATCAAAGAGCGCCATGGAAAGACATGTTTTGAAATGGCGCTGTTGCGTTGACAACTGCTAACAGTTAAGGGACGAGGGGAGGGGAGAAGGCGAAATGTGACTTCACCCGGGTAGAACGGCGCAAACTCTGTTTTTATTAAAATCGTCTGCTGGTATTTTGTCGTCGCTGCCAAATCGAGAAATCGCCACACCGGCTAAGTAAATGATGAAACAATACATTCCATGTTGGGCTATCTTGAAAAGAATATTTCTAGGCGGCCAGGGAGGTCACTGATGCGTAAAAACTATCACAAGCTCCAAGTAGATAGACTGAGTAGACAGGGAAGGCCTATACATATCCATGACATACCAACTCAGCTGCTGTGATTTTTCATTCCGATGAGAACTTTGTTTCAGAAATATGTTTTTTGCCCTCAAAAACAGTTGCAAAAATTACCTTTACTTGTGTAACAAAGGTAACAAAACTGTACAGAGCACGACATATTTTCACAAGTTCGGCAAGTGAAGATGGCCTGAGGCGTCATAAGACTCGAGCGACCTTCATGAATCTGGCGGCTGAGCCTTGACTAATAAATTAGTAATAAATACAACACTGTTTTTAAAATTCATGAATATGTGTCAAAGTCTTCGTTCTTAAAAGTAGGATTTATAAATTAATCAAACCATTCAGAAAAAAGATACGTAGCTTTGACTAATACACTTCTCAAAATAAAACCAGATCATGATGAAAACCAGTTGTTCATTTCCATGAAAAATTGATCCAAACCAAACATTCAAGGAGAAAGCAAGTTAAGAAATAAAAAAAAGTAAAATACATAAATGGAAATATGTAAAGCAGGCAGAATAACAACACAAAAAGCTGAATGTGATAACCTTAAAATTGTGAAAATCGACATGAACTTGAGACGGCGTGATTTTCATGAGACCACTCTACCCCGATGTCTTGAGAGATGTTTACTGGTAAAAATAGAAAAATAGACATGACACTCGCACCACATTGCACGACCAATCATATAAGAGTAATAACTGGTGGCAATACCTGATGTTCGTTTTGCATCGCTCAGAGAACTTAATAACTTTGAACGTATTCTGTGGCCGGGCAGAAAGTGATAAGAAACCTCTATTCTTTTATCTCGTCACTGAGATAAACTGCATGCAAAATGAAGGTAGACTGCATAAGTACTTCGCCCACCACTTCGGAAGCTGCTCTCGTCTGCGGACATTTCCCGTCGATCTCATGCAAACCGTTTCAAGTCCCTGAAGAGAAGCGAGAAGGAAATCAGGAAAAATTCAAAGCCTTTGTTTTACCATATCACAAGCGTTTCAAAGGTTTAAACCTTGTAATGGCCATCGCAGTTGCTGCTGTAATTTACCAGCTGGAGTGCGCAGTAACATGCCTTCTGTTCTGTCTAGTTATACCGTTTTTGCTGGTTGGGTTAGCGATTTTAAAATTAGCAAAATACATCGTGGAAAGTTACATCGCCTTCAAATGGAATTGCATTCCTTTTCGTGAAGATGATGCCGTCTGGCAGCAGGACCGAGAGACAAACCGTCATATCATCAACGCTCTGATGATTATTGAAGGTTTGCCAGACATCGAGAAACTCCGCAGAATTATTTACGAACGGCTTGTTTACGGAATAGATGAAAGGGGTGAACGGATTTGCCCACGGCTCACGCAAGTCATACAAAAACATTTCGGATACTTCGTTTGGAAGGAAGATGAGAATTTCGAAATGGAAAACCAGGTTTTGAATTGGAAAGGAGATAACCCAAAGTCTATGGAAGATCTGGAAGTAGTTGTATCTGAACTCTGTTCGAGTCCTTTACCTCAGAGCCTGTCTCCCTGGCAATTTATTGTGGTGCCGATAGTCGAGGAAGACAGCTTTGGCCTGTTACTTCGTGTTCATCACAGTGTTGCTGATGGAGTTGCTTTGACGAGAGTGTTTGTTAAAAATCTTTACGATGTACCACCACAAGGACCTGAACCAAAGAAGTTCTCTACTAAACAAAGATTTTACATGTGGTGTAAAGCTATTCTAGTTGGTCCGTTGACGGTACTCATTAAGTTTTTTTCCAGAGCGGACCACTCTTGTATTCACGGTCAAGACCTTTCTGGCAAGAAATTTGTGGCTTGGTCCAAGAACATTGACTTATCGCTTGTCAAACGAGTCAAGACTGTGGCTGGTACTACAGTAAATGACGTGATGGTGTCCTGTTTAGCAGGAGCTTTGAATGATTACCTTTACAGCCAACCCAACAGTGATGCTGTCAAACTCGACGATATGTGGGCCTCAGTGCCGGTAGATATTCGGGCATCGACACAATCAGTCAAGCTCAAGAATAAATTTGCCTTGGTATTCCTGCGGCTCCCGATTGTGGCCAAAAACGCATTAGACAGACTCCTTGCGACCAAACAACGCATGGATATTATCAAGGCATCTGCCGAGCCTCTAGTGACAGCTACAACGGTACAGATGTTAATGATGTTGCCTGAATGTGTGTCCAAGCCACTCATCGATTTCTTTTCCAGGAAGATGTCGTGTGTCCTAAGCAATGTACCTGGACCTCAGCACACTTTATACCTGGGAGGTCAGAAAATTACTCAGGGAATTTTCTGGGTCCCTATGAGAGCAAATATTGGTGTGGGGTTATCTATATTTAGCTACAACGGGGAAATTCGCGTCGGAGTTTATGCGGATGAATGCGTTCTTCCAAAACCCAGAGAAGTAGTACAGGAATTTGAAAACAACTTCTGTAAATTAGTAAATGAGTTAAATATAAATGAAAATGACGAACCATGATCAATGATGAAGCAAACAAAATAATACAACTGAGGGTTAGTTCAATTATTCAGTGTTTATTTGACTGAAAAGGTAAATTGAAATTAAGTGAAAATGGATTGTATTATAATGATATCAACATTAGAGTTAAGCTCAGATCTGAGTGAAGCTCAAGGATTTTAGATAAAAGGTGATAAGCTTAAAACTTGACAAAAAAAAAAGAAAGAAAGAAAACGATTTGCATAAATTGATGGCCAGGGACAACAAATAGTACTAAATGTATACTTTTTGTGGAAAAAAACAATAGTAAGTCACCATCACAGTAAAAATTTACTTATTTTAAAAATTTACTGGTAATTGAGAAACCAAAAATTAATTTAATCAGATACTGAACCATTTGAAAGTATACATGGTGAAAGAGTTGGCCCAACAACACTCCTAATGACATTAACATGGAACCAACAGTATTTTCCTTTTCAAGGAAAATAAATTAACTGGTATTTTTACCATGTTTGTATGTGTGAATCCACACAGGGACACAGTTTGCAGATTACTACAATGTGACTTCTATTGCAGGACATTATCCTGTAAAAGAGTGATTAGTTCAGAACAAAAGGTGTGACATGTTGCTAACATCTTTCATTGCTAAATGCAGTGGAATCTGCACCAAAGATTTCTGACATAAATCAACTGCATAATTAAATACATGAACTTTTTGAATCAAACAAAATAATTTGATTATTTTCATGAATATGACAATAAATATCATTTTTCTCATTTGCTGATTTGTGCAAATTTATTTAGTTTATGGTTTTTTCTAAAAAACTGTGTTTCTCAATAACATGCAAACTGCACTTGATGCTGTCATCAATCATATCATGATCCACTAATGAAACTAGTAGAATCATTTGGAGAGTTTAAAAAGTCCCAATCAATGTTGTCATTTGTGGATTTTAATCAATTATTTATTCTTCAATTTGTCTATCTCTTTGTTTTCTTTCTTTTTATCTTATTGGTTATTTTCACATTCCCACTACTATCTGATGATGATAAACAACTGCATGAAATTTAGTCCTCATTTATAAGTATTGAAATTCACCACAAGGCCTCACTGGAATGTCAGCATTAACATCAAACCAGAGCAAATCATTAGCTTGCTATGATAACACTTCATTTCCATACTTCTTGTACTGTTCATATGACATAAAGAACTTGACAAGAGTTAAAGAAACATGAGCAATATTCAGTGTCAAATTCCAACTTTACTAAATTAATAAAAAAAATTATAAAATTGAAACAGTCGCTAATGATACTACTCAAAACAAAATGTGAAGACAACAATTATTAGTAAGAGACAATTAAAGTATTCCACAAACATTAAATAAACCACTCTGAAAACTCCAAGGACTAGAAGATCAACAAAGGATACAATAACATTCCACGGAAATAACCTCAGAAACTGCGGTACAAATCCTCGATAGAGAGCAAAAAATCCTTCAGACCTCAAAGTCTGTCAATGAAGGACGAAAAGTAAATGAATAAAACACAACAAATGGCATAAAAATTTTCTCAACAAAGAACAAATATCATTTCCAGTAATGAGAGGGCTAAAATCTAAAGGTAGGAAAGTTTAAATGTAAAGGCCTGCAAAGCCTGCATTTAGCTCTGTTCTGGAACTACAAATCAGAAATTGGTTAAAAAAGAAATACTGGTTACCCACAGTTCATAGAAGGTGTCAGTATTGAATCATAATTGGAAAGTTGAAATGAATGAGTAAAAGCCTAAGAAGCCTGTATTTAGCTCTGTTCTGGAACTACAGATCAGAAATTGGTCAAAATATAAATTCTGGTTGGTCCACAGTTAAAAGAAAGTGTTAGTGTAGAATCATAGTTGGTCAGAATACTTTTCTTGATTTTAAATACACCAAGATGAAGTCCATTTTGTGAGTGTGCATGACAATTCACTCTGTTTTCTCAATGTTTAATTCAAACTTTGTTCTTACTCAGATAAATTTTGTACTCAATAAATTGGACTGATCGTTAGCTGCAACACTAGAAAGAGAGAAGATAGAGGATTCTGCTCCTCTACCAGACCAGATTGAGCATCACAAGTTGTTCATGCCTCAACAAGTTAGTATCTTAATATTGTTTTGCAACATGAAATCCTAATGAATAACCTTTGGGATCCAACACTGGAAAGATTTTATAGCAATTAAATAACCAACAATAAACAAGGCAGTTAAAGTAGAACTGACAATAAGAATAAAGACAATAACATGGATAAAATAAATCACATGATTACGAGTAAAAGTTACTCACAGTAAGCAAACAGTGGGCAGCACTTGTGTAGATGACAGCTGCACTTCCAGTGTTTCCTTTCAGATTTCTTTGATTCATCATTCTTGTCTAGACAAATCATTGAAACAATATTACATACTCAAAGAGTTCAAGACAAATTCCTTAAAAATATTCAAATAGCAAATGGTTCTTTGTCCTTTGGTCAACTGACCCTCACAACATCTATTGGATTTGAGGCTATAGCACCTGCCAGTCCAGCAATTCCACTAGCACTGAAAAAAAAATGAATATAACATTTATTTATCCTATTATTGATAACAAAATTATACCATAAATGTTAAACATCTTGGTGAATGAAAAACTGGGTGTTACAGTGTTTATAGTAAATTAACATCACATGAAATATGACATGCATGTGACTTTTTTGGTAGGAAAAAATGGGCAAATTGGCATTGATTCATCTATTTGTAGCCAGAGTAAAAATTTCAAGGCACAGAAATTGAGTGAGGTAATGTCACATCATTCTCTCTATTTATCATTAATTTAATTTGATTGCACTGAGTGTTATTAGGACAAGTTATGCCACTTATACTGATTTTACAATAACCAAAAATGAGTGTAAGGGTTATCACCCATAATCTTGAGATCCAAAATTTTCTTTTTACACCAATCATAAACTGGAAGTTCTACTCCTGCAATAACTGCTGCTCTTTGAGCTGTGGGGCCAACTCCCTAAAGAAAACACAGGAAAAAAAAGCAGAAAAAAAAAACAGTTCACACAAGAACAATATAGTCTTACGTATAATGCTGATAGATAAAACACTTGAAACAAAATCAAGTCTAAATTGAGGTATAAAATAACATGACTTAAAAAAAGGAATCAATTCAATTTAAATAATCCAATGAGTACAGTACCAGAAGAGATAGCATGATGAGTTGCGATTAATAATAATTATAATTGTAACACAACATTGCTGACGAAGACTCTTGTTACTATGCAATTAATTCCCTGAGCAAAAATTGAATAATATTTTGCAAATTACCCGGTAGAGTCCCCTGATTCCCTCCTCTTTAAATATTGAAGCAAAAGATTGGAGCATTCCTTTTCTTCTTACATTGACAACTGATTGATACTCTGCCTGCATACGAATCTGCAACATAGCAAGGGAAGATATACATAATGAAAACGAAAAAGATCACAATGTCCTAGCAACAAATATGTTGCTTTTAATATCAGGCTTATGACCTTGTCATAAAAAAGCTTGATCTGCTCTAAAACTGGTGGCAGAGCAGAGACACGTCAGCAAAATGTTTGGATCCACAGAGTCACCTTCAAAATGCATGGATTATCAAAATGTTTATAAGTATCTTTTTTTTCAGTATTTGGACATTTTTTTGATCCCCTCACATAGGCAACCAATATCTGTAATCAATCTTTTAAGAACTAGTTGATAACTCTCTCCTCTCACTGCTATACATTTCCTTCTAAATTAGTTGCAGGAATCTGGGGTAAGATCAAGATAACAACTTGTACCTGACAAGTTTTAGTATTCTAATTATTTATTCTAATTATTATTCACTTTCAGGAGTAAAAGGGTTCATTCATTTACCTTTAAAAGATCAGTAGGGTTACATATGGCTGATGAGACTGCTCCAGCAACAACCCCTGCAATTACATTGTAATATAAAGTCTCATCTGCAGAAGGAAAAGAAAGAAAAATCAAAGATAAAAAAACATTTCAGAATGATACCAACATTCACTTCCTTATTTGTTTTTACCTTTTGGGTTTTTTACCAGCCTTCTTTTCAGAGCATGGTAGAAGCCTAACTTTAGAGATCCATAGGTTGCTTGGCGCAAAAGTGCTGGTGCTACCCTGATTACAGTGAAAGAAAAGTTGATACAACTGTCAGTTAATTAGAAGCTAGTTAACTAAATTTATTATTTTTTTTAATAGACATACATTAGTCATAGGGAAAGAGAATTTCAAATTCTAACTAGGGGTTTCTCCCACAGAAATTCTAGATAACTGCTCTTACAAACCTCTGAGACAAATCTACATTCACATCAATTTATAGGAAAACTCTATGTCAATAACTTATTATCAAATCTCAAAAGTCAAGGAACAAAATGTGTAACAAAACTGTACAGTTTTGACGTGAGACAGATTTGGAAGGAAAACAAGAGAATGTGGCGATGAAGAATATCATTACCTAATCATTTGATTTTGTAAATACACAAACAGTAGCAAATGAAGTGTCAATGGCAATTTGGTTTCCCTCGAAAAGCCAGCAGTAAGCATTGCTACAAAGTTCTGGTAATTTGTTCCAAATCTAGCAGATCTATGCTAGATGTTGTTTAAAAGATACTGCGGCAGAGCTTGACTAATCTCCACTATTTGATTTATTTTTGATTGACCCTAAATTGGTTCTGGACAAACCCATTATACAATGCCTTGATCCCATCTTCTCTGGCAATTCTGACAAAAGCATGGAGCATTCCTCGATATCTGATCTCTTTCTGTTTAGCATCTATCACCTGACCTTGAAGCTGTAGCCGTGTTTTTGTTGTGTCAATAGGAAATGTTCCTGTGACAAAACATCATAGTAAAATTTTCAACATATATGTTCCCAACCATATTGCTGGCCTTACTACAACAATGGGAAACAGGAGCAAAAAATTGAAGCAGGTGGTTTGGTCTAACTCTTTTAAGTGTCCTTATTCATGCATCTTGAACAACCACTGTTGCACCTTTTATGGACATGAGCAAGCAAGCAAGTGTGTTTATTCAGTCACTCCAAATATCCCACCAGTAATTCTCCTAACTGTCTTCCATACAATTCTCATGATGTAAGTTTAAAGAATTTGGTGATGGATCAACAAATAATCCCCTAATTGATATTTTTCTTCATTCTCACAACTTGTCTAGTTCATAATGAATTGATATTGTTAGGAGAAATTCTGTCTTGATCAATCATTGTAGTTAAAGGGTTTAAGGTATCCTCACTCTTCACGGCAGTTCTGCATAGAACTTGGCTCATTAGGTGTTTGAATGTTGTTACTCACTAGTTATAACATTAGAAAATTACTTGCCATGTCTCATGCCATTGATAAAAGTAAATCTCCCCTTCACCTAATAGTTTTGTTTGTTTGCTTCTTTTTTATCATAAGCTCCTTTAGAGTGTCACTTCCTCAATGGCTCTGGCAGCAGCCCATGCCACTATTCCCTACCCCCAGATTTCTCTCAAACTCAACATTTAAAAATTGTTCACTGAAGTGGAGGTGGATAGCAGTGGATGTTTACTGAGCTGCAAAGTACGAACACTCTTTATCAGCTACACCTCCTGATCTATTGCACGTTGGCTTCCTCCTTTCCCACACCACCCCTCCCCCCCCGCGCCCCTCGTTCCCTTCCCACCTCTCCACTACACCTTCACATTTCATTCCTTGAGGGATAGTCGCTGTAGAGGTAGAGTGTACGATAGAAATTTATTACCTGAGTTCACAAGACAATAATTGGGATGTATTCGGAAATCAACACTAAAATGTAAAGTCACCTCGTCTTCTATATATCTTAGAGGTCTGAGAAGCCTTCGACCTTCAATCGGTGAAAACGAGAAGCTCATTCAGGCGCAAAACAGTTACCAAAAACATCAATCTTCTCACCAAATTCAGCAGTCATAGAGGCTAATCCTCCATAGATAAATGGTCTGTAATCCATGTAAACTTAAATTTCTTAACGCAGGAGAGCCTGAAACGTGTCACTTAATTATCCTTAGCCTTTCCAAGTCTGAGAGGATCGTCGGCTCGTACGTTTATTACTCAGCGGTCGCACTACTTGAGAGCGAGGCATTCGTTTTCATAGAAACGTATCATGGAGATCATTCTGATTGGTTGATGTATAATTCTTTGGCCAATTAAATATCGCGTGGTTTAAACCCGCAAAATCCAAATCGTTTCTGCACAGATAAAAGTACAGACGAACTGAGTAGAAGTCTTTTAAAAATTTATTGGTGTTTTGAATAACAGTTGACAAGGTTTCATTTTGAAAGAAATTTTACATACTCTTTAGTGAAGATGGTTAAAACGCGCTCGAAACCTTCAATTTCGGTGTTTAACAAGAAACACAAGGTCAGTGACAAAAGGAACTCGAAGACGTTTTCCTCCTAGTATGTAGAATGTCTGAAATGTTAGACTTCCATGTCATCCCTTGTTGAAACAGGTCTTATGTTGTGCTTTGTGTGATTTCTTTCCAGCAGGATTGTTCTTTAGGTGAAAATGAACTTCCCGCTCATCTTAAGGAGAAAGCCGCTGAGAAGACAAAGCGACCAGCGGATGGTTCTCCGGAGAACGTTCCTTCACGAAAAAGAGCAGCTTTTGGTGATATTACAAATGTGAGAAAAGTTTCCCATGTTCTTGAACGTATTCTATAGGATATTCCTTTTTGTACTTCCCTTGAAGCCACAAGTGAAATATTTTACTTTTGGTTCTTAGGCGACTTTTAACCAGCCTGAGAAAGGAGGGAAAAAGAAGCAACCGAAGAACAGCATCGTGCGAAAAGACACGGAACAGAGACAATGTTTCACAAAGACCAGTGCAAAAGTAAAACAAAACAGAAGGAGCAAAGAAAAAGATTCGCCCATCAAAGATCGAAAACCGTTAGTCTCCGCAGTGAAATCTCAGCCTTCGTCGCCATCTGGTGATATGTTAGGCTATGGAGACTGGAGCGAAGAATCTTCCCATTACCAAGATAATTTGAAAATATCTACAAGGTTAAAAACTTGCATTTCGTTTGTTCTTGACAGATACTAAGCCAGCATTCTTATTATCTTTTCACGCAGTACAAATTCTGACAGTGATTACTCAATTTCTTGATCACGAAAGAAAGTATGTAAAATACTGATTTGAATCCAAAGCTATCAGTAATATATATACAGGGATATTGATTTTATATTTATTTCTCAGCTATTCTAATAATTCAAATATTTATCAACCTATATCACACAATTATCAATAAAAAAATTTAGATTGGCCATTGCATTATAGAAATGTCAGAACTTCACCTAAACTTTGAAGCTAAATATTGAAATGCCAAATTGACTATTAAAGAAAAATGTAATTGAGAAGTACATGAGTTGAAAAATTAAAAAGGCTTTTCAATTAAATAGGTCATCACTGATATCTATCTTGAAAGTGTTCACTGACATAATGTAATTTCTATATTTTAGCACCACAGGTGAAAGTCTGGATTCTACAAGAACTCAAAGTGTTAGTGATTCTGCCTCAACAAGCTTGGAAGAGCCACTAAGGTATTCTTCTCTTAGTTTTGACTGCAATCACTTGTGTCATATATATATATATATATATATATATATATTTTGGAGAGCATTTAAATTAAGAGTTGTAAAACCAACACCAATGTATTGATAACAGCCAATTAGTAGAAAAAATTACAAGGAGCCAAGAAGAACTCCAAACAAAAACAAAGTAATTACCTGAAGTGCAGGAAAAGCAGAGTTTCTAGGTGACAATCCCTTTCAGTTTTAAACCTGATTGGTCAAGAAGTCACTGGTCAAGAACTTGGCCTAAGCTTAGTGGACAAATCACACAGTTAAGTCAAGGAAATTCAAAGCAGTTGCATATTATTTTGAATACTTGGTTGAATTTTGCTCTTTTACTGAAATTACAACTGACAGTGATAGAGTGCTGACATTTATTATCAATAAATTATTTCATGGTAAGATATGATAATAATTACCATTGAACAATGTCTTTTCTTTTTAAATAGTAATTTAGGCTCTGACGATAACAAGAACAACAAGCCAGGGGTAGAGCAACCCTCCAATAAAAATGTGAGTTTTAGCATCCACAAATACGTAAAAAACTAAAAATAATGCTGTGCATTTGTCTTCAGAATTGACTAAATCAGTAACCCCCGCTCTTTTGTTTCATCTTGCATAAGACAATGATTCTAGTGTGAAATAACTCTCATCAGACCATTTTATCCCATTTTCCTAAGGAAATGAAGAGAAGGAACATGTCAGGGCATCTTTTTTTTTTTCCTGACTGACTTAACACTGTTCAAAATGGTTTCTCAGCAGTCGTCTTCCTTATGAACAGTTAAACCTTCGACTTGGAAAAGGAAAAAAACAAAATTTTTTGAACACTTAACCAAGTTAAAAAAACTGTCTCAATTTTTATCATCATGGATGGCAGGTTAGCTTTCAAACAATTTTCCTAGTCAATGAATGCTCTTCTTGTGTTGAAAAATCAACTGTAAGCCATGTTCACCTTGATAGAGATACATACAAATGAATCAGTCAGATTAGACTAAGCAATTTTCCATAAATGAGTTTATCATTATTCTGCAGGATGGAAAATTAGCTGATGATGCAGTGATTGACATTGATGCCGACACATCAGATCCTGTAACTGTGTCAGATTATGCAAATGAGATCTTTGTAAATATGAAGAAAAGAGAGGTAATAAGACTTGGTAGACTCACTTTTTTATGGTCCATGTTGGAGTCAGAGCAAACTAATTCTGTTAAGATAACTTAAATAGACAAATGACTGGACAGGATCATCACCAGAAATTTCTTAATCATTTATCTTCCTACTTTCAGGAATGTTTTCCACTGACAAATTACTTAGAAAATCAGCAAGACATAACTGCACAGATGAGAGCCATATTGGTTGATTGGTTGGTTGAGGTTCAAGAATGTTTTGAACTTTATCATGAGACTCTGTATCTGGGTGTGAAACTTCTTGATCATTTCCTTGAGGGGAACACAATAAAGCGGGATGAACTGCAGCTTGTTGGGGCTACAACCCTTCTTATCTCATCTAAAATTGAGGTACAGCTCTTTTTCTCCATTAGCATGTGCATCAGAAGTTGTATTAACACACATCATTTTGTGAAAGATTCCTCAAAGAAACTTTAATAATGTCCAAACAGTCTTTGCTTAATTAAAACAGTAACTTTACCTGCACTTGTTTTAACTGCCAATGACTCACTTGCAATGTACATGAAGATCTTACTTGTAGAAAAAAGTCTAATGAAATCTTGAAACTGGTAGATTGAAATGGATAGATTTCCATATAATCCCATACTTCAACAGTTATACAGTGTTAAATAAAATAAAAACAATTTAGATAACCATTTTGTTTACAGCTTTGGTTTGGAACAGTATGGGGTTAAACAAAATTCTTTCTGTAAAATAATAAATGTACTGAGTACAAGATACTGCAACAATCAAACCCTTATTTCATTCTAGGAGCGACATCCACCATGCATGGACGACTTCATTTACATCTGCGATGATGCATATAAACAACAGCACTTTATTGCAATGGAAACTAAAATCATGTCCAGTTTGGGATTTGATATTAACATTCCCATTCCTTACAGATTCCTCAGACGATATGCAAAGGTTAGAAAAACCTATATTGTTATTGTATGATGTGCACAAAATTTAAATTGTGAATGTTATTCAGTGACTTTGCCTAAAGTCTTTACTGAAGAAATGTAGGATTCCAAGCAGCTTCACCTTTATTAAAACTGTTTTACAACAGACCTCAATGTGTTGTTGCCTCCTTGTAGAAAATTATCTCTTTATGATGTTTGTCCCCTTCCAGTATCATTAGCCCAAAAATAAAATCCAATTCACTGTGATGTCACAAATCTCAAGTTATGGTACACTGTTTCCATAGTTCTGTTTCTTACTTCCTTGGGAAAAAGAGGCCTGCTAAAACCTGCCATAACAAAACACTCTGGTGCAAGCTCAAGTTGCAATATGCTGTCCATATTGTGCTAGAAAGTTGTCCAACTAGACTCTTTTTATTCATTGTCGTGCTTCATGTTTTGATTATAGCAAATTTTTATTCTTGTTTTCAGGCTGCATTTGTAAGCATTGAAACACTCACATTGGCTCGTTATCTTCTGGAAAGCTCCCTTCTTGAAGGTCAATTTATTACAAAAAGAGCCTCAATGATGGCTTCATCTTGCTTATACCTGGCAATGATGATGAAGAACTGTGGAGAATGGACAGCTACTTTGGTACATTACACAGGCTACAGCAAGGAACAACTACATGACTGTGTGTTACAACTTAACGCAATGAACAGTGCACCAGCTAATAAAAACTTGATGACTGTAAGAAATAAGTATTCACATAAAGTGTTTCATGAAGTTGCTACAATCCCACCTTTAGATCCATTAACCATTCAAATCTAGATTATCTGCTCTCATATGTTCAAAAATTGTATGGATCTGATTGAAATACTTTGTAAATAAGCATATATTTAAGGAGACATTATCTATATTAGTTATAGGTTTAGCAAAATAATTTCTTTCATGACTATTATGGTATTAGAAGCAGTAAGAGCAAAATCTGTTTAGTTTCTTTTTATCAATCAGTATACTTTTCCCATCAGATTTTTACAGAGGATTTTGCTCCATTTACTTCTCTTCAAGTTTTTGTCACCAATTTTATAAAAGACACTTTCATTTTTAGGGAAATTTCATTCCACTTTTGTATTTGAAATGAAGCCAGTGTTCTCATAAGAAGTTCTTTGTGTAAATTTTTAAATTCCAGTTGTAAGGGGAAGCAGGGAAAGTGTGAATAGTGTATCATGAAGATAAATCTATTTTATTTCTTGTAGCAATGGAAGAATAGAGCAGTAGTTAATCCCCACTCACTTCTGTTCAGAGATAATTTTTTACGTTTTAAACACATTTTTATTTGTTTAGGCAGACCTCAAGCAAGCAGAAAATGTTTCACTTACCAAACTACATTAAATCAGATGTTCATTTTGTCTTGTAAGACAGACCTCCACAAATGATTGGAATGTAATGAACAACATTGTGCTGTAAATACAACGATGATACTTTATAGACAACAATCTACTACTGAACTTTTCTTGTGTCTTTTCAATAGTGGTACATTTCTGCTCTTGTAATATTCATAATACTGAGAAATGCAGATCACTTATCAGGTTTGTCCAACATACCCCTGGATATATACATCAGACTTTGACGCTGGACAAAAGAAAGAGATTGTATACTAGAAATTAAATTGTTTCTTTGAAATTTGTAGTAAACATAAAGGAAATCTAAATTTACATGTTTTTCAATGAATTGTTGTAGTTATGGTAGCTGAAAAGGTGGCATGATCCAAAAGACTGAATGATATGTAAGGCTGAGGAGAAGTTCCATTCTTATTACCAGGGAAAATGTAACCATAACCTTTGTGCACTGGAATTAAATTGCCAGATTGACGAGCTTGCATCAGCGCTTACCCTAACCCAGGCCTTACCCCTAAGTTTATTACCGAACCAGAAGTGGGAAGGATAAGAGTACTTTAATTTTTACAGCAAGGTTATGTCTTTTGGACTCTTCTTGCACATTTTCGGTTTAAAACAAACGCAAGAAAATCACAAAAATGCATGTAGAAGTGGTTCTTCCCTGGGAAGTAAGTCTCCAAAGCGCCAGGGTTTGAAAAAACAACTACTCAAGGAATGAAACTGTTTCGTGTGGCTATCTCGAAATTTCTTATCATATCGACGCAAAGCGTTACCGCGTCGCTGGCTATCTGAGAATTTCTCGATATACTGACGCAAATGTAGCCGCTAAGTAAATGCTTAGCAGCTTTTTCATGATCGATAATGATAGACCATGAAACAACATCCAACAAACTTAGTGGCTTCATGAAATGCTCGTAAGTATAGGCGAACAAAAATTGTTTTTTTCTTTCACAGTATACGTTCCGCTTACTGTCAAAATATTTGAAGGAAAATTTTCAA